TTTATTTTTGAGACAGAGTCTTGATCTGTTGCCCAGGCTGAAGTTCAGTGGCACAATCTCAGCTCACTGCAGCCTTGAAATCCTGGGCTCAAACCATCCTTCCACCTCAGTCTCCCAAATAGCTGGGACTACAGGCACTTACCACCACACTTGGCTGATTTTTAAAATTTTTTGTAGAGATGGGGTCTCGCTATGTTGTCCTGACTGGTCTCGAACTCCTGGGCTCAAGTGAGCCTCCTGCCTCTGCCTCCCAATGCACTGGGATTACAGGCATGAGCCACCACTCCCAGCCCAGGATATTAATACAGTAAATATTAACTCCTATCTCAGATTGTATATCTAATAATGATTACTGGCAGTAAGAATGCTCACAAGTTACAAGGGTAATGATAACGGAATCACCACGATCTTGGTGATGCAGCATCCAAAACTCATGCCTTCTTCAATTCTGGTCACAGAGACGACCCGCACATGAAACTCTTACACATTTTCTTTCATGATTTGGCCTAGAAGTGATACATCTAGTCTCCTTGATTTTAGAATGTCCATTTTTAAAATCAAGGAGATGAGGCCAGCAGGGTCTTCTGTGTGCCCAGAATGAGATGAGAACTGTATAAATGTCTGAGGCAGTTACTCAATTATTCTTTTATTTACTATTTTCTTTCTTTCCTTTTTTTTTTTTTTTTTTTTTTACACACAATCTCACCCTGGCACCCAGGCTGGAGTGCAGTGGTGCGATCTTGACTCTCTGCAACCTCTGCGTCCCAGGCTCAAGCGATTCTCGTGCCTCAGCCACCCAAGTAGCTGGGATTACAGGCATGCTCCACCACATCCAGCTAATTTTTGTATTTTTAGTAGAGATGGGGTTTCTCGATGTTGGCCAGGCTGGTCTTAAACTCCTGACCTTGTGATCCACCTGCCTCAGCCTCCCAAAGTGCTGGGATTACATGCATGAGCCACCGTACCTGGCCCAGGCCTGTTTTTAAAAGTTTTTTTTTTTAGAAACAGGGTCTCACTATGTGGCCCTTAGTACTCTCCATAGTGGTTGAACTAACTTACATTCCCATCAATACTGTACAAGCGTTCCCTTTTCTCCACATCCTCGCCAGCAGGTATTATTGCCTGTCTTTTGGATGTAAGCTGTTTTAACTAGGGTATGATGATATCTCATCATAGTTTTGACTTGCATTTCTCTGATGATCAATTATGTTGAGCACCTTTTCATACGCCTGTTTACTATTTGTATGTCTTCTTTTGAAAAACGTCTATTCAGAGGCTGGGCGTGGTGGCTCATGCCTGTAATCCCAGCACTTTGGGAGGCCGAGGTGGGCAGATCACCTGAGGTCAGGAGTTTGAGACCAGCCTGGCCTACATGGTGAAACCCTGTGTCTACTGAAAGTACAAAAATTAGCCAGGCATGGTGGTGGGTGCCTGTAATCCCATCTACTTGGGAGGCTGAGGCAGGAGAATCACTTGAACCTGGGAGGCGGGAGGCAGAGATTGCAGTTAGTTGAGATCGTGCCATTGCACTCTAGTCTGGGTGACAGAGTGAGACTCCATCTCAAAAAAATCAAATTATTAGATTTTGTCCTAGTGGGCCAAGCATGGTATCTCACGCCTGTAATGCCAGCACTTTGAGGGGCCGGGGTGGGAGGATTACCAGAGGTCAAGCGTTCAAGACCAGCCTGGCCAATATGGTGAAACCCAGTCTCTACTAAAAATACACAAATTAGCTGGGCATGGTGGCAGGTGCCTGTAGTGCCACCTACTCAGGAGGCTGAGGCAGGAGAATTGCTTGAACCTGGGAGGTGGAGGTTGGGGTGAGCCGAGATTGTTCCACTGCACTTCAGACTGGGCAACAGACTCTGTCTCAGAAAAAAAAAAAAAAAAGATTGTGTCCTATTGAGTTGTTTAAGCTCCTTCTGTATTTTAAATTAATTTCTATATTTTACTTATCACCTGATAGACACTGCAAATGTGCATATTTTGATCAAATATCTAAGTTGCACATGATTTAGTTTCTGTTTTCTTCTTGCTTCCTTAGTTTTGTTAGCTTTATATTGTCTAAATATTAGCTTGATGATATATTAATATTTCTAATATATTTAGGAGTTTTCCTAAATTTAAAAGTTAGTCGAGCAAAATTCTTTTACACATGTGTAATCTATTGTCCACAAGCCTCTTATTAAATCATCATTGTTGAGCTGTTTTGAAATTCTATCCTTATCACACACTAGGTTTTCAGGACAGAAATGATTCTAAAAACAAATGTTCCTCCGTCGATTTACTGCTTTGTGTTATTGCTTTTGTTTTAAGTTTTCTTTTTCTGATATCAAATTGAGAATAATTTTTTGTATCAAGGTGGAATTGACATAATAAGAAATTATTTTAAAGTGAACAAATCAGCGGCATCTGGTACATACATTCATGAAGCGATGCCTCAGCTGTCACCTGTCTCTAGTTACAAGTCATTTTTGCCATCCCCAAATCAGACTCTTACCCATTAAGTAATCAACCCCAAATCCCCTCTGCACCCACCTCTAAGATCATGCAGCCATCAATCTCCTTCCCTTCCCTCCCTCCCTCCCTCCCTCCCTCCCTCCATTCCTTCTTTCCCTTCCCTCCCTCTCTCCCTCCCTGCCTCCTTCTTTCTTCTTCTTCTTTTTTTTTTTTTTTTTTTTTTTGAGGCAGAGTCTGGCTCTGTCATCCAGGCTGGAGTGCAATGGCACAATCTCAGCTCACTGCAACCTCCGCCTCCTGGTTAAAGTGATTCTCTTGAGATTTCCGAGTAGCTGGGAGTACAGGCATGCACCACCACGTCCTGCTAATTTTTGTATTTTTTTATTTTTAGGAGAGATAAGGTTTCAACATGTTGGCCAGGCTGGTCTCTAACCCTTGACCTCAGGTGATCCACCCACCTCGGTTTCCCAAAATGCTGATTACAGGCATGAGCCACCACAACCGGCCATCATCAATCTGCTTTCTCTTTCTGTGGATTTAACTGTTCTAGATATTTTATATAAATGAATTTATACATGCTACCTACTGTGTCAGCCTTCTTTCATTTAGTATGTGTTTAAGGTTCATCTACATGGTAGCAGATAACTTTTTCTTTTTTTTGAGACAGGGTTTCATTCTATCACCCAGGCTGGAATGCAGTGGCATGATCTTGGCTCACTGCAACCTCTGCCTCCCGGGTTCAAGCAATTGTCCTGCCTCAGCCTCCCAAGTAGCTGGGATTACAGGCACGTGCTGCCACGCCCAGGTAATTTTTGTATTTTTAGTAGAGATGGCATTTCACCATGTTGGCCAGGATGGTTTTGATCTCCTGACCTTGTGATCTGCCCACCTCGGCCTCCCAAAGTGCTGGGATTACAGGCATGAGCCACCACGCCCGGCCAGCAGTCACAGTTTAATGTCTGATGGGACTCTCACTGTGTTTCTTGGTGGAAGTGTCCCCTCTGGAAACCAGGCCTTTTAGATGAATTATTTCTTCTGCTTTCCCCCCAACAGCCCTATCCCCCATCCTATATGGAGAACACTGGTGTTGCCAACTATTTTAGACTTCAGGTGGGAGTATCAATGCATTGATAGCACCCCAGGGTAGCACAGCAGCTGATGGAATTCCTGGGCAAAGATACGAACCTTCCTGCCAAGTGATGGGCAAAAGTAGATTCTGAGAAGCAAAGGGGTGACCAATACTGAGTATCTTCCATTGTCTCAATAAATCTACCTCCTCTATGAATGACATTGATAGGCTTCCTTGCCTTATGGCTTTTGCTTTGGTTTGGCTAATGGGGAGGCCGGGCATGAGATCAGAAGCATAAAGGAGAGTGAGGTCTGACCCTGGCTGTTTCCTGCAGGAGGACCTGGGGCTGGATGCTATCCCTGACTGACCTACCCTCAGCTCCTGGAATGCAGCCCTCTTCTCTCCTCTCCAGATTCAATTGTTCCCTCCCTTCATCCCTTCAAGCTCTGGGGTGTTAAAAGAGCTCTGCCCTGCTCAGCTACTGGGTGCTTTACAATCTTTTGTGGTTTCCCTGGATCCTGTCCACAGCACTGTGTGTAGACCCTTTATGAAACCTCTACGTGAATTGTCCTAGTCTGTGGGTGCCAACCCGAGTTCCTGCTGGGACTCTGACTGCTGTGCCAACTCACTGAAATAAGGAAAAGTCCTGACAACGTCTCAGAAAACCCAACAAGATCAGGATCCACCATGTCTCTGACCACATCATCTTCTACTGCTCCCAATCACCTGCTTTGTTCCACTCCAGCTGTATTGGCCTCCTTGCTGTGGGCCTTTGCATGCCAACACGACTCGTGCAAGACAAATTCTTATGACTCACTGTCCCAACTTGTTGAGATCTCTGCTCAAATACTCCTTACCAAGAGGCTTTCTTTTCCTCATCTATATAAAATTATTCCCAACCCCCCTTAACTCTCTTAAAATGCTTTTTTTCATAACTCTATAATACCATACTTTCTTGATTTTTCTATAATCTGTTCCTCCTCCATAAGGATGAAGTATTTCAATGGCAAAACTTTGCCTGGCACATAGAACATACTCTGTAAACAGAGTAGTGGTTAAGTGCATGGACTGTCTGGGTTCAGATCTTGGCTCTACCATTTACCAGTCAGTGAATGCAGACAAGTAACTTAAGTGTATCATACCAGTTTTCTCATCTGTAAACTGGAGATAATAACATTACATACTTATGTTTATAATGCATACTCAGTTAATATTTATATGGCATTTAGAAGGGGCCCTGACCTATGGAAAGTACTATATCAGGAGTTCAAGACCAACCTGGCCAACATGGTGAAACCCTGTCTCTACTAAAAATACAAAAAAATTAGCCAGGCGTGGTGGTGGGCACCTGTAATCCCACTGAGGCAGGAGAATCACTTGAACCTGGGAGGCGGAAGTTGCAGTGAGCCAAGATCGTACCATTGCACTCCACCCTTGGTGACAAGACCAAAACTCTATCTCAATAAATAAATAAATAAATGTTTGACCATTTATTATTAATGCATTACAATACTTTGCCATGTAAAAATATCATCTCCACGTAAAAAGGAACAATACAGAATACATAATCCTTATGCATCTAGTTACATAACATCAAAATATATAAAAATCACAAAATTACAATATGTTAATACATAAACATAATGGAAGAGTTTACCACACCTCTATCACTAAATAAGGTTAGAAAAAGAAATCTGAACATATGTACTGTACTTGGAAATACAATTAAGTTGCATTAATGTGCATATACCCTATATCCAAATATTAGAGAATATACATTGTTTTCAAAGAAACAACATGGGTAAAATTTGACCAATTTATAGGTTTACCAGTTAGATTCTGCATCCTGCTGGAAGTTAACAGAACACCACCTCATAAACAAACAACAGATCATGTTGGCTTCAATCAGTTGTGTCTTTTTTTTTTTTTTTTTGAGACGGAGTCTTGCTCTGTCATCAGGCTGTAGTACAGTAGCGCGATCTCGGCTCACTGCAACCTCCGCCTCCTAGGTTCAAGCAATTCTCCTGCCTCAGTTTCCCAAGTAGCTGGGACTACAGGTGCGTGCTGCCATGCTGTGCTAATTTTTTTGTATTTTTAGTAGAGACAGGGTTTCACCATGTTGGCCAGGATGGTCTTGATCTCCTGACCTCATGATCGTTAGGGGTTTCTTTTAGTCATGTAAGAAGTGTAACAATAAGGAGTTCAGAGCAGATGCAGCCAATCGGAGGCTCTTGGAGAGTCCAGAGCATTGTGATTTTTGGCTGCACTTTTGGTTTCTGTCATCATGGTCATAAAGAAGTTCTTCAAACTCTAGACCTTGAGGCCACCTTCCAAGAGACAGAATGGGTGAGATGAATGGAAAATAAGCGAGAACGAGCCAGGAGATGTTCCCCACAGTGACTTCTACTTACTTCTCATTGCCAGGTGAGTGGGAAAAAACTTGCCTGGGCTTCAAGAAAAACTCTAAGATTGAGAACATTCGATACCATTCACAGACAACTTGAACATGTTTCTTTCTTTAAGCAAATAAATGGAGGAGAATGGACACTGGGAAAGAAGCCAACATATTTGGCATATCAAGAGAGAGAATAATCAGTATCATGAAGCTCATGTGCTCTGACAAAAACACCATTAAATTAGAAAAACGTGTATTACAAATACTAATTTCCATTATGATAAACCGAATCACTCAGAAGGTATTTGGAAATAATTTTTGAATATGCAATATGTCTTTAACAAGCAAATTATAATAAATACATTGCATTAAAATTACGAAATATAAGTTAATGTTTATTTTAGGGAACAGCTATACACATGTTTATGTTAAAAGAAAAAAGACTAAAAAGTTAATGAGTTAGCAGTCCAATCTATAGATGAGACACTGATGTAGGAAATCCCACACTCAAAAGAGTTATCATACTTTTTGTTCCCAGTGAAAATTGTGGCCACTCAGTGAAGAGTTGAGGCTGAGGCATCCTAATACTGATTGCATTCCTAGGGGTTTCTCCATGTTAGTTCTCTCATATACAAGAAAGAGAAGAATCACTGAAAAATATTCCAATATTAATATACTCATAGGTTTTGCATCCAGGGCGAAGTTCCATATTTTCCATAACACAGAGGCATCACTGAAGGCTTTTTCTTTTTCTTTATATTTGCAAGTTTCTCTGCAGTGTGAATGCTCACAAGTTTCCTAACAAATGTGGAAAACCGGAAAGCTCTCCAATATTGATGATGTTCAATGGGGCATTCACCCCAGAATTAATCCGCAAGTCCCTTAAAAACTGAGAGAACATTCAAGGCTTTCCCATAGTCACTGCGGAATACCACATTACAGTTTGCTCAGAAATGTGAACACTTTTGCTGTAGGATATTCCGCATTTCTGAGTGTTGTTCCATTGTGTGATTTCCAATGTGTGTCTTAAGGGATGACTGTCCCTGAAGGCTTCTGCACTCTGATGACCTTCACAGGTTTTCTCTCTTAGTGTGAGCTGTCACACGAATCCCTGCTGATAGCACTGAAGGCTTTCCTACAGCTGTTCCATTCTTCAGGATTCTCTCAGTACATAACCTTCTGGGCCCATAAGCGTGAGAGTTTGAGCTGAGAGCTTTACCACACAGATTGTCCTCAAAAGGTTTCTCTTCAGAGTGAATTAATAGGAGTTATTGAATGCTATTTCATATTGATTAGATTAAAAGGATGATGTGCTGAGGGCTTTACTTCATTAATTCCATGGCAAGTTTCCCAGATGTTTCTGAGTGATCTGTTTCCTTCTGTAGTCTCTCACATTGTATCAGGATTGGTGTGTTGAGACCAACACAATAGGAAATAAGTGAAAGCTTAGCAGTCCTCCTGAGGATAGGTCATAAAAGTCATTTTGGCCTCTGTACTGGTCGCCTCTTGGATCACTAACCTTCGGGAGAACTTATTGCCAAATCAGAAAGGAACTCGGCCTTGTAAAGAGGCCTATGTGGAGAGGCCTGCATGGTAATGACTGAACGTCCCCTGACAACAACCAACACCAACTTTCCAGGCATGTGAATGAGTCATCTTGGAAGTGGACTGTTCATCAGTAAAGATGTTAGATGGCCACAGCTTTGGCTGACATCTTGACTGTAAGTAAGGGCATGAGAGATCCTGCCATGTAACTACAGAGATAAGCTGTTCCTGAATTCCTGACCTGTAGAAATTGTGAGATAATAAATGTTTGGTGTTTGTGGCCACAGAGTTTTGGGGGATCATTTGTTATGCTGCAACAAATAACTTATACATCCAGTGTGAGCTCTCTCAAACTATCTTAGGGATGAAAGATCAATGAGTGCTTTCCCCCAGAAGTTCCCGCAGTTAATTCATATCCACCTATTATGTATTCTCTTGTGTACAGAAAGGTAGGAGTTACTTGTGAAGGATTTCCCACAATGATTACATTCATAGGGTTTTTCTCCAGTGTGAGTTCTTAAGTGTTTCTTCACAGCTGAGAGATTATTAAAGGCTTTTCCACAGTCACTGCACTCGTAGGGTTTCTCTCCGGTATGTATTCTCTTGTGCACAGTCAGAGAAAAGCTACTGCTGAAGGATTTCCCACACTCATTACATTCATAGGGTTTTTCTCCAGTATGAGTTCTTACGTGCTGTGTCAGATAGGAACTCTTCCTGAAGGTTTTCCCACAGTCGTGACATTCGTAAGGTTTCTCCCCTGTATGAATGCTATTGTGCCCAGTGAGGGAGGACCTTGTGCTGAAAGCTTTTCCACACTGATTACATTCATGGTGATTCTCCCCCGTGTGAATCCTCTTGTGGCTTTTGAGGTTACAACTGGTGCGGAAGACGTGAAAACACTGGTTACATTCGTAGGGTTTTTCTCCGGTGTGAATTCTCACATGCAGTCTAAGGGATGAGGGATCACTAAATGCTTTCCCGCAGTGATTGCATTCATAGGGTTTCTCCCCATTGTGGATTCTCTTATGAATAGTAAGGTAAGATCTGCTACTGAAGGACTTCCCACACTGATTACAGTCATAGGGTTTTTCTCCAGTATGAATTCTCTTGTGCTGAGTTAGATTAGATTTTGTGCTGAAGACTTTAAAACACTGATTACATTCATTGAGTTTCACTCCACGATGACTTCTTTCCTGTGGATTAAGAGATGAATGATAACTATAATTTATAATATTTGAAATACTTAACGTTCTCATAGGAATTTTCTCTCCCAGGAATTCTGTTACATTATTATAATCGATATTTTGGCTACTTTCAGTGGTTGTATATGGTTTCTGTCCAGTTTTAGTGCTAAGCAAGTTAAAAAACATAGATGCTTTGCCACAAGTCCTTATCAGATTCACAAAACATTTTCTGATAACTTCTGGATGAAGTTTTGTTCCCAACAGTCAATATCTGAGCCACAGATAGGAAATATTTACTTGTGGGAACTCTCAGTGAAGAAATAAGTTTGAAGCTAACTCACACTTCTCTAAATATTTACAATTTTCACAGTGTCTCTCCAGGGACATGGCATTCTCAATTATAAATGACACTCTCCTTTAATCCCTCTCCTGGTTATTTCGTGCCCTTTCTAAACTTAGGGCATTCTCCTACTGTAGAGAACCAGAAATCACCCATGTTAGTCTTACCGTTTTTACACCTTTAGACTGTTCTTTTCTGAAAACATGCTTCTTAGGAGTTAACCATTTGACTTTAAGTAGAGTCTCCAAATCTGAAACAAAATGAAAAGAAATTTAGGTTGATGGAGAAAATAAATGGAAAAGTACACACATGAGTAAAGGCAGATTCTGAGGGATCAAGGTTTTTGAGGATGTTTTGCAACAAAGAGGATTTGGTTATGAAAATTTTAGGTATTAATTTTAAAAAAGATTCTAGACAAATTGAGATTGATCACAGATTGGCGAAAGGAGGAGTGATCAGGAATGCAAAGTGGGAAGGAACTTAACGGAAATTTTCAAAAGAGTTGCATCTTTGTTTCTTCCCTGAGCCCGAAGGGAAGTATGAGATGATGATGAGAGAGTCAGAGAGAAAAGAAGGGACATGAGGAAGCTCATACCAAATGTTCTTGTGCATCTTTGGCAGGAACAGGGCATTTTACGGAGTTCCCTGATTGACATTAACTAATGTAATACTCCCAACCCCCAAGTCACTGGCCAGAGGTATTTCTCACAAGGGCTCATATCTGCCTGGTGCTCACCTGGACAGGTGCTTGGTAGAATTCCTCTTTCTTCTGTCATCACCTTCTTGTCTTGTTCCAACTGGGATATTAGACTGGGTTTATTAACACGACACCCTATTTATGGAAAACGTACACATGATATAGGGAATGGTGCTGGGGACAACCAACTCCATGAAACAAATGCCAACATTTCTGAAGATGGAAAAGTGTGACTTTAGGAACGGTGAAATAAATAATCACTTTTTTTTTTTTCTTTTTTTTTGAGATGGAGTCTTGCTCTGTGCAGCGGCATGATCTCGGCCCACCGCAACCTCCGCCTCCCAGGTTCAAGCGATTCTCCTGCCTCAGCCTCCTGGGTAGCTGGGACTACAGATGCACGCCACCACGCCTGGCTAATTTTTATATTTTTAGTAGAGATGGGGTTTCACCATGTTGGCCAGGCGGGTCTCGATCTCCTGACCTTGTGACCCACCCACGTTGGCCTCCCAAAGTGCTGGGATTACAGGTGTAAGCCACTGCTCCCTGCCAATTACACCTTAATTCTAGTGCATATGGTAACTCTCACAGGGAACAAAAATGCAAGCATATTCAACTAGATATTCAGGGTGACAGGGCATAAGCAGCTCCAGAAGCCCATGCCTGAGTTCAAATGCACACTTCGGAGGCCCCGACACTTTTAACCATGAAGAATATAAAGTCAGGACAAGAAACAGATCTTCAGTTCGTAAGGCAGGAATTAGAGACAGCCCATGAGGGTGTCTTCATTAGTGTCATTCATCACTGTACTCCCAAGCCCCTGCACAGACCTAGGAACACAGAGATGCTTAAGAAAACTTGAGAGAAGTGATGACGGTGACAGTGGTGGAGGAGGGAGTTCCAGACGTTCATCCCTCCACAAAAACAGTGAGGAAACTGGCAAAAGCGGTCAGAATCAACTTTATTGGAATTGTGGAAATGTATCCAAAGTCCATAGCCATCAGGGGCATGCCTTCTCAGAAAACCCAGCTGAATCTGGGTAAGAGAGCTTTACGATACTTTAAATGGACCTCTTTCCCCCTGCTTTGTCTACAGCCTTGAAGACAACAGCCTGGATTCCTAGTACTCGCAGGGAGCAGAATAGACCTTACTCCGTGGTTGCTTTTCCTGGCCTAGCTGGTGGTTCCCCGAAGGACTGGCTCAAAGGGTTGCCTTTATTTATCTAACTCCAAATTCTTTCAGGGACTGAGCTGGTTACCTGGAACACATGTGATCAACACATGTGAAGGCAAATGTATTAGTCAGTACTGCCTGAGGCAAGAGAAGACAGTAGAAGCAAACAAAAGACTAACCAAAAAACCTGAAAGGAAAAATGGGGAAAAAGATGTTTGGGGAGTAGGACTTTGAAAATCTTCCTCATATTCTTAAGAACCTGTAATTCCAAGCACATACTCAGGGCTGGGAGCATGCCCAGAAAATACTTAGAAGGCACAAAAACCTCACCTTTTGGTGACATTCAGGCTCTGCACATGCCAGAAATGAAGGTCAAGGCAGAGTTAACTGCCTATCTAAGTATTAAAGGCATGTCCCTATGTACACGTAGAGCCCGTGTAAAAAGACTGGAAGTTTTTTCCTTTCTTGTTCCAGGCCGTCAAATCACTATATGACCATTACGCTATCAGTGGCCACACAGGGCAGATACAGACATTACAAAGTTAGTTCTGAAATAGAACTACTGTATATCCTAACAAGAGTTTACAATATATAATATTCTAGAACTTTAGAATATATCAGAGTTCTATTTCAGAACTAACTTTAGAACTGTCATATGTTCTATAGATACATACAATACCAACAACAACAAGCAAAACAAACACTGGAGATGAGGAAAAGTCTCATTCCCAAATTGCTATATTATAATATTCCAAATGTGTAGTTTCCACAAAATAATTATGAGGCAAGCAAGGAAACAAACGTTGGGCCCATTACAAGACAAATGAAGCTGGTAGAAATTGTCCCTTCAGAAGTTCAAATACTGGACTTCACTAGACAAGTAAAATAAGTCAACCATTTTAAATCTGCTAAAAGATGTACAAGAAGTATGTATAAAGAACTAAAGGAAACCATGAGTACAAATTTTCATCAAATGAAAAACAGCAAAATAGGTACAACTATGGCATATGAAAAAAATACCAAAAAAAATGGAAAATATAAAGAGAAACTGTGGAAGGCAAATAAAAAAATTTGAGTTGAAAAGTGTAATAGCTGAAATGAAACATTCAGAACATATCTGAGCAAGCAGAAGACAAAATTGGTGACCATGAAGATAGGACAACTGATATTATCCAGTCTGAGGAGCAGAAAAAAGAGAGAGGCCAGGCACAGTGGCTCATAGCTGTAATCCCAGCATTTTGGGAGGCCAAGGCAGGAGGACTGCTTGCATCCAGGAGCTGAAGACCAGCCTGGGAAATATAGTGAGATCCTGACTCTACAAAAAATAAAAAAATTAGCTGGGCATGGTGATACATGTCTATGGTCATGCCTCCCTGTTTGGGAGGCTGAGATGGGAGGATCACTTGAGCCCAGGAGGTCAAGGCTGCAGTAAGCCACAATCACTCTGCTGCACTCCAGCCTGACAGAGTGAGTGAGAACCTGTCTCAAAGATACAGACAGAGAGAGAGAAAGAGAGAGAGAGAATTTAAAAAAAGATGAACAGAGCCTGAGACCTGTAGGATACCATCAAACATATATATGATGCGGAGAAGACAGAGATGTGAAGAGAGAGAAAGGGGTGAGAAGGTTGAAGAAATAATGGCTAGAAACTTCCTAAAATGGGATGAAAGGCACAAATGTACAAATCCAAGAAGCTCAAGAAACTCAAGTAGAATAAATTTGAAAAAATAGAGATTCATACTGAAACACACACACACACACACACACACACACACACACACACACACACATTTTTTGAGCCAGGGTCTTATTCCGTCACCCAGGCGAGAGTACAGTGGTGTGATCATGGCTCACAGAAGCCTTCATCTCCTGGAGTCAAGCAATCCTTCCACCTCAGCCTTCCAAGAAGCTGGGACCACAGGTGTGCACCAGCACATCTGGCTAATTTTTAAATATTTTGTAGAGACAGGGTCTCTTTACGTTGCCCAGGCTGGTCTCATATTCCTGGCCTCAAGGGGTCTTCCTGCCTTAGCCTCACAAAGTGTTGGGATTACTGGCGTGAGCCATTGCACCCGGCATCAAACACATATTAATCAAGCTGTTGAAAGACAAAGGCAGCATCCTAAAAACAGCAAGAGGGAGGTGAACTATCACGTTACACAGGATCCTCGGTAAGATTAACAGCCAATTTCTCAATAGAAACCATGGAAACCACCAAGCACTGGAGTGGTATATTCAAAGTGTTGAGAAAAAATGGCAACCAAGAATTCTATGTCTGGCAAAACTCCCCTTCAGAAACAAAGAAATGAAGACCTTCCCAGAAACAAAGACTGAGTGTTTGTCACTATTACATCTACCCTACAAAAAATGATTGAGGGTGACTTCAGGACAAAATGAAAAGATAATAGATAGTAACTTGAATCCACAGAGAGAGGTGAAGAACACTGGTAAAGGTAAATACAGAGGTGAATATCAAAGTCACGGACAATGTGTTTTTGGTTTGTAACTTCTCTTTTATTACTACATAATTTAAAGACAAAAGCATAAATGATTATACATCTACATTAATGGACACATAATGCATACAGATGTAATTTGTGGCAAAATTACTAAACAAAACAGCTACAGTAAAACAAAGTTTTTATATACTATTGAAACTAAGTTGCTATTAAACTAGATTGTTGTAAATTAAAGTGCTTATTAAAATTCTCAGGGCAACCACTAAGAAAATAACTAAAAAGGATAAAAAGAAATGAGAAGGGAATCAAAATGGCCCGCTAGAAAATATCTAACACAAAACAACAATGAAAGAACTGAGGAACAAAAATGATATGACACATAGAAAAAAGTAAATAGCTATCTATAGCAAATAGTAAATAGGCAGAAGTAGCTCCTTCCTTATCAGTAATTACATCATTGCAAGGTGGATTTTGGCAGAATGGATTTAAAAAATAACCCAATTACAGATGGTTCCCAGCTTACAATGGTATGATTTTTTAACTTTATGATGGTGCAAAGGTCATACGCATTCAGGAGAAACCACACTTCAAGTACCCTACAACCATTCTATGTTTCACTTTCAGTACCATACTCAATACATAATTTATAATTGTTGAGCTATTCAATACTGTATTTAAAATACCCTGTTATGTTAGATGATTTTGCCCAACTGTAGGCTAATGTAAGTGTTCTGAGCATATGTAGGCTACGCTAACTGATGATGTTCAGTGGGTTAGGTGAATTAAATGCATTTTTGACTTTTCTTTTTTCTTTTTTCATTGTTTTGCATTTTTGACTTATAGTATTTTTAACTTACAATGGCTTTACTGGGACATAACCTCATCAAAGTTGTGGAGCATCTGTACATACTGTCTATAAGAGACTTACTTTACATTCAAAGACACAAATATGGTTGATAGTGAAAGAATGGAAAAAGATTTCATTCAATAAATATTGTTATAAAACATAGAGAAAGACATTATAGATGTATAAAGCATCAATTTATGGAGAAAATGTAACAATTATAAACACATATGTGCCTAATAAGAACTCCAAAATGTATGAAGTAAAAACTGGCATAATGGAAGGAAGATATAGAAAGTTCTACAATAATCGCTTAAGACTTCAATACTCCACTTTCAATAATGGGTAGAACAACATATTAGAAGATAAAAAGGAAACAGAGAGCTTAAACAACAAACTAACTAGACCTAACAGATACATAAAGAACACATCACCCAACAAGAAAACGCATATTCATCTCAAATGCACATGGAACATTCTCCAGGATAGATGATATGTTAGGCTATAAAAAAAGTCTCACTAAATTTAAAAACAATGAATTCCTACAAAGTATCTTCCTTAACGACAATGGAATGAAATTAAAAATGAGTAACAGGGCTGGGCATGATGGCTTACACCTGTAATCCCAGCACTTTGAGAGGTAGAGGTGGGTGGATCACAATGTCAAGAGATTGAGACCATCCTGGCCAACATGGTGGAACTCCGTCTCTACTAAAAATACAAAAATTAGCTGGGCGTGGTGATGCGCGCCTGTAGTCCCAGCTACTTGGGAGGCTGAGGCAGGAGAATCACTTGAGCCTGGGTGGCAGAGGTTGCAGTGAGCTGAGATTGTGCCACAGCACTCCAGCCTGGCGACAGAGTAAGACTCCGTCTCAAAAAAATTTAAAAGGTTATGTATTGGAAGCCTTAATATGGTTAAGGTGACAACACTACCCAAAATTATCTACAGAGGTAAAACAATCATTATCAAAATTCTGATAGTTTTTTTCCTTTCAGAAATGCACAAACTGATCTGAAAATTCATGGTGCTGCAAGGGATCTTGAACAGACAAGTGCTGAATAAGAAGAACAAAGTAGAAAGATTTACACTTCCTGTTATCAAAATTTACTACAATGTAACAATCATCAAAGCAGTGTGGTACTGACCCAAGGATGGATATACAGACCAATGAGTCCAGGAGCGGTGGCTCACGCCTGTAATCTCAGCACTTTGGGAGGCCCAGGCAGGCGGATCACGGTCAGGAGTTTGAGATATATAGACCAATGGAACAGAACTGAGAGTGCGTAAATAAACTCCAGTGTGCATGGCCACAGAATTTCAATAAGGATGCCAAGGTCATTTGATGGGGAAAGAACAATATCTTCTATAAAGGTGGTGAGACAACTGGATATACACATGCAAAGAGTGAAGCTGGCCCTTTCTCTACATCATATGCAAAATTCACTCAAAATCTATCAAACAGCTAAGTGGAAGAGTTAACACTAGAAAATTCTTAGAAGAAAACAGGGGTAAATCTTCATGACCTTGAGTTGAGCCATGGTTTCTTAGGTATCACACCAAGAGCACAAGCAAAAAAGAAAAACTAGATACAACGGACTTCATTACAACTAAAACTTTTTTTGTTGTTTGAGACGGAGTCTTGCTCTGTTGCCCAGGCTGGAGCACAGTGGATCTCAGCTCACTACAACCTCTGCCTCCCAGGTTCAAGCGATTCTCCTGCCTTAGCCTCCCGAGTAGCTGGGATTACAGGCACCTGCCACTATGCCCGGCTAGTTTTTGCATTTTCAGTAGAGATGGGGCTTCACCAAGTTGGCCAGGCTGGTCTTGAACTCCTGACCTCAGGTGATCCGTCCGTCTCGGCCTCCCAAAGTGCTGGGATTACAGGCATGAGCCACCATGCCTGGTCACAATTAAAACTTTTGTGCATCAAAGGACACTATCAAGAAAATGAAAAGATACCCAAATAATAGAGAAATCACTTATGCATTGTATTTTGAATAAGGATTTGGTATCCGGAATATAAAATGAACTTTTAAAATTCGACAACAAAAAATAAACAACCCAAATAAAACATGGGCAGAGGGTTGGGAACGGTAGTTCACACCTGTAATCCCAGCACTTTGGGAGGCCAAGGCAGGCAGATCACTTGAGGCCAGGAGTTTGAGACCAGCCTGATCAACACAGTGAAACCATGTCTATAAAAAATACAAAAAAATTCAGCCAGGCATGGTGGCGCATGCCTGTAATTCCAGCTACTTGGGAGGCTGAGGAATGAGAATCACTTGAACCTGGAAGGTGGAGGTTGCAGTGAGCTGAGATCACGCTGCACCATTGCACTCCAGCCTGGGTGACAGAGGGAGACTCTGTGTCAAAACAAGCAAACAAACAAACAAACAACAATAACAAAAATGGGCAAAGGACTTGAATAGACACTTTTCCAAAGAAAAATACTCAGCAAGTACATGAAAAGATGTTCATGTCATTTGTCATTACAAAACTGCAAATCAAAACACAACGAGATAGCACTTCACACCTACTGGTATGACTATAACCAAAAAGGCAAGTGCTGGACAGATGTGGAGAAGCTGGAACCCTCATGCATTGGTGGGAATGTGCAGTGGTGCAGCTGCTGTGGAAAAGTCTGGCAGTTCCTAAAGAAGCTAAACACAGACCTAGCCTTCCACTCCTAGTATATACCCAAGAAAATGCGAAGTGGGCGTTTAAACGAAAGCTTGTACACAAAAATTCATAGTATTATAGCATTATTCCTGATAGTCAAAAAGTGGAAACAACTGAAATGTTTATTAATAGAAAAATGGATTGGGCAAAATGTGGTATGTCCATACAATGCAATATTATTCAGTCATAAGGAATGAAGCGCTGGGACAACATACAACATAGCCAACCTTTTTTCTTTTTTTTTTTTTTGAGACACAGTCGTGCTCTGTTGCCCAGGCTGCAGTGCAATGATGCGATCTTGCCTCACTGCAACCTCTGCCTCCTGGTTCAAGCAATTCTCCTGCCTCAGCCTCCTGACTAGCTGGGATTACAGGAGTGCACCACCATGTCCGGCTAATTTTTGTATTTTTAGTAGAGACGGGGTTTCACCATGTTGGTCAGACTGGTCTTGAACTCCTGACCTCGTGATCCGCCCGCCTCGGCCTCCCAAATTGCTGGGATTACAGGTGTGAGCCATCGCGCCCGGCCCATAGCTAAGCTTTTAAAACACTGTGCTACATGAAAGAAGTCAGACACAAAAGGTAACGTATTTTATAATTCCATTTATATGATATATTCTGGATAGGCAAATTCCTAAAGACAGAAACCACATGAGTGGTTGCCAGCAGCAGTAGGTAGGGATTGGCTGCCTCACAGGGACGAGGTTTCTTTGAGGGTGATGAAAATGTTGTGATATTAGATAGTGTTGATGGTTGCACAATACTATGAATATATTAAAAACCACTGGACTGGACATCTTCGAATGGTTAAAATGGTGACTTTTACGTTGTATGGATTTTACCACAATAAAAAAAACAAGAAAAGCCGGCAAGTCTTGCCACAGGAGCCATTAAATAAATGCAGGAATGATGTCAGGCTTACCCAGCGAGGCCAGGTTCCTGCAGTTCTCCAGCATCACGTCCCTGTACAGTGTCCTTTGGGCAGGGTCCAGCAATGCCCACTCCTCCTGGGTGAACTCCACGGCCACATCCTCGAAGGTCACCAAGCCCTAAAGCATTGCAAACATCACAGCTTAGCCAAGGACTACCCGCACCAACATGCACAGGAATAGGGCCCAGAAGAACAGAGCCACGGCTAGGGAAACCTGAGCACGAGATGTGGGGTGGGGTTCCGAGCTCCCCTCCCTGGCTTCTGAGCTCAGCCCTCAATGCTTGTCTCCTTAGGCCACTCCCAGGCCCAGTGCCCAGTACCACAGAGCAGCCATCTTTTCTCTCAGGCTGGGCGCTCCTGTGACCTCGTTTCCCTCAGTCTCCAGGGGAGCACGGGCCCGTGACACGGCAGAAATCGGAGAAATAGTTGGTAAGTGAATGAATGATTTCCGTACAGCCTTCGTTCATCGCTTGGGCTTAGAACATTGTCATGTCTTTACCTGGCTTTCCCTTAAAACTCGCAGGAGCACGTGATGTACTTAGGGACCCTGGAGGGGGCTCTGAACCTGTAGTAAACGTTGACACACACTGACATTTTCTGGGCAGCCCTCACCCTCCATCAGATGCCTGGAAATCCTGGGATGCCTGAGGACCTGGTTTGGCCATGAGGCTCCAGGCTGCTGGAAGGTACCAAGTCTAACCTTCTAGTCAAAGGAGTAATGACTTGGGAAAAGGAGCATCCGACTCACCCGTAGCCAGCTTGTCAGGAGCTCATCAACCAGCTCTCCGCTCTCTGTGTGTCCTTTTTGCTGAGAGGCTGGGAACGGGGAAGATGGAGCTGGAGGAGGAGAAACGAGTCCCAGGGATTCAGGCTTGTCTAATGCCCACAGATCTGCCCATGATCAACCATATCCACCTCCCACTCACACATGGATGAGGCACCCACACAGCGCCAACCCACACTCCACACAAACACCTACCCACAGCTCTCCTAAGATACCCAAACACAGCTCTGTCTCACCAACCAAAAACAGGGCTCAAGGTCTGACTGCACTTGGGGAAGGGATTATTCCCACTTCACAGATGAGGAAACCGAAGTTCCAAGGGTGTCACTGTGTTTTTATCAGGTTCACAGAAAGAACTAAAGGGAGAATTCAAAAGTTCCAGCACATTCACCACAGAGGCGACATCCATAGACATCCAAACGCCTAAGTCCCAAATCCCAAGAGCCGCCCGATCAGACACCGAGGACCTCTGGGCCCTGGGGCTCCACTCCTGCCTCACCTGCTCTGCCCAACCCCCTCCCGTCCCATGCTGTGGGTCAGAGCCTTTCAAGCCTGGACTCTGAGAAATGCCAGGACCCCACGACTCACCAGCAGTCGGGGGCAGGACGACGGCTGCCATCCTGTGACTCCGACAGCAACAGGGCAGCCGGGAAGCAGGACGCTCCTCCCTTATTCCACAGCGCTCTCAGGACGGAGCTCTGGAAGAAACGGGACCACTCCAAGTCTCCATGGCCACCTCCCTCTCCGGCTGCTGCTGATGGGCCCTCCTCAGCCCATCCTTCCCATCCTCCTTCAAATGCAAGTTCTGGCTTCCACAATGGGCCTTTATTTTGCTGACCAGGCAATCATTCAGGGCCACCTGATGGAAAACTTGCCTTCCTCTGTCCCCAACACAATGACCGGTACCTCCCTGCCCCACCCACTTTGAGAACCTTGGCTTCGCACAGTCTCACGGCACGTTCTTCCTATCCACAAACGCAATCCCGGCTACTTCCTCCTTCCCTGGGGACTCCGGTGCCTCCATCACTCCTCCCACCTCCAGTCCCAGTTCCTGGAGGACGTCAGAGACCCCCAGAGTCTCAGGAGTTCCTCAGTTCCAGGGCCCTTTGACCCTTCTCTCCTCATCAGCCACACGTTTCCACACGCCCCCTCAGCCTTGATCAGCACCGGGCACTGTCCCATCACCCAGAACAACGTTCAGAAACTCCCCTCTCTCGGAACCCACCTCCCTCCTCAACTTCCACCGCGTTCACTAATTTTTTCTGTCACCGCATGTCCTCTGACAACACACAGGCCTCAGTCACCTCCCCCACCTCAGTCACCTGCCTCCTGCCTCAGTCACCCCGATCCTGCCTCGGTCACCCCGATCCTGCCTCGGTCACCCCCTCCTGCCCATGCCCTGCCTCAGTTACCCCCTCTCCTGCCCTTGGTCACCCCCCTCCTGCCTGTGCTCGGCCTCAGTCACCCCCCTCCTGCCGCACTCAGCCCCTCTCCTACCCATGCTCTGCCTTGGTCACCCCCTCTCCTGCCTCAGCCACCCCATCTCTTGATTTCATCCTCACCCAGCTTGGATGTCACTGTCCCTCATTTCAGCTGATTTCCTCCTCCCCACTCCACACCGTCATGCCAGCCCAGGCATGACTCCAAACATCCACCGGCTCCAGGGGACATTTGGGCAGACCACCCTGTGCAAGGGCTGTGACGCTGCCACTCTGGAGTAACACGGTCACCAATGTGAAAAGAACCCTCAGCCTGCAGGGCGATCCCACAGGTCAGCGTGGCTTCCCACTCGTCAAACCTCCTCTTCCTCTTTAAACCTCACACCTTCTCCCCTGTCCTCTCTGTGGTAACTGCTTCCTAACGAGCCCCTGATGATCCCAGCCTCCCGGTGCCCACACCCTGTGTAGAAGACCTGACACACACACAGGATTAGGGCTGACCTGTGTGACCAGCAGAATATGGCTGAGGAGACAGCGGGGATGGGTACAGGGTTGACTTCCAGGGCCCAGGTCCTAGAAGGCACTGAAGCTGCTTCCGTCTTGGTCTCCTGGATGCTGCTCTAGGGGATGCCAGTTGCCATGCTGGGAAGATGCTCAAGTGGCCCTGTGTAGAGGCCTATGTGGAGAGGAACTGAGGCCTCCCACCGACAGCCAGCTCTGACTCGCAGGCCATGGAGTGGCCCCCGGTACCGGTTGAGCCTTCGGATGATACGAACTCAGCTGACAGCCTTCTGCAAGTTTCCAGCCAGAGCCTTCCAGCCAAGCCGCTCCTGAATTCCTGAAACACAAAAGCAGAGACAGACGATACACGGTCATTTTTTCAAGTGACTAAGGTTTGAGATCATTTGTTAGGCAGCAGGAGACGACACATCATCTCATTTTCAGCAGACAGTCCCAATCCCGCTTCTCAGGGTAATGATCACGAGGATCTACTTTCCTGTGTTGCTGTCAGCACTGCAACCTGCACCCCACTCTCCCGCCTCCTCCCATTGCAGACAAGGAGCTGCCTGCCTTCTCCACAGGACCTGCTGGGCAGTTCTGGCCTGGGATCCACCCGCCTGCTTTTGAGGAGCTGTCTGTGCTCGAAGCTCTCTCCTCCGCTAATTTTTGTAGTTTTAGTAGTCAGGGTTTCACCATATTGGCCATGCTGGTCTCAACCTCCTGACCCCAGGTGATCCACCCGCATCGGCCTCCCAAAGTGCCGGGATTACAGGCGTGAGCCACCACGCCCAGCCCGAAAATGAATTTTCAATTGTGTTTCATTCTCATTGGTTTAACTGAAATAGCTCCATGTGGCTAGTGGCTACCATGCTGGACAGCGCCTAGACAAGCACAGGCCTGACTTCCTTGAGGATGCAGAGGCGAGGCCCTGTGAGTGGCAGAGTGAGGGTGGGCACATGGCCTTGGGCCAAGGAGGCTGCCTGCAGGTTTGCACAGACAGGAGCTGGGGCACAGAGAGTGCTCTGAGCCCTCTGACCAATGCATGGAGGAAAGCGAGCAGCATCACATTTTCTCAGCTCTAAATTCCCAGGTCTCTTCTTTCTACGTCCTTCCTACTCCAGGACCATTACTCAGGCTTAGGCCACAATCATCTGATTCCTAAATTACCTCCGAACACCTTCTCTTTTGCCTCTTAAATGTCTTCCTTCTGAATCCTGAAGTTCTTGTTATCTACATGCTTACACTACATGCAAATCGCATCACTCTCCGGCCCACAACTCTTCAGTGTGTTCCCACTGGCCTGAGAACAGAGTCTGAAGTGAGGCCTCGCCTGGTTCTGCCTCTCTCTCGGTCTTGGTCACACCTCTTTCCCTGTTTTGTTTTTGTTTTTGTTTTTTGAGGAGTCTCACTCTGACGCTCTGGAGTGCTGTGGCGCGATCTTGGCTCACTGCAACTTTCGCCTCCCAGTTTCAAGCAATTCTCCTGCCTCGGCCTCCCAAGCAGCCGGGACTACAGGCGTGCGCCACCACACCCAGCTAATTTTCGTAATTTTAGTAGAGACGGGGTTTCACCATGTTGGCCAGGCTGGTCTAGAACTTCTGGTATCAGGTGATCCACTCACCTTGGTCTCCCAAAGTGCTGGGATTACAGGCGTGACCACCACGCCCGGCTTCTTTCCCTGTTCTTGTCTCAGCTTCAGCCATCCCTGTGTTCCCAGTGCAGGGAGCATGGCAGCCTCTCTCCTGCTGCGGGGGCTTTCCTTACGCAGCTTCCTTGACAGGCAGTGCTCTCTTGGACATATCCCTGTCCCCTCACTCCAGTCAAGCCCTATGACTAGCTACATCTGACCCCGACTTGGAGATGGAGCAGCAATTCCCTTTTTTAGGGGCCTGTGAACCCCAAATGGAAAAATAAAGGAAAATCTTGAAGTTCCTTTAAGGGAAATTCCAGGCAGCCAGCTAGCCCCAAAAGTAAATAAGGAACTTGTTAAACAAGAAGGTAACAGTAACCTAAACCAACAGCCAAAGAAGTTAAGGTTCCAGAGATGTTTGCTTTCCCCCATGAAAACTAAAGATAATGCCTTAACATGCGTCCCTGAGTTGCCTTTCAGAGGCTGGGACTCCCACTGAGGACCCCCACCAAACGGAGCTGCTGGCTCAGAGACCCCAGATGAGGGGGGCGTGAAGGCTGAGCTTCAGCATCCATTGGGCTAAGTTTCTTGCTGAGGCGCTTGGAGAAAGTCACTTCCCTCAGCCCGTTCACATTTTCCTACTGACTCTAAATTTTTAAACAAAGCTTCTTTTCCTTAACCAATTACAAATCAGAAAATCTTTGAATCTACCGTACGCTCCTGCTTCAAGACATCCTTGCCCTTTTAGGTCTAAACCAGCGTCTAACCTCCATGTATTGCTTTATGATTTTGCCTGTAGCTTCTGCTTTTCTGTAATTTACCGTTGCCTTCAGAAATCCTTGCCTAGCTGGGCGCGGTGGCTCACGCCTGTAACCCCAGTACTTCGGGAGGCCTAGGTGGGCAGATCACCTGAGGTCAGGAGTTTGAGGCCAACCTGGCTAACATGGTGAAACTCTGCCTCTACTAAAAATACAAAACATTTGCCGGGTGTGGTGGTATGTGCCTGTAATCACAGGGACTCGGGAGGCTAAGGCAGAAAAATCACTTGAACCTGGGAGGTGGAGGTTGTAGTGAGCTGAGATCGCACCATTGCACTCCAGCCTGGGCGACCAATAGAGATTCTGTCTGATAAAAAAAAAAAAAAAAAAAAAAAAAAAAAAAAGGCCGGGTGTGGTGGCTCATGCCTGTACCATCTCAGCACTTTGGGAGGCTGAGGGGGGTGGATCATGAGGTCAGGAGATCAAGACCAGCTGGGCCAACATGGTGAAACCCTGTCTCTACTAAAAATACACAAATTAGCCAGGTGTGGTGGTGGGCGCTTGTAATCCCAGCTACTCAGGAGGCTGAGGCAGGAGAATTGGTTGAATCTGGGAGGCGGGGATTGCAGTGAGCTGAGATTGCGACACTGCACTCCAACCTGGGTGACAGAGCAAGACTCCGTCTCCAAAAAAAAAGAAAAAAAAAAATTCCTTGCCTAACAGCCACTTGGGAAGGCCAGGATTTGAACAATTAATGGTCTGGTCCTCTTTGCTTAGTGTTCTGCAATAAGAGCTTTTCTATCTGATGCAGCAACCCTCAACATAGACATCTGGTTTCACTGTACCACCAGGTGACAAGACCCCAGTTCGGTTCTATAACAACTTAAGCTCTCAAGCTAAATATCCTTCCCAAGAAAGCTTCCCTGTTCCCTCTGATCAAGTTCACTTGTGCCAAGCTCCCACACCACTCCTGTCATTCATTGTTTAACATTCATCTTCCCTGTTAGAAGGTAAACTTTACGGAGGTAGGACAGGGGCCATTTCAGGTCCTCTAGGGTCCCCGTGCATCTGACCCAGGACCTGACTCATGGAGGTGACCTGGTTTGCCAAGGATTGTCCTGGTTTGAACACTGGATGTCCTGTGCCCTAGCAAATCCCTTGGTACTGAATAAATGAGGATGGTTGGTCTCCATAAACTGTGTACTCAAATAATATCTATTGCAGGGTAAGTAAACATTCCCTCAAGAGCGTTGCAGGAAAGCTAGAATGGAAAAGGTACACACACACACACACACACAATCAGTAAAAACCCCACCATTTAATACAAGATTACTTAACATGATTCTCTGCAATATGAATCACCACACTGTTATTTCACAGAAGTTTTAAGAAACAAAGTTAATTCCTATTAGGAGGTGACATGGTTTGGTTCTGTCTCTCCCACCCAGGTCTCATCTCCAGTTGTAATAATCCCCACATGTCAGAGGAGGGGCCAGGAAGGAGGTGACTGAATCATGGGGTTGGACTTCCCTCTTGCTGTTCTGACAGTAAGTTCTCATGAGATTTGATGGTTTAAAAGTCTGACGCTTACCTCTTCTCTCTCTCTCCTGCAGCCATGTAAGACGTGCCTTGCTTTCCCTTTGCTTTCCACCATGATTGTAAGTTTCCTGAGGCCTCCCCCGCCACGCAGAACTGTGAGTCAATTAAACTTCTTTCCTTTATACATCACCCAGTCTCAGGAAGTTATTTAAAGTAGTGTGAAAACTCTCAGGTAGTTCTTTATAGCAGTGTGAAAACGGACTAATACAGGAGGCAAGGTGCAGAGGACAATCGTTTTGGAAACCAGTGCCCTACCCTTCAATTTATAAGTTGTTGCTTAATATTCTTCCAAATGGGGAAAAAAAATCCCACTGCTCAAAACACATCTGGTTGCCAGTCAATTTAATTTTAAATTTGTTACTAATGTAAGAAACCTCAAATCATCCTTTTTATAAATGTCCTCATATTTTGAAGTTTGGTGGAGGCTGATATGCCTTTAGAAATAAAATCGACAGCCGGGCACAGTGGCTCATGCCTGTAATCCCAGCACTTTGGGAGGTTGAGGCAGGCGGATCACTTGAGGTCAGGAGTTCAAGATCAGCCTGGCCAACATGGCAAAAATCCGTCTCTACTAAAAATACAAACAAAATTAGCTGGGCGTGGTGGTACTTGCCTGTAGTCCCAGCTACGCAGGAAACTGAGGCAGGAGAATTGCTTGAATCTGGAAGGTGGAGGTTGAAGTGAGACAAGATTGCTCCATTGCACTCCAGCCTGGGCAACAGAGTGAGACTTGGTCTCAAGAAAAAAAAAAAAAGTCAAATCAAACAGGCCTGAAGAATGTTGCTGAGTAGTCCTGCTAGTTGTTAGTGGGAAGACTTGTAACACTACATATACATGTAAAATTTTCTACATTTATACTTATATAAAATCCAGAAACTTTTAGCATTATAGCATATCAGAAAATCTGCATTTAGCTACAGTTATACATCTTTACATTATTTGTATGTCTGTTTTGTAGATACTTATTTGCATGTGACTATATTTACTTATTTATACACATATAACCAAAAATACCTCTGTCTTTTTACCTTGAACTTTCCTTAAGATACCTTCACTCTTAGTGACTTCCATGTGGTTACAACCCCAGCACAGGAAAAGCCCGTGAGCAGTTCTTCTACACAGCAGAGCCTGCTGGAACCTTGTTGTAGGTTCCACACTGTACTCACCTGGTCACACACAAATCCACAACGACAGGTGGACCTTGCGGCAGGCTTCAACACGAATCTGAGCTTGAATGATGTTTTTCTCATCTGAAAAAAAAAAAGAGGCACAAAGATTTCTTTCCAGGATTTGTATAGGTTGTACAGTTGTTGGACACAGCTGTTGGAAACACCATCCCATTCACTTTTTTGGGTACTCAATGATTAAACGTGTAATAAGGGCCCAGCCTGTGGGCCGGGACTGGATTTACCTGATTCCTATCCGGCCATCTGCTCCTTAAGAGGGGAGAAAGCAGCTTAACGCTGTGTGCATTTGACTTGCTCAACTTATTAGACTGGAGAGAGCTTCTATGGTGACTCCAGAGGCTTTAAAAATATCTTGTCACTTAGAGGCCCTAGTAAGTGACTAAGCTGAATTTTTAACAATGTATACGGTTTATTCAGAACTGTAGGTATTTTTTTTTTAAGGCCCTAGAGCAGGGTTTCCAAACCTGGCACTACTGATAATTCCTTGTTGTGGGGGACTGTCCTGTACAACGTAGAATCTTTAAGAGCGAGCAGAGTCCCTCTTCCCCGGCCTCCACCCTCTAGGTGACAGTAGCAGCCTCCCCTCCCCACAATTTGTGACAACCACAGCCGTCTCCAGCTACAGTCAAAAGTCCCCCGGGGCGCAGAATCGCCCTGGATGAGGGCGACTGGGGCTCTCTGAGGAGGTGACAACGGCGCGGGCCCCGATCCAGGGGCAAGCAGCAGCTTCGCGCTGACCAGCTTGCACACAGCCGGAGGCCTCATGGACAGAAACACGGCTACCGGGAGGGACGCAGGGCCCACGGCTGGCGGTGTCCGCGGCCCACGTCGCCCCCTGGACTCGGACCCGAGGCCCCGCCAGTCGCTCACCAAGCCCGGCCCCTCCCGCGGGGGCCAAAAGCGCCGACTCGCGGGGACCGAGGGACTCGCTCTCCGGTGCCCCACGCGCAGCCCCTCCCACGGCACCGCCCCGCGCTTCCGCTTCCGGTCTGGGAAGAGCCGCGCTACATGTTCGCTTCCGGCTCACACGGGCAGCCTCGCAGAGTCGAGCGTGTTGGGGGTTCGGCGCTTAGGCAACAGGCGCGGCGGGCGGGAGCGGCGGCCGCGCACCCCAGCCTCGGGCAGAGGTGTTCTAGTTTGCTTAGTGGGCACAAAGTTGGGCCCTGGCCTGCGGCAGTAGTGTGGGCAGGGTTGGCCCTGGGGGCGGAGCCAGGCTGATTGTGGGCGGAGATTAGTTCCGGGGCGGGGCTGAAGGCGGGGAACCGGCTGCGGCCGTACCAGGCCTGGAGGGTGAGGCTGATTGAGCAGACACCAGTTCCAGGGGCGGGGCTGTGGGTGGGGCCCAGTTCTCGGGGCGGATGGTACAAGGCTTGCAGAGCTGGGGTGACTGAGCAGAGACCAGTTACAGGGGCGGAGACCTCCATTTCCTGGGCGGGGCTGAGCGGGAACCAGGCGGTGGTGGTGCCAGCCCTGGAAAATGGGGCTGGCTGTGGGCGGAGATCAGTTTCGGGCAAGGCAGAGGGCGGGGACTAGGCTGTGGGTGTACCGGCCCTGGAGGGCAGTGCTGATTGGCAGAGATCAGTTCTGGGGCGGAGCTATGGGTGGCACCAAGCCTGGGGGCGGGGCTGGCTGTGGGCGGAGACCAGTTCTGGGGGCGGGACTGTGGGCTGCACCAGGCCTAGGGATGGGGCAGTGGGTGGAGACCAGTTCCAGGGGCAGGGATCTGGGTAGGAATAAAACGGTGTCTGATGTGGGTGGGTTGGGATAGGCCCAGGAGCCGGGATTGTGGGAGATAAGATTCAGGGGCAGGGCTTTCCTTGTATCCCTAGATTTTGATACAGTTACTTCGCCATGTGCATACAACCCGATAGAATCAGATTATATATGCACATTTGTCTATAATTTGCTTTCCCAAGGCAGAACATAGTGATTTAACACTAAGAGTTTTGGGGAGCAGGAGAGGACTGAGTCATAGATACACATATAGGAAAACTTAAGAGTGGTACAAAGTCAGTCAAATATTCTCCCACCACTATCTTCCAGTTCTTTTGCTCACAGGCAAACATAATTTTTATCTTTATCTTTCCAGATATAGTGTGGACATGTATGTGTGTGTATGTGTGTATGCTGTAGTCATATTCATGGAATAAATGCTATTACTCCCCCTCCTACACACACACACAAGTCACTGTTTTATACACCATGGATATGGACTGAACAAAATAGGTAAACGTACTTGCCCTCGGAGAACGTGCATTTTAGTTGTGGGGTGGGCAGGAGGAGTGAACAGTGAATGTGATAAATAGAATACATGGTATGTTGGTGTGTTAGATACTGGTAAGTGCTGGTTGGGCGTGGTGGCTCACGCTTGTAATCTCAACACTGTGGGAGGCCGAGGTGGGCGGATCACCTGAGGTCAGGAGTTCGAGACCAGCTTGGCCAACATGGTGAAACCCCGTCTCTACTAAAAATACAAAATTAGCCAGGCATGGTGGCGGATTCCTTGTAATCCCAGCTACTCGGGTGGCTGAGGCAGGAGAATCGCTTGAACTCTGGAGGTGGAGGTTGCAGTGAGCCGAGATTGCAGCCACTGCACTCCAGCCTGGGTGACAAGAGCAAGACTCCACCTCAAAAAAAAAAAATAAATAAAAATAAAATAAATAAAAACCAAAACCAAAAAAAAGATACTGGTAAGTGCAAATGGAAAAAAATGAGGGGAATGGTCTTGAGTGATCTTTCCGCTAGACAGTGAAGACTTCTGCTGCCCCAGTTTGCCATGCCCTTGCAGACAGGCCACCAACGACATCCTTTTCCTCTTTCAGTACACAGGGTTTACCCTGATGATGGAAGTGGGGCTGTGGGGCTGTGGTGGTCCTGGCTGGGAAGCTTCAACAGCTGCAGATGTGAGTGATTGCTCATTTTCACAGAGATCTGGCTGTGATCTGCTGTTTTTCAGAAAGTTAGGTGTGCCATGAATGGATGTCCAGGAAGATAAGCAGCTGCTGATTGGAACTGTGTGAATTTTTCAATTTAGATTAAATTGGGAGAGAATGAACATTTAATTCTTTCCATCTTTGAAAGTGGCATAGCTTTTTGTTGACGTAGTTCTTTCCTTAAGCCATGGTCATTTTGATTCTAGCGAAATGTTAGGCATTCTTATTGGGGTTGTTTTTAGACATGGTACATAGCTCTTTTTTGTTTTTCTGTTTTGTTTTAAAATTATTTTGATAAGATTCCAAATTTACAGAAAAGCTGCAAGAATGGTACAAAGAACTCCTTTATATCTGTGTATTTTGTGCGTGTGTCACCAAAAGTTAACATTTTACCCCGTTTGCTTTATCATGAACTCTGTCTCTCTTTACATACATTACAATTTTTTTTTTAACCATTTGAGAGTAAGTGACAGACGTGCCCATTTACCACCAAATCAGGGTGTATTTCTTAATAACAAGGACCTTTTCTTTCAGAACTACAGTAATTAGCAAAATCAGGGAATTGAACACTGCATGGGGCTGTTATCTAATAACATAATCCATATTCAGAATTGTCAATTGTCACAATAATGTTTTCCATGGCGTTTTTTCTTTCTTTTAATTTTTTAGTTTTGTGACAGAGTCTTACTCTGTTGCCCAGGTTGGAGTGCAGTGGCACCATTTTGGCTCACTGCAGCATATGCCTCCTAGGTTCAAACAATTCTCATGCCTCAGCCTCCAGAGTAGCTGGGATTACAGGCACGTGCCTCCACGCCGGCTTATTTATTTATTTATTTTTTTGGTATTTCTAGTAGAGATGGTGTTTCACCATGTGGCTCACGCATGTGTCTGGGGACCTCACAGTTCCATGTGACTAGGGAGGCCTCACAATCATGGTGGAAGGCGAAAGGCATGGTCTTATATGGCGGCAGACAAGAGAGAGCCTGTGCAGGGAAAATCCCCTTTATAAAACCATCATATCTCGTGAGACTTACTCGCTATCACGGGAATAGCACGGGAAAGACCTGTCCCCATGATTCAGTTACCTCCCGCCGGGTCCCTCCCATAACATATGGGAATTGTGGGAGCTACAGTTCAAGATGAGATTTGGGTGGGGACACAGCCACACCATATTAGATGTCCTATATTGGGCCACATTGGAGTCCTTCTTAAACTAAACCAAAGAAACAACAACAAGAAATAAAATAATATTATTTGAAAATACACCTAGGAATACCTGACATAATTTAAAGACATCAAACCATTTACACATAAAAGTAAGATCTTTTACAAATTACTCTTGCATCAAAGAGGAACACTAACTTCCACTAAAGACTATTTAGAATAAGGCATTTTTTTTTTTCACATTTCTTTTGGGAGACTTTTTATAAAAAAAAATTGTAGGGTCAGGGGTACATGTACAGGTTTGTTACACAGATATACTGCCTGTCATGGAGGTTTGGTATACAGATTATTTAATCACCCAGGTAATAAGCGTAGTACCTGATAGGTAGTTTTTCAATCTTTGCCCTCCTCCCACCCTCCACCCTCAGATAGGCTTCAGTGTCTCTTGTTCCATCTTTGTGTTAGAATAAGGAAAAAATTTGTACATGACACATAAATGTCTCTGAGAGGAGATCTGTAGCTTGATATGCTAGTAATCCCAAAGTGATGTATTCAAATGATTTATGCTTTTAATTTAACATGGGATGTGAGAAAGAAACTAAAACCCAGGGGTCTAGTAAGAAAGAAATAGAATATAAAATCAGAATAAAATGTAGCAAAGTTTTTTTTTTTAATTTTTTTTAAAATTTTTTTTAAAAAAATTTTAAAATGTAGCAAAGTTTTTTTTTAAATTTTTTTTTAAATTTTTTTTTTTAAATTTTAAATTTTAAAAAAAATTTAAACCTTTTTTTTTAGAATAAAGGTTTATTCTGAAAAAGCGGAGAATATCCAGAAATTGACATGGACTATTTACAGAAATTTTATATAAGAGAGTGGTAACATTTAAAATCAGCCAGGAAGAAATAATTTCAGTGAATGATATTGTTTCACACACCCATCCTTTCAGGAAATAAGTTAGATCCCTACTTCCCAAAAATATCCCTAATCATTCTCAGATGGCTGAAGGAAGTTTAAGCAAAAATGGACACGTTCAAAATTCAATATACTAGGAAAGTTCACTGTGGAAAGAATGTTCTCTTCAACAAATTGTGCTGGGACAACTAGGTGCCAATATGCAAAAGAGTGAAATTGGCCTGGGCGTGGTGGCTCACGCCTGTAACCCCAGCACTTTGGGAGGCCGAGGCGGGCAGATCATGAGGTCAAGAGATCGAGACCATCCTGGCCAACGTGGTGAAACCCCGTCTCTACTAAAAATACAAAAATTAACTGGGTGTGGTTGTGGGCACCTGTGGTCCCAGCTGCTTGGGAGGCTGAGGCAGGAGAATCGCTTGAACCCAGAAGGTGGGGTTTGCAGTGAGCCGAGGTTGTGCCACTGCACTCCAGCCTGGGAACAGAGCGAGACTGTCTAAAAGAAAAAAAAAAAGAAAAAGAAAAAAAAAAGAAATTGGACCTCTATTTTATACTGTGTATAAAACTGAGCTCAAAATCATAGAGCTACAGGTAGCAGCTAAAACTGTAAAGTTTTTGGAAGAAAACATAGGAGTCAAACTTTATGATCTTGGTTTAGGCAATTGTTTCTTAGATATGACATCAAAAACAGGTGACAAAAGAAAAAATAGATAAATTGGACTTAACATTAAAAAATGTTGATGCTTCAAGGACACCATCAAGAAAAAAGACAACCATGGACTGGGTGAAAACATTTACAAATGATTTATCTGATATGTGACTTGTATTCAAAAATATACAAAGCCTTGCAACTCAGCAGTATAAAGATACCCAATTAAAAGTGGACAAAGAGGTTTTTTTTGTTGAGATGGAGTCTCCCTCTGTCACCCAGGCTGGAGTGCGGTGGCACCGTTTTGGCTCACTGCAACCTCTGCCTCCTGGATTCAAGCGATTCTCCCGTCTCAGCCTTCCAAGTAGCTGGGACCACAGGCACTCGCCACCACGCCTGGCTAAAATTTTTGTATTTTTAGCAGAGATAGGGTTTTGCCACGTTGGCCAGGCTGGTCTTGAACTCCTGACCTCAACTGATCTGCCCTCTTTGGTCTCCCAAAGTGCTGGGATTACAGGTGTGAGCCCCTGCACCCAGCCTGAAAAATGAACAAAGAGTTTGAATAGTCATGTCTTTTTTTTTTTTTTTTTTAGAGACGGAGTCTCGCTCTGTCGCCCAGGCTGGAGTGCAGTGGCTGGATCTCAGCTCACTGCAAGCTCTGCCTCCTGGGTTCACGCCATTCTCCTGCCTCAGCCTCGCGAGTAGCTGGGACTACAGGCGCCCACCACCTCGCCCGGCTAGTTTTTTGTATTTTTTAGTAGAGGCGGGGTTTCACCGTATTAGCCAGGATGGTCTCGATCTCCTGACCTCGTGATCTGCCTGTCTCGGCCCCCCAAAGTGCTGGGATTACAGGCTGGAGCCACCGCGCCCGGCCCCCTTGAATAGTCATTTCTACAAAAAAGATATACAAATGGCAAATATGTACATGAAAAGATGCTCAGCCTCTTTAATCATTAGGGAAGTTAATATCAAAACTTCCATAAAATATCACTTCACACCCATTGGGATAATTTAAAAGACAGCCAATAACAAGAGATACTAAATGTTTTGAAGGCTATGCAACTGTGCAAACAACCGAGCATGCACAGAACACAGGCTTTCTGGTGATAACTCCTAGGTAAGCACCAGTATAGCACCTCAGCCATAGATGGCATGCCACACACAATGAATTCTAAAAGTCTCTTTTAACCCATGGTAGCCAACATAATTCTCATTTGTGCATGCAATCAATGTAAAAAAATTATTGAGACGTTGTCGTTGTGACTGGCTGGGGCTGGCGTTGTGGGCAGTAAAATAATTTCCCAAGACAGTCGTAGGTAAAGAAAGATTTATTAGAGAAGGTATGAAGGTAGGTTGCGAGGATGCAACAGGCAGCACAGAAGAGAAGGGGCTGTTTGCAAACAGGAAGAGGTTGGAGGGAATTTTATAGGGTGGTGCTGGAGGTGGCCACGTGCATGTAAGGTGTGCAGATAAGGTCATGTTGCTGGGACTACGTGCAGACTGAGGTCTTTTGGAACAGGATGTCATACCAGTGTGTTGTTGGCAGTTAGCCATCTCTCAGAACAATTGTTCTCCCCCAGCCAGGGGCCCCTTCCTTGTTGTTGGTTACTTATTAGGACTCCACATGAGATCTTTGAAATGATTTTTGTTTTTTTGTAATGAGTTCCAGAAATCCAGTTTGTACTTTCCGCTGATGGCACATCTCAATTTGCGAGTTGAATGTTATCAGTTGTACCTGCTCCATATTTAGATTTTTTTTTTCTTTTCTTTTCTTTCTTTTTTTTTTTTTGAGACAGAGTCTCGCACTGTCGCCCAGGCTGGAGTGCAGTGGCGCGATCTCAGCTCACTGCAAGATCCGCGTCCCGGGTTCATGCCATTCTCCTGCCTCAGTCTTCCGAGTAGCTGGGACTATAGGTGTGCACCACCACACCCACCTGTATTAATATCATGGCTAATATTTTGTATTTTTAGTAGAGATGGGGTTTCACCGTGTTAGCCAGGATGGTCTCGATCTCCTGACCTCGTGATCTGCCTGCCTCGGCCTCCAAAAGTGCTGGGATTACAGGTGTGAGCCACCGTGCCTGGCCGTGTTTAGATTTTCTAGGGTTCACAGCTGTAAAGTAAGATTCACATGTCCAGGTTGTTCCAAGCATACTTCAAAGCTTTCCACTTCAAGAGTCATGTCAGATGAATAATGAGAATTTCTTTGGAATCTAACAACAAAGGGGTCATTGTGGCGTTAGCAACAGAAGCAGCTGTAGAATGGTGAAGGAAAACAGAAGTTTGGAGTGGCCTGAGGAGTTAGCTGGAGGTGAGGAGATAGGAGACATAGATATAGATGATCTTTTCTCAGTGGTTCATAGCTAAGGGGAAGGGATAGAGAGTAGTGGTGAAGGAGGGGATCCCAGGAAGTTTAGGAGAGGAGTGTCTGTGTAGCTAGGAGAAACTTGAACATGTTTAAATGCCGAAGAAGGGATTCAGTAGAAAAACAGAAGTTAAAGATACGGAGTCGCCTGTAATCCCAGCACTTTGGGAGGTTAAGGCAGGCAGATCATGAGGTCAGGAGTTCGAGGCCACTCTCGCCAACATGGCGAAACCCCATCTCTACTAAAAATACCAAAAAATTAGCTGGGCATATAGGTGTGTGCCTGTAATCCCAGCTACTTGGGAGGCTGAGGCAAGATAATTGCTTGAACCCGGGCAGCAGAGGTTGCAGTGAGCCCAGATCATCCCACTGTACTCCAGCCTGGGCTACAGAGTGGGACTCTGTCTCAAAAAAAAAAAAAAAAAAAAAAAAAAAAGATGATACAAGGGTTACGTTGCAATATTGGAAGCATAAAATTAACAAGAAGCAGGAATGAGGCTCAGATCACTCTTGGTGGATAAAGGAAATATATTTATTTATTTAAGAGACAGGGTCTTGCTCTTTGGCCAAGGCTAGAGTGCAGTGGCCTGATCACCACTCACTGCAACCTCGACCTTCTGGGCTCAAGCTATCCTCCTCGCTCAGCCTCTCTTGTTCAACTAGGACCTCAGACGTGTATCATCACCCCCAGCTAGCTCTTTAATTTTTTTTTTTTTTTTTTTTTTGAGACGGAGTCTCGCTGTGTCGCCCAGGCTGGAGTGCAGTGGCGTGATCTCGGCTCACTGCAAGCTCCGCCTCCCGGGTTCACGCCATTCTCCTGCCTCAGCCTCCCAAGTAGTTGAGACTACAGGCGCCCGCCACCACGCCCGGCTAGTTTTTTGTATTTTTAGTAGAGACAGGGTTTCACCATGTTAGCCAGGATAGTCTCGATCTCCTGACCTCGTGATCCACCCGCCTCGGCCTCCCAAAGTGCTGGGATTACAGGCTTGAGCCACCGCGCCCGGCCAGCTCTTTAATTTTTAGTAGAGATGGGGTTCTCCCTATGTTGCCCTGACTGGTCTCAAACTCCTGGGTTCAAGTGGCCCTCACGCCTCAGCCTACCACAGTGCTGGGATTACATGCGTGAGCCACCATGCCTGGCGGGAAATCTCTTTAAATACAATTAAAGGAAATTTGGAAACAGTCGATGCTTATCAGGGATATTTGCAGATTTGGCAACTCACGTCTTTGGGAACCATCAGGTAAGTTAAGGAAAATTAAATATCTATGAGGAAAAAAGAAATCTGGAGAAAATTTTGCAACAGGTTTTGGGGAAAATCAAGGGGTAAACATAACAATGCATACACAGAAAATAAAGTTTCTATGCATGATGGATTCTTCCCAGTTGATGGAGAATATTTTGTATTTACAGTGGCACTAAGACGTCATGTCATGTGATTCCTTTTTCAGCAGTGGTCATATGACGGTGGTAGCCATGGCGTCACAGATAATAGGGACCGTCCAAGCTTGAAGTTTTACAAGGTGGATATGATAAGTGGTAAGGAATTTTGGATTAATCTAAATGAATTTTTTTTAGATAGGGTCTCATTCTGTGCTCAGGCTGGAGTGCAGCCATGTGATCTCCGCTCACCACAGCCTCCACCTCCTGGGTTCAAGAGATTCTTCCACCTCAGCCCCCTGAGTAGCTGGGACTACAGGTGTGCACCACCATGCCTGGCTAATTTTTTTTTTTTTTTGGTAGGGATGGGGTTTCACCATGTTGGCCAGGCTGGTCTTGAACTCCTGGCCTCAAGTGATCCACCCACCTCGGCCTCCCAAAGTGCTGAGATTACAGGTGTGAGCCACCGTGCCTGGCCTCTAAGGGAAATATTGAGGTCACAGACTGCAGAATCCAAGAGTGCTAGGAATCACAGGAGGGAGAGGAAGGTGAAGATACGGAGGTCTGGAGTGATTCAAATATCCAAATCATAGATACCTGTTCCTCAAGGTGTGTTCTTCAAGAACAGGTATCTATGGTATGCGTATTTGAATAAAAAAACCTGGAAATCAGAAATTAATAGTGAGTGAATAAGTTTTCTGGTTTATTTATTTATTTATTTATTTAGAGACAGTCTCGCTCTGTCACCCAGACTGGAGTGCAGTGGTGAGATCTCGGCTCACTGCAACCTCCAGCTCCTGGGTTCAAGCGATTCTCCTGCCTCAGCCTCCCGAGTAGCTGGGATTACAAATGCGCACCACCACACCCAGCTAATTTTTGTATTTTTTGTACAGATGCGCACCACCATGTTGGCCAGGCTGGTCTTGAACTCCTGACCTCAAGTGATTCGCCTGCCTCGGCCTTCCAAAGTGCTGGGATTACAGGCATAAGCCGCTGTGCCGGGCCTGAATTATTTATTTTTGAGCATGGCCGTTTGGGTTGCTGAAAATGTCTGGGGTGTAGGATTAAGGCTCGAAGAGCAGAGCAGTTGATAATTTCATTATTGATTTACAAGCTGCAGGAACTGTGCAAACCAAGAGGTCAATTGTTAACCAGATGAATAGTCAAGTAATGCATAAGAATGGCAGGATTTGAGCTGGGCATGGTGGCCCATGCCTGTAATCCCAGCACTTTGGGAGGTCGAGGTGGGAGGATCATTGAGTTCAGGAGTTCCAGACCAGCCTGGACAAGGTGGTGAAACCTTGTCTCTACAAAAACCACAATTAGCCAGGCATGGTGATGCACGCCTGTAATCCCAGCTACTCGGGAGGCTCAGGCGGGTGGATCACTTGAGCCTGGGGAGGTAAAGGCTGCAGTGAGCTGTGATTGCACCGCTGCACTCCAGCCCGAGTGACGGAGTGGGACCAAAAAGAAAAGAAAACAAAACAAAACAAAAGGCAAGATTTGAGATTTAGTAAAATGTGTGTGTCATGAGAGGGAGTATCAGGACTTGAGCATTTAAGAGTGACAAGGGCAGAAAGAGAATAAAATAGTACTCAAACAAGGAGGGGGTTTGCAGGATGATGAAGGAGAGTTTTGACCTTGAACTCTCTGTGCTTGACTCAAATCTGCCTGATGATGTCCCCGGAAGCAGGTCAGACCTATCTCCAGAGGGAGAGAGGAAGGATGAAAGTCCAAAACAGCTGAGATCCTTGTCCTGAGAAGGCAGGCTTCACTGATCAATTTCACCCCGTTTCATGGTTTATTTTAATAGTGTAAGAGGAAAAGAAGCGTGATGGGCAAGAGTTCACAGAGGAAGCAACGTGACTGTGTAAACCAATGCAAATCAAAGCCTGGCTTGAACACCTCAATCCCTCTGAGAATGTCCAATTACACATTCAAGAGGCCAGTTACGAGAATTACACCCCATCCTGGCAATGAGGTCAGATACCATCAATGGGAGGAGAGCTTGGAGAAGCCTCAGCAGGTGTGCTGGCAGAAGAGACTGCAAGGACTGCAGGCTTACAGCAGCGCAGGGGAACTTTTAAGTGCTTTGGATCTTGCCAATACTTTGCAAAAACTAGTCCCTAGTTACACAGGTGGATCTCTGCTGGGGGATCTTGCCGGTGGTCTGGAGCACTCCTGCCCCATGCCCCACCTTGCCTGCTCTTCAGATGTGGTGGAGATAATTCCCAGAGAGGGAGTGGGTATCTCGCAGCTCCTCTGCCAACAATTTCTGGTCACCGAGGAAGATATCAGGAAACAGGAATGGAAAGTGAAGACAGTAAGAGAGCGACTCGCAATAGCATTGATTGCGGATGGACTCGCTAATGAGGCGGAGAAAGTGAGAGGCCAAGAAGGCTGTCCTGAAAAAAGCTATGAAAAAAAGAGAAGATAGTGCAGATGAAATGAAGCGTAATCCTTTATTAACATCTCTTTACAGTGTTCACAATGAGGTTTTTTTTTTTTTTTTGCTTAATTAAGCTCTTGAAACTTTAAAATATGCCAATACTTAAAAAAGAAAAAAAAATTAGGCTGGGTGAGCACCTAAGAGCACCTAAGTAAGTAAGCTCAGAACAGGGCGCAGTGGCTCATGCCTGTAATCCCAGCACTGTGGGAGGCTGAGGCGGGCGATCACCAGCCTGGCCAACATGGTGTTCAAGACCAGCCTGGCCAACATGGTGAAACCGCGGTCTCTACTAAAAATAAAAAAATTAGCTGGATGTGGTGGCAGGCACCTGTAATGCCAGCTACTTGGGAGGCTGAGGCAGGAGAATCGCTTGAACCTGGGAGGCAGAGGCTGCAGTGAGCCAAGATCGTGGCACTCCACTCCAGCCTGGGTGACAGATTGAGACTCTATTTCAAAAACAAAACAAACAAAACAAAACAAAAAATTAAACTCCTTTGTGTGACACAGGGAAAAGTAAAGACAGTAATTTCTTTTTCAGGTGAGAGATCGGGTTTCAGGTGGGCAGGGAAAGGAGATTTTTCTTTTTCATGTTATACTCATATTTATTTACTATGTATGTATGTAGTAGTCCAGGTTGGAGTGTGGTGGTGCCATCATAACTCACTGCAGATCAGGTATGGGGCCTCAAGCCTGTAATCCCAGCACTTTGGGAGGCTGGGATGGGCAGATTGCTTGAGATCAGGAGTTCAAGACCAGCCTGGCCAACATGGTGAAACCCTGTTTCTACAAAAAATACAAAACTTAGCTGGGTGTGGTGATATACACCTGTAGTCCCAATTATTTGGGAGGCTGAGGCAGGGGAATCGCTGGAACCCAGGAGGCCAGAGGTTGCAGTGAGCCGAGATCATGCCACTGCACTCCAGCCTGGGCAACAGAGCAAGACTCTGTCTCAAAAACAAAAAACAAAAAACAAACCCATAAAACAAAACAAACAAAAAACAAACCAGACAAACAAAAAATCACAAACAAACAAAACCTCACTGTAGTCTTGAACTCCTGGGCTCAGGTGATCCTCCTGCCTCAGCCTCCTGAGTAACTGGGACTACAGGCACATGCCATTACACTTGGCTAATTTTTTTTTTTTTTTTTGAGACGGAATCTCGCTCTGTCACCCAGGCTGGTGTGCAGTGGCCGGATCTCAGCTCACTGCAAGCTCTGCCTCCCGGATTTACGCCATTCTCCTGCCTCAGCCTCCCAAGTAGCTGGGACTACAGGCGCCCGCCACCTCGCCCGGCTATTTTTTTGTATTTTTTAGTAGAGATGGGGTTTCACCGTGTTAGCCAGGATGGTCTCAATCTCCTGACCTCGTGATCTGTCCGTCTCGGCCTCCCAGAGTGCTGGGATTACAGGCTTGAGCCACCACGCCCGGCCTCGGCTAATTTTTTTCTATTCTTTGCAGAGACAAGGTCTCATTCTGTTGCCCAGGCTGGTCTCAAACCCCTAGACTCAAGCAATCCTCCCACCTCAGCCTCCCAATATGCTGGGATTACAGGTGTGGGCCACCATGCCTGGCCAGTATTCTATCATTTTTAACACATCAATCTCAGAAACTGGTAAATCCATCAAACAAAAGCAAATAATGATAAAAAGCACTGGAATAATTCAATAAGCTTGATCAGCCAAGTAGACAAATAGACTTTAACTCTTAATCCCAATAAGCAGAACGATGGTGCACTGTTAGATTTCATAACATTGAAAAGTCTCTCTGTCTTTTTTCTTTTTTTGAGACAGGGGTCTTACTCTGTCCCCCTGGCGTAATCCCAGCTACTCGGGAGGCTGAGGCAGGAGAATCGCTTGAATCTGGGAGGCGGTGGTTGCAGTGAGCTGAGGGCAACAGAGTGAGACTCCATCTCAAAAAACAAAACAAAAACAAAAAAATCCCCACATTCTAGGATTCAGATGATTACCACGTGGAAGCACAGAGCAGAAAAGATGAAATTTTAAAATAATAAATTTTTAGGGAAGCTATACATAATATAGATACTGCATTCTATTTTTTTTTAGAGATGGGGTCTCTGTTGCCCGGGCTTGGAGTGCAGTGGTGCGATCATACTGCAGCCTCAACCTCCTGGGCTCGAGGGATCTTCCTGCCTCAGCCTCCCTAGTAGCTGGGACTATAGGTACATGCCACCACATCCAGCTATTTTTCCCTTTTAGTAGAGATGGGGGTCGCATTATGTTGCCAAGACTGGTCTCTAATTCCTGGCCTCAAGCAATCCTCCTGCTATGGTCTCCCAACATGCTGGGATTACAAGTGTGAGCCACTGTGCCTGGCCCAAAGAACCATTTCTGACCCGTGTATGCCTTCTTGGTCTACTTTCCATCGTAGAGGACCTGTGAAAGGGGTAAGATGCCACCCAGGGAACACTAATCTGGAAACTCTGGTGCATTCAAGTTTCAGAGAATGAAATAATAGAAGAGAAACTTGCAACTGCCAGGGTTTCTTGGGGGTGGGGGTATGGGAATATAAAGGAACAGGATGGGTGTGATGGCTGGTATAGGAGTCAAGGGTGGGCAAGTACTGAGTGACAAAGGATGGAGAACTCACACTGAAGTGGAATGTTGATTTTCCACCATGGTAATTTTTTTTTTTCTTTTCTTTTTTTTGAAATGCATTCTTGCTCTGTCACCCAGGCTGGAGTGCAGTGGTGCAATCTTAGCTCACTGCAACCTCCACCTCTCAGGTTCAAGTGTTTCTCCTGCCTCAGCCTCCCGAGTAGCTGGGATTACAGGCACCCACCACCACACCCAGCTAATTTTTTGTATTTTTAGTAGAGATGAAGTTTCATCATGTTGGTCAGGCTGTTCTTGAACTCCTGACCTCAGGTGATCTGCCTGCCTTGGTCTCCCAAAGTGCTGGGATTATAGGTGTGAGTCACCATGCCCAGCCTCCACGATGGCAATTTCTGTATCAGTGAAACAAGAGGATTCCCTGAGCTCCCTTGCAGGACATGAGACAGGGGTGTAGCTCATCTGTTTGGCTGCTGGGTGCACTGAAACTCCTTATGGGATGGCGAACACACAGACAGGCAGGTGCAGGAGCCGGGGCGAGTGCCCCTGGGCTCTGGCCCCACGGCAGTGTCCAGGGGTGTGTGTGTTACAGTGTGCTCCTTTAGCCTTGCTGTCTGTAGATGGCTTAAGTGTTAACCAGCTCAGTGCCCTCTTGGTACCCAGGTCCTTGTCCAGCATCCAGGAAGAATCAGGTCACACACAGACTTGAAGGATGAATGCGGGGTTTTATTGAATGGGGGAGGTGACTCTCAGTGGGATGGATGGGGAGCTGGAAGGGGGATGGAGTGGGAAGATGATCTTCCCCTGGAGTTTGGCCGTCCGGTGGCTGGTCTGCTCTCCAACTGTCCCCAGCTGAACTCCTCTTGGCATTCAGATGCTCCTTCTCTTCTCTCTGCTGTGTTGTTCTGCCATTCCTCTGCTTGTGGAGCCGGGTGTTTGGGGTTCATACGGGTACAGGATAGGGGAGCATGGTGGGCCAAAAGGTGACAAAAGACATGAAAACAGGAATTGCCTGTTCCCATTTAGGGCCATGGGTCTCCCGGCTTGAGGGTGGGGTCTTTGCTGGGGAACCACCCTCTTCTACCCAGTATTTCCCTGTCTCCTGTCATCAGTAATGCAGTTTGGATATGTGTTCCCACCAAATCTGATGTTGACTTGTAATCCCCAGTGTTGGAGGTGGAGCCTGGAAGGAGATGCTTAGGTCACAGAGGCAGATCCTTCGTGGTTTGATGCTGCCTTTGCAGCAGGGAGTCTGTACTTGTGAGATCTGGTTAAGTGTGTGGCACCTTTGCTCCCCCCAACTCTTTCTTGCTCCTGCTCTGGCCATGTGACATGCTGGCCCTCTCTTGTGACATGCTGGCCCTCCCTTGGTCTTCACCATGATTGGAAGCTTCCTGAGACCTCCCCAGAAGCTGATCAGATGCTGGCATCATGCTTTCTGTACAGCCCGCAGAACTGTGGGCCAATTAAACCTCTTTTCTTTAAAAATGACCCAGTCTCAGGTATTTTTTTTTTCTTTCTTTCTTTCTTTTCTTTCTTTTTTTTTTTTGAGACAGGTTCTCTCTCTGTCATGCAGGCTGGGGTGCAGTGGTGCCATCACAGTTCACTGCAGCCTCGACCTCCCAGGCTCAGTTGATCCTCCCACCTCTGCCTCCTGGGTAGATGGGACTATAGGCACGCACCACCATGCCTATTTTTAAAAATCTTTTGTAGAGACAGCATTTTGCCATGTTTCCCAGGCTGGTCTCGAACTCCTGGGCTCAAGCAACCTGCCTGCCTAGGCCTTCCATAGTGTTAGGATTACAGGCGTGAGCCACTGAGCCCGGCCAGGTACTTTTTTTTTTTCTTTTTTTGAGACAGAGTCTTGCTCTGTCGCCCAGGCTGGAGTGCAGTGGCGTGATCTTGGCTCACTGCAACCTCTGCTTCCTGGGTTCAAGTGATTCTCGTGCTTCAGCCTCCTAAGTAGCTGGCATTACAGGCGTGCACCACCACGCCTGGCTAATTATTGTATTTTTAGTAGAGACAGGGTTTCACCAAGTTGGCCAGGCTGGTCTCGAACTCCTGACCTCAAGTGATCCATCCGCCTAGGCCTCCCAAAGTGCTGGGATTACAGGCATGAGCCACCGTTCCCGGCCAGGTATTTCTTTATCACAGTGCAAGAACAGCCTAATACAACCATTTTCACCAATTCTGGTGTTCCCAAGGGATGACATGGTGCGAAACCACAAAACACAACTGAGAGTTGCCTTCAGGACTTCACGAAAGGGGAAGATTGTTCTCTTAGTCCAACATGAACCAGTCAGGGGTCACGTCAAGGAAGGCTCAGAGACTGTGTCCGACCAATATGGTTTATTTCTGCCCCAGCCAAGCTACTTTGGACCCTGGCTGGGGAAAAGAGACCCCGGGCACCGGCAAGTTCCAGTCATTGCAGATCCTCCAGGTCTAGGTGTGACCGGTAGTAGCCTGGGCACTGTTGCCGGAAGCTGTATTCTTCCTTCTTCCGCCAGCGAGTGGTCGCCTATGAGGGTGAGGAGAAGGTGTGAGAATGGACTGGTCAGCCGTCCAGGGAGGGGAGGCCACAGGGGTGAGAATATGGCCAAAGCCAGAGGCCTGATGCTTCCTCTGTCTCCCTTCATTGTTTCATTTAATTTCTCCCTCAGTTCTTTTCCTCTTTTCACCACTTTCTTTTCTTCTCTCTCCTTGTTTCACTCTCGGTTTAAAAAAATTTTTCCCCCTCCGATATCCTCTTCATTTCTCTCTCCCCTTGCCCCACATTTCTTTATCAATATATCACATATCTACCGATGAGTTATTTATCTATCATCTAGCTATCAATATTTATCTATCTGTGAATCAATTATCTATCTACCAATCAATAACTATCAATTTTCTCTCACCTGTCAATCATCTATTTATAATCTATCAATCATCTATCAATCACCTGTCATCCACCAGTCATCTATTTATCATCTACTTATCAATATCTATCAAATACCTGTTACCTATCAATTTATCTATCAATTATCTATCAAAAATCATCTATTTATCATCTATTTATCATCTACTTATCAATATCTATCAAATACGTTACCTATCAATTTATCTATCAATTATCTATCAAAAATCATCTATTTATCATCTACCTATCAGCTATCCACCAATCATCTATCAACTATCAATCATCTATCTCCTATCTTCTGTCTAAATATCATTTCTCTCTCATCTCATTCTCAGTCTCTTTCTCTGGCTTTTGGTCCTGATCTCAGCCTCTCCCTCTCTCTCCCTCCCTTCCTCCTCTACACCTGTCTGGCTTAACTGAGGCATAACTGACATAAAATAAACTGCACAGATTTAAAGTGAATGTTTTGAATAAGTTCTGATCATAACTTACTGAACTATCACCACAGTCAACATAAGGAACGTCCATCCATCGTTCCTAAAACTTTCTTCCTGGCCAGGCACGGTGGCTCACACCTGTAATCCCAGCACTTTGGGAAGCCGAGGCGGGTGGATCACCAGAGGTCAGAAGTTCGAGACCAGCCTGGCCTACATGGTAAAACCCCGTCTCTACTAAAAATACAAAAATTAGCTGGGTGTGGTGGTGTGTGTCTGTAATCCCAGCTACTTGGGAGGCTGAGGCAGGAAAAACACTTGAACCTGAGAGGCAGAGGTTGCAATGAACCAAGATCATGTCATTGTGCTCCAGCCTGGGCGACAGAGTGAGACTCCGTCTCAAGAAAAAAGAAAACACACACACACACACACACACACAACTTTCCTCCTGCTCTTTTACAGTTCCTTTTTCCCTGCCATTGCAAACAATTTTCATTCCCAGGCAACCGCTAATCTGATTCCTGTCCTTAGAGATTAGTTTGTCCTTCCTTCCTTCCTTCCTTCCTTCCTTCCTTCCTTCCTTCCTTCCTTCCTTCCTTCCTTCCTTCCTTCCTTCCTCCCTCCCTCCCTCCCTCCCTCCCTCCCTCCCTTCCTTTCTTCCGACAAACTTTCACTCTTGTTGCCCAGGCTGGAGTGCAATGGTGCAATCTCAGCTCACCACAACCTCTGCCTCCTGGTTTCAAGCGATTCTCCTGCCTCAGCCTTCCGAGTAGTTGGGGTTACAGGCATGTGCCACCAAGCCCGGCTAATTTTGTATTTTTAGTAGAGATGGGGGGTCTCTCTCCATGTTGGTCAGGCTGGTCTTGAACTCTCGACCTCAGGTGATCTGCCCACCTCGGCCTCCCAAATTGCTGGGATTACAGGCGTGAGCCGCTGAGCCCAGCGATTAGTTTGTATTTTCTAGAATTTGTCTATAAAGGGAATCATATGGCATGTACTCTTTTCTTTGTCTGGATTCTTTCACTAGGCATAATTATTTTGCAATTTATACATGTTGCTGTATACTTTATTAATGTATTAATAATTAATTCCTTTTCATTGCTGAATAATATTCCATTGTCAGGATATATTTGTTAATGAACGTTAGGGTTGTTTTCAGAGTTTGGCTATTACAAACAAAGCTGTTATGAACATTTATTTATGTACAAGTCTTCATATAGACATATGTTTTTATTTCTTTTAAATAAATTACTAGGAGTGGGATGGTAGGGTCTTATGGTAGGTGTGTGTAATTTTCAAAGAAATGGCCAAGCTATTTTCCACTAGCACTTTATGAGAGTTCCAGTTCTGTCACATTTTCATCAACACTTGTTATAGTCAATCTTTTCAATTTTATCCATTCTTGTGCAAAGTGGCCTCTCATTGTGCCTTCCATGTATATCTCCCTAATGACTAATGTTGTTACATTTTTCTCTTATATTCTTTTGTTTACACTCTTTGCAATCACTTTTTCACTCAATATCTTGTAATCAGCATATAGGTTGTGAAGTTTTTGAGATGTGCACAACATAGTAACTATAGTTAATAATAACGTAGATTTCAAAATTGCTAAGAGTATAGGTTGCCAATGTTCACACCACGAAGAAATAATAACTATGAGAGGTGAGGGACATATTAATTAGCTTGATTGAGTCATTCCATAATTGTACATATACCAAAGCATCACATTGTATCCCCTAAATATATGCATCCATTATTTGTCAATTAATTAAAAATAAAATTATAGAAAGAAAATAGGAAAGCCACTGCATGAACTGGGAGAAAATATTTGCAAAACATATATCCAGCAAAGGACTTGTGTATAGCATAGTATGGTTTTGTAATATATTAAGCACTCTTACAACCCAATAGTAAGAAGACAAGCAACCCTTCCTTGCTCACCAGGAAGCCGCAGATCAGGCATGTGATGAGTCCCAGGAGTACTGCCAAGCAGATGAGGATGATGGCCCAGAAGGGAAGGTCTGGGGAGACAAGGGCTGGGGTGAGCCACCTCCTGCCATGTCCTAGGGCTCCTTCTTGGACCCTATGTGGCCTGAGGATGGGCACAGCCCTGGGGAGGAGGGCTTAGTGGCTCAACACCTCAAGCCTCTGATGCCCCCCAAAAAGTGGGTCCCCAGCAAGCCAGGATCCCTGCTATCCCTTCACGATGCCTCAATAGTCTTTGCCATGAGTTGGTCAACTTTGATCCTCATCCAAGACTCTGTGTGCCTGGTGCTCTTGGACAAGGCAAAGCACCATCAGGTTACCCCCTCCCTACCCTGGGCTGGGGCTTCTTTGCGACTTACCAGAATTCCCAGTTAAGGGCTCATTTCTGTTGGGAGAATACCCTAGAAATGAAAGAAATGGAGGGTGCATGTGAGTATGTCTTATTCTTTTCTTTTTTTTTTTTTTTTTGGAGATGGAGTCTTGCTCTGTTGCCCAGGCTAGATTGCAGTGGCATGATCTTGGCTCACTGCAACCTCCACTTCCCGGGTTCAAGCAATTCTCCTGCCTCAACCTCCCAAGTAGCTGGGATTACAGGCGCCTGCCAAAACGCCCGGCTAATTTTTGTATTTTTTTTTTAGTAGTGATGGGGTTTTACCATGTTAGACAGGCTGGTCTCAAACTCCTGACCTCGTGATCCACCCACCTCGGCCTCCCAAAGTGCTGGGATTACAGGTGTGAGCTACCATGCCTGGCCGAGTGTGTCTTATTCTTTTAAATACAATTTTACAAGCATACAAAAAAGCAGAGAGAAGAGTACAATAAATATTCATCACCTAGATTTAGTGATTTATATTTCCTCCAACTAAAACATATACATCCAATTTATGATTTATTAACATTTCAGTGAAAGTAAATGTTTTTGCTGAAGTTTTAGAGTTGAGTGGACATCATGACATCTCACCCCAAATATTTCAATTTGTATCTCTAAAAAAATGAGGACGTGTGGCTACATAAGCCCAAAGCCATTATCCCACTACAAGAGTGTCATAAGTTAAATTCATGCCTCTGGGCATGGTGGACCTAAATTGGGCTGGGCCCAATGGCGGTGGCGGTGAGAATGGATCATCGCAGTTGGAAACTCATGGGATCTCTCTAGGTTTATAAATTCTTACCCAAAAGCTTTTTCTTCTGCCTAAAAACACATTTAAGCTCTCCTTCACTTGGTGGTTTTATTGTCATCTTTTAGAATTTACCTTCAATGTCATTTCCTCCAGGAAGCCTTCCCTGATGACCACACCCATGTATGAATAGGTTCACATCAAATAATTTATAATTGACAACTGCCTGTTCTTGTTATTCCTCACTACAGCGCAAACTCCATGAAGATAGGGATGTAAAGCCACCATCAGGCATGGGGAGAAGGGTTACTGATTCCTCGACTTCTACAACTCTGTTATAGCCAACTTCTTTTTTTTTTCTCAAGATGGAGTCTTGCTCTGTCACCCAGGCTGGAGTGCAATGATGTGATCTCATCTTACTGCAACCTCCGCCTCCTGGGTTCAAGAGATTCTCCTGCCTCAGCCTCCCAAGTAGCTGGGATTACAGGCGTGCACCACCATGCCTGGCTAATTTTTTGTATTTTTAGTAGAGACAGGGTTTCACCATGTTGGCCAGGCTGGTTTTGAACTCCTGACCTTGTGATCTGCCTGCTTTGGCCTCCCAAAGTGCTGGGATTATGGGTGTGAGCCACCACGCCCAGCCTATGGTCAACTTCTTAAAGATGTGGAATACATACCAATGACTAACAAGTATATGAAAAAATGCTCAACATCACTAATAATCAGAGAAATGCAGGTTAAAACCATGATGAGATACTGCCTTACACCAGTCAGAATGGCTATTACTAAAAAGACAAAAAATAACAGATGTTGGAAAGGATGCCAGAAAAGCGAACTCTTACACAGTGTTGGTGGGAATGTAATTTAGTACAATCTCTATGAAAAACGTATGGAGATTTCTCAAAGAACTAAAAATGGAACTACCATTTGACCCAGGAATCCCACAACTGGGTGTCTACACAAAGGAAAATAAATAATTGTGTCAAAAAGACACCTGCACCTGTGTGTTCATCACAGAACTATTCACCATAGCAAAGATATGGACTCAGCCTAAGTGTCCATCAATGGAGGAGTGTATAAAGAAAATGTGATATATATATCTCTCTCTCTCTCCACACACACACACACACACACACACACACACACACACACAATGCAATACCACTCAGGCATAAAAAAGAAGGAAATAATGTCTTTTGCAGCAACATGGAAGGAAGTGAAGGTCAAACAACTCATATACAGGAAGTCAAATAGCACATGTATTTGACTAAATAATGCATAGACATGTCAGTGCTAAATAATGCATAGGCATGGACATAAAGAGTGGAATAATAGAGAGTGGAGACTTGGAAGGGTTGGGGAGTGGAGGAGAGTGGATGACGAGAAATTACTCAATGGCTACAATGTACATTATTCAGGTAATGGATACCCTAAAAGCCCAGACTTTCCCACTGGGCAATAGATCCATGCGACAAAATTGCACTTGTATCCCTTAAATGTATACAAATAATAATTTTAAAAAGTAGTGTGCAATATGGAGCAGCCACAAGTGGCTTTTAAATTAAAATTAAATAAAATTAAAACTTCAGTATCTCAGTTACATTAACCACACTTCAAGCACTTAGTAATCACACATGGCTCTGTGCTGAATGGCACAGTTAGAAACATTTTCTATCACTGCAGAAAGTTCTATTGGATGGGCTGATTCAAGGCAAGGTTTGGCGAACTACAGCCCTGCTGGGTCCATGGCCTGGTTTTAGAAAGCCTGTGAGCTGACGACAATTTTTATTTTTAAAAAGCAAATTGGTAAAACAAGAGAAAGGCATGTGAAAGGCCTGTTGATTCTGAAGAATCAACAGTGCTCTGTTGCACAACAATAAATCAGAACCAAGGACAGGGCACACAGGCATTGGAAGGTCCTAATACGTTGTTCACATTTGACTTGAAAAGAACCTCGTATGAAATCTAGTTATTTCTTCTGTAAATATGAGTTGAGTGTTTATTATGTGCCAGGCAGAATATGGGGTTCTTGGAATATAGTGGTGAAAAAGCAGACAGTTACTCTCTGTTATATTCCTGATACATGGTACAATGTGTGTAACTATTCTTTGAATGGGTAAATTTGGATATGGAAAGTTGAGTCACCTTGAAGCCATCCCTGGAGTTGGAAAATAGGTCCATCCTACCACATATGTTGAGGATGAATCACATACAACTTGAAACTGGAAGCCCTAATTGACCTGCTGAAGCAAGAGGATCACTTGTGGCCAGGATTTAGAGACCAGTCTGGGCAACATAGTGAGACCCTCTCTCTACACAAAATTTAGAAATTAGCAAGGTGTGATGACAAGTGCCTGTAGTCCCAGCAACTTGGGAGGCTGAGGTGGGAGGCTCGCTGGAGCCTGGGAGTTCAAGACTGCAGTGAGCTATGATTGCACCACTGCACTTCATTCTGGGTAACAGAGCGAGACCCTGCCTCTAAAAGAAAAAAACCAACACAAACAAACCAGAGCCAGGTGCAGTGGTGCATGCCTGCCTGTAATCCCAGCACTTTGGGAGGCTGAAGCAGGTGACATGCTTGAGCTCAGGAGTTCAAGACCAGCCTGGGCAACATCGCCAAACCCCATCTCTAGAAAAAATACAAAAATTATCCGGGTATGGTGGCACATGGCTATAGTCCCAGCTATCTGGGAGGCTGAGATGGGTGGATTGCTTGAGCCCAGGGGTTGAGGCTGCAGTGAGCTGAGATCATGTCACTGCACTCCAGCCTAGGTGACAGAGTGAGACCCTCTCTCAAAAACAAACAAATGAATAAACAACACAACAACAACTAATCAGGGTAATTGTTTAACACTGCAGCTGCCTGGGGGTGGAGGAGCAATACCATCTAGGGCAGGCAAGAAGGGAACCAAAAACCGAGTGACTTGCTAAGTACAGAGATAAGAAGTCCAGAGAGGAGATGTGACTAGCCTGAGGTCACAGAGCTGGCCAGAAGAGGGCAAATGCCTCCCGTATCCCTCGGGCATCCTTTTCTTTCCTTCAATGATGGGTAACGCCTAGGAGAACTAAGCCACTTTCTCCCAGTCTGAGAAAGTTCGATGATGAATCATCCCCAAGCCTTCAGATTTCCAGGGAAGGACCCAGGTGAGGAAGTGGGAGTTGCCACCCCAGCCCCAATGACCCAGGGAGCTTTACCATCCACAAGGACACTGCTCCTGTCCAGGGTGAAGTTCTGCAGCTGGCTACCATTCCGGGTCATCCGCAGGAATTCCTCATAGATGGCAACTCTGTCTACTCTCCGAGCCAGTGGCGAGAAGTTACACAGGGAATCCACCCCCGTGTGGTGGCTGTTGGGGACAGACCTGGAAGGGGACAAGGGATAAGGAAAGATATCTGCAATTTTATCATGATTCTAGGCTTTCTCCTTCTAGAGTCTTCCTGTAAGAACTTTCTGCAATGATGTAAACATTCCATGTCGGCCAGGCACAGTGGCTCACGCCTGTAATCCCAAAACTTTGGGAGGCTCAGGCAGGCGGATCACGAGGTCAGGAGATCAAGACCATCCATACAAATATTAGCTGCATGTGGTGGCGTGTGCCTGTAATCCCAGCTACTCGGGAGGCTGAGGCAGGAGAATCGCTCGAACCAGGGAGTAGAGATTGCAGTGAGCCGAGACCGTGCCCCTGCTCTCCAGCCTGGTGACAGAGCAAGACTCCATCTCAAAAACAAAACAAAAAACAAACAAAAGAATTCCACATCTACACTACACAATGCAGCCATTAGTAGCTTCATGTTGTTATTAAACACTTAAAATGCAGCTAGTGTGGGAGAAGAACTGAATTTCTAATTTTATTCTACTTAATTCATTTAAAAATAGCTACAGGGAGGCCAGGCATGATGGCTCATGCCTGTTATCCCAGCACTTTGGGAGGCCAAGGTGGGTGGATCACTCAAGATCAGGAGTTTGAGACCAGCCTGGCCAACACAGTAAAACCCTATCTCTACTAAAAACACAAAAATTAGCCGGGTGTGGTGGCACACGCCCATAATCCCAGCTACTTGGGAGGCTGAGGCAGGAGAATTGCTTGAACCTGGGAAGTGGAGTTTGCAGTGAGCTGAGATTGTGCCACTGCACTCCAGCCCGGGCAACAGAAGGAGACTCTATCTCAAATAAATCAATAAAATAAATAATTTTTTAATTTTTAAAATAATTATTTTAAAAATAATTATTTTTAATGTTGGGGTAACATTGGAATGTTGGGGTAATGACTTCTGAATACCCATAAAATCAATGAGAACAATGGCCAAAATAGTCCAATTTTTCCAGAAGTCTAGAAGTGAACCAAAGGCTTGCAAAACTTCAAGGGGTGTTTAGTTAAGGAAGGTGTTAAATCTCAATAAAAAGAGCAAGCTTTGTGGCATTTTAACTTGCATTATTTCCACAGTGCTCTTTCAAGATCCTCAGTATTTTATTATTATTATTATTATTATTATTGTTATTGTTATTATTGAGACAGGCCCTGGCTCTGTTGCCCAGGCTGGAGTGCATGGCCCAATCTCAGCTCACTGCAACCTCTGCCTCCTGGGCTCAAGCCATCCTCCCACCTCAGCCTCCTAAGTAACTGGGACTAAAGCGCACACCACTATGCTCAGCTGATTTTTGTTATTTTTTGTAGAGATGGGTTTTCACCATATTGCACAGGCTGGTCTCAAACTCCTGAGCTCAAGCGGTCCACCCACCTTGGCCTCCCAAAGTGCTGGGATTATAGTTGCGAGCCACTGCATCCAGCAAGATCCTCGGTCATTTTGAAAACCAGTAGCCTCACAATCATGATAGCTGCGAAAACCAGCCACCCTAGCAGTCAAAATAGCTTGAGAGTGCTGCAGACATCAATCCGCAGAACCTTGTCACTATCTGATCTGCTTGGCAGCTCCTTGAAAAAGGAGCCCTATTCTCAGGGCTTATCTTTATTTGTTCTGACTCAGAATTTGTTTAGTGAAGAAAGCCTGTTCTCAGGGCAGTTGTCAAAAAAAAAAAAAAAAAAAAAATCGTTGGTATTTCCCCATTGGAATTGATACCTCTCATTGAAAAGCACAGTTAGGGCTGGGCGCGGTGGCTCACGCCTGTAATCCCAGCACTTTGGGAGGCCGAGACGGGCGGATCACGAGGTCAGGAGATCGAGACCATCCTGGCTAACATGGTGAAACCCCGTCTCTACTAAAAAAATACAAAAAACTATCCGGGCGAGGTGGCGGGCGCCTGTAGTCCCAGCTACTCGGGAGGCTGAGCCAGGAGAATGGTGTAAACCCAGGAGGCAGAGCTTGCAGTGAGCTGAGATCCGGCCACTGCACTCCAGCCTGGGCGACAGAGCGAGACTCTGTCTCAAAAAAAAAAAAAGAAAAAAAAAAAAAAAAAAAAGAAAAGAAAAGCAGTTAGGCTGCTGGGATCTAAGTAATCTGGTTTTAGTTCCCTCCTTTCCCCATCTTCCATGGGTCCTGATTTCAGTGACTGATGTCTTCATGTAGTCGATTCTACACTCTAGAGTCCATGGCCTCAGCACCAGGTAGCTTTATGTCTGCTGAGATTTACACCAGCACTCTTGAGTGTTGGAGCCAGCTGGGTTCCAGCTTTAGGAAAAAGCTGGTTTTTAGTTAACAGCTCTCTATGTCTAGGGCTCTCTTCCATCAAAGCTATGGCTTGGGAACACTTCTATTTAAAGGACAGCAGAAGTTCCTAGAGTCATTAGGTCCTGAGTTAGAACTCACCTGAATGTTGAAACTTGACAGTCAGAAAAATAGCTCTTGATGCTGCTATTTCGGAAGAGTTGGTTGAGCTGAAAGACAGGGCGATGTTTCTTAGGTCAGAATCCTGGTCCTGGTAGCATCAGAGAATTTTCAGCCACTGAGCACACTTCTCTATCTATTTTGTTTCTTGTCATGACACCCACTTGCCCAGGTATGTATATCAAAGGACATGCTCTTCTAGGGTATGACTTAGCTGTGTGACCTTGGGTCAGCTACTGAACCTCTCTGTGCTTGCATCTTAAATGGGAATAAGAACCTGTCTTTGTGGATTGTTATAAAAAGTCACCCTGTGGCTACCCAGAATGCATAAGTCGATTTCTGCATGCAATAGAGTGGACACACCACCCCCCTCTCACCGCATCCTCAATATTCCTTTTGTTCCTCTGGTAATTGGTGGTGCTTGGCTGGGATATGTCCTGGGAATATGGTAGGTTGGTGATGGTGAAATTCAGGTAGAAGTGCTGGGTACTGGAACTGCTTGTTGGTTTTGTTGGTTGATAAACTGATGGCTCCATCTCTAGAATTTTAAAAAAAGGATGTAAAAATTCACTCTTAAGGCAGGGTTTTAAGAAAGAGATTATTCCAGCTAGCTTAACTTATTTCTGGCATTGTGAGCTGAGCTAGGTTTGGTTTTTTTTTTTTTTCTGGAGGGGAGGTTGTTTGTTTTGTTTTGTTTTTTTGAGACAGTTTAACTCTCTTTGCCCAGGCTGGAGTGCAATGGCGTGATCTTGGCTCACTGCAAGCTCCACCTCCTGGGTTCAAGCCATTCTCCTGCCTCAGCCTCCTGAGTAGCTGGGATTACAGGTATGCACCACCACGCCTGGCTAATTTTTTTTTTTTTTTTTTGTATTTTTAGTAGAGACATGGTTTCTCCATGTTGGTCAGGCTGGTCTCAAACTCCCGACCTCAGGTGATCCACCCGCATTGGCCTCCCAAAGTGCTGGGATTACAGGTGTGAGCCACTGTGCCCGGCTGAGCTAGGATTTTAAAGGTGGGATAGAGGGTTTTAGGTAACAGCTCTATATTGGATGGAGGATCTTCCTCCATCCATCTGTCCAACTTGCATCCATCCACCCATCTACCTGTCCAACTCTCTTTCTACCAAGCATTGTAAGAATTGCCTACAAAGTGGGGTGAAAGAGATTGGGTTTCTCTGGGGGTGTAGTCAGCAAGCGTAGGTGCTGAGCAACCCAGAGTCTTCTAACTGATGATCTTTGTTCGTAAAGGGTCTTCCTGACTCTGCTCTTCTCTCCCTGCACCCTCCATTCTGCACACAGCACCCAGAGGATAAGCAGAATTCATGTCACTTTCTTTCTAAAGCAGAGCTCATGAGTGTGTCAATTTCCTCCCCAAGCCATTCCAGTACCCATCGAAATCTCTGCCCACATCTTTGCCTTCAACTGTCACCTCTCCAATATCAAAGTGGATGCTGCAGCTACACCAATCTTCTGAAACTTCCCCCAAAATGCCATATTCTTTTTTTTTTTTTTTTTTTTTTTGAGATGCAGTTTCGCTCTTGTTGCCCAGGCCGGAGTGCAATGGCACGATCTCGGCTCACTGCAACATCTGCCTCCCGGGTTCAAGCCAGTCTCCTGTCTCAGCCTCCCAAGTAGCTGGGATTACAGGCACGCACCACCAGGTCTGGCTAATTTTTGTATTTTTAGTAGAGATGGGGTTTCATCATATTGGTCAGGCTGGTCTCGAACTCCTGACCTCGGGTGATCCACCCGCCTCGGCCTCTGAAAGTGCTAGGATTACAGGTGGAGCCACCATGCCCAGGCAAATGCCATATTCTTTTTATCTTCTAGGTTATAGATGCATGGAGCTCTGTTCTCCATCTATTACCCCTGGCTAGGTCCCATTCTCTGTCAGATCTCAGCTTCTTCACCCCTTCCTACACAAAACTTTCCAAGACAAGGCTGTGTGTTCCTCCTTGGGGCTCCCACAGGCTCCTGAAATTCCCTTATCATAGCAATGATCACACTGTATCATCAGTATGTGTTTACTTCCATTGTTTATTGAATGAATGAATGACTTCTTCATTGGTTGATTCATTCATTTAATTAATCAACCATTTTAATTGATCAGTTACTCAATTAAATCAATACTCAAATCAATTAATCAATTATTAGTCAATTAAATCAATTAATCAATTAATTAAAGAATCACTTTTTAATGAATCACTTATTCTTTAATTAAAAGAATCAATAAATTGATTCAAAAAATGATTTATTGATTCATTCATTCAACACAATTTTTTTAATATGTAAAAATAGCTATTCTCTTAGGTGCAATGACTGAGTGTTCTGTTCCTGCCTCGTTGGATAATCTCCTGCCAGAGATCATCTACAAGGGTCTCCAGAAAGCCTCCCTTCCTCTCTCTAGAGCCTCCACCAATTTCACTGGTACCGAGAAGCCCCATCTTTCCTCATAACCCCACCTCTTCCAGTTATGAAACCAGCCACCCCAGCTTGTACCTGTCACATGGATGTCCACCAGCTGGTAGGTGGAGCCCAGCCAATGGGATGAGGCATTCAGGGTCTTATCCAGAAAGACTTGCTCCACCAGGCTGGGGTCCAGATCGGAGGAGAACAATGCCTTGACAGTGACCAACATGGAGTCCATCCTAGGGACAGAGACCACAGGAATTCAGCCAGTACTCAGCATCAGCAGGGTCATGGGTTGCCATCTTTAAAGAGCCAAAGATCTAGAGGCAAGGTGGTGGTGGGGTGCCTAGCTGCCCCCACCCCCAGTCTAGAGAAGGGTCCTGATCAAAATGGGAGGCCTTCGGCTGGATGCAGTGGCTTACGCCTATAATCCCAGCACTTTGGGAGGCCGAGGCGGGCAAACTGCCTGAGGTCAGGAGTTTGAGACCAGCCTGACCAACATGGCAAAACCCCGTCTCTAAGAAAAATACAAAACTTCATCGGGAGTGGTGGCACCTGCCTGTAGTCCCTGCTACATGGGGGAGCTGAGGCAGGAGAATTGCTTGAACCCAGGAGGCAGTTGCAGTGAGCCGAGGTCACACCACAGCACTCCAGCCTGAGCAACAGAGCGAGACTCCATCTCAAAAAAAAAAAAAAAAAAAAAAAGGAAGGCTTCTAGGAATTACATCTAGAAGCAATAACAGTAACAATAATCAACTTTTTTTTATAGATCAAGACCCCTAAGAAGTGACTTATGCATTCTTCATCATCACTCTGATGGTAGGTATTGTTAAAATTATCCCAATTTCTCCCACTTTTTCCCTCTTGATTTCTACTTTTTATTATATTTTATTTTATTTGTTTGAGATAGGGTCTCACTCTGTTACCCAGGCTGGAGTGCAGCCTCCTAGGGTCAGGTGATCCTCCCACCTCAGCTTCCCAAGTGGCTGGGACTACAGGTGTGTGCCACCATGCCTGGCTAATTTTTGTATTTTTTTGTAGAGACTAGGTCTCCCTATGTTGCCTAGGCTAGTCCTGAACTTCTGGGCTCAAGAGATCCGCCTGCCCTGGCCTCCCAAAGTGCTGGAATTACAGGCATGAGCCACTGTGCCCAGCCTACTTTTGATTTTATTTGTTTGTAATTTTTGTGGGTGCATAGTAGTTGTTTTTATATTTATGGGGTACTTGAGATGTTTTGATACAAGCATATAATACATAATAATCATCAGAGTAAATGGGGTATCCATCCCCTCAAGCATATATCCTTTGTGTTACAAACAATCCAAGCATACACCTTAGTTATAGATTTAAAATGTTTAAAATGTACAATCAAATTATTTTTGACTATAGTCACCCTGTTGTGCTAGCAAATACTAGGTCTTATTCATTCTTTCTAGTTTTTTGTTCCCATTAACCATCTCCATATCCCCAACTGAAATACAAAATCCTTGAAGTTTAGAAATATGCAAAGTCAGCCCTGTGTCCTGTAATCCTCCTCTTCCCAAGTATAGATATCTTTATTCCTTCATTCAGTCATCAGAGACCTGGGTTCAAATCCCAACTTTGACAGTTCTTGGGAAGTTCACTTTTCTGACCTTCAATTTTCCCATCTGCACCACAGGGATGATCTTTGCACTCAACTCATAGAGACTGTTGTCAGAATTAAATGAGAGGAGGCTGGTTGATGTTAAATATTATTATCGGGCTAATATTTTGAGTTCTACATCAGAACGTTACCTTTTCCCAAGTGTCCAGAAAAAAAAGAAGAAGGTGGATGTGGGGAGTTGGTGGCTCCGTGAGGTTAATCCTCACTCCCTACCTTGAGGATTTATGGGAGGAGATGGTAGGATTAGCTAACAGGGATATAGGGGAGAATGGGTACCCCATTGGGGATGTCTAGTTCAAGGATGCTCAGAGACACAGCCACAAGCTTGGCCACTGCTTGTGACCTTCAGAACTTACGTCAAGTTGGTGACCAGGCAGTAGCGAAACGTGTCATGTAGTTGGCTGCCTTTGTAGAGTGTGGTGACCTAGAAGGATAGGTAGGGAGAGTGGGTGAGATGGAGATCTCTTGGGGGTGGAGGGGCCGCTGATGCCAGTGGAAAAAAGCACAGTACTTGGAGCAAAGGGGACCACAGTTCAAATCCTAACTCTGCTTCTAAAGTACTGTGTGACCCTAGGCACACCACGCCCCATTCTGAGCCTCAGTTTGCCCATCTGGGAAATGGGAACGGTAGTCAAGAGAGCACTTTTGGAAACTGAGAGAGAACTCAGAATACGTAGTGAAGTGAAGCATTTGAAATGATCACTTAATAGACAAATCAGGTAGAAGAGGCAGAGAAGCACACAGGGCAGGGAAGACGGGAGGGGTGAGAGATGCCCTACCTTGTCCTGGATGTCCCTCAGCAGGGCGATGTACTCTGAGGACGTGGGGTCTGGATTACTGAAGTTCCAGTTGACAATATGGAAATGTATCTGGTACTTGCCCCGGATTGATAAATTCTGGGGTGCATAGCCTGGAGCCACAGAGAAGAAGAAAATACAACCTATAGTGAGGAAATGCTGATCACAAAATGCAGAGCCAGAATGGTCCAAGGGTCCCCTGCCTACCGTCAGAATCAGTCAATTTCAGATCCACATGCTGGGCATTGCAGGAGCTCTTAGACGGAAAGTTGTCCCAAAGAGAGGGAAAACTGGAATTTTACACAGATTCTCCTGAGCTGAGCTTTCCTGCATGTGCTATGCAGTTCCCGCTTCTAGGAATGCATCCTTTTCATTTCCTGCAAAACGCTTGAAGCTCACACTTCAAGAGCCCAGTGAGAGGGAGCTCCAGCACAGCAGGGGCCTATGTCTGTCTTATTCATTACTGTGTCCCCGCACAGGGCCGGGTACATAACACCCTCCTCCAGGAAGCCCTCCTTGATTTACTCCTCCTCTCAGCTCCCTTAGTATCCTGTTAGTAACAGCAGTGGGGTCTTTATTGTACCCTTAATTTGTTGTTCACCTGAGTATGAGTTTTTCAGAGACAGAAAAATGTGTCTTCCATCTCCAGACCCAGCACAAGGCTTGGGGCAGAACAGCCACCCATATATGTTTGCTGAATGAATAAATGAATGAATGAATGAATGAATGAATGAATGTGAGTTACAGCAGAGACTCTAATCTTTCATTTGCTCACTCATGCAATGATTCTTTCCATACCACGACGTGCTGATATACTGAGAACCGAGGGTACGGTGGCACTCGTAAAAGACTGTAATTTTGTTGAGCTCACAAGGTAAGGGGGAATCAGAAAATTTAATAAATAATTACAGTAGAGTGTGATAAATGTCAGCCTTGTGCCCACCTGGGAACTTTGGGACCATGTACAACAGGATTTCTCACCCTTGAATTTATTGGCATCTGGGGCTGGATCATTCCCTGGGGTGGGCGTCTCCTGTGCACTGGAAAATGGGCTACTGAACCACTAGATGCCAGTTGCACCCTCCTTCTCTGTCTGAGTTGTGATACCCAAAAATGTTTCCGTATATTGCCTAGAGTCTCCCGGTTGTGGGGGGCGGGGCGGAAGTGCAGAAGTGTCCCCTGGTAATAATCACTGACATAGAGGATCCTCATATAGAAGGCCCTGCTATCCTGTCCCAAAGGATGCCACGGCTCAGCCACTCGAGTTTTGAATTGAAATTCATTATGGATGAAACTGGGGAGGGGGGCGGGAATTATGCTAAGTGAAATAAACCAGACAGAGAAAGACAAATACTGCGTGACCTCACTTATATGTGGGATCTGAAGAAGTCAAACTTACAGAAGCAGAGAGTGGCATGGTGGTTATCAGGGGCTGGGGGCATGGGAGTGGTGATAGAGAAAATGGGGAGATGTTGGTCACAAAATACAAACTTTTAGTTATAAGATGAATAAGTTCTGGGGATTGAGTATAAAGCTTGGTGATTATAGTTAATAATACTGTATTGGCCGGGCGCGGTGGCTCAAGCCTGTAATCCCAGCACTTTGGGAGGCCGAGACGGGTGGATCACGAGGTCAGGAGATCGAGACCATCCTGGCTAACACGGTGAAATCCCGTCTCTACTAAAAAATACAAAAAACTAGCCTGGCGTGGTGGCGGGCGCCTGTAGTCCCAGCTACGCAGGAGGCTGAGGCAGGAGAATGGCGTGAACCTGGGAGGCAGAGCTTGCAGTGAGCTGAGATCCGGCCACTGCACTCCAGCCTGGGCGACAGAGCGAGACTCCGTCTCAAAAAAAAAAAAAAAAAAAAAAAAAAAAAAAACTGTATTGTAAACCTGAAATTTTCTGTGAGAGTAGATCTTAAGTGTTCTCTCTCTCGCTGTCTTTCACACAGACGCACAAAAACGCACAGTAACTACATGACATAATAGCAGTGTTAACTAATTTGATCATGCTAATCATTTCATAAGCTACACATATATTCAATCACCACATTATACATCTTAAATAGATATAATTGTATTTGATAGTTATACCACAACCAAGCTGGAAACAAAAGTGAAGGAGAAAGAGACAATTTATGACATTAATTTGGTCAAAGAATTTCATGCTATTTACTCAAAATAATAGGAAAGATTCTCCCCTTGATGGTTTGGGGAAGGGTGGCCCCCAGCCAAGCCTTGGGCTGTTTTTTTTAGAGAGGAAAGGGAATACAACAGGGACAAATAATAGTCATGGTAGGCTAGGCACGGTGGCTCATGCCTGTAATCCCAGCACTTTGGGAGGCCAAGGCAGGTGGATCACCTGAAGTGAGGGGTTCGAGACCAGCCTGGGCAACACGGTGAAACCCTGTCTCTACTAAAAATGCAAAAATTAGCTGGGCATGGTGGCATGCACCTGTAATCCCAGCTACTTGGGAGGCTGAGGCAGGAGAATTGCTTGAACCTGGGAGGCAGAGGTTGCAGAGCCGAGATTGCACTATTGCACTCCAGCCTGGGTGACAGAGTGAGACTCCATCTCAAAAACAAAACAACCCACCAACCCCCAAAAAGTCACTGTAAATCCCAGTTCAGCCTGACACTCACCGTTGATGAAGAGGCTATCCCTGTCCAGGACATAGAAGCCCAGTTGGGTGACACCATGGGTCAGCTGACTCAGCTCCCAGTAAAGCTGCTGTATGTCCAGCCCAGGGCCCACAGGGTCAGTGTGGTAGGTGCAGGTGGTGTCCACGCCAGTGGCTGCTCCATTCTTCTCAGGCCTGGGGAGAGAGGCATTTGAGGACTCTAGAGAGGTCCTGGGACCTCTGCAGGTAGAGGGCAGAGGAGGGAGGAGCAGGGGAGGGCTGAGAAAGGGGTGGTCATTACTGGCAAATGGCCAGGAAGTGGTCTCACCTGAGGGAGATCAGTTGGCAACCCAAGTAGAAGGGGCCCATGCTGCTCTTCTGGAACAAGGCTCTGAGCTTGAGAGGAAGGAGGAAGAGGGTAAGCCGAGGAACAGAGGTTGGGGGTAGGATTTATCCCACCGGGAGCTGCTGGGACCAGGGTCTCACCAGGTGCTTCAGGACCCTCTCGGTGGAGTTGAAGGCAGCTGAGCCATTGCCCATGTCTGGTGAATACTGGAGATTGGAGATGGTGAAGTTGAGTGTGAGGGTCTTCAGGTGGTACCCCATGGCTGCAGGAGGAGGGGAGGAGAGATGTCTGCAACTGAGGGCTGGTCTGAGACTAGATCAGACTGCACTCATTATTAACCAGTGTGGCCATCCAAGTCAGAAGCTACGTATCTTCTCCCCTCCAAGTCACACCAATTCCCTTGGCTGCATATTCATCACATATATCCTCTAACTCCTCCCCTATCCCAGTTAAGGTCTTATTTTTTCTCACCCTGATTAGCACCCTGGCAGACTCACTGGATGCCCTATCTAAAGGACATTCTCTATACTGAACACGAGAAGAATCTTTCTGAAATGACGATCTCACTACGGCTGCCCCTGCTCTAGTACCATCCACAGCTCCTTATGGCCTTCAGTATGAAGTTCAAATTTCTTGACTTGGCATTCAAGGTCCTTCCCAATCTGGCTCCTGCTGACCTTTCAGTCTCACTTATCCATCTACTCTGGGTTAAGCTGTATGTTTCATGCAAACCAAATTCCTCTCACTTCTCCGTATACTCTATGCTGTTTCTGGCCACTGAGGCTTTGTTCATGGACTCCCCTCTTTCAGTTATACTATTCATACCCTATTTGCCTGAATCACTCTTACTCATCCTTAAAGACTCAGTTCAGGTGAAACTTTCTCCAGAAAGCCCTCCTCCTTTCCAATTATGCCAGGTGTCTCACCCCAAAACATCTGATATTATGATGGTCTATTTATTTCATAAAATTGGGGGGCTCTACGAGGGCAGGTGTCTGATTGAACTGCTAGTCTAATCTTTGAGGAGGAAAAATGGACCCCAGATACCTGTTGTGGCTTCTGACAGAGGAGGCAGGAATGTGGTGGCTGGCTTGGGAGCTGTGGAAGGAACAGTCCATCAGAGAGGAACAAAGCCCATCACCTAGTGGAAGAAGCTCCCCTGGGCTTCATCAGTAGTCCTAGCCAGGACAACCATTCACAGGTGGGCCATAAATGAGACTGAGGGAAGGAGTGACTGTGTGAGTGGAGGAGTGAACAAGACTGTGAGTGAAATTAACCCAAGAGAGTGGGGGTGGGGGTGAACAAGAGAAAGGTTAAACAAAGAGGATAGGTGGATGGGTGGGCAGGAAAATGGAAGGGATCAATGAATGGGCAGAAGGTGCAATGTACAACTGGAGGGTCAAAAGAGAAGGCAAGATAGATAAGAACGAGGAAGAGAAGTTGGAGAGATGAAAGAAGGAAGGAAAGGAAGGAGAACAAACAGGTTAATTGGGCAGGAGGATGGGTAGACATATGAATGGATAGATGGATAGATGGATGGATGGATGGATGGATAAGTGAATGGGTAGAAGGATGAATTAACTGAAGGACAGAAGGAAGGAAGGACAATTGGGTGAGTGAGAAGAAGGGTGAGCGGAGAGATGGCTGGGTGGATAGATGGATGGATGAAAGGACGGAAAGAAGGAAACAGGTGAATGAATACGAGGATGGATGGATGGTTAGAAGGATAGAGAGAAGAACAAACAGGTGAATGGGGAGAAGGATGAATGGATGGAAGATGGATGGATGGATAAAAGGACAGGTGGAAGGAAGGACAAGCAGGTGAATGGGCAAGAGGTTGAGTGGGTGGATGGGCAGATGGATGAATGGATGGAAGGACAGAAGGAAGGAGAGACAAGCAGATGAATAGGCAGGAGGATGGATGGAGAGATAGATGGATGGTTGGAAGGACAGAAAGAAGGACAAACAGGTGAATGGGGAGAAGGACAGATGGATGGATGATGGATGGATGGATGGTTGGAAGGACAGAAAGAAGGACAAACATGTGAATGGGGAGAAGGACAGATGGATGGATGATGGATGGATGGATGGGTGGATGGATGGATAAAAGGACAGATGGAAGGAAGGACAATTGAGTGAATGGAGAGGAGAATGGCTGGAGAGATGGCTGGCTGGGTAGAAGGATGGATGGAAAGACAGAAGGAAACAGGTGAATGAAGAGGAGGATGAATGGAAAGATGGATGGATGGTTGGAAGGACAGAAAGAAGGACAAACAGGTGAATAGGGAGAAGGGTGGATGGATGGTGGATGGATGCAGAGATGGATAAAAGAGCAGACAGAAGGAAAGACAAGCAGGTGAATGGGCAGGAAGATGGGTGGATGGATGGACAGAAGGAGAGAAGGAAGGAGGGGCTAGCAAGTGAATGGGCATGATGGGTGGGTGGTGGATGAGTGAGTGGATGGATGGATGGATGGATGGATGGATGGATAGATGTATAGAAGGACAGAAGAAAGGAGGAACAAGCAGGTGAATGGGCAGGATGATGGGTGATGGATGAATAGATGGATAAAAGGACAGATGGAAGAAGGATGAGGAGGTAAATGGTCAGGAAAATGGGGTGGATAGGTGGATGGATGGATGGGTGAATGGATGGATGGATAGAAGGAAGGATGGTGTCTGAGAGATGACTGGAAGGATAGAAAAATGGATGGCTGGAAAGATAGATGAGTGGATCACTGGATGAGGCAATGGGCAAATTTAGCCAAATTCACTTGAGTAGCCAGCAGAGTTTGCAGCTTGACCATGAAGCCCCTGCTGGGGCACTTGGAGGAGATTTTGTTATCAGGAGGTATGGACTAACAAGGTCATCATCTGACCTTAACCTCGATCCCTGTAGGGAATGCTTGTTCAAACTTCTTCTTCTAACCCAGAGGGGCGTGGAAAATTCACAAAGCCAAGACTATGGCTGCAGGTCTAAAAACAGGCCAAGGACTCAGCATTCTTCCTCCCACTGAGACGTTGCCCCTCACCACCTCAGGGGACCAGCCCGAATTTGGGGCAAGCTTCCTTTATGAATGAGGAGAAAAGCTTGAACCAAGACCCATGGAGATTGAAATGGGCACTGGATTCAAAGACACGTACTTGTAGGAGGCTCATCTGGACCAGGTTCATTGTAACCTAGAAACAAAGAGGTCACACATAAGAGGAGGTGGTCGAGCCGACCCAGACACTCCATGCCTTTGTCCATAAGGGGCGCCTGCCTGGATGCCTTTCCCTTTGTGTATCTAGAGATGATGGATACATTTATGTATCATCTAATATTTGACTTAAATGTGTTCACCACTAGAAAGAATTTCCTGATATTTCAATTAGCACTGACCTTCCCTACTCACGTCTCTAGCATGCCTCCAGTGAGAGGCTGTCATTATCTTTGTGTTCACAAGTCTATCCTCCTGTCCATCCACGCCCCCCGCCTCCCCTTCCAGGCCTCCTCCAATCTATTCCTCCACCCAGTGAATGTTTATTAAGGGTTTTCTATGTGCAAGCCTCCCTTTACATTTGGGGAATAAAGGGTAGAATAAAACAATCTCTGCCCCTCTGGAGATTACATTAGGACAGGATGCACACGTAACCTATCTCTGTCCCTGGGGCCAGGCACAAGACCTGGTTAATAGTAGCTGCTTGGTAAATCTAAATGAAGGAACAAAATGAAGCATAGAAGCTGTGCAGTTTACAAGGGGGAACAGCTCCCAGGAACAGCCAAGTCGAAGGGACTGTGTGTCAACTCAGATCATCAAGACGCAACCTGCACCTGTGTGTTTATCACAGCACTATTCACAATAGCAAAGATGTGGAATTAACATACGTGTCCATCAACAGATGAATCGATACAGGAAATGTGGCATGTATGCACAATGGAACACTATTCAGCCATAAAGAGAAATAAAACCACGCTGGTGAGGTTGCAGAAAAAAAGGAGTGCTTATACACTGTTGGTGGGGGTGTAAATTAGTTCATCCACTGTGGAAAGCAGCGGGGCGATTCCTCAGAGAGCTAAAAATGGAACTACCATTCGACCCAGCAATCCCATCACTGGGTATATGCCCAAAGGAATATACATTTTTCTATCACAAAGACACATGTTCATTGCAGTACTATCCACAATAGCAAAGACGTGGAATCTACTTAAATGCCCATCAGTGATAGACTGGATAAAGAAAATGTGGTACATATACACCATGGAATACTATGCAGCTATAAAAAAGAATGAGATCATTTCGTTTGCAGGAACATGGATGGAGCTGGAGGTCATTATCCTTAGCAAACTAATGCAGGAACAGAAAATCACTTATAAGTGGGAGCTAAATGATGAGAACACATGGACACATAAAGGGGAACAACACACACTGGGGCCTACCTGAGGGTGGAGGGTGGGAGGAGGGAGAGGATCAGAGAAAATAACTAATGGGTACTGGGCTTAATACTTGGGTGATGAAATAATCTGTACAACAAACCCCTGTGACACGAGTTTAACTATATAGAAAGCCTGCGCCTGTATGCCTGAACTTAAAAGTTAGGAAAAAAGAATGAATCCATGTCTTTTGCAGCAACATGGATGAAACTGAAGTTACCTTAAGTGAAACAAGTCAGACACAGACAGGCAAATATCACATGTTCTCACTCATAAGTGGGAGCTAAACAATGTGTGGACAAGAACTCAAGAGAGGGGAATGACAGATAAAGGAGGCTTGGAAGGGTGAGGGGGTAGGAGAGGGGTGGGTGATGAGAAACGACTTAATGGATACAATGTATGTTATTGGAGTGGTGGATACTCTGAAAGCCCTGACTTCCCTACTATGCAATCTATACATGTAACAAAATTGCACTTGTACCCCAGAAATGTACACAGACAATGAGGATGATGATGATGATAGTAATTATAACAATAAAGAACATCAAGAACCAGACCAGCCAAGAACTTAGCATGGGCATGAGCAAGTCCCTTCCCCTCTCTGTGCCTCAGTTTCCCTCTTTGCTAAAATAAGAGTAATGACAGTCCAGGATGTCTCTCCACATCCTGGTTCCTACCTAAAGGTACCTCATATAAGTGATATGGGGTGCCCACCTCATGGGGTCATGATGAGCACTGTTCTTGGGTTGGTGGTGGAGGGGATGAAAGGGGAGCTATTTTATCAATTCTCCATGGTCGTGCTTTGCCTCTCAGAACCCCAGTTAGGGGATGCCTTCTTAAATGTCTTTTCCTGAGTTCTAGACCAGTGCTGAGGCCCAGTGTGCCTGAAGCTTAGATCCCCTAGATCTTCCTGGTATAGGGGCCTCACGTAGGAGAGAAGCCCATCCTTCCTCAATGGTAAGGAGAAAACAGGGAGGGGGCCGGGCGCGGTGGCTCATGCCTGTAATCCCAGCACTTTGGGAGGCCGAGGCGGGCAGATCACAAGGTCAGGAGATCGAGACCACGGTGAAACTCCGTCTCTACTAAAAATACAAAAAATTAGCCAGGCGTGGTGGCAGGCGCCTGTAGTCCCAGCTACTCAAGAGGCTGAGGCAGGAGAATGGCGTGAACCCGGGAGGCGGAGCTTGCAGTGAGCCAAGATCGCGCCACTGCACTCCAGCCTGGGCAACTGAGTGAGACTCCATCTCAAAAAAAAAAAAAAAAAAAAAAAAAAAAAAGAAAACAGGGAGGGAAAATGTGTTTGTTTTGTTTTGTTTTGAGACAGTCTTGCTCTGTCACCAGGCTGGAGTGCAATGGTGCAATCTCGGCTCACTGCAACCTCCGCCTCCTGGGTTCAAGCGATTCTCCTGCCTCAGCCTCCCGAGCAGCTGGGACTACAGGCGTATACCACCACACCCAGCTAATTTTTGTATTTTTAGTAGAGACAGGGTTTCACCATGTTGGCCAGGGTGGTCTCAATCTCTTGACCTTGTGATCTGCCTGCCTTGGCCTCACAAAGTGTTGGGATTACAGGTGTGAGCCACTGTGCCCAGCGGTAAATGTGTTTTTTGTCCCCCAAGTGCCCCCACCAGGAAGACTCTTCTGTGAGTTAAACATGTAGAGTGGATCATAGCACTGAATGCTGACAAGTGGAGCTCATATCCTGGTTCCATCACCATCAAGGTAAATTGCTTAACCTGTCTAAGCCTCAGTTTCTTCATCTGTAAAATGGGATTAATCAAAGTCCAACCTTGCATGGTGGTTATGGGAGGGTCAGTGGTAACACCAAGACTTGAACCCCAAGTCTTTCCCTAGAGAACCGGCAAACAGACACCCTCCTGGGCTGCAGCGGGGGTTGGGGGTTGAGGCAGGGAGATGGGGCTGTGAGATGCTCACCGTTAAGGTAGAGGCTGTCTTTGTCCAGAAAGTAGGGGCCCAGCCGGGTGATGCCGTGGGTCTGCTGGCTCAGCTCATGGAACACCTGCTTGATAGGCAGAGCTGGGCCACTGAGGGGCTGCAGGTAGGTGCAGAGGATGTCCACCTGTGTCTTAGCGCCGTTCTTCACAGACCTGAGGAGGGAGAGGTGCACCTTTTGGGGATGAAGGTCACCTGGCACCTCTCCACTTGTGGTCACTGTCACTGCACAACTCACAGTCCATATTTTGGTCTCATTGACAATTTGCAGTTTCTCCACCTGGCCGTATCTATCATCTCAGGATCTCTGCACTTGCTGTTACTTTTGTCTGGAAGCTTCTCCCCATTTCTCCTTACCTGGATAAATTCCCGGTCATCCTCCAGGTCTCAGCTTAGAGGACTCCCTCCTCCTCCTCCTCTTCCTTCTCCTTCTCCTCCTCTTCCTCCTCCCCCTCTTCGTCCTCCTCCCCCTCTTCCTCCTCCTCCTCTTCCTCCTCCTCCTATCTTCCTAGGCAATTCCTAGGCAAGGTCAGGAGCCTCCTCTGGGTCCCACAATCCTCCACTCTTCCCCTGTCACTGCCCTGATCACCCTCTATGTAATCATAAATTATTTGTTCCTGTATCTACCAGAACATGGTCTCCACGAAGGAGGAAAAGAACCAGTTTAGCTTACTCTTATTGTATCGAAGCCCCAGAACCTAGCACCCCTTGACAACTCCCTGCAAAAATCGAAGTCCTAATGAATGGAGAAACAAAATATAGCATTTACATACAAGTGGAATATTATTCAGCTCTGAAAAGGAAGGGAATTCTGACACATGCTACGACATGGATGAACTTTGAGGACATTATACTTGATGAAATAAGCCAGTCATACAGTATAAACCGGGACATATACCATATGATTCCTCCATTCATAGAAGGTCCTTAGAATCATCAGATTCACAGAGACAGAAAGTAGAACGGTAGGTGCCAGAGGCTTGAGGAGGGGGATGAGGAGTGAGTACTTCATGGGGATGGAGTTTCAGTTTGGGAAGATGAGAAAGTTCTGGAGATGGATGATAGTGGTGATGGCTGCACAGTGATGTGAATGTGCTTGATGCCACTGAACGGGAAATATGGCTAAAATGGTAAATTTAATGTGATGTGTATGTTACCACAATTTAGAAAAAAAAAATCCAGGCTGGGCACAGGGGCTCACACCTATAATCCCAGCACTTCGGGAGGCTGAGGCGGGCGGATCATCTGAGGTCGGGAGTTTGAGACCAGCCTGACCAACATGGAGAAGTCCCATTTCTACTAAAAATACAAAATTAGCCGGATGTGGTGGCGCAAGCCTGTAATCCCAGCTACTCAGGAGGCTGAGGCAGGGGAATCGCTTGAACACAGGAGGCAGAGGTTGGCATGAGCCGAGATCATGCCTGGGCAACAAGAGCAAAGCTCCATCTTAAAAAAAAAAAAAAATCTAAGTCCTCCAAGGCCCTTCAACCCTGCTGATGTCTTGGGTCTCATCCTCTCTCTCTTTCCTTCTTGCTTTCTCTCTGCTCCAGCCACACTGGCCTCTTTGCTGCTTGTAGAACGTGCCAAGTTCATTTGCACCTCAAGACCTTTTCTCATGCTGTTCTCCCTGCCTGGAACAGTTTTCATGGCCATTTCGGACACAGCCCAAGATTCATCCTGGGTAAAGTTGCTCTTCCCATCACTCGCTATTTATTTATGCTTCGTATCACTTTACCCCATTTGAAGCCACTTTACTTAGACATTTATGTTCCTGTTTAGCATCTGTTCTCCACTGGGTGAGGGCAGGGATGGCATCTGTCTTATAACTCTAGTACCCAGCACCTGCCTCAGAGGAGCAGTGCCATCGGCATCAGTTGAATAAAAATATAAATGGAGAAGTAAATAGTAAATACCAAGAGAGTGCAAACTGACCCAAAGAAATCAAGTTGGCAAGGATGCAAGAAAAGGAAACTCTTATACATGGTTGGTGGGAATGGTAGAGGAGTGGTGCCATGGGCATGGGTTGAGTAAAAATATGAATGGAGAAGTATCTAGTGAATACTAAGAGAGTGCAAAGTGACCCAGAAAAGTCAAGTTGGCAAGGATGCACGAAAAGGAAACTCTTATATACTGTTGGTGGGAATGTAAATTAGTACAACCTTGAATGAAAAACAGTATGGAGAGTTCTCAAAGAACAAAAAAAATTAGAACTACCATTTGACCCAGCAATCCCACTGTTGGAGATCTACCCAATGGAAAAGTTTTGGAAATAAACAGTGGTGATGGCTGCATGACATTGTGAATATAATCGACGTCACTGAATTGTACATTTAAAAATGGTTAAAATGGCAGATTTTATGTTACATGTATTTTTGCCACAATATAAAAAATTAATAATGTGATTTAAAAAAATAGATGCAGAAAAGGACCCTCTGAGAATAGCTCAACCTATATATAGCTAAAGGAAATGAGTCCAGATGTGGTGGTTCATGCCTGTAAAATCCCAGCACTTCGGGAGGCCGAGGCAGGTGGATCACTTAAGGCCAGGAATTAGAGACTAGCCTGGATAACATGGCAAAACCCCTTCTCTACTAAAAATGCAAAAAAATTTAGCCTGGTTTGGTATTGGGCACCTGTAATACTTGCTACCTGGGAGGCTGAGGCAGGAGAATCACTTGAACCCGGGAGGCAGAGGTTGTGGTAAGTCGAGATCGCACTGCTGCACTCCAGCCTGGGTAGCAAAAGCAAAACTCCTTGGGAGGTTGAGGTACAAGAATTGCTTGAACTCAGGAGGCAGAGTTTGCAGTGAGCCGAGATTGCACCACTGCACTCCAGCTTGGGTGACAGAGTCTCACTGTGTCTCAAAAAAAAAAAAAAAGAAAAGAAAAGAAAAGAAAAAGAAATGAAACCTGTATCTTAAAGAGATAGCTGCACTCCTATGTTCATTGTAGCACTATTCAAAATAGCCAAGATATAGAAACAAGCTAAATGACCTTCAGTGGATGAATGGATAAAGAAAATGTGGCATACACATATACAATGAAATATTACTTGGTCTTTAAAAAGAAGAAAATTCTGCCCCTTGGGATAACATAGATGGAACTGGAGGACATTAGGCTAAGTGAAATAAGCCAGGCACAGAAAGACAAATACTGCACGATCTAACTTACAGGTGGAATCTAAAATTGTCAAACTCATAGAAGCAGAGAGTAGGATGGTGGTTGCCAGGGGCTGGGAGGAGGAGCAAATGGGGTGATATTGGTCAAAGGGTACAAACATGATAACTATGTAGAGGTAATAGATATATTAATTAGCTGAAATGTGGCCATCGTTTTATAATGTATACCAAAATATCAAGTTGTACATTTTAAATGCAAGCAATTTTTATATGTCAAAAAATCAAATTGTCAGGAATAAATAAAAAAGTTATTTATACCAGTCAGAATAACAATCACTAAAAATACAAAAACCAACCAACCCACCAACCAGACCAACACCAAACAACCAGATGCTGGCAAGAATAAAAAAAAAAAGGGAACTCTTATACACTGTTGGTGGGAGAGCGAATTAGTACAATCTCTATGGAAAACAGTATGAGGATTTCTCAAAGAACAAAAAATATAAAACTACCATTTGATCCAGCAGTCCCACTATTGGGGATCTACCCAATGGAAAAGAAATCATTATATCAAAGAGACACCTGCACATGTTTGTTTATTGTAGCACTATTCACAATAGCAAAGATACGGACCTAACCTAAGTGTCCATCAACAGAAGACTGGATAAAGAAAATGTGATATATATATATACCACGAAATACTATTCAGCCATAAAAAGAGTGAAATCATGTCTTTTGCAGAAACATGGATGGAATGGGAGTCCATTATCTTAAGTGAAACAACTCAGAAATAGAAAGTAAAATACCGCATGTTCTCACTTATAAGTGGGAGCCAATGGACTCCATGTCCATTAGCTCATGGTCAAATACCATACGTTTTCACTTATACGTGGGAGCATGGACTCCAGGTCCATGTAAACATGGACATGGAGTGTGGAACAATAGACACTGGATACTCAGAAAGGTGGGAGAGTGAGAGAAGGGCGGGGAACCTCACTTAATGGGTACAATGTACACTATTTGGGTGATGCGTACACTAAAAGCTACTGTCTGAAAGTCTACTGTCTGCAGACTTCACTATGCAATATATGCATGTAACAAAAACTGCACTTGCACTCCTTAAATCCATTTTAAAAAAAGAATGGGGCTGGACGTGGTGGCTCACGCCTGTAATCCCAGCACTCTGGGAGGCTGAGGAGAGCGGATCACCTGGGGTCAGGAGTTCGAGATCAGCCTGACCAACATGGAGAAACCCCATCTCTACTACAAATACAAACAAACAAACAACAACAACAACAAATAGCCAGGCATGGTGGTACACGCCTGTAATCCCAGCTACTCTGGAGGCTGAGGCAGGAGAATCACTTGAACCCAGGAGGCGGAGGTTGCAGCGAGCCAAGATCGTGCCATTGCACTCCAGCCTGGGCAACGAGAGCAAAACTTCATCTCATAAAAAAAAAAAAAAAAAGAAAGATGAAAAGACAAAAAAAATATAGCCCACCCCAACCCAAGAAGGCCCTCCCAGTCAGAACCCTAACTTCTTAGTGGTGGGCTGTGAGTGGGGGAGTTTCTCACCTTAGTGCAATGACCCTGCAGCCTGTGTACCGTGCACCCACGCTGCTCCTCTGGAACAAAGGGCTGAGCTGCAGAGGGAGAAGGAAGCCGTGGCTGGTCAGAGGCAGGCAGGCAACAGCCCTAGGATGGGCATGGCAGGGCTGCAGAGGGAGGCAGGCCTCTCACCAGGTGCTGCATGACATTGTCTGTGATGTTGAACTTGAGGGAGCCGGGTTGACCCATGTCCGCCATGTAGCGCAGGTTGTTGATGGTGAAGTTCAGTGTGAAGGGCTCCTCGCTGACCATCCCAGCTAGGGCAGGGGGAAGAGAGAGAGAGAGAGAGAGACAGAGAGAGAGATGAAGCTCTTGGGGAGGATGATGGGTGGGTAGGGGGTGGTGTGGGACAAGGTGGGGGCAGTGTGTTCCAAAGACCCTGGGTCCACCTCTCAATAAGCCCAAGGCTGACTTTTAATGGAGACATCTCCAGCAGCCAGTAAGGGTGTGCTTAATGATTTGGGATGTCCAGATGGGGTCCTATCCAAATGCAAGAAGGGAGGATTCTGTAAAAAGTGCCAGTGATTCTGATCTTTCCCAGGGGAAAGGCTCCGTATAACCACACTGATGCAGAAGTCATGCATGACTCCAGACATTTTTTAAAAAATGTATTCTCTCTCTCTCTCTCTTCCTGTCTCCCCCTTGATCCTTCTCTGCCTTTCTCCCATTTCTCTCTCTCCTTCACTCACAACCAGGTATGCTAATCTTCTATGCATTGGTTAACATGGCCAACAATCTTTGCAGCCATAACCAACCTCTCTGCACCTCAGTTTACTCATCTGTAAAATGAGATGACAATGGTTCACAATGATGATTCCTGCCTCAACAGTTGTTATAAAGCTTAAACAAGTTAATCATTGTAAAGCATGTAAGCACTGCTGGGCACTCAGGTCAATATGGTGTACATGTTTATTATATAAAATATATCACAAATGCTTTCTAATCACTTCCTCTGTGTGGAACTTTAAGGAAGTATGAGCTAAGGATTCTTTTTTACTTTTTTTCTTTTTTTTGTTTTGAGATGGAGTCTCACTCTGTCGCCCAGGCTGGAGAGCAGTGGTGCGATCTCGGTTCACTGTAAGCTCCACCTCCCAGGTTTTACGCCATTCTCCTGCCTCAGCCTCCTGAGTAGCTGGGACCACAGGTGTGCACCACCACGCCTGGCTAATTTTTTTTTTTTTTTTTTTTTTTTTAGTAGAGATGGGGTTTCACCGTGTTAGCCAGGATGGTCTTGATCTCCTGACTTTGTGATCCACCCGCGTCAGCCTCCCAAAGTGCTGGGATTACAGGCATGAGTCACTGCGCCCAGCCAAGCTAAGATTTAAGATAAACCGCTAGAAGAAAAGTTTACCTCTCCTTCTCTCCCTGCCTTTCTTCTTTTCATCACTCTTGAATTTCCTTCTGTTCATTCTTCCTTCTCTCCTTCTTTCTCTCCTGAACTTCCTTCTGTTCATTCTTCCTTCTCTCCTTCTCTGTTTCCATCCTTTCTTCTTCCCTTCCATCTTTCATTCTATTAATGCATCCTTTCTTTCTTGCTGACTTTTTTCCTTTCATTGTACCTTCTATCATTTATTTATCCTTCCTCTTCCTTCTCTCACTTTTTTCCTTCTTTTCACCCATCCATCCATCCATCCATCCATCCATTCATTTATCCATCCATCTATCTATCCATCTATCCACCTACCCACTCATCTGTCCATCCATCCATCCATCCATCCATCCACCTACCCATTAATCCATCCATCCATCCATCCATCCATCCATCCATCCATCCATCCACCCACCCACCCATCCGTTCATCCATCTGTCCATCCATCCATTCATCCATTCACTCACTCACCCACCCATCTGTTCATCCATCCATCCATCCACCCATTCATCCACCCACCCATCCACCCATCCATCCATCATCTATCTTTCCTTCCTTACACCTCTCTTTTCTTCCTTCCATCCACTTATCCACCTTTCCTCCTCCTTTTCTTCTTTCATCCATTTTTTTATTTCTTCAATCCACTCATCCATCCTCTATCCCTTCCTCCTTCCATTCATCACGTCTTCCTTCCATCTATCCACTTTGCCTTCCTTCCATATATATGGAATTTGTCCTACACTGCTCCAGGAACATTTGAAGGGGAGCAGGGGGTGGGGTAAAGAAATATTCTGGCCCTTCAATAGCCCCGCCCACCATTGTCCCACCAATGCCTCTTATTGGCTGAACCTAAAAGGCAGCTAGTTAGCATGGGAACCTGGGAAATGAAGTTTTCATGAGTCAGAACTCTATCCCACAGAGCACAGGAAGGTTGGAGAATGGATCCGAGGACAAAAACAAAACAAAACAAAACAAAAACCCACAAGTGGTATAATAGAGAAAGCCCATAAGAAGTTACATTCCTATAAAAGAGAAGCAGACAACAGAATATAAACCAATAAGTTCAAAAAAGTGAGAGAAGTATTGTGAAGGATTAACAGAAAACAAACAAACAAACAAAAAAACCCAGGATCTCATTTGGAAGTATGAGTGACACAAATTAGTGTAAGAAATTGACTTTTCCTTCACAGTCCACAGATTGAACAGACAACCCAGAGAGTGGGAGAAAATCTTCACAATCTATATATCCAACAAAGGACTAATATCTAGAATCTACAACGAACTCAAACAAAATAGCAAGAAAAAAACAAACAATCCCATCAAAAAGTGGGCTAAGGACATGAATAGACAATTCTCAAAAGAAGATACACAAATGGCCAATGAACATATGAAAAAATGTTCAACATCACTAATGACCAGGGAAATGAAAATCAAAACCATAATGTGATACCACCTTACTTCTACAAGAATTGCCATAATCAAAAAATAAAAAAATAATTGATGTGGCTCTGGGGGCCAAGACGGTCGGCTAGAAGCAGCAGTGCTTGGAAGCTCCCACTGAAAAAAACCACAATAAGCGTGTGAATCCTTCCCTGGCAACCAAGATATCCAGGTTCCCTCATCAAAATTGACTAGAAGGCTGGCAGTGACCCACGGACAGAAGGAAGAGCAGTGTGGTGTGGTGGCCCACCTGAGAGACACAAGGGGAAGGGGAACCCCTTCCCCCTAGCCAAGGGAGGTGGTGAGTGAGCGGGGTATCCAATCTGGAGAAACTGTGCTTTTTCCACGGAACTGTGCGACCCACAGATTGGAAGATCCCATTCGCGAACCCATGCCACTGGGACCTAGTGTCCCAACCCCAGAACGTGCAGATTCTTACAGCTGGAATCTACCTAAGCCTACGGAACTCCCCGGGGGAGGGGCGATCAGCACTGGCTGCAGCTGCCTGCTGTCTAAGTCTTTTGAGTTCCTTGGGGGAGGGGCAACAGCCAGCACTGGGACTCACAACTGCCTAACACGCTAAGCTCCCTGGGTGGGGGAAGGGCAGCACCCCTTTCTGTAGCTCCAGGCTGTGCTTTTTCCCTGCTGGAGCCAGTAAGGCTGAATGGCTTCGTCCCAAGGTTTGTCCCCACAGTCCAACACACAGGCTGTGGCAGTCTGCAGCCAAAGTGACTCTTCAGGGCTTACCCTTACCCAACCTTCCTCAGTGGGCAGGGCTTTCCTGTAGGATCTCCAATAATTCCAGCCAGAGGCTCAGGGACAGAATTCAGACTCCCTGGGCTTGAGCCCCTAGTGGGAGGAGTGGCTGCAGTCTCTGCAGACCAGCAGAGTTAGCCTCTCCTCCTGGTAGTTCTGAGGAATTCAGGCAGCCCAGATGTGTGGGTTTCCCCCCAGTGAAGCACCCCCTCTCCACCAGGGACAAAGGGCTTCATTAAATGGGTCCTGTTCCCCATGCCAGTCAACTGGGTGAGACCCTCCAACAATAGTTGTCAGACACCCTATACAGGAGTGATCCTCCTGGCATCAGGTTGGTGCCCCTCAAGATCAGAGGTCCCAGAAGAAGCAGGCACCTATCTTTGCTGCTCTCCAGCCTCCCTGTGTGACATCTCCAGGCATGGGAGTGAATCAGATGAATAGGACCTGAAGTGAACCCCTAGCAAACTGCAGCAGCCCTACAGAAGAGGGACCTGACTATTGACAGAAAAACAAGCAGAAAGTGACAACAACAGCATCAACAATAACTACAACAACAAAAAGTCCTCCACAAAAACCCCTCCAAGGATCAGCATCCTCAAAGCCTGAAACTAAAACTCACAAAGATAAGAAAGAATCAACAAAAATATGCTGAAAACCCAAAAGACCAGAGTGCCTCTTCTCCTCCAAATGACCACAACATCTCTCCATAAAGGGTGCAGAACTGGATGAAGGATTAGATGGATGAATTGACCGAAATAGGCTTCAGAAGATGGACAATAAAAAAGTACAATGAGCTAAGGGAGCATGTCCTAATGCAATGCAAAGAAGCCAAGAACCTTGATGAAAGGTTAAAGGAATTACTAACTAGAATAAACAGTTTAGAGAGGAACATAAACAACCCGATGGAGCTGAAAAACAGCACAAAAACTTCGTGAAGCATACACAAGTATCAACAGCCAAATCGATGAAGTGGAAGAAAGGATATCAGCAATGACCAAGCTGAGCCTGAGTTGAGCCTTCTAGGAAAACCAAAGAGTCAACTACACATCATCAAGGAACCTAACTCTCTCGAATTCAGCCCCATAATCCTGAGTCAGCTCCAACTGGATTGGTAGCAACTGATTTTTTTTTTTTTTTTGATAACCATTCTGAAGCTGTTTTGAACTGAGAGAAAATGAACGCTATTATCAATTGGTGATGTCTGCCATGAATGCTGCAATCAATTAATGATGTCTGTCATGGATGAGGGAGTGCAGCAGATGCCATATAGTTTTCCAGTGTAAACTCTGGCAGACACTAAAGTTGAACCAAGGCAGAAGAGGAAATTTTCCATACATTATAAGAAAGCATACTTCATTCTTTCCTTCCCCGGGAAAATCCATGTTTTCCTGTAGATCTAAATCTGTCAATCTACCATGTACAAGGTCCTGAAGTAGATACTAGGGAAGCACAAGGGAGTAAGACACAGTTGCTCCAATCAGCAGGTTTATGCACTATTGGGGTGACTGGATATAAACACAATGTTCAAAGCAGAGAAAATGTGTTTGCAATTGACTTAAAAAATATGCAACAGGACTTAGAATGAGTGACAAAATTAAAGGTTCCCATAATTCTTTTGCCTATAATAATTCAAGTTTTTTTTTCCTTTTTAGAAATCATATTAAATAGTACCAGTTAAACACTGAGCATAGCACTTTGGTGCATATTCAGGACCCAATAAGTTCATATATTATCTATTACCTTTGTTATCACCACCACCATCATAATCATCACCATCCCTGTCACCATCACCATCATTATTGTCATAATCACCACCATCATTACCACCATCACCATCATCATCATTACCATCATCACCACCACCATCACCATTGTCATCATGATCATCATAATCACCATCACCATCGTCATCATCATTGCCACCATCAGTATCATCATAAAAACAGCTCTTTGAGAGGAGAGATTATTAATTGTTTCATGATCCATGCCATATCCCCAGGATTTGGCAGAGCCCCAGGGCTTGGCACAGTGCTCAATAAAGTTTGTTGGTTGGCTCATCATCACTAGATTTATAAAGAATTTCCATCTTTATTTGACTGAATAATGGAAGAGATGTTTACGCTCATCAGCCATGCTCTAACAGAGGTGCCATTGGCACATACTTATTCAAGGGACCAGTAGAAGGGATGGAGCCCCAGAATTTCCCAGGTCCACTGTGGTAGTCCCAAGAGCTACAGAGAAGCCCTCTTCAGCGGAAGCATCCAACCCTCTCATGGCAGAAAGGTCAGCAAATACAACTATTTACAGGCCTTGCTGCATATGAGGCCTGAGTTGAGTCTCTCTCTGGAGTTGGCCAGAAGGGAAAGGGAATAACTTGTGCCCTCCCAGCCCCTTTCCTTATGAAGAGGACATAGGGGCATAGGAAGAGGGGACAGCTCCTGCCCTGCTTGGCATATAATTGGGGCCACTGGAGCATCGGTTGAATACTCACTGCTGGTGGTGGGCACAGAGCTCCGATGGGTGAAACCTGCATAGAGAAGGAGGGAGGAGAGTGGGTAAGGGTTAAGGGAGAGGTGGGCAATCAAATAGGGGTCACAGATACCCTAGTGGAATGGAAGAAGTTTCAAGGAACAGAGGCCTTTGAAGATTCTCTATCAGTACTCTCAGATCAGGGAAGAAGGTACTTGGGATGAACTCAGTCCAAGATGAAGAAACTATGAAGTTCAGACATCAGTCATCACACAAAGACAACATAGCCAAGGCTTCAATGGCCAGGCAGGGAGTGTGACCTCAAGTCAGAGAGTAAGAGGCTGCCCAGCAAAGAGGAAGACTCTCCAACCACATCACAGTTGCTCACCATTGACAAAGAGGCTGTCGTTGTCCAGGGTATAGGGGCCCAGCTCAGTGATGCTGTGGGTCAGCTGGCTCAGCTCCAAATACAGCTGCTCTCTGTCCAGCCCAGGGCCTGTGGGGTCAGGGCGGTGGGTGCAGATGACATCCACTCCGGTGGCTTCCCCATCCTTCTCTGGCCTAGGGAGGGCAGATAAGGGGAATGACATTAAATAGACTGCCTACAGGGAGGCATTATGAGATTCCTGAGGGCAGGACAGGAAGGGGACAGAGGAAATGAGACTCCTGGTGGACAGGTGAGAAGCCATACTAAGATTTTCTGAATGTGCTGACTTCCAGGCAGCCTGGGAATGTGAGTAGGGTCAGGAATACAAGAATTTTATAAAACTGCATTCTCATGGCATGGGGACAGGACAGCCCAGACTTGAGAAACATTAAGAGCTGGAATTGGGGATAAAAGCAAGTGGGTGGGGGATGTTTATCCTGAGAGAAACCTTGGAAGATAATTTAACACCTGAAGGAGAGGGAGGTGGGGAGAAGTAAGAAATTCAGAGGGATCACCAAGGTAGAAGCCTGATCTGGCTGATGGGCCCTGCAAGTTCTCTCGGTTGACGGGGGAGGTGGTCGGATCAGAAGATATGTTGGTCCTGGAGCCACCAATGCCTGAATTCCACTTGTGCTGAGGACTTCCATAGGGAGGGAAGGAAGAAAGCTGACCAAACTCCTTGGGCCTGGGAACACTTGGGGCAGCCAGACTGGTTATTCTCAGTTCTCACCTGAGCAAGGTCAGCCTGCAGCCAGAGTACAGAGGGCCAACACTGGTGTTCTTGAACAAGGGCCTTAGCTGTGGTGGAGGAAGAGGGAGGTGAGTAGGACAGCTGAGGACATAGGAGCAAGGAAGATGTAAGGTGGGAGGGGCTGTAATCAGGGGGTGAGAATTGCATCTCTCAGGTGAGGGGAGGTGGGTGAGATCTTCTTCCATGCCTTGGAATGGGTGATGTAGATGGAACGAGACAAGGTGGGCAGGGCAGAGTGAGGTGGGCAGGGCTCTCACCAGACCCTGAAGGACCCTCTCTGTAGTGTTGAACTTCCTGGAGCCAGGCCACATGTTCTCCTCATACTGCAGGTTAGTGATGGTGAAGTTGAGGGTGAATAGTATCAGGAGATGGCTGGCAGCTGTAGTGTAGGTGGGAAATAAACACTATGTTCAAAAGCAGAGAACATTTAAGAGTTTGTAATAGACTTATCTCTAAACATATGCAACCAGATTTAAAGAGAGTGATAAAATAGGTTTTCATGCCTCCCTTGACTATAATGATCAAAGTTTTTCATATAGCATGCTAAATAATAATAGTTAGATGCTGAGCACAACCTTTCACGCATATTCAGTGTTCCATAATACTAGATACTATCTATTACCTTTGTTATCACCACCATCATCATCATCACCAACACTGCGGCCATCACTTTCATTATTGTCATCACCACCACCATCAGGACCAAAACCAAGATCATCATAATCCCTATCATCCCCATCACCATCATCATCATCATCCACATCATCACCTGCACTATCACCACTAGGAACGCGGTCACCAGCACCATCACTATTTCATCCTTACCATCATAACGATCACCACCACCATCATCATCATCACAATCACCACCACCACCGCCACACAGCCATCATGATCCACATCACCACCACTGGTACCATGATCACCAACACCCTCATCACATCATCCTTAACCATCATAACCACCACCACCACCACCAATATCATCATCATCCTCATTGTCAGTATCACCATCACATTGTCAATCACCGCCACAATCACCACCATCACCACCACTGTCATCCTTCCTATAATCACCACCAACACTATCATCATCATCATCATCATCACATCATCATTACTGTCAAAACCACTACCATCATCAGTATCATCATCATCATCATCTTCATATTCACCATTATCATCACATCATGGTCATCAGCATCACCATCATCTCCAGCAACATCATCATCACCACTATCCCACATCATCCTCAAAATAAAATAAGCTCTCTGAGGGCAGAGATTTTTAATCTCTTTTGTGTTCCCTGCTTTATCTCTAGGGCCTGGCAGAGAGTGGGTGCTCAAAGAAGTTTGTTGGGTGACTCATCATCAGTAAATTTGCTATGATTTTTAATCTTTATTTAAGTAAAAAGAACAGAGATGTTGACACTCATCATGCATACTCTAATAGAAGTGTCATTGACTGGAACTTACCTGAAGGGCCAAGTATCGAGGTTGGAGTCCTAGATACTCCCAGATACACTGTGGGGATCCCAGGAGCTGAGGAGAAGCCCGCATTAGTTAGAGCAGCAAGCTCTTTCATGGCAGAAATGCCAGCAGATAGGAGTATTTCTGCATACAGGGCTTGAGATTAGTGTCTCTCTGGAGCTGGGCCAGAGGGAAAGGGAATCATTTATACCCTTTCAGATCCTTCCCTCATGAAGAAGATATAGGGGCATAGGAAAAGCAGGTCAGCTCCTGTCCTGCTTGGAGTAGGATTTGGGCCACTGGAATGTTAGTAGAATACTCACTGCTGGTGGTGGGCACAGAGCTCCGATGGGTGAGACCTGCATAAACAGGGAGGAAGGAGAGTGGGTAAGGGTTAAGGGAAATGTAGGGGACTAAAAGGGGTCAGTGCTACCATGGTGCAATTGAAGGAGTTTCAGGGAACATGGGCTTTGAGGATTCTCTATAAGCACCCTCAGATCAGGGAAGAAGGTCCTGAGGATGAAGGTCTCCAGTACAAGATGAAGAAGAAACCATGAAGTTCGGATTAGTCATCAAACACAGACAACATGGCCAAGACTTTAATGGCCAGGTAGGGAGTGTGACCTCAAGACAGAGAGTAGAGGCCTGCTCAACAAGGAAGAAGAAACTCCAACCACATCACAGTTGCTCACCATTGACAAAGAGGCTGTCGTTGTCCAGGGTATAGGGGCCCAGCTCAGTGATGCTGTGGGTCAGCTGGCTCAGCTCCCAATACAACTGCTCTCTGTCCAGCCTAGGGCTTTTGGGGTCAGGGTGGTGGGTGCAGATGGCGTCTACTCCAGTGGCTGCCCCATCCTTCTCAGGCCTGGAGAGGGCGGGTGAGGGGAATAATAATAAAGTTTTGTCTAGGGAGGAGTCCCAAGATTGCTGAGTGAAGGACAGGAAGGGGCCACAGGAAATGAGAAGCCTGGTACACAGATGAGAAGCCACACTTAGATTCTCTGAGTGCACTGACTACTGTCCAGCTTGGGACAGTGAGCATACTTGTGGATACAAGAATTTTTCTAACATTGCCGTGTGGCTCTTGCATTCTCATGGCATGGGGACAGGACAGCTTAGACTTGAGACAGGTGAAGAGCTGGAATTGAGAATTAAACAAGTGAATGAGGCATGTTTGTCTTGAGAGAAATCCTAGTTAGAGAATTTAACACCTAAAGGCAGAGGAGGTGGGGAAAAAAGAGGGAATTCAGAGGGATGGCCAGGGTGAAAGTCCAATCTTTCTGATGGACCCTGTGGAAATTTTCAGTTGATTTGGGTGGGATGGCAGGGGGCAGTGGTAATATTGGGAGACACATTAGTCTTGGAGCCACTGTTCCTTGAGTTCCATCTTTGATGAGAATAACCACAGAGAGGGCAGGAAAAAAGAAGTGCAAACTCATGGAGACTGGAAACAATTGGGGCAACAAAGGTTGGCAATTCTAAGGTCTCACCTGAGCAAGGTCAGTCTGCAGCCAGAGTACAGAGGGCCAACACTGGTGCTCTTGAACAGGGGCCTGAGCTGTGGGGGAGGGAGAGGGAGGTGAGTAGGATGGCTGAGGGGGTAGGGGCAGGGGACTAGTAATTGGGGCTGGCACCAGTAGGTGGGCCTGGCATCAGTGGATGGGGGCTCATGTCTCTGGGTGTGAGGGGAGGTGGGTGAGATCTTCTTCTGTGCCCTGCCATGAGTGAGAGAGGTGGGGCTAGACAAGGTGAACTGGGCAGAGTGAGATGCTTGGGGCTCTTACCAGGCCCTGAAGGACCCTCTCCGTGGTGTTGAACTTCCTGGAGCCAGGGTGCTGCATGTTCTCCTCATACCGCAGGTTGGTGATGGTGAAGTTGAGAGTGAATGGCACCAGGAGAGGGCTGGCAGCTGCCATGGAGGTGGGAAAGAAATGACATGTTCAAGAGTAGAGAATTTTATACATTTCCAAAAGGCCTGCTTCTAAACATATGCAACGGGATTTAAAGAGAGAATAAAATAAAAAGTTTCCATGCGTCCCTTGACTATAACGACAGAAGTTTCTAACCAAGCCTACTAAATAATAGTAGTAGCTAGCATACCTCTTGGTGCATATTCAGAGTTCTATAATACTAAATATTATCTGTTACTTTTATTATCAGCATTGTCATCATCAATGTCACCAACACTGTGACCCTCACTATTATTATTGTCATCACCACCAGCATCAGCACCACTCACGTCAGCACCAAAATCATGACCAAAACTGTGGTGATGGTCATGGGGATGCTAGAATCATCCCCACTACCATCATCATCATCATCACCACCACCACCACAATCATCATCATTTGCATCATCATCACCAGCACCATGATTACCAATGCCATTATCATATCATCATTACTCTCATCACCACCACCACCACCATCACAACCATCATCATTATAATCATCATTATCTTCATTGTAACCATCACAATCACTATTGTCAATCACTACCACAACCACCATCATCCTTACCACCATCATTCTTCCCGTAATCACCCCTACAACTATCCTCCTCATCATCACATGATTACCATCATAACCACCACCACCATCATCATCATTATTATCATTGTCAACATCATCATTAATATTGTCAATCACTACCAAAACCACCACCATCACCAACACCACTATCATCCTTCCCGTAATCACCACCACCATTGTCATCATCACAGCATCACCATTATAACCCCTGCCACCAACATCATCATCACCACCACCATCTTCATAATTATCATCCTTATCGCCATCATTATCACTAGCATCACCATTTTTATTGTCGTCATCTCCAGTAACCTCAGCACCAACAATCTCCATCACCCTCACAATAAAATAAGATTCCTTGCAGCAGAGATTTTTAACTCTTTTGTGTCCCCTTCCTTATCCCTAGAACCCTGCAGAAACTAGGCACTCAATTAAGTTTGTTAGATGACTCCTCATCCATAGATTCGCTAGGATATTTTATTTAAGCGAAAATGGCAGAGATGTTGACAGTCATCAGGCATACTCTAACAGAGATGCAATTGATTTGTATTTATCCGAGGGACCAGGTTTAGAAGCTGGAGTCCCAGATGTTCCCAGGTCCACTGTGGAGGTCCCAGGAGCTGAGGAGAAGGCCTCTTTAGTGAAAGTGTCAAACCCTCTCATGGCAGAAATGCCAGCAGGTGGGAGTATTCATGGACCTTGCTGCATGTGGGGCTTGAGCTGGGTCTCTCTCTGAAGAGACTTGGGCCAGAAGGGAAAGGGAATAACTTGTGCTGTCCCAGCTCCTTTGCTCATAGAGGACATAGGGGCATGTGAGGAGGGTTCAGTTCTTGCTCTGCATGGTGTAGGATCAGGCGCACTGGAACATCAGTGGAATACTCACTGCTGGTGGTGGGTACAGAGCTCCATTGTGTGAAACCTGCATAGAGACGGAGGGAGGAGGGTAGGTAAGGGTTAAAGGAGTGGTGGGGCACTATATAGGGGTGAGGGTACCCTGTTGCAATGGAAGGAATTTCCCAGAACACGAGCCATTGAAGATTCTCTATCAGCACCCTCAGATCCAGAAAGCAGATCCCCAGGAAGAACTCAGTCCAAGGTGAAATAGAAACCATGAAGTTCCAACCTTAGCTGTCACATACAGACAACATGGCCGAGCATTCAATAGCCAGGCAGGGAGTGTGACCTCAAGGCAGAGAGTAGAGGCTTCCCAGCAAGGAGGAAGAGACTCCAACCACATCACAGCTACTCACCATTGACATAGAGACTGTCCCTGTCCAGGGTGTAGGGGCCCAGCTCAGTGATGCCATGGGTCAGCTGGCTCAGTTCCCAGTATAGCTGCTCTCTGTCCAGTCCAGGGCTTTTGGGGTCAGGGCGGTAGGTGCAGATGGCATCCACTTTGGTGGCTGCCCCATCCTTCTTGGGCCTGGGGAGGGCAAGATTGGGGGAAGACAATACATGGATTGCCTAGGGAGGGGTCCTGAGATCCCACGGGGCAGGACAGGATGGGGCCAGAGGAAATGAGAAGACTGGTAGAGAAGTGAGAAGCCACACTTCCATTCTCTGAGTACACTGACTCTCAGCGACTATAAGCAGAATCATGGATGCAAGGATTTTTATAAAATTGCAAAGTGGAAACTTTTTAATAAAATTGCAAGAGGAGAACTCATACTTGAGACAGGTAAAGAGTTGGGATGAAAGCAGGTGGACAAGGCATGTTTTTCTTGGGAGAAATCCTGGGAACAGCATTTAACAGAATTTAACCACTTGTGGAAAGGCAGGTAGGGCAAAGGAGGGAATTCAGAGGGATGACCAAGGTAGAAGCCCAGTCGTGCTGATGGGCTCTGCATCTCTCAGTTGAGGTGGGAGGTGGTAGGATCAGGAAGCACATTGGTCTTGGAGCCACTGCCTGCTGGATTCCACCTGTGCTGTGGACATCTCCAGGGAGTGCAGAAAGGAAGCAGGTCAGACTTCTCAGATCAGTCAGACTGGCTGTTCTCAGTTCTCACCTGAGTAAGGTCAGTCTGCAGCCAGAGTACAGAGGGCCAACACTGGTGTTCTTGAACAAAGGCCTGAGCTGTGGAGGAGGGAGAAAGAGGTGAATGGGAGGACTGAAGTCATAGGGATGTGGTAGAAGGGAGGTGGGCAGGGCGGGCAACAGTTGGTGGGGCTGGCATCAGTGGTTGGGGCATGCATATCTGGGGGCAAGATGAGGTAGGTGAGATCTTCCATGCTCTGCAACAGGTGAGGTGGGCAGGACTGAACATGGTGAGTGGGGTAGAATGAGGTGTGTGGGGCTCTTACCAGACCCTGAAGGACTCTCTCTGTGGTGTTAAACTTTCCAGAGCCAGGGTGATGCATGCTCTCCTCATACCACAGGTTAGTGATGGTGAAGTTAAGTGTGAATAGCACCAGGAGAGGGCTGGCGGCTATAGTGAAGATGGGAAATAAAGTGTTTAAAAGTAGACTAACATGTAAGAATTTGTGATAGAGGCTGGGCGCGGTGGCTCACGCCTGTAATCCCAGCACTTTGGGAGGCCGAGGTGGGTGGATCATGAGGTCAGGAGATTGAGACCATCCCAGTTAACAGAGTGAAATCCTGTCTCTACTAAAAATACAAAAAAATTGCCAGGCATGGTGGCGGGCGCCTGTAGTCCCAGCTGTTCGGGAAACTGAGGCAGGAGAATGGCATGAACCCAGGAGGCGGAGCTTGCAGTGAGCCGAGATCGTGCCACTGAACCAGATCTAGCCTGGGTGATGGAGACTCCGTTTCAAAAAAAAAAAAAAAAAAAAAGAATTTGTGATAGAATTGTTTCTAAACATATGCAACATGATTTAAAGTGACAAAATAAAAGGTTTTCAGGCCTCTCTTGACTATAATGATAGATAGTTTTCATAGAGCATACTAAATAATAGTAGTTAGATGCTGAGCATAGCTCTTGGTGCATATTCAGTATTCCATACTACTAGACATTATCTACTACTTTGTCAACATCACAATCATCATCAACATCAGCAACACTGTGACCATCACTATCATTATTGTCATCACCACCAGCATCAGCACAAAACCATGACCATCATAATTCCTATCATCCCCACCCATTGCCATCATCACACCACCAGCACCCCAACCATCATCATCCATATAATCACCACTAGCACATGGTCACTAACACCATTATCATATCATTCTTACCGTCATAACCACCATCACCACCACCACCACCATCATCATCATTATCACCATCATCACCACTATCATTATCCTTTTTGTCAACATCACGATCACATTGTCAATTACCTTCAAAACCATCACATCACCACCACCACTGTCATCCTTCCCATAATCATCACCACCACTATCGTCATCATCACCGTCAAAACCACTACCACCACCATCATCATCACCATCATCATCAGCAATGCCATCATTGTTGTCATCATGTCCACCACCATCATCACCACCACCCCTATCATTATCATCGTCATCATCACAATAATATAACCTTCCTGAGGACAGAGATTTGTATTTCTTTGGTGTTCCCTGCCTTATCCCTAGGGCCCTGAAGCAGCCAGACTCTCAATAAAATTTGTTGGTTGACTTCTCATCACTACATTCACTAGGACTTTTCATCTTTATTTGAGTGAAAATGGCGGAGTTGTAGGCCAGGTGCGGTGGCTCACGCCTGTCATCCCAGCACTTTGGGGGACCAAGGCAGACAGATCACGAGGTCAGGAGTTCGAGATAAGCTTGACCAACATGGTGAAGCCCCATCTCTACCAAAAATATAAAAATTAGCTGGGCACGGTGGCATGCACCTGTAATCCCAGCTATCCAGGAGGCAGAGGCAGGAGAATTGCTTGAACCCAGGAGGCCGAGGTTGCAGTGGGCCAAGATCACGCCATTGCATTCCAGCCTGGGCGACAGAGTAAGACTCCATCTCAAAAAAGGAAAGAAAAAGAAAAGAAAATAGCAGAGATGTTGACACTCCTCAGGCATGCTGTAATAGAGATGGCACTGAATGGTACTCACTCGCGGGTCCAGACAGGGAGGCTGGAGTTCTCGAAGTTCCCAGGTACATTGTGGAGGTATCAGGAGCTGAGGAGAAGGTTTGCTGTATTAGTGAAAGCAGCAAACCCTCTCACGGCAGAAACACCAGCAGGTAGGAGTATTTATGGCCCCTGCTGCATGTGGGGCTTGAGCAGGATCTCCATCTGGAGATGGGCCAGAGGGAAAGGGGAATAACTTGTGCTCTCTCAGTTCCTTCCCTCATGAAGAGGATATAGGGGCATAGAAGGAGAGGAAAGCTCCTGCCCTTTATGGTGTAGGATCAGGAGCACTGGAACATCAGTTAATACTCACTTCTGGTGGTCATCATGGAGCTCTGATGGGTGAAACCTGCATTGAGATGGAGGGAGGAGAGTAGGTAAGTGTTAACGGAGTGGTGGGGTACCCTGGTGCAACAGAAGGAATTTCCCAGAACATGGGACATTGAAGATTCTCTATCAGCACCCTCAGATTTAGAAAGCAGATCCTGAGGGTAAACTCAGTCCCAGATGAAGAAGAAACCACGAGGTTTTGACCTTGGCCACCACATACAGACAACATGGCTGAGCCTTCAATAGCCAGACAGGGAGTGTGACCTCAGGCCAGAGAATAGAGGCTGCCCAGCAAGGCAGAAGAGACTCCAGCCACATCAAAGTTGCCCACCATTGACATAGAGACTGTGTCTGTCCAGGGTGTAGGGGCCCAGCTCAGTGATGCCATGGGTCAGCTGGCTCAGCTTCCAGTACAGCCGCTCTCTGTCCAGTCCAGGGCTTTGGGGGTCAGGACGGTGGGTGCAGACAGCATCCACTCTGGTGGCTGCCCCATCCTTCTCAGGCCTGGGGAGGGCAGATGAAGCAAATAACAATTTAAAACTTGCCTCAGGGGGAGTTCTGAGATTTCCTGAGGCCAGACAGGAAGGGACCAGAGGAAATGAGAAGCCTGGGAAAGAGGTCATAAGTCACATTTAGATTCTCTGAGTGTCCCAGCTGCCAGCCAGCCCAGGACTGTGAACAGAGTCATAGATGCAAGAACTTTTTATAAAATTGCAAGGTGAAGCCTGCATTCTCATGGCGTGGAGACAAGAGTACTCAGACATGAGACAGATGAAGAGCTGGAATTGGGGATGAAAGCAAGTGGATGAGACATGTTTGTCTTACGAGAAATCCTGGGGACAGAATTTAACAACTGGAGGAAAGGGAGGTGGGTGGAAAGGAGGGAATTCAGAGGGATGACCAAGGTAGAAGCCCAATTCTCCTGATGGACTCTGCAGAATCTCTCTGTTGATTGGGGCGGTGCCGATGGTATCGAGAGACAGATTAGTTTTGAAGCCACTGCTTCCTGAATTCCATCTTTTGTGAGGACATTCACAGGGATGGCAGGAAAAAAAAAAAACCAATCCAAACTCTTTGAGTCTAGGAACAATTGGGGCAGCTAGGCTAGCTCTTCTAAAGTCTCACCTGAGCAAGGTCAGTCTGCAACCAGGGTACAGAGCGCCAACACTGGTGTTCTTGAACAAGGGCCTAAGCTGTGGAAGAGGGAGAGGGAGGTGACTAGGAGGGCTGGGGACATAGTGGTGGGGCACAAGTGTGGCGGACGCAGCTGGCACCAGTGGGCAGGGCTTGTGTCTATGGGGTAGGTGGATGAGATTTTCTTCCATGGCCCTGGCATGGGTAATGTTGTTGGGACCAGGTAAGGTGAGTGGGGCAGAGTAAGGTGGGCAGATGTCTCACCAGACCCTGAAGGACCCTCTCCGTGGTGCTGAACTTCCTGGAGCCAGGGCGACCCATGTCCTCCTCGTACCGCAGGTTATTGATGGTAAAATTGAGGGTGAATGGCAGCAGGAGAGGGCCAGTGCCTGTAGTAAAAGGTGGGAAACAAACACTATTGCGTTTGTATTTTTAATCAGTTGCATATAGTTAAAATAAGTCTATTGAAAACTCCTCAAGGTTCTCGACTTTTGCAATAGACTTGAAGAGTGCAATAAATTTATTTTTAATCATATGCAACAGAATTTAAAATGAATGAAAAATAAAAGGTTGCTGTGCCCTTCTTGATATAAATTATTTTTTTAAAAAACATATTAAATAATACTTGTTAGATTCTGAGCTCAGCTTTTGGTGCATATTCAGTGCTGAAAAATATCAGATATTACCTGTTACCTTTGTCATCACCATTATCATCATCATAATCATGATCATCATCATCATTATTGTCAGCATCAGCACCACCACTATCACCACCATGACAATCCCCATCAATGCTATCACAAACATCATTATCACCATTGTCATCTCATCATTACCATCATAATCACCATCACTGTCATCATCTGAATAATCATCATCATCACGATCATTGTCATCATAATCACCATCGTCATCATTATTGTCATCCTCAGTAACACCACCATCACCAATGTCATAATCTACATCAACACCACCACAAACATCATCATCATCATCACCATAATCACATCATCATTACCATCATAACCAGCAACATTACTGTCATCATCCAAACAGCCATCATCATCTTTACCATCATCATCACCATTGTTATCATCATCACCACTCCAACATCATCCCCACAGTCAATACAACTGTCATCATCATCATTATTATAATTATTGCCAACATCCCCATAATTATTGTCAATTGTAATCCCCACCACCACCACCACCATCATTCTTCCCATGATTACCCCCACCATAATCATCATTATCCTTACCATCATCACCACCACCACCACCAGCACCACCACTGCAGTCATCATCACCGCCACCCCCATCAACATCATCACAATAATATAAGCTCATTGAGGGCAGTGTTTTTTCTTTTTTTGTTCCCTGATGTATATCCAGGTCCTGATACACAGGCAGTGCTCAATGAACTTAGTTGGTTGACCTATGGTTACTAGATTTACTATGAATTCCCATCTTTAGTTGAGTGAATAACGACAGAGATGTTTACACTCATCAACCATGCTCTAAATATCATTGACTGGTATTTACCTGTGGGGCCAGGGAGGGATGATGGAGTCTCAGAGGTTTCCAGCTGTACTGTGAAAGTCCCAGGAGCTGAGGAGAAGCCCTCATCAGTGAAAGGAGCAAGTGCTCTCATGGAAGTAATGCCAGCAGGAGGGACTATTCATGGGGATTTTTGCCTGTAGGGCTTCAGCTGGGATTCTGGTTAGCTGGGGCAGTGGGGATGGGGAATAATTTTTGCCCTCTATGTTCCTTCCCATATGGAAAGAACGTAAGGGCTTATGAATAGGGGTCAGCTCCTGCTAAGTTTGGTGTAGGATTGGGGCCACTGGAACATCAGTAGAATACTCACTGCTGGTGGCAGGCACAGAGCTCTGCTGGGTGAAACCTGCATAGAGAGGGAGGGAGGAATGTGAATAAGAGTCAAGTGGGAGGTAGGGAATCAAACAAAAGTCAGGACTACCCTGATGGAATTAAAGGAGTTTCATGGAACAGGGACATTTGGAGATTCTCTGTCAGAATCTGAGTATCAGGGAAGAAGGTACTAAGGATGAAATCAGTTCAAGATAAAGAAGAAATCATGAAATTGTGACATCAATCACCACATACAGACATGTCCTAGCCTTCAGTGTCCAGGCAGGGCATGTGACCTCAAGTCAGAGAGTAGAGGCTGCCCAGCTAGGAGAAAGAGACTCTAACCACATAACAGCTGCTTACCATTGACATAGAGACTATCCCTGTCCAGGGTGTAGGGGCCCAGCTCAGTGATGCTGTGGGTCAGCTGGCTCAGCTCCCAGTATAGCTGCTCTCTGTCTAGCCCAGGGATTTTGGGGTCAGGGCGGTGGGTACAGATGGCGTCCACTCTGGTGGCTGCTCCATCCTTCTCAGGCCTAGGGAGAGGTGGTGAGGGGAATGGCAATAAATGAATTGCCTAAGGAGAGATCCTGAGATGGCAGAGTGAAGGACAAAAAGGACAGAGGAAGTAAAAAGTCTATTACAGAGGTGGGAAGCATTACTTAGATTCTCTGAGTGCACTGGCCGGCCTGGGACTGTGAGCATAGTTGTGGATATAATAGTTTTCCCAAAATGGCAGGGCGGATCCTGCATTCTTAAAGCCTGGAAACAGGAGAGCTCAGATTTGAGATAGGTGAAGAGCTGGAATTGGGGATGAAAGCAAGTGGTTGAGGCATGTTTGTCTTGAGAGAAATCCTGGTTACAGAATTTAACACCTAAAGTCAATGCAGGTGGGGGGAAAACAGGGAATTCAGAGGGATGGCCAGGGTAGAAGTCCAGACCTGTTGATGGACTCTGGAATTTCTCAGTCTGTTTGGAAGTGGGGGCGGGGGCACTGCTAATAGCAGGAGACAGGTTAGTCCTGGAGCTACTGTTTCCTGAATTCCATCTTTGATAAGAATAATCACAAAGAGGACAGGAAAAAAGAAGTCCAAACTCATTGAGACTAGGAACAATTGGGGCAGCCAGGCAGGAAATTCTAAGGTCTCACCTGAGCAAGGTCAGTCTGCAGCCAGAATACAGAGGGCCAACACCCGTGCTCTTGAACAAGTGCTTGAGCTGTGGAGGAGGGAGAGAGAGGTCAGTGGCAGGGCTGAGGAGGCAGGGGCAGGGCAGAAGTGAGGTGGGTGGGGCTGGCTCTAGTTGGTAGAGCTGACATCAGTAGGTTGGATGGGGCTTTTATCTCTTGGGGTGAGGGGAGGTGGGTGAGATCTTCTGTGGCCATATAGATACATAGGTGGGACTAGGTAAGATGGGTAGGGCAGAGTGAGATAGGTGGGGCTCTCACCAGACCCTGCAGAACCCTCTCCGTGGTGTTGAACTTCCTGGAGCCAGGGTGACCCATGTTCTCCTCATACTGTAGGTTAGTGATGGTGAAGTTGAGTGTGAATGGCACCAGGAGAGGGCTGGTGGCTATAGTGAAGGTGAGAAATAAACACTATGTTTGAAAGTAGAGAACATTTAAGAGTTTGCAATAGACTTATTTCTAAATATATGCAACAGGATTTAAAATGGGTAATAAAACATAATGTTTTCATGCCTCCTTTGACTATTATGATAGATGTTTTTGATAGAGCACATTAAATAACTGTAGTGAGATGCTGAGCATAGGTCTTGGTGCATATTCAGTGTTCCATAGTGCCAGATACTATCTAGTGCCATTGTTAACACCAACTTCATTTTCAATATCACCATGATTATCTCCATGAGTATTACTGTCATCATCATCACCATTAGCACCAACCCCGCCACTACCAGCACCACCATCATCATCATCATCATTACCACCACAACCATCATCATCCTAATCATCACCTCCATCACCATTTTCATCATCACCATCATCATTGTCAATATCACCATGCTTATCACCATCAGTAGTATTATTGTCATCATCATCACCACCATCATCATTATCCTCATCATCCCCATCACCAGCAGTGCTATCATCATCGCCATCTTCATTACCATCAGTGTCAACATCACCATCATTTTTGTCAATCACCACCACCATAATTATTACTGTCTTCACATAATTATTATCATCATAACCACTACCCCCACCATTGTCATCATCCTCATCATTGTCATAATAATTAGCATCATCACCACCATCATCTATATCATGATCATTATCATCATCATCATCATCACCATCACCACCATCATCATCACCACCACTTACATCATCATCATCATCACAGGAATATAAGCTATCTTAAGCAGAGATTGCTATCTATTTCTATGTTCCCTGCTGTATCTTCAGGGCCTGGCACATAGTAGGTGCTCAATAAAGTTTACAGGTTAACTCCTCATCACTAGATTTACTATGACTTTTATCTTTATTTAAGTGCATAATGGCAGAAATGTTTATATTCATCAGGAATGCTCTAACGGAGATGCCACTGGCTGATACTTACCTGTAGTTTCAGGGAGGGAAGACAGGATCCCAGAGGTTCCCAGGTTCACTGTGGAGGTCCCAGGAGCTAAGGAGAAGCCCTTATCAGTGAAAGCAGCAAGCATTCTCATGGCAGAAATGCCAGCAGGTAGGACTAGTATGAGGCTTGCTGCATGTGGGTCTTGAACTGTGTTTCTCTTTGGGCACAAGGGAGAAGGAATAACTTGTGCTCTCCCAGCACCTTCTCTCATGAAGAGGACATAAGTGTGTATGAGGAGGGCTCAGCACCTGCCCTGCTTGGAGTAGAATTGGGGGTACTGGAACATCAGTTGAATACTCACTGTTGGTGGTTGGTATGGAGCTCCAATGAGTGAAACCTGCAGAGAGAGGGAAGGAGGATAGTGGGTAAGGGTTAAGGAGAGGTGGGAGGATGAAATAGGAATCAGGGCTACCCTGGTGGATTAGAAGGGGTTTCATGGAACAGGAGCCATTAAAGGTTCTCTATCAGCACATTCACTTCAGGGTCCAAGGTCTGGAGGATGAACACAGTACAAGATGCAGGAAAAAAAATAATGAAATTCTAACATCAATCATCACATGCAGACAACATGGCAGAGATTTCAACGTCCAGACAGGAAGTGTGACCTCAAGCCAGAAAGGAGGGGCTGCCCAGCAAGAAGGACGAGAATCCAACTACATCAAAGCTGCTCACCATTGACATAGAGACTGTCCCTGTCCAGGGTGTAGGGGCCCAGCTCAGTGATGCCATGGGTCAACTGGCTCAGCTGCCAGTACAGCTGCTCTCTGTCCAGTCCAGGGCTTTGAGGGTCAGGGCGGTAGGTACAGATGGCATCCACTCTGGTGGCTGCCTTGTCCTTCTCTGGCCTGAGGAGGTTAAGTGGGTGGAGGGGGTGACAATGAAAGGATTGCCCAGGCAGGGGTTCTGAGATTCCTGAGGGAAGGACAGGGAGGGGACAGAGGAAATGAGAAGCCGGGGAGAGAGGTGAGAAGCCACAATTAATTTCTCTAAATGCACCAACTCCTAGCCAGCCCTGGATTGGGAGCAGAGTCATGGACACAAGAATATTTATGAAATTGCAAGGTGAAACTTCCAGTTTGATAGCACGAAGACAGGAGAGCTCAGACTTGAGACAAGTGAAGAGCTAGAATCAGAGATAAAAGCAAGTGGAAAACCCACCTTTCTCTTAAGGGAGACCTTGGGAACAGAATTTTAAAACTTAAGGGAAGGGATAAGGAGGAATGGAAGGTATTAAGAAGGATGAGTGGAGTAAGAACCCAATCTTGATGATGGGCTCTGCAGAATCTGTCACTTGAGTGGGGAAGTGCTAGGATCAGGAGACACATTCTTTCTTGAAGCCACTGCCAACTGAATCCCACTTCTGCTGAGGACGCTCACAGGGAGGGCAAGAAGGATGCTGCTGGGGCCTGGGAACACTTGGGTAAGCCCTGATTGGCTATTCTAAGGTCTCACCTGAGCAAGGTCAGTCTGCAGCTGGAGTACAAAGGGCTGATACTGGTATTCTTGAACAAGGGCCCCAGCTGTGGAGGAGGGAGAGAGAGGTGATTGGGAGGGGTGATGAGGAGGGGCAGGGCAGAAATGAGACAGGTGGGGCTGACACCAGTGGGTACGGCTTGTGATTTGGGGTCAAAGGTGATTCACATGGGATCTTCTTGTACATCCCTGGCATGGGTGATGCAGGTAGAATCTGGTAAGGTGGGCCAGGCAGTTAGATGGGTTGGACTCTCACCAGACCCTGTAGGACCCTCTCCGTGGTGTTGAACTTCCTGGAGCCAGGGTGTCGCATGGCCTCCTCATACTGCAAGTTGGTGATGGTGAAGTTGAGGGTGAATGGCAGGAGGAGAGGACCAGGCACTGTAGTGTGGGTAAGAAACAAACACTATGTTCAGAAGTACAGAAATTATGGATTTGCAATAAAATTATTTTTAAATATACACAGCATTAAACGGGATGGACAAAATGAAGATTTTTGATCCCTCCCTTAACTATAACGATAGAATTTAAAAAGACACATAGCATATCATATCAGTTGGATGCTGAGCCTAGCTTTCATTGTATGTTCATTGCTCAATAATGTCATACCTCATCTCTTACCTTTGTTACCACCATCATAATCACCATCATTGTCACCTACAGCATCATTATTGTCATCATCATTGCCACCACCACCACCGTAATAATCCCCATAATCACCACCAGCACAACCATCACCACCACCATCATCATCATCACCGTCATTACTGCCATCATCACTGCCACCACCATCACCATAATCCCCATTGTCATCATCATCATTGTCACCCACACCATAATAATTGTCATCACTGCCACCAACACCACCACCATAATAATCTCCATCATCACCACCAGCACCAGAACCACCATCATCATCATCACCATCACTGTCACCCACACCATCCTTGTCACCACCACTGCCATGACCACCACCATAATCATCTCCATCACGACCACCAGCACTATCATTTATCACACTCAACACATCATCATCATCATAACCCCCACCACTGTCATCATCCTCACCACCTTCATCATTATTATCATCATTGCTACCATAAGCATCACCATCATCATCAAAACTGCCACCACTATCATCATCACCACCCGCCACAGTCATCATCACAAGAATATAAGCTCTCTGATGGCAGAGATTTTTATATGTTTTGTATACCTGCTGTATCCCCAGGGTCTGGCACAGAGGAGGTGATCAATCACATTTGTAGGTTGACTTATCATCACTAGATTTACTATGATTTTTACCTTTATTTGAGTAAATAATGGCAGACATGTTTCTGCTCATCAGTCATGCTCTAATAGAGGTGCCATTGACTGGTGCTCACCTGTGTGGCCAGGGAGGGAGGCTGGAGTCCCAGAGGTTTCCAAGTGCACTGCAGAGGTCCCAGGAACTGAGAAGAAGCCCTCATTACTGAAAGCAGCAAACCCTCTCATGGTGGAAATGCCAGCAGGTAAAACTATTATGGGCCCTGCTGCATTTGAGGTTTGAGTTGAGCGTCTCTATGGAGCTAGGGCACAGGGGAAAGGGAATAGACTGTGCCCTTGAAGCCTTTTCCCTTATGAAGAGGACATAAAGGGATAAGAGGTAATGCTAGCTCCTGCCCTGCTTGGTGTAGGACTGGGGGGACTGGAACATCAGTAAAATACTCACTTCTGGTGGTTGGCACAGAGCTCTGATGGGTGAAGCCTGCAGAGAGAGGCAGGGAGGAGAGTGGGTAAGGGTTAAGGAGAGGTCAGAGCAAATAGGGGTCAGGGTTACCCTAGTGCAAGGAGGAAAGTTTCATGAAGCATGGTCATTGAGAATCTTCACCAGCACCCTCATATGGGGGAAGAAGGCCTTGAGGGTAAAATCCGTGCAAGATGAAGATGAAACCGTGAAGTTCAAACCTCAATCATCACATATAGAGCACATCATCAAACCCTCAATGGTCAGACAGGGCATGTGACCCCAGGACAGACAGTAGGGTCTACCCAGCTAGGAGGAAGAGCCTCCAGTCACATCATGGCTGCTCACCATTGACATAGAGACTGTCTCTGTCCAGGGTGTAGGGGCCCAGCTCTGTGATGCTGTTGGTCAGCTGGCTCAGCTCCCAGTATAGCCGCTCTCTGTCCAGTCCAGGGCTGGTGGGATCAAAGCGGTGGGTGCAGATGGCGTCCACTCCAGTGGCTGTCCCATCCTTCTCAGGTCTGGGGAAGGCAAGAGTGGGGAATGGCAATTAATGGATTGCCTAGGGAGGGGTCTTGAGCTTGCTGGGTGAAGGGCAGGAAGGGGTCAGAGGAATTGAGAAGCCTGGTACAGACGTGAGAGAAGTCACACTTTGATTCTTTAAGTGCTTTGACTCCCTGCCAGCCTGGGATTGTGAACAAAGTCATGGATGAGAGGATTTTTATGAAATCACAAGGTGCAACCTGCATTCTCACAGCAATGGGGAAAGAAGAGCTGAATCCTGAGACAGGAGAAGAACAGGAATTAGGGGTGAAATCAAGTGGATGAGGCATGTTTGGCAGAAATTCTGGGGACAGACTTTAACAACTGAAGGAAAGGGAGGTGGAGGGAATTTAGAGGGGTGATGAGGGTAAGGGCTCAATCCTGCTGATGGACTCCGAAGAATGTGTCAGTTGAGGTGGGAGGTGGTAGAATCAGGAGACAAACTGGTTCTGGAGCCATTGCCTCCTGAATTCCATCTGTGCTGAGGCCATCCCACGGTAGGGCAGGAAGGAAGGTGACCAAACTTTTTGGGCCTGGGAACAATTGGGGAAACCAGGCTGGAAATTCTAAGGTCTCACCTGAGCAAGGTCAGTCTGCAGCCAGAGTACAGAGGGCCGACACTGGTGCTCTTGAACAAGGGCTTGAGCTGTGGAGGAAGGGGAAGGAAGTGAGTGGGTGGGTTGAGGTGTAGGGATGGGGCAGACATGAGGTAGGAGGGGCTGGCATCACCAGTTGGGGCTTGCGTCTCTGGGGCCAAGGAGTGGTGGGTGAGACCTTCCGTGGCCCTGGCATGGGTGATATAAGCAGGACTGGTAAGGTGGTGGAGCTCTTACCAGACCCTGCAGAACCCTCTCCGTGGTGTTGAACTTTCTGGAGCCAGGGTGTTGCATGTTTTCCTCATAATGCAGGTTAGTGATGGTAAAGTTGAGGGTGAATGGTATCAGGAGAGGGCCAGCGGCTGTAAAGGGGTTGGGAAATAAACACGATGTTCAAAAGTAGAGAAATATATAACAGTTTGCAATAGACTTATTTTTAAACATATGCAGCAGCATTTCATGTGGATAAAAAATAAAAGATTTTCATGCCTCTCTTGACTACAATAATAGAAGTTTTTCATAAATAAGCATATTATATAATTGTAATGAGATGGTGAACATAGTGCTTGGTGCATATTTAGTGCTCAGTAATGTCAGATGCTATTTTTTACCTCTGTTATTGCCATCTTCGTCATCAACATAACCATAGTTGTTGCCATGGCTATCATCGCTTTCATCACTATCAACGTCAGCACCACCACTACCACCATCCTCATCACCATCACCACCACAGAGATCATAATCAGCATCATCACCACCAGCACCATCATAATATTATTATTACCAGGATAATCACCAACACAATCATCATCATCATCATCATCATCATCATCATCATCATCATCTTCATTATCCTCATTGTCAACATCACAATCATCATTGGCACTCGTCATCACCACCATCATCATCACCACCACAATCACCTCAAATATCACCAGTATCACCACAATCATCCCAAACATCACCACCATCACATCATCATTCCTGTTATAATAAGCACCACTATTATCACCATCATCTTCATCACCATCTCCATAATCATCATCACCATCACCAACATCATCAGCAGCATTGCCATCTTTATAGTCATCTCCATGATATTATCATCATCTCCATCCCCCCCACTATCATCATCACTGCCACCCTTATCATCCTCATCATCACAAGAATATAAGCTCTCTGAAGGAAGATATTTTTATCTCTTTTGTATTCCCTGCCACATTCCACAGGTCTGGCACAGAGTAAGTGCTCAATAAAGTGTGTTGGTTGCATCAGCTGCACTAGATTTGATTTGCTATGATGTTTCATCTTAATTTGCATGAAAATGACAGAGATGAAGACACTTACCATTGACTGGTATCATTGACTGGTGCTCACCTGTGTGGCTGGAGAGGGAGGATGGAGTCCCAGAGGTTGCCAGGTACACTGTGGGGGTCCCAGGAGCTGAGAAGAAGCTCTCATCAGTGAAATTAGCAAGTACCCCCATGGCAGAAAGGCCAGCACGTAAGACTATTATGAAACTTGATGCATATGGGGTTTGACCTAGATCAGTCTGTAGCTGGGGCAGAAGGGAGGATGAATCCATTCTGCCTTCCCAGCTCCTTCTCTTAAGAAGAGGAGCTATGGTTTTATATGGAGAAGGGTCAGCTCCTGCTCTGCTTTGTGTAGAACCAGGGGCATGAGATTATCAGTTGAATACTCACTACTGGTAGTGGGCACAGATTTCCGATGGGTGAAACCTGTAGAGAGAGAGGGATTAACCTGAGTAAGGTTAAGGTAGAGGTGGATAACCAAATAGGGGTCAGGGCTACCCTGGTGAAATGGAACCGGGGCTGCTGGAGGTTTTCTATCAGTATCCTCACATCAGGGAAGAAAACCCTGAGGGTAAACCCAGTCTTCAACATAAAGAAGAAACCATGATGTTCTGACATCAACTATCAAATATAGACAACATTGTCAAGCTTTCAATGGCCAGGCAGTGAGTGTGACTTCAAGCCAGGGAGTAGAGGTTGCCCATCAGAGAGGAAGAGCCTCCAACCACATCACAGCTGCTCACCATTGACATACAGACTGTCTCTGTCCAGGGTGTAGGGGCCCAGTTCAGTGATGCTGTGGGTCAGTTGGCTCAGCTCCCAGTAGAGCTGCTCTCTGTCCAGCCCAGGTCTTTTGGGATCAGGGTGGTAGAGGCAGACAGCGTCCACTCCAGTGGCTGCTCCATCCTTCTCGGTCCTGGGGAAAGGAGGTGGGGAGAATGACAATGAAAAGATTACCTAGGACAGGTCTTGAGATTGCTGATGGAAGGACAGCAAAGGAGAAGGGAAAATGAGAAACCTGGGAAAGAGGTGAGAAGCCACACTTAGATTCTCTGAGTGCACGGACTACCAGCTTGCTTGGGACCATAAACAGAGTCAAGGATACAACAATTCTTATAAAAGTGCAAGGGTGAAATTTGCATTCTCATGGCATGGGAAAAAAGAGCCCAGACTTGAGACCACTGAAGACCTTGAAATGGGGATGAAAGCACATGGGTGAGGCATGATTGTCTTGAGAGAAATTCTGGGGACAGAATTTAACACCTAAAGGAAAGGGAGAGAGAGGGAAAGGTAGGGGCTCAATCCTGATGATGGACCACGCAGATTCTCTCTGTTGAGGTGAGGTGTGGGGGTGTTACTATCAGGAAACACACCGGTCCTGAAGCCAGTGACTCCTGAATTCCACCTTTGGTGAGGATATCCCTAGGAAGTGTATAAAGGAAGATGTGCAAAGTCTATTGGAGTGAGAATAGTTGGGACAGCCAGGCTGGCTATTCTAGCCTCACCTGAGAGAAGTCAGTCTGCAGCCAGAGTACAGAGGGCCAACACTGGAGTTCTTGAATATGGGACTAAGCTGTGGAGGAGGGAGAGAGAGGTGAGTAGGAGGGTTAAGGTCCCTGTGTGGGGGCAAAAGTGAGGTGGGTGGGGCAGGGCGCAGTGGGCATGGCTGGCCTCAGTGGGTGAGGCTTGCATCTCTGGGGATGAGGGCAAGGTGGGTGCGATCTTCTTCCATGGCCCTGGCACAGATGTTGTATGAGGGGCTGGGTATCTGGAGTCGGGGAGAGTGAAGAGGTCAGGGTACTAACCAGACCCTGCAGGACCCTCTCTGTGGTGTTGAACTTCCTTGAGCCAGGGTGATGCATGTCCTCCTCATACTGCAGGTTGGTGATGGTGAAGTTGAGGGTGAACGGCACCAGGAGAGGGCCAGCAGCTGTAGTGGGAGGGGGAAACAAACATTACGTTTAAAGTGGAGAAAATAGGAATTTGCAACAGACTTATCTTTAAACATGTGCAACATTTAAATTGAATGACTAAATAAATATTTACCATGCATCCCTTTCCTATAATGACAGAATTTATTTACTTATTTTTTTGAGATGGAGTCTCACTCTGTCACTAGGCTGGAGTGCAGTGGCACCATCTTGGCTCACTGCAACCTCTGCCTCACGGATTTAAGCAATTCTCCTGCCTCAGCCTCCCAAGTAGCTGGGACTACAGGCATGCACCACCACGCCCGGCTAATTTTTGTATTTTTAGTAGAGATGGGGTTTCGCCATGTTGGCCAGGATAGTCTCGATCTCTTGACCTCGTGATCCACCCACCTCGGCCTTCCAAAATGCTGAGATTATGGATGTGAGCCACTGCACCTGGCCTGACATAATTTATTTTTTAAAGGATGCTTTATAATAATAGTTAGATGCCGAGCATAGCTCTTGGTGCATATTCAGAGCTTAATATTGTCTGATGTTATCTGTTATCTTTTTTATTGCCATCATTATTGTTGCTATCATTGTCACCATCACCATCATTGTTATCATCATCACCACCATGATAATCCCAAGCATGACCACCACAAACATCATCATCACCACAGACAACACATCACCATTATCAAAACCCCACGACCATCACTGGCATCATCCTCATCACCATCATTGTCATCTTCATCAACATCACCAGTCTCATCATCACCATCTCAAACAGCACCCCAAAAAAGAAAAAATAAAAATAAATAAACAGCACTACCATCACCATCATCATCATCACACTCAACACATCATCACGAATATCATAACTGTTACTGACATCCTCATGTCCATCATCATCATGGTCAGCACCACCACCACCACCATCACCAACAGCATCACTATCATCATTGTCATCATAATCATCATAAATAGCACCACCACCACCATCATCATCACACTCAACATATCATAATTAATATCATAACCACCACCACGATCATCATTATCATCACATAAACAGAAGCTCACTGAGGGCAGACATGTTTTTATTGGTTTTATTTTCCTTGTTGTATCCCTAGGGTCTAGTACACTATAGGTGGCCAATTAATTTTTTTGGTTCACTCACTATCACTAGACTTACTATGATTTTCTATCTTTATTTGAATGAAAATGGCACAGATGTTTACATTCATCAGGCATGCTCTAACAGAGATGCCATTGACTGGTACTTACTTGTGGGGCTGGGGACGGGGGATGGTGTCCCTGAGATTCCAAGGTCCACTGTGGAAGTCCAAGGAGCTGAGAAAAAGTCCTCATCAGTGAAAGCAGGAAGTACTCTCATGACAGAAATGGCAAGAGGGGAGACTATGGGGTCTGCTGCCTGTGTGACTAGAGATGGGTCTTTCTTTGGAGCTGGGGCAGAGCAGAGCTTGAGTAACTGCTGTCCTCCTATCTCCTTTGCTGAAGAAGAGGACCTATGGGTTTACGAGGAGGGGTAGCTCCTGTTCTGCTTGGTATAGAATCAGGGGCATGTGGACATGACTTGAATACTCACTGCTGGTGGTGGGCACAGAGCTCCGATAGGTGAAACCTGCATAGAGAAGGAGGCAGGAGAGTGCGTAAGGGTTAAGGAGACGTTGGCGACCAAATAGGGGTCAAGGCTACCCTGGTGCAAAGGAATGAATTTCATGGTACAGGGGCATTTGAAGATTTCCTATCAGCATCCTCACATCAGGAAAGAATGCCCTGAGGGAATACGTCCACAGTGATAAAGAAACTATGAAGTCCAGACCTTAGTCATTCCATGTAAAACACATGACAGAATTTTCAATTGCCAGGCAGGAAGCGTGACCTCTAGTTAGAGATTAGAGGCTGCCCAGCAAGAAGGAAGAGACTTCAACCACATCACAGCCACTCACCATTGACATAGAGACTGTTCCTGTCCAGGGTGTAGGGGCCCAGCTCTTTGATGCCATTGGTCATCTGGCTCAGCTCCCAGTACAGCTGCTCCCTGTCCAGTCCAGGGCTTTGAGGGGTAAGGCGGTGGGTACAGATGGCATCCACTCCAGTGGCTGCCCCATCCTTCTCAGACCTGGGGAGGGTAGGTGGGGAGAATGACAATGAAAGGATTACCTAGGACGGGTCTTGAGATTGCTGAGAGAAGGATGGCAAGTAACCAGAGGAAATGAGAAACCTGGGAAAGAGGTGAGAAGCCACACTTAGATTCTCTGAGTGTGCAGACTACTGGCTTGTTGGGACTGTGAGCAGAGTCATGAGCACAACAGTTTTGATAAAAGTGCAAGGTGAGGCTGGGCACGGTGGCTCATGCCTGTAATCCCAGCACTTTGGGAGGCCGAGGTGGGTGGATCACCTGAGGTCAGGAGTTCGAGACCAGCCTGACCAACATGGAGAAACTCTGTCTCTGCTAAAAATACAAAATTAGCCGGGTGTGGTGGCCCGTGCCTGTAATCCCAGCTACTTGGGAGGCTGAGGCAGGAGAATCGCTTGAACCTGGGAGACACAGGTTGCGGTGAGCCGAGATCGTGCAATTGCACTCCAGCCTGGGCAACAAGAGTGAAACTCTGTCTAAAAAAAAAAAAAAAAAAAAAAAAAAAAATGCAAAGTGAATCCTGCATTCTCATGGCATGGGGACAGGACAGCCCAGATTTGAGGCCAGTGAAGAGCTGGAAATGAGGATGAAAGCACGTGGCTGAGGCATGATTGTCTTGAGAGAAATCCTGGAGACAGAATTTAAGAACTAAATGAAAGGGAGGGGCAGGGAAAGGAGGAAATTCAGAGGGATGACTGGGGTAGGGGCTCAATCCTGATGATGGATCATGCAGATTCTCTCTGTTGAGGTGGGGTGTGGGGGTGTTACTATCAGGAGATACAGTGGTCCTGAAGCCAGTGACTCCTGAATCCCATCCTTGGTGAGGATATCCCTAGGAAGTGCAGCAAGGAAGCAGTGCAAAGTCTTTTGGAGTGAGAATAATTGGGACAGCCAGGCTGGCTATTCTAGCCTCACCTGAGGGAGATCAGTCTGCAGCCAGAGTACAGAGGGCCGACACTGGAGTTCTTGAACAACGGACCAAGCTATGGAAGAGGGAGAGAGAGGTGAGTAGGAGGGCTAAGGTCCCCGTGTGTGGGTGCAGAAATAAGGTGAGCGAGGCATGGCCCAGTGGGTTCAGTGGTTCAGCCAGAGGCTGGCTTCAGTGGGCATGGCTGGCCTCAGTGGGCGAGTCTTGCATCTCTTGGGGCAAGGACGAAGTGGGTACATTCTTCTCCCATTACCCTGGCTTGGATGTTGTAGGAGGCACCGAGTATCTGGGTCAGGGCAGAGTGAGGAGGACAGGGCACTAACCAGACCCTGCAGGACCCTCTCTGTGGTGTTGAACTTCCTGGAGCCAGGGTGATGCATGTCCTCCCCATACTGCAGATTAGTGATGATGAAGTTGAGGGTGAATGGCACCAGGAGAGGAACAGCTGCTGTAGTGGGAATTGAAAATAAATACTGTGTTCAAATTAGACAAAATAGGAGTTTGCAATATACTTATCTTTAAATATAGGCAGCATTTCAATTGACTGACAAAGTAAATATTTACCATGCCTCCCTTGTCTTCAATGACAGAATTTATTTTTTAAAGGATATTATATAAAATAGTAGTTAGATGCTGAGCATAGCTCTTGGTTCATATTCAGTGCTCAATATTGTCTGATGTTACCTGTTATCTTTATTATTGCCATTATTATCCTTGCTATCATTGTCACAATCACAATCATTATTATTATCACCACCACCATAATAGTCCCCACCATGACCACGACAAACATCATCATCACCACACTCAATATGTCACTATTATCATCATAACCCCATGACCATCTCTGGCATCATCCTCATCACCATCATTGTTATTGTCATCAACATCACCAGTTTCTTCATCGCCATCATCAACAGCACCACCACCACCATCATCCTCACTAACATCATAACCGTCACTGACATCATCCTCATATCCATCATCATCGTGGTCGGCAACATCAACACCATTATCATCAGCATCACTATCATCATCATCATCATCATCATCATCATCATCATCATCAACAGCATCACTACCACCATCATCAGCAGCATTACCATCATGATCATCATCATGATTATCATCATCGTCATCAACAACTAGCACCACCACCGCTATCATCAACACATGAATAAAAAAGCTCACTGAGGGCAGAGACACTTTTATTGGTTTTGTTTTCCTTGCTGTATCCCTTGGGTGTGGTACACAGTAGGTGGCCAACAAGTATTTTTGGTCCACTCACTATTACCAGATGTACTGTACTTTTCCATCTTTATTTGAGTGAAAATGGCAGAGATGTTCACACTCATCAGGCATGCTATAATAGAGATGTCATTGACTGGTACTTACCTGTGGGGCTGAGGAGGAAGGATGGAGTCCCTGAGGTTCCAAGCTCCACTGTGGAAGTCCCAGGAGCTGAGGAAAAGTCCTCATCAGTGAAAGCAGAAAACACTCTCATGGCAGAAATGGCAAGACAGGGGACTATTATGAGGTCTGCTGCATGTGGGCTTCAGCTGGGTGTGTCTTTGGAGCTGAGGCAGAGGGAAGCTTCAATAACTTCAGCCTTCCCAGCTCCTTTGCTCATGAGGAGGACTTATGGGTTTATGAGGAGGGGCAGCTCCTGCTTTGCTTGGTGTAGTATCAGGGGCATGTGGACATGAGTTGAATACTCACTGCTGGTGGGGGCCACAGAGCTCCAACGGGTGAAACCTGCATAGAGAAGGAGGGAAGAAATTGTGTAAGGATTCAGGAGATGTGGGGGACGCAATAGGGTTCATGGCTATCCTGGTGCCATGGGACAGGGACCATTAAAGATTTCCTATCAGCATCCTCATAACAGAGAAGAATTCCCTGAGGGAATGCAGTTCACGATGACGAAGAAACCATGAAGTCCAGAACTTAGTCACCCCATATAGAGCACATAACAGAATTTTCAACAGCCAGGCGGAGAGTGTGCCCGGAAGCCAGAGATTAGAGTTCTCCCAGCAGGGAGGAAGAGACTCCAACCACACCACATCTGCTCACCATTGACATAGAGACTGTTCCTGTCCAGGGTGTAGGGGCCCAGCTCTTTGATGCCATGGGTCAGCTGGCTCAGCTCCCAGTACAGCTGCTCTCTGTTGAGTCCAGGGCTTTTGGGGTCAAGACGGTGGGTGCAGATGGCATCCACTCCAGTGGCTGCCCCATTCTTCTCAGGCCTGGGGAAGGTAGGTGGGAGGAATGCAATCAAAAGATTAACTACGAAGGGTTTTGAGATTGCTGAGGGAAGGACAGCAAGGAACCAGAGGAAATGAGAAACCTGGGAAAGAGGTGAGCAATTACAGTTTCTCTGAGTGCACCAACCACTGGTTTGCTTTGAACTGCAAGCAGGGTAATGGATACAAGAATTTTTATAAAAGTGCAAAGTGGCCTGGCACAGTGGCTCACACCTGCAATCCCAGCACTTTGGGAGGCCAAGGCGGGCAGATCACTTGAGGTCAGGAGTTCAAGACTAGCCTGGTCAACATGGTGAAACCCAGTTTCTATGAAAAATACAAAAATTAGCTGGGTATAGTAGCGGGTGCCTGTAATCCCAGCTACTCGGGAGGCTAAGGCAGGAGAATCACTTGAACATGGAAAGCAGAGGTTGCAGTGAGCTGAGACCAGTCTGGTGTGTAGTAAGACTACGTTTCAACAATGAAATAATAAAATAAAATAGTGCAAGTTGAAACCTGCATTCTCATGGCATGGGGACAGAGACGCCAGACTTGAGACCAATGAAGAGCTGGAAATGGAGATGAAAGCCTGTGGATGAGGCACGATCGTCTTGAGAGAAATCCTGGGGACAGAATTTAAGACCTAAAGGAAAGGGAGGTACAGGGACAGGAGGGAATTCAGAGGGATGATCAAGGTAGAGGCTCAATCCTGATGATGGACTATGCGGATTCTCCCTGTTGAGGTGGGGTGTGGAGGTGTTACTATCAGAAAACACATTGGTCATGAAGCCAGTGACTCCTGAATTCCACCTCTGGTGAGGATATCCCTAGGAAATGCAGCAAGGAAGCAGTGCCAAGTCTACTGGAGTGAGAACAAGTGGGGCACCCAGGCTTGATCTTCTAACGTCTCACCTAAGCAAGGTCAGTCTGCAGCCAGAGTACAGAGGGCCGACACTGGTGTTGTTGAACACGGGACCAAGCTGTGGAGGAGGGAGAGGGAGGTGAGTAGGAGGGCTAAGTTGCATGCTGGCTTCAATGGGCATAGCTTGCATCTCCTGGGGCAAGGGTGAGGTGGGTGTGATCTTCTTCCATTGCCTGGCATGGATGATGTAGGAGGTACTGACTGTCTGGGGTGGGGCAGAGTGAGGAGGGTGAGGCACTAACCAGACCCTGCAGGACCCTCTCTGTGGTGTTGAACTTCCTGGACCCTGGGTGATGCATGTCCTCCTCGTACTGCAGGTTGGTGATGGTGAAGTTGAGGGTGAATGGCACCAGGAGAGGGCCAGCAGCTGTAGTGGAGGTGGGAAGCAAACACTATGTTCAAAGTAGAGAAAATAGGAGTTTGCAATAGACTTATCTTTAAACATATGCAGAATTTAAATTAAGTGACAAAATATTTACCATGCTTCCCTTGCCTATAACCATGCAATTTACTTTTACAAACATATATTATATAATAGTATTTAGTTGCTGAGCACTGCTCCTGGTGCATATTCAGTGCTCAATATTGTCTGATGTTATCTATTATCTTTATTGCCATCTTCATCCTTGCTATCATTGTCACTGTCACCATCATTATTATGATCATCACTGCCATAATAATCCCCATCATAACCACCACAAACATTATCATCACCACACTCAATGCATCATCATTATCATCATAACCCCGCAACAATCACTGGCATCGTCATCATCACCATCATTGTCATTGTCATCAACATAACCACTACCAACATCAATATCATCAGTACCATGGTCACCATCATAAACAGCATCACTACAATTATCATCATCATCACACTTAACACATCATCATTACCATCATAACCTTCACAACCATCACTGACAACATCCGCAAGTCCATCACCATAATCATTGGTAATATCCCCACCACCATCATCAACATCATCCCACTCAACATGTCATTATTACTATCATAACCACCACCACCACCATCATCATCACATGAACACAAGCTCACTGAGGGCAGAGATGCTTTTATCGGTTTTATTTTCCTTGCTGTATCCCTAGGGTCTGGCACACTGCTGGTGGCCAATAAATTTTTTTGGTTCACTGAGTATCACTATATTTACTATGACTTTCCATCTTCATTTGAGTGAAAATGGCACAGATGTTAACATTCATCAGGCATGATCTAATAGACATGTCACTGACTGGTACTTACATGTAGGGCTGGGGAGGGAGGATGGAGTCCCTAAGGTCCCAAGGTCCACTGTGGAGGTCCCAGGAGCTGAGAAAAAGTCCTCATCAGTGAAAGCAGAAAACACTCTCATGGCAGAAATGACAAGAAGGTAGACTATTATGAGGTCTGCTGCATGTGGGCTTAAGCTGGGTCTGTCTTTGGAGCTGGGGCAGAAGGGAGCTTGAGTGACTTCTGCCTTCCCAGCTCATTTGCTCAAGAGGAGGACTTATGGGTTTAAGAGGAGGGGCCAATTCCTGCTCCACTTGATGTAGGATCAGGGGCATCTGGACATGAGTTGAATACTCACTGTTGGTGGTGGGCACAGAGGTCCGATGGGTGAAACCTGCATTGAGAAGTAGGGAAGAGACTTGTTATGGGTTAAGGAGATGTGGGAGATGCAATAGGGTTCAGGGCCATCCTGGTGCAATTAAATGAGTTTCATGGGACAGAGGCCATTAAGATTTCCTATCAGCATCCTCCCAAAAGGGAACAGTGGCCTGAGGGAATGCAGTTCACAATGAAGAAGAAACCACGAAATCTAGAACTCAGTCAGACCATGTAGAGCATATGACAGAATTTTCAGTAGTCAGGGAGGGAGCGTGACCTGAAGCCAGAGATTAGAGGTTGCACAGCAAGGAGGAAGAGACTCCTACCATATCACAGCTGCTCACCATTGACATACAGACTGTTCCTGTCCAGGGTGTAGGGGCCCAGCTCTTTGATGCCATGGGTCAGCTGGCTCAGCTCCCAATACAGCTGCTCCCTGTCCACTCCAGGACTTTTGGGGTCAAGATGGTGGGTGCAGAGGGCATCCACTCCAGTGGCTGCTCCATCCTTCTCGGACCTGAGGAAGGTAGGAGGGGAAATGACAATGGAAAGATTGCCTAGGACTTGTCTTGAGATTGTTGAGGGAAACATATCAAGGAACCAGAAGAAATGAGCAACCTGGGAAAGAGGTGAGAAGCCACACTTAGATTATCTGAGTACACAGACCACTGTCTTGGTTGGGACTGCAAGCAGAGTCATGGATATAATAATTTTTATAAAAGTGCAAGATGAAACCTGCATTCTCATGGCATGGGAACAGGAGAACCCAGACTTCAGACTAGTGGTGAGCTTGAAGGCTGATGAATGTATGTGGATGAGGCAAGATTATGTTGAGAGAAATCCTGGGGACAGAATTTAACTCCTAAATGAAAGGGAGGGACAGGCAAAGGAGGGAATTCAGAGGAGTGATCAGGGTGGTGCCTCATTCCTGATGGTGGACCATGAAGATTCTGCATGTTGAGGTGGGGCATGGGGGAGTCACCATCAGGAAACAACTGGTTCTCAAGTCAGTGACTCCTAAATTCTCTTTTTGGTGATGATATCCCTAGGAAGTGCAGCAAGGAGACAGTGCAAAGTCTTTTGGAGTGAGAACAATTGGGGCAGAGAGGCTGCCTCTTCTAAAGTCTCACCTGAGCAAGGTCAGTCTGCAGCCAGAGTACAGAGGGCCAACACTGGTGTTCTTGAACATGGGACCAAGCTGTGGAGGAGGGAGAGGGAGGTGAATAGGAGGGCTAAGGTGTGTGTGTTAGGGGCAGATGTGAGGTGGGCAGAGCAGGCACCAACGAGGAGGGCTGGTCTCCATGGGCGGGGCTTGCATCTCTCGGGGGCAGAGGTGAGGTTGGGGCTACCTTCTTTCATCAACTTGGCATCTATGATGTAGAAGGGACTGGATATCTGGGGCTAGTCAGAGTGTGGAGGGCACGGCACTAACCAGACTCTGCAGGACCCTTTCCGTGGTGTTGAACTTCCTGGAGCCAGGGCGACGCATGTCCTCCTGGTACTTCAGGTTGGTGATGGTGAAGTTGAGGGTGAATGGCACCAGGAGAGGGCCAGCAGCTGTAGTGGGAATTGAAAATAAATACTGTGTTCAAAGTAGAGAAAATAGGGGTTTGGAATAGACTTATCTTTAAACATATGCAAAATTTAAATTGAGAGAAAAATATTTACCATGTCTTCCTTGCCTATAATAATAGAATTTATTTTTATACAAGTATATTATATAATAGTAGTTAAATGTTGAGCATAGCTAGTTGAGCATATTTAGTGCTCAATATTGTCTGATGTTATCTGTTATCTTTGTTATGGCCATCATCATTGTTGCTATCATTGTCATCATCACCATCATTATCATCATCACCATGATCATCCCCATCATGACCACCACAAACATAATCATCAGCACACTCAACACATCATCATTATCATAATAATCACATGACCATCACTGGCATCATCCTCATCACCATCATTGTTATTGTCATCAGCGACACCACTACCAACATCAACATCATCAGTATCATGGTCACCATCATAAACAACACCACCATCATAAACAGCACCACCAACATCATCATCATCATCATCACACTCAGCACATCATTACCATCATAACCTTCACAACCGTCACTGACAACATCCTCATGTCCATCATCATGATTGTCAGTAACATCACCACCACCATCATCAACAGCAGTACCACAATCATAAATCATCATCACCCTCAATATGTCATTATTACTGTTACCACTACCACCACCATCATCGTCACATGAACACAAGCTCACTGAGGGCAGAAATGTTTCTATTGCTTTTGTTTTCCTTGCTATATCCCTAGGGTCTGGAACACTGTAGGTGGCCAATAAATATTTTTGGTTCACTCAGTATCACTAGATTTATTATGATTTTCCATTTTCATTTGACTGAAAATGGCACAGATGTTTACATTCATCAGGCATGATCTAATACAGATACCATTGACTGGTACTTACTTGTGGGGCTGGCGAGGGAGGATGGAGTCTCTGAAGTCCCAAGGTCCACTGTGGAGGTCCCAGGAGCTGAGAAAAAGTCCTCATCAGTGAAAGCAGAAAACACTCTCATGGCAGAAATGGCAAGAAGGTAGACTAGTATGAGGTCTGCTGCATGTGGGCTTGAGCTGGGTCTGTCTTTGGAGCTGGGCAGAGGGGAACGTGAGTAACTTCTTCTGCCTTTCCAGCTCATTTGCTCAAGAGGAGAATATATGGGTTTAAGCGGAGGGGCCAGCTCCTGCTCCACTTGATATAGGATCAGGGGCATCTGGACATGAGTTGAATACTCACTGCTGGTGGTGGGCACAGAGGTCCGATGGGTGAAACCTATATAGAGAAGGAGGGAGGAGACTGGGTAAGGGTTAAGGAGATGTGGGGGACGCAATAGAGTTCAGGACTATCCTGGTGCAATTAAATGAGTTTCACGGGACAGGAGTCATTAAAGATTTCCTATCAGCATCATCACAACAGGGAAGAGTGCCCAGAGGGAATGCCTCTCATGATAATGAAGAATCCATGAAGACCAGAACTTAGTCATCCCATGTAGAGCATATGACAGAATTTTCAATGGCCAGGTAGGGAGTGTGCCCCCAAGCCAGAGATTAGAGGTTGCACATCAAGAAGGAAGAGACTCCTAGCATATCACAGCTGCTCACCATTGACATACAGACTGTTCCTGTCCAGGGTGTAGGGTCCCAGCTCTTTGATGCCATGGGTCAAGTGGCTCAGTTCCCAGTACAGCTGCTCCCTGTCCACTCCAGGGCTTTTGGGGTCAAGACGGTGGGTGCAGATGGCATCCACTCCAGTGGCTGCTCCATCCTTCTCGGACCTGGGGAAGGTAGGAGGGGGAATGACAATGAAAAGATTACCTAGGACTTGTCTTGAGATTGTTGAGGCAAACATATCAAGGAACCAGAGGAAATGAGAAATCTGGGGAAGAGGTGAAAATCTGCACTTACGTTATCTGAGTACATTGGCCACTGTCTTGGTGGGGACTGAGAGTAGAGTCCTGGATATAATAATTTTTATAAAAGTGCAAGATGAAACCTGCATTCTCATGGCATGGGAACAGGAGAACCCAGACTTGAGAGTAGTGAAGAGCTTGAAAGGGGGATGCATGTATGTGAATGAGGTATGATTGTCTTTTTTTGTTGTTGTTGTTCTTGTAAATAAAGCATACTTTATTTTTTTAAATTTTTTAATTTTTAATTTTTTATTATTATACTTTAAGTTCTAGGGTACATGTGCATAACGTGCAGGTTTGTTACATATGTATACCTGTGCCATGTTGGCGTGCTGCACCCATCAACTCGTCATTTACATCAGGTATAACTCCCAATGCAATCCCTCCCCCCTCCCCATGATAGGCCCCGGTGCATGATGTGATTGTCTTAAGAGCAGTCCTGGTGACAGAATTTAACACTAAATGAAAGGGAGGGACAGACAAAGGAGGGAATTCAGAGGAGTGATCAGGATAGTGCCTCAATCCTGATGGTGGACCATGAAGATTCTGCATGTTGAGGTGGGGCATGGGGGTGTTACTATCAGGAAACAACATGTTCTCAAGCCAGTGACTCCTAAATTCCCTTTTTGGTGATGATATCCCTAGGCAGTGCAGCAAGGAGACAGTGCGAAGTCTTTTGGAGTGAGGACAATTGGGGCAGCCAGGCTGGCTCTTCTAAAGTCTCACCTGAGCAAGGTCAGTCTGCAGCCAGAGTACAGAGGGCCAACACTGGTGTTCTTGAACATGGGACCAAGCTGTGGAGGAGGGAGAGGGAGGTGAATAGGAGGGCTAAGGTGTGTGTGTTAGGGGCAGATGTGAGGTGGGCACAGCAGGCACCAATGAGGAGGGCTGGTCTCCATGGGTGGGGCTTGCATCTCTCGGGGGCAGAGGTGAGGTTGGGGCTACCTTCTTTCATCAACTTGGCATCTATGATGTAGAAGGGACTGGATATCTGGGGCTAGTCAGAGGGAGGAGGGCAGGGCACTAACCAGACTCTGCAGGACCCTTTCCGTGGTGTTGAACTTCCTGGAGCCAGGGCGACGCATGTCCTCCTGGTACTTCAGGTTGGTGATAGTGAAGTTGAGGGTGAATGGCACCAGGAGAGGGCCAGCAGCTGTAGTGGGAATTGAAAATAAATACTGTGTTCAAAGTAGAGAAAATAGGGGTTTGGAATAGACTTATCTTTAAACATATGCAAAATTTAAATTGAGAGAAAAATATTTACCATGTCTCCCTTGCCTATATTAATGCAATTTATTTTTATAAAAGTATATTATATAATAGTAGTTAGATGTTGAGCATAACTAGTTGTGCATATTCAGTGCTCAATATTGTCTGATGTTATCTGTTATCTTTGTTATGGCCATCATCATTGTTGCTATCATTGTCATCATCACCATCATTATTATCATCATCACCATGATCATCCCCATCATGACCAACACAAACATAATCATCAGCACACTCAACACATCATCATTATCATCATAACCACATAACCATCACTGGCATCATCCTCATCACCATCAATGTTATTGTCATCAGCGTCAGCATTACCATCATCAACATCATCAGTCCCATGGTCACCATCATAAACAGCACCACCATCATCATCATCATCACCATCACACTCAGCATATCATTACCATCATAACCTTCACAACCATCACTGACAACATCCTCATGTCCATCATCATCATTGTCAGTAACATCACCACACCACCATCATCAACAGCAATGCCATAATCATAAATCATCATCACACTCAATATGTCGTTATTACTGTTACCACCACTACCACCATCATCGTCACATGAACACAAGCTCACTGAAGGCAGAGATGTTTTTATTGCTTTTGTTTTCCTTGCTATATCCCTAGGGTCTGGAACACTGTAGGTGGCCAATAAATATTTTTGGTTCACTCAGTGTCACTAGATTTATTATGATTTTCCATTTTCATTTGACTGAAAATGGCACAGATGTTTACATTCATCAGGCATGATCTAATACAGATACCATTGACTGGTACTTACTTGTGGGGCTGGCGAGGGAGGATGGAGTCTCTGAAGTCCCAAGGTCCACTGTGGAGGTCCCAGGAGCTGAGAAAAAGTCCACATCAGTGAAAGCAGAAAACACTCTCATGGCAGAAATGGCAAGAAGGTAGACTAGTATGAGGTCTGCTGCATGTGGGCTTGAGCTGGGTCTGTCTTTGGAGCTGGGCAGAGGGGAACTTGAGTAACTTCTGTCTTTCCAGCTCATTTGCACAAGAGGAGGACGTATGGGTTTAAGAGGAGGGGCCAGCTCCTGCTCCACTTGATATAGGATCAGGGGCATCTGGACATGAGTTGAATACTCACTGCTGGTGGTGGGCACAGAGGTCCGATAGGTGAAACCTGTATAGAGAAGGAGGGAGGAGACTGGGTAAGGGTTAAGGAGATGTGGGGGACGCAATAGAGTTCAGGACTATCCTGGTGCAATTAAATGAGTTTCACGGGACAGGAGTCATTAAAGATTTCCTATGAGCATCATCACAACAGGGAAGAGTGCCCAGAGGGAATGACTCTCATGATAATGAAGAATCCATGAAGTCCAGAACTTAGTCATCCTATGTAGAGCATATGACAGAATTTTCAATGGTCAGGTAGGGAGTGTGCCCCAAGCAGAGATTAGAGGTTGCACATCAAGAAGGAAGAGACTCCTAGCATATCACAGCTGCTCACCATTGACATACAGACTGTTCCTGTCCAGGGTGTAGGGGCCCAGCTCCTTGATTCCATGGGTCAAGTGGCTCAGTTCCAAGTACAGCTGCTCCCTGTCCACTCCAGGACTTTTGGGGTCAAGACGATGGGTGCAGATGGCATCCACTCCAGTGGCTGCTCCATCCTTCTCGGACCTGGGGAAGGCAGGAGGGGAAATGACAATGAAAAGATTGCCTAGGACTTGTCTTGAGATTGTTGAGGGAAACATATCAAGGAACCAGAGGAAATGAGAAACCTGGGAGAGAGGTGAGAAGCCACACTTAGATTATCTGAGTACACAGACCACTGTCTGCAAGCAGAGTCATGGATATAATAATTTTTATAAAAGTGCAAGGTGAAACCTGCATTCTCATGGCATGGGAACAGGAGAACCCAGACTTCAGACTAGTGGTGAGCTTGAAAGGCTGATGAATGTATGTGGATGAGGCATGACTATTTTGAGAAATCCTGGGGACAGAATTTAACGCCTAAATGAAGCGGGGGGGGGGCAGGGAAAGAAGGGAATTCAGAAGGGTGATCAGGGTAGTGCCTCAATCCTGATGATGGACCATGAAGATTCTGCATGTTGAGGTGGGGCATGGGGGTGTTACTATCAGGAAACAACTGGTTCTCAAGCCAGCGACTCCTGAATTCCCCTCTTGGTGAGGATATACCTAGGAAGTGTAGCAAGGAAGCAGTGCAAAGTCTTTTGGAGTGGGAACAAGTGGGGCAGCCAGGCTGGCTCTTCTAAAGTCTCACCTGAGCAAGGTCAGTCTGCAGCCAGAGTACAGAGGGCCAACACTGGTGTTCTTGAACATGGGACCAAGCTGTGGAGGAGGGAGAGGGAGGTGAATAGGAGGGCTAAGGTGTGTATGTGTTAGGGGCAGATGTGAGGTGGGCACAGCAGGCACCAATGAGCAGGGCTGGTCTCCGTGGGCAGGGCTTGCATCTCTCAGAGGCAGGGGTGAGGTTCGTACTACCTTCTTTCATCACCTTGTCATCTATGATGTAGAAGGGACTGGATATCTGGGGCTAGTCAGAGTGAGGAGGGCAGGGCACTAACCAGACTCTGCAGGACCCTTTCCGTGGTGTTGAACTTCCTGGAGCCAGGGTGATGCATGTCCTCCTCGTACTTCAGGTTGGTGATGGTGAAGTTGAGGGTGAATGGCACCAGGAGAGGGCCAGCAGCTGTAGTGGGAATTGAAAATAAATGCTGTGTTCAAAGTAGAGAAAATAGGGGTTTGGAATAGACTTATCTTTAAACATACGCAAAATTTAAATTGAGAGAAAAATATTTACCACGTCTCCCTTGCCTATAATAATACAATTTATTTTTATAAAAGTATATTATATGGTAGTAGTTAGATGTTGAGCCTAGCTAGTTGTGCATATTCAGTGCTCAATATTGTCTGATGTTATCTGTTATCTTTATTACGGCCGTCACCAATTTTGCTATCATTGTCACCATCACCATCATTATTATCATCATTACCATGATCATCCCCATCATGACCACCACAAACATAATCATCAGCACACTCAACACATCATCATTATCATCATAACCACATGACCATCACTGGCATCATCCTCATCATCATCATTGTTATTGTCATCAGCATTACCACTACCAACATCAACATCATCAGTACCATGGTCACCATCATAAACAGCACCACCATCATCATCATCATCATCATCATCATCATCATCACACTCAGCACATCATTACCATCATAACCTTCACAACCATCACTGACAACATCCTTATGTCCATCATCATCAATGCCAATAACTTCACCACCACCATCATCAACAGCAATGCCATAATCATAAATCATCATCACACTCAATATGTCGTTATTACTGTTACCACCACTACCACCATCATCGTCACATGAACACAAGCTCACTGAGGGCAGAGATGTTTTTATTGCTTTTGTTTTCCTTGCTATATCCCTAGGGTCTGGAACACTGTAGGTGGCCAATAAATATTTTTGGTTCACTCAGTATCACTAGATTTATTATGATTTTCCATCTTCATTTGATTGAAAATGGCAGAGATGTTTACATTCATCAGGCATGATCTAATACAGATACCATTGGCTGTTACTTACTTGTGGGGCTGGGGACGGAGGATGGAGTCCCTGAGGTCCCAAGGTCCACTGTGGAGGTCCCAGGAGCTGAGAAAAAGTCCTCATCAGTGAAAGCAGAGAACACTCTCATGGCAGAAATGACAAGAAGGTAGACTATTGTGAGGTCTGCTGCATTTGGTCTTGACCTGGGTCTGTCTTTGGAGCTGGGGCAAAAGGGAGCTTGAGTAACTTCTGCCTTCCCAGCTCATTTGCACAAGAGGAGGACTTATGGGTTTAAGAGGAGGGGCCAGCTCCTGCTCCACTTGATATAGGATCAGGGGCATCTGGACATGAGTTGAATACTCACTGCTGGTGGTGGGCACAGAGGTCCGATAGGTGAAACCTGCATAGAGAAGTAGGGAGGAGATGGCTAAGGGTTAAGGAGATGTGGGGGACGCAATAGAGTTCAGGACTATCCTGGTGCAATTAAAGGAGTTTCATGGGAGAGGGGTCATTAAAGATTTCCTATCAGCATCATCACAACAGGGAAGAGTGCCCAGAGGGAATGCCTCTCATGATAACGAAAAATCCATGAAGTCCAGAACTTAGTCATCCTATGTAGAGCATATGACAGAATTTTCAATGGCCAGGCCGGGAGTGTGTTCCCAAGCCAGAGATTAGAGGTTGCACATCAAGGAGGAAGAGACTGCTAGCATACCACAGCTGCTCACCATTGACATACAGACTGTTCCTGTCCAGGGTGTAGGGCCCCAGCTCTTTGATGCCATGGGTCAGCTGGTTCAGTTCCCAGTACAGCTGCTCCCTGTCCACTCCAGGGCTTTTGGGGTCAAGACGGTGGGTGCAGATGGCATCCACTCCAGTGGCTGCCCCATCCTTCTCGGACCTGGGGAAGGTAGGAGGGGGAATGACAATGAAAAGAGTACCAGGACTTGTCTTGAGATTGCTGAGGGAAACATGTCAAGGAACCAGAGGAAATGAGAAACTTGGGGTAGAGGTGAGAAGCCACACTTAGATTATCTGCGTACACAGACCACTGTCTTGGTTGGGACAGGAAGCAGAGTCCTGGATATAATAATTTTTATAAAAGTGCAAGGTGAAACCTGCATTCTCATGGCATGGGAACAGGAGAACCCAGACTTCAGACTAGTGGTGAGCTTGAAAGGCTGATGAATGTATGTGGATGAGGCATGATTATGTTGAGAGAAATCCTGGGGACAGAATTTAACACCTAAATGAAAGGGAGGGGCACGGAAAGAAGGGAATTCAGAGGGGTGATCAGGGTAGTGCCTCAATCCTGATGATGGACCATGAAGATTCTGCATGTTGAGGTGGGGCATGGGGGTGTTACTATCCAGAAACAACAGGTTCTCAAGCCAGTGACTCCTGAATTCCCCTTTTGGTGAGGATATCCCTAGGAAGTGTAGCAAGGAAGCAGTGCAAAGTCTTTTGGAGTGGGAACAAGTGGGGCAGCCAGGCTGGCTCTTCTAAAGTCTTACCTGAGCAAGGTCAGTCTGCAGCCAGAGTAGAGAGGGCCAACACTGGTGTTCTTCAACATGGGACCAAGCTGTGGAGGAGGGAGAGGGAGATGGGGAGGAGGGAGAGGGATGTGAGTAGGAGGGCTGAAGTGTGTGTGTTAGGTGCAGATGTGAGGTGGGTGGAGCAAGCACCAATGAGCCGGGCCGGTCTTCTTGGGTGTGGTTTGCATCTCTCGGAGGGAAGGGTGAAGTTGGTGCTATCTTCTTTTATCACCCTGGCATGGATGATGTAGAAGGGACTGGATATCTGGGGCTGGGCAGAGTCAGGAGGGCAGGGCACTAACCAGATTCTGCAAGACCCTCTCTGTGGTGTTGAACTTCCTGGAACCAGGGTGACGCATGTCCTCCTCATACTTCAGGTTGGTGATGGTGAAGTTGAGGGTGAAAGGCACCAGGAGAGGGCCAGCAGCTGTAGTGGGAATTGAAAATAAACACTATGTTCAAAGTCAAGAAATGGGGGTTTGGAATAGACTTATCTTTAAACATGTGCAAAATTTAAATTGAGAGAGAAAATATTTACCATGTCTTCCTTGCCTATAATAATACAATTTATTTTTATAAAAGTAGATTATATAATAGTAGTTAGATGCTGAGCATAAGTATCCATGCATATTCAGTGCTCAATATTGTCTGATGTTATCTGTTATATTTATGATGGCTGGTCATTGTCATCGTTACTATCATTTTCACCATCATAAACAGCACCACCACCATCATCATCATCATCATCACACTCAACACATCATCACTACCATCATAACCTTCACAACCATCACTGACAACATCCTTATGTCCATCACCATCATTGTCAGTAACATCACCACCATCGTCATCAACAGCATCACTACCATCATCAATCATCATCACACTCAACCTGTCATTATTACTGTCATAACCACCACCACCATCATCATCATCACATGAACACAAGCTCACTGAGGGCAGAGATGCTTTTATTCGTTTTGTTTTCCTTGTATCTCTAAGCTCTGGTACACTGTAGGTGGCCAATAAAATTTTGGTTCACTCAGTATCACTGGATTTACTATGATTTTCCATCTTCATTTGAGTGAAAATGGCACATACGTTCACATTCATCAGGCATGATCTAAGGGAGATGCCACTGACTGGTACTTACTTGTGGGGCTTGGGAGGAAGGATGGAGTCCCTGAGGTTCCAAAGGCCACTGTGGAGGTCCCAGGAGCTGAGAAAAAAATCCTTATCATTGAAAGCAGAAAATAATCTCATGGCAGAAATGGCAAGAAGTTAGACTTTTATGAGGTCTGCTGCATGTGGGCTTGAGCTGGGTCTGTCTTTGGAGCTGGGGTGGAGGGGAGCTTCAATAACTTCTGCCTTCCCAGCTCCATTGCTCAAGAGGAGGACTTATGGGTTTAGGAGGAGGGGCCAGCTCCTGCTCCACTTGATGTAGGATCAAGGGTTCTGGACATGAGTTGAATACTCACTGCTGGTGGTGGACACAGAGGTCCGATGGGTGAAACCTGCATAGAGAAGGAGGGAGGAGACTGGGTAAGGGTTAAGGAGATGTGGGGGGTACAATAGGGGCCATGGCAATCCTGGTGCAATTAAAGAGTTTCATGGGACTGGGGCCATTAAAGAATTCCTATCAGCATCCTCACAACAGGGAAGAGTGCCCTGAGGGAACACAGTTCATGATAATGAAGAAACTGTGAAGTCCAGAACTTAGTCATCCCATGTAGAGCAAACGACAGAATATTCAATGACCAGGCAGGGAGTGTGACTTCAAGCCAGAGATTAGATTCTTCCCAGAATCTAGAGGGAAAAAACTCCAACCACATCACAGCTGCTCACCATTGACATAGAGACTGTTACTGTCCAGGGTGTAGGGGCCCAGCTCTTTGATGCCATTGGTCAGTTGGCTCAGCTCCCAGTACAGCTGCTCTCTGTTGAGTCCAGGGCTTTTGGGGTCAAGATGGTGGGTGCAGATGGCATCCACTCCAGTGGCTGCTCCATCCTTCTCGGACCTGGGGAAGGTAGGAGGAGGAATGACAATGAAAAGAGTACCAGGACTTGTCTTGAGATTGCTGAGGGAAACATGTCAAGGAACCAGAGGAAATGAGAAACCTGGGAAAGAGGTGAGAAGCCACACCTAGATTTTCTGAGTGCACTGACTATTGTCTTGCTTGGAACTGTGAGCAGAATCACGGATACAACCATGCTTATCAAAGTGCAAGGTGAAACCTACATTCTCATGGCATGGGGACAGGAGAGCCCAGACTTGAGTCCAGTGAAGAGCTGGAAATGGGGATGAAAGCACATGGATGAGGCATGATTGTCTTGGGAGAAATTCTAGGGACAGAATTTAACACCTAAATGAAAGGGAGTGGCAGGGGAAGGAGGGAATTCAGAAGGATCATCAGGGTAGAGGCTCAATCCTGATGATGGACCATGCAGATTCTCCCTGTTGAGGTGGGGTGTGGGGGTGTTACTATCAGGAAACACATTGGTCCTGAAGTCAGTGACTCCTGCATTCCCCTTTTGGTGAGGATATCCCTAGGAGGTGCAGCAAGGAGGCAGTGCAAAGTCTATTGGAGTGGAAACAATTGGGGCAGCCAGGCTGGATCTTCTAAGGTCTCACCTGAGAGAGGTCAGTCTGCAGCCAGAGTACAGAGGGCCAACACTAGTGTTCTTGAATACAGGGCCAAGCTGTGAAGGAAGGAGAGGAAAGAGAGTAGGAGGGCTAAGGTGCATGTGTGGGGGGCAGAAGTCAGGTGTGTGGAGCAGGCACCAGTGGGCGGGGCTGGCCTCAGTAAGCAAGGCTTGCATCCTTTGCGGGCAAGGGTGAGATGGGTGCAATCTTCTTCCACAGTTCTGGCTTGGATGATGTAGGAGGGACTGGGTATCTGGGGAGGGGCAGGAATAAAGTGGGTAGGGCTCTCACCAGACCCTGCAGGACGCTCTCTGTGGTGTTGAACTTCCTGGAGCCAGGGTGATGCATATCCTCCTCGTACTGCAGGTTGGTGATGGTGAAGTTGAGGGTGAATGGCACCAGGAGAGGGCCAACGACTGCAGTTGGAATGGGAAATAAACACTATGTTCAAAGCAGAGGAAATAGGAGTTTGCAAGAGACTTATCTTTCAATATATGTAGAATTTAAATTGAGGGACAAAATATTTACCATGCCTCCCTTGCCTATAATAATACAATTTACTTTTATAAAAGTATATAATAGTAGATGCTGAGCATAGCTTTTGGTGAATATGTATTGCTCAATACTGTCTGACATTTTCTGTTAACTTTATTGTCACCATCATCACCATCACCAAGATTGTCACCATCACCATCATTATTATCATCATCGCCACTGTTATCACCACCATGATAATCCCCATCATGACCACCACAAACATCATCACTCTCAACACATCATCATTGCCATCATAACCCCACCACCATCACCAGAATCATCCTCATCACCATCATCATTGTCATCAACATCACTACCACCATCATCAAGATCACCACTATCATCATTATAAACAGCAACACTACCACTATCATCATCTCACTCAATACATAATTACTATCATAACCTCTACCACCATCACCAGCATCATCCTCATCACCATCACCATCATCATCAACATCACTACCGCCATCATCAACAGTATGACCATCATCATCATCATCATCATAAACAATGTCACCACCACCACCATCATCCCACTCAACACATCATTATTACCATCATAACTATCACCACCATCATCATCATCACAAGAATACAAGCTCACTGAGGGCATAGGTTGTTTTAAAATTGATTTTCTTTTTCTTACTGTATTCCTGGGGTCTGGTACACAGTAGGTGGCCAAAACAAATTTGTCCACTCACTATCACTAGATTTACTTTGATTTTCCATCTTTATTTGAGTGAAAATGACAGAGATGTTTACACTAATCAGGCACGCTCTCATAGATATGTCATTGACTGATACTTACTCGTGGGGCTGGAGAGGGTGGATGGAGTCCCTGAGGTTCCAAAATCCACTATGGAGGTCCCAGGAGCTGAGGAAAATTCCTCGTCAGTGAAAGCAGAAAGCACTCTCTTGGCAGAAATGGCAAAAGGGGAGACTATTTATAGGGTTTGTTGCATGTGTGGCTTGAGCTGGGTTGGTCTCTTGAGCTGGGCAGAGGGGCGCTTGAATAACTTCTGCCCTCCTAACTTGTTTGCTCATGAAGAGGACTTATGGGTTTATGAGGAGGGGCCAGCTCCTGCTCCTCTTGGTGTAGGAACCGGGGCATTTGGACATGAGTTGAATACTCACTGCTGGTGGTGGACACAGAGCTCCGATGGGTGAAACCTGCAAAGAGAAGGAGGGAGGAGAGTGGGTAAGAGACAGGAGGGGTGGGGGACCAAACGGAGGTCAATGCTACCCTGGTGCAATGAACTGAGTTTCATGGTACAGGGACCATTGAAGATTTCCTATCAGCATCTTCACATCAGGAAAGAATGCCCTGAAGGAACACAGTCCACAATGATAACGAAACCATGAAGTTCAGACCTCAGTCATCCCATGTGGAGCATATGACAGAATTTTCAAAAGCCAGGCAGGGAGTGTGACCTCTAATTAGAGATTAGAGGCTGCCTGGCGGGGGGAAGAGATTTTAACCACATCACAGTCACTCACCATTGACATAGAGACTGTTCCTGTCCAGGGTGTAGGGGCCCAGCTCATCAATGCCATTGGTCAGCTTGCTTAGCTCCCAGTACAGCTGCTCCCTGTTGAGTCCAGGGCTTTTGGGGTCAAGGCGGTGGGTGCAGATGGCATCCACTCCAGTGGCTGCCCCATCCTTCTCGGGTCTGGGGAGGGTCAGTGGGAAAAATGACAATGAAAAGATTATCTAGGAAAGGTCTTGTGATTGCTGAGGGAAGGACAGCAAGGACCAGAGAAATTAAAAACCTGGGAAAGAGGTGAGAAGCCACATCGACTCTTAGTGCATGCACTATTGTCTGGCTTAGGTCTGTGAGCGGAGTCACGGATACAATTACTTTTATAAAAGTGCAAGATGAAACTGAAATTTTCATGGACAGGACAGGGGGCCAGACTTGAGCCCAGTGAAGAGCTGGAAATGAGGATGAAAGCACGTGGATGAGGCATGATTGTCCTGAGAGAAATCCTGGAGATAGAATTTAACACCTAAAGGAAAGGGAGGCACAGGGAATGGAGGGAATTCAGAGGGATGATAAGGGTAGGGGCTCAATCCTGATGATGGGCCATGCAGATTCTCTCTGTTGAGGTGGGGTGTAGGGGTGTTACTATCAGGAAACACACTGATCCTGAAGTCAGTGACTCCTGAATTCCACCTTTGGTGAGGATATCCCTAGGAAGTGCAGCAAGGAAGCAGTGCAAAGTCTTTTGGAGTGAGAACAAGTGGGGCAGCCAGGCTGGAAATTCTAAGGTCTCACCTGAGCAAGGTCAGTCTGCAGTCAGAGTACAGAGGGCTGACACTGGTGTTCTTGAACAAGGGCCTGAGCTGTGGAGGAGGGAGAGGGAGGTGAGTAGGAGGGCTAAGTTGTATGTAGGAGCCAGGCAGAAGTGAATTGGGCAGGGCTGGCTTCGGTGGGTGAGGCTTGCATCTCTTCTTCTTCTTTTTTTTTTTTTTGAGATGGAGTTTCGCTTTTTAGCCTAGGCATGATCTTGGCTCACTGCAACCTCTGCCTCCCAGATTCGAGTGATTCTCTTGCCTCACCCTCCCAAGTAGCTGGGATTACAGGCATGCACCACCATGCTCAGCTAATTTTGTATTTTTAGTAGAGATGAGGTTTCATCATGTTGGCCAGGCTGGTCACAAACTCCTGACCTCAGTGATCCACCCGCCTTGGCCTCCCAAAGTGCTGGTATTACAGGCGTGAGCCACTGCTCCCAGCTGAGGCTTGCATCTCATGGGGCAAGAGTGAGTTGGGTGTGATATTCTTCCATTGCCCTGGCATGGATGATGTAAGGGGAACTGGGTATCATGAGCAAGGCAGAGTGTGGAGGGCAAGACACTAACCAGACCCTGCAGGACCCTCTCTGTGGTGTTGAACTTCCTGGAGCCAGGGCGACGCATGTCCTCCTCATACTGCAGGTTGGTGATGGTGAAGTTGAGGGTGAACGGCACCAGGAGAGGGCCAGCAGCTGTAGTGGGAGTGGGAAATAAACATTATGTTCAAAGTAGAGAGAATAGCACTTTGTAATAACCATATGCAGTAATTAAATTAAGTGACATAATAAATATTTTCCATGCCTTTCTTATCTATGATACAATTTATTTTCTAAAGTAGATTATATAATAGTAGTTAGATGCTGAGCATAGCTCTTGGCACATATGTAGTGCTCAATATTGTGAGGTGATATCTGTTATCTTTATTATCACCATTATCATCATCACTATCATAGTCATCATTATTATTATTATCATCATTATTCTCATCACAAGTACCACCAGCACCACCATGATGATCCCCATCATGGTCATGATCCACAAACATCATCATCACCATCATCACATTCAACATATCATTACCATCATAACCCCACCACCATCACCGACATCATTCTCATTACCATCATCGTCATTGGCATGAACATCACTGTCACCATCATCAACAATGTCAGTAGCATAACAATAATAATCATCATCATCATCAACACTACCACCATCACCATCATCATCATCACACTCAACATATCATTACCATCATAACCCCACCACCATCACCAACATCATCCTCATCCCCATCATTGTAATTGTCATTGACATCACCATTACCATCATCAACATCACTAGCATAATAATAATCACCATCATCAACACCACCACCATCATCATCACACTCAACTTATCATTATTACCATAGTAACCCCCACCACCATCACCAGCATCATTTTCTTCAACATCATCACCATCACCATCATCATCATCAATAGCACCACCACCAACATCATCATCATGACAAGAAAACAAGCTCACTGAGAGCAGAGATTTTGTATCAGTTTTGTTTTCCCTGCTGTATCTCTAGGATCTGGTACCCACTAGGTGGCCAACAAATTTCATTGGTCCACTCACTGTCAGTAGATTTGCTATGACTTTCCATCTTCATCTGAGTAAAAATGACAGAGATAGCATGCTGTAATAGAGATGTCATTAACTGGTACTTACTCGTGGGGCTGGGGCTGGAGGATAGAGTCCCTGAGGTTCCCACATCCACTGTGGAGGTCCCAGGAGCTGAGGAGAAGTCCTCATTAGTGAGAGCAGAAAGCACTACCATGGCAGAAATGCCAAAAGGTGACTTTTATAGGGTTTGCTGCATGTGGGCTTGAGCTGAGTCTGTCTTTGAAACTGGGGCAGAGAGGAGCCTGAATAACTTCTGCCTTCTCAGCTGCTTTGCTCAAGAGGACTTATGGGTTTATGAAGAGGGGCAGTTCCTGCTTTGCTTTGTGTAGGATCATGGGCATGTGGAAATGAGTTGAATACTCACTGCTGGTGGTGGACATAGAGCTTCGATGGGTGAAACCTGCATAGAGAAGGAGGGAGGAGTGTGGGTAAGTGACGAGGAGATGTGGGGGACCAATTAGGGGTCGGGGCTACCCTGGTGCAATGGAAGGAGTTTCATGCAACAGGGACCATTAAAGATTTCCTATCAGTGCCCTCATATCGGGGAAGAATGCCCTGATGGAATTCATTCCATGATGATGAAGAAACCGTGAAATCCTGGCCAGGTGCGGTGGCTCAAGCCTGTAATCCCAACACTTTGGGAGGCCAAGGCAAGGTGGATTATGAGGTCAAGAGATCGAGACCATCCTGGCCAACATGGAGAAACCCTGTCTCTACTAAAAATACAAAAATTAGTTGGGTGTGGTGGCATGCATCTGTAGTCCCATCTACTCGGGAGGCTGAGGCAGGAGAATTGCTTGAACCTGGGAGGCGGAGGTTGCAGTGAGCTGAAATCATGCCACTGCACCTCAGCCTGGCAACAGAGCGAGACTCCGTCTCAAAACAAAGAGATAATCTGAAGTCCAGAACTTAGTCATCCCATGTAGAGCACAGGGACAAATTTTCAATTGCCTGGTAGTGAGTGTGACCTCAAGCCAGAGATTACAGGCTGCCCAGCAAGAAGGAAGAGGAAGAGCCTCCAACCACATCACAGCTGCTCACCGTTGACATAGAGACTGTTCCGGTCCAGGGTGTAGGGGCCCAGCTCCTGGATGCCATTGGTCAGGTTGCTCAGCTCCCAGTACAGTCGCTCTCTGTCCAGTCCGAGGCCTTCAGGGTCAGGGCGATGTGTGCAGATAGCATCCACTGCTGTGGCTGATCCGTCCTTCTCTGGCCTGGTTAAGAACCTACATATGCTTAGTCAATCCACCTCTCCATCCTTTTGTCCTTCCTTTCCACTCTTTGTCAGCCCCTAATGCGAAATCTGGGGAAACTGTGGTTAACAAGAATGTGGCTCTCAGTCCGGGTGCGGTGGCTCACGCCTGTAATCCCAACACTTTGGGAGGCTGAGGCAGGTGGATCACGAGGTCAAGAGATTGAGACCATCCTGGCCAACATGGTGAAACCCTATCTCCACTAAAATTGCAAAAATTAGCTGGGTGTGGTGGTACGTGCCTGCAGTCCCAGCTACTCGGGAGGCTAAGCCAGGAGAATTGCTTGAACCCAGGAGCCAGAGGTTGCAGTGAGCCAAGATCACGCCACTGCACTCCAGCTTGGGCAACAGAGCGAGACTCTGTCTCAAACAAACAAACAAGCAAACAAACAAAAAGAATGCGGCTCTCATCAGAGAGATGCCTACCATAAACAAATTACTAGGATTATTAGTGGAAGCAGAAAGCATTATCATGGCAGAAATGCCAAGAGGTGAGACTTTTATAGGGTTTACTGCATGTAGCTTGAGCTGAGTCTGTCTTTGGAACTGGGGCAGAGGGGAGCTTGAATAGCTTCTGCCTTCCCAGCTGCTTTGCTCAAGAGGAGGGCTTATGGGTTTATGAGGAGGGGCAGCTCCTGCTTTGCTTGGTGTAGGATCCTAGGATAATAATGCCAGGGATCTGCATGGCCCCGAATAAGCCTCCTAAAGTACCAGATGTGCGACAGCTGTACTTAGGGTCAATCTGTAATCCGTGGCAGTGGCCCTTGTACTGGTGCGCGTAGCAGTGGCCCTCCTACTGGTGCCCACGGCATGGTGTTTTCAAATGGCGGGATCAGAAGGTTCAAGTAATCGTCTCTAGATCCTATGGACCAGCAGGGCTAGGAGATTTGTTACGAAACTTAAAGGACCTGAATGGCTTGGGAAAAATGCCCTTTTTGGCTGGTCTGTCTGAAACTGTGGCTGGTCCAACAAGCAGTCAGAAGGTCTTCGTGTCTCAGCACCTGTTCCTGGCCACAGGACATGGACTCATCTACCTGCCCACCCACTATTGAGTGATTACAGGAAAAGGGGCTCCTATGTCCCAGGGTTGTGAGTAGCTCTATAGTACGAACGACTTTATAGTAACAACTACCATTTATTAAATACTTCCTATGCAGCAGGCCCAGCATTTTGTATTCATAATCACATATTTTCATCCTCAAAGCATCCCTATGGGTTGGTACTGCTCAATTGCCCCGGTCAGTACTATACTAATTATATTATGTATAACACAATTATATATAACATAAAATATATAAATATGTAGATCTGTAAATATAAGCTTAATATAAAATATATATGTTGTTTTGCATTTGATACATTATTATATTATATAGCATATGTAATATATATTATTATACCTCTTCCTAACATATATTAAATTGGTTTATATGTAACTATTTTATATAATTATACAACTATATAACTATTATGTAACTATTTTTTATATAACTACCATATACCTCTACCTAACATATATTAAACTGATTTATATATAACTATTGTATATAACTACATAACTATTTTTATATAACTACCACATACTTTTAGACGCTTCTTGACTCATGATGGTATTATGTCCTGATAAACCCATGTTTTTTATTTTCTTTTTTTGTTTTTATTTTCTTTTGTTTTTGGAGATGGAGTCTCACTCTGTTGCCCAGGCTGGAGTGCAGTGGTGTGATCTTGGCTCACTGCAACCTCTGCTTCCCAGGTTCAATCCATTCTCCTGCTTCAGCCTCCTGAGTAGCTGGGACTGCAGGTACCCGCCACCACACCCAGCTAATTTTTGTATTTTTAGTAGAGATGGGTTTTCTCCATGTTTGCCAAGCTGATCTTGAACTACTGACCTCAGGTGATCCACCAGCCTCAGCCTCCCAAAGTGCTGGGATTACAGGCATGAGCCGTGCACCCAGCCTGTTGTTTTGTTTTTTGGAGACAAGAGTCTCCTCTGTCATCCAGGCTGGAGTGCAGTGGTGTGACCTTGACTCACTGCAACCTTCATCTCCTAAGTTCAAGTGATTCTCATGCTTCAGCCTCCCGAGTAGCTGGAACTACAGCTGTCACACCACATCTGGCTAATTTTTGTAGTTTTAGTAGAGACAAGATTTTGCCATTTGGCCAGCCTGGTCTCAAACTCCTGGCCTCAAGCGACCCACCTGCCTCAGCCTCCCAAAGTGCTGGGATTACAAGTGTGAGCCACCATGCCCGGCCCTGATAAACCATTGTGAATTGAAAATATCATAGGTCAAAAATGCCCTGTAGCCAGGCGTGGTGGCTCATGCCTATAATCCCAGGATTTTGGGAGGCCAAAGTGGGAGGATTCCTTGAGCCCAGGAGTTCAAGGCCACCTGGGCAACATGGCAAGACCCTCCTCTCCACAAAAAAATTGAAAAAAAATAGCCAGGTGTGGTGACACACACCTGTAGTCCCAGCTACTCAGGAGGCTGAGGTGGGAGGATCACTTGAGCCCAGGAATTCGAGGCTGCAGTGAGCTATGATCGCACCACTGCATTCCAGTCTGGGTGACAGAGCAAGACTTTGTCTTAAAAATAAAAATAAAAATAAAAATTGACTATACCTAACCTACAGAACATGATAGCTTAGCCTATCCTACCTTAAACATGCTCTGAACCCTTACATTAGCCTACAGTTGGGCAAAATCACCTAACACAGAGCCTATTTTATTATAAACTGTTGAATATATCATATAATTTATTGAATATTGTACTGAAAGTGAATGACAGAATGGTTGCATGGGTGTTGAAGGTATGCTTTCTACTGAATGCATATTGCTGGTATTATCACCAAGTTTGAAAAATCGTAAGTTGAATCATTGTAATTCATGGACTGGTTATATATAGAATATATACTAGATATATGTAGTAGTTATATGTATCCACATGTATCCTATATATAATATATGTATATATGATACGTATTTATACTTACATACTTTTATATATTATATATTTATACATATTATATTATTATACATGATATATATTATATGTAACAAATATATGTTAGATTATAATATATGTTATATGTTAATGTCAGATATGTTATATACATCACATATATGTTATATACATCATATATAACATATAAGTTATACATATATGTTATATAGGTATATATTATAACTATATATAATGGGTATGTTATATGTGGTACATAATACATAACAAATATAATATATACATTATACATAACAATTATATAATATATAATTATATACAATATGTCATATATAACATATACATTATATGTAACATAATGTATATTAAACTGATTTATAACAAAATGTTTGTTATGTAACATGTAATATATGTTATAACATATATTATAGCATATATCATATGTTAATGTCAGATATGCTATATACATCACACACATATATGTTATATACATTATATAACATAAAAGTTATACATATGTTATATATGTATAGGTTATATTATATATAACAATACATAATGTATACATTATATGCCATATATAATTTATAACAACTATAATATATACATTATATATAACAATTATATAATATATAATTATATATCATATATAACATATACATTATATGTAACATAACATATGTAACATGTTATGTTATGTACATATATGTTATATGTAACATATGTATGTTATAGATACATGTACTATATATGTTATAACATATAACATGTATACAATATAACAATATGTATAATATATACATTATACATAACATATGATGTATATGTATATAGCATATGCATATAAAATGTCTATAAATATGCGTTTATAAAATATGCCTCAATATGTATATGCACTATATGTCTATATATGTATTTTGTGTATATAATATGTCGGGAAACAGGGCACAGAAGATGTCAGGCACTTGCTCAGGGTCACAGAACTCAGTAAATGGCAGAGCTGGGTTGGTTTAGAACTGAGGTCTGCCTGAGTTCACCAATGCTCTTAGCCACTAGGGCACCCTGTCCCCGCTTCCCCCTGGGAAGGAAAGGAAGCTGGAGGTAGATGACTGATAAAATGGGACTCTTGGGAGAGACACACTTGGAGATTCTGTGAGAGAGGTGTGAAAGGTGAGAATGCCAGGCAGGAAATGATATCAACCAACGTCTACCCTAAAAGACGTGCCCTTTCCAGCACTCAGGTACAGTGCCCTCGGCGCCTCTCAGTCTCCCTCAGAGCGGCCAGGCCCTCTGTGGCTGCATTCTGAGTCACTCAAGAGCTGACCTCCTGTGTGTAAGGGCTGAACGCCTTCCTTTCTTCCCCTCTTAGATTCTCTGGGAAAGTTCCTTTAGAGGGAAGTCAGATTGGGGTTTTCCACATGTTGCAAGGGAGCAGAAGAGGCAGTGCCACCTAAGGGATAGGAGTTTGGATCTAGAACCTGAAGTGCTGGAGTTGCTTCGTGTGCCCTGGCACAAGCCACTTAACCTGGGCCTCAGTTTCCCCTTCTGCTCCTGTTTCATGAGACTGTTGCAAACATTGATGAGGCATTAAATATAAAGTACATAATGCCCCTTGGGTCTTAGGAATAGTTAGCTGCTGCTGGTGGTGGTGATGCTTAGTATCCATGGGCAATAGTTGTTCCAAGTATGAACAGAATCAAGGAGCCCAGAGACTAGGGTCATATTCACCTGTTGGGTTGTGTTTTCTTGGGGAGGGTCTCACCTGAGTGAGGCTAGTCTGCAGCCTGAATAGAGGAATTCCAGACTGCTATTCCTGAACAAGGGTTTGAGCTGCAAGGAAGGAGAGGGGAGGTGAGAAACAGAAACAACAGCTGTGGGAAGCCAGGAAGAGTGGGGCACTGGAGGGGTGGACCAGGCAGGAGTGATGTGGGTGGGACAGGATGAGGTGGGTGTGACTGAAATAAGTGGGCATAGCATGGAAAGGTGAGCGTGGCTGGCATCAGTAGGTGGGGAAGGGTGAGGTGGGCTTGGCTAAAATCAGTGGGTGGGGCAGGGAAAGGTGGCTGGGGTTGGATGAGGTGGCCATGGCTGGCATCAGTGGGAGAGGTAGTGTGAGGTGGGCGTGGTTTGTCTAAGTGGGCGGGGGAGGAGTAAGGTGGGCGGGGCTCTCACCAGACCCTGCAGGACTCTCTCTGTGGCGTTGAACTTCCTGGAACCAGGGTGCCGCATGTCCTCCACGTACTGCAGGTTGGTGATGGTGAAGTTGAGGGTGAATGGCACCATGAATGGGACTGTGGCTGCTGCAAGGAAGGAGAAAAGAAGACCACGCCTGAGTCAGATCTGAACTGACTCTAAGTCAATTTCTGAGGACCCAGACAGAGTGCTTGAAGCAAGAGTTTGAAGCAGACAGGTGGGTGCTTTAGTTTGGATGGATAACGGAAAGCCAGGTAAGGAGAAAAGTGGGATGTTGCTAAAATGCATTACCTGGGCCCAGAAGCAGGTTAGGGGACCAGGGTGGGTGTATTGGGTCAGAATGTGTGACTACTGGAAGCTGAGGTCTCAGACTCTGCCAGGTGCCCATACCCACCCTAACAAACTCTAGCTGAGAAGTTAAAAGAAAAAAGGACCGGGACAGTCTCATGCTTTGGGGAACAAGAAGGAAAAAAAGAGTCAACTCAATCCCATTGAACATTGAACAACAACAACAAAACATCAAACAGCAGTCCTTAAAGCAGACCTTCTCTCACCTGCTTTACTTGGCTACCCTTCCCCACCCAATCCCCAAACTCCCAGAACTTGCTCTTCCTTTAATAAAGAGGAGACCACACGCTAGACAGACATAGTTACCATGGTTACGGCCACACTAGTGAGTCAGATTTGTTTTCAAATCCCCTCTCTGCCCCTCACCAGCCAAGTGACCGTGGACATGTTACCTGTCCATACCTCAGTTTCTTCCACTGTAATACAATGGGCATAATGGGCCAGGCGCGGTGGCTCATGCCTGTAATCCCAGCACTTTGGGATGCCAAGGCGGGCAGATCACTTGAGGTCAGGAATTCGAGACCAGCCTGGCCAAGACGGTGAAATTCCGTCTCTACTAAAAATACAAAAATTAGCCAGGCTTGGTGGCATGCACTTGTAATCCCGGCTACTCAGGAGGCTGAGGCAGGGGAATCACTTGAACCCGGGAGATGGAGGCTACATTGAGCTGAGATTATATCACTGCACTCCAGCCTGGGCTACAGAGAGAGACTGTCTCAAACCAAAAAAAAAAAAAAAAAAAAAAAAAGGCGACGAGGGGCATAATGATATTTTGGAGGGAAATTAGGAAGGTTACATGACTGTTAAAAAGAGCACATCTCCAGGGCATTACACTGAGTGGAAAAGAAGCCAGATCCAAAGGTGACATGTTGGACATTTCCGTTTAAATAACATACTCAAAATAAAATTGTAGAGAGGGAGATGGAGATGGAGAGCAGAATAGCAATGGTTACTCTATTCAATAGTATTGGGCTCGGTGGGCATGATTATGAAGGGTAGCATGAGGGGAATCTTTGGGGGAATGGAACAGTTCTGAATCTTGATGGTGGTGGTGATTATAGGGCTACGCCCATGTGATAAAAATTGCATAGGGCTACCCACACACACGCACACACACATGCATGGACACACACGTGCACATGCACACACACGTGCAAAGACTCACACATACGTGCACACATGCACACACACGCACGCACACATGCACATGTGCACACACATGCATGCACACACGCACACACACGCAGGCATGCACACATGCACACACGTGTGCACACACGTGCATGCACACACACAAGCTGATATACGCACACACAGGTAAAACCAGTAAAATGGATTTTAACAACGTCAATTTCCTGCTTTTGATATTGTATTAGAGTTATGTAAGATGTAGCCACTGGGGAGAAACTGGGTGAAGGGTACAGGGGAACGCTACACTATTTTCGCAACATCCCCTGAATTTATTTATTATTTATTTCAAAATGAAAAGTTATTTATTATTTATTTATATTATTTTATTATATTTATTATTTATTTCAAAATGAAAAGTTATTTATTATTTATATTATTTATTATTTATTTTATTATATTTATTATTTATTTCAAAATGAAAAGTTAAAAATAAAAAAATTGCACATGGTATGCCATATAGTAAGTGCTCAATAACTTGGTTGTCTTTTATTGCTAATTGTAATTGCTTGTTCCATTTCAGTCTTCCTCAATACACTGTAAACTTGGTGAGGGGGGGGACTGCATTTGACTTAATCAACATCTTATCCCCTCTGCCTAGCCCAGAATAGGGGCCTGATAAATATTTGTTAAACCAAATTCCCTGGTAGCCCCCGTGCTAGGTGTTCTTACATAGAGTTGCATTTAACATTTGCAACCAATTTATGAAATATTATTGTCCCCACTTGGCAGGTGAGAAAACTGAGGTACTGAGAGGGGAAGTAAATTGCTCAAGGTCAACATGGCTGGAGAATGAGGAGGACCCTTCTGTTCTTGATGAGTTCGGCGCGGAGCGGGGATGACCATGACTGCTCCAGGCTTCCTCATGCCATCTTTCCCCAGCATTTCTCAGTTATATATATAGTTTCTATAACTATAGGTATAGAAATATCTATAGTTATATACAGAGAAACATACATATATAACTATATACAGTTACAGATATAGAAACTCTATCTATAACCATATGTATAACTATAACTATATAGAGAGACACTATATATGTAACTATGTGTTTTATATATGGTTACTATATGGTAACTATATATATGGTTATATATAACTATATATAGTTTATATATAGTTATGGCTATATAAATAGCTATATATAACATATATGTTACATTATAATCATAAATATATTTTTATATAACATAATATATAATATATATGTTATAACATATATCATCTAATCTATCTATCTATCTATCTATCTATCTATCTATCTATCTATCTATCACCAAATAGAAACTTTTGAACTGGAAGATAAAGTAACTGAGATAAAAAGAATTCAATGGACGGGCAGAATGGAGCTGACAGAGAAAAGGCTTGGTGATTGTGAAAATATTCTATAAAATATAGATTATTAAACCTGAAAGTTGGAGAGGAAAAAAAGGTTGACAAATAACAAAATGAACAGAACCTCAGGGTCTCTTGGGGCAACATCATTTCATTGGAGGTCCGAAGGGGAGAAAGAATCAGAGCAGAAAACAAAGTTGAAGATATAGTTTCAGATCATTTCCCAAATTTCTTGAAAAACAAACACTTTGAGACTCAAGAAGCTGAGAAAACTTTAAGCAGGATAAACTCAAAACCATGCCCAGACACATCGTAATCAAACTACTGAAAATTAATGATGAAGAACAAATTTCAAAAGCACCTAGAAAAAGTGACATCATTGATCATGGAATGACTTGCTTTATAATACACATTACATACGTACAAGCCCAGAGGAGTTAGGCATGTCACATAAATGGTTGAATTGATTAGGGCAGAGCAGTGAGGAAGTGGAGAGTGAACATCCTGTCTACAGCATGTAAAAAGTTTGCAGTATTGTGACTCACAAAACAGGAGGCCGGAAGGAAGAATTTAAATTACAGGACACCAGGTTCTATCCAATAACTCCAGAATCACAAGGCAGGGTTAAGGGTTAGGAATGCCCAACTTCTATCTTTTTTTTTTTTTTTTTTTTTTTTCTGAGATGGAGCCTAGCTCCATTGCCCAGGATGGAGTGCAGTGGCATGATCTTGGCCACTGAGAAAATTTCCAGATGAGGCAGGAAAATTGCATGAACCCAGGAGGTAGAGGTTCCAGTGAGCCAAGAGCGTGTCACTGCACTCCAGCATGGGTGACAGAGTGAGACTCCATCTCAAAAAAAAAAAAAAATTAAATAAAAAAAAATAGAAAGTTGAGAAGATACCAACCATAGCTGGCCTCCAGGAATCGCTAGTGCAAAACTCCTGAGGCTGGACAGAGGTTAGGGTGCTAGAATACCACTCAAGTACCTGGGATGGTCAAAATTTAGAGAGTGGGCCAGGAGTGGTGGCTCATGCCTATAATCCCAGCACTTTGGGAGGCCGAGGCAGGTGGATCACCTGAGGTCAGGAGTTTGAGACCAGCCTGGCCAACATGGTGAAACCCTGTCTCTACTAAAAATGCAAAAAATTAGCCAGGCGTGGTGGCGCATGCCTGTAATCCCAGCTACTTGGGAGGCTGAGGTAGGAGAATCACTTGAACCTGGGAGGCGAAGGTTGCAGTGAGCTGAGATCATGCCATTGCACTCCAGCCTGGGTGACAGAACAAGACTCTGTTAAAAAAAAAAAAAAAAGAATAAAGCAAAGGAAAAAAGAAAAAAAATTAGAGAGTGAGAGGGAGAGTGGAACAGGCCGAGGCTGGGTGGTCAGCAGGGAACAGACCGTGCAGTGTTAAATTTCATAGAAGCCAGAGAGGAGCTTCCTACCTGTGGAGCTGGGGATGGAGGATGTGGAAATCCCTGGGGAGAATGTAGAAGTCACTGGAGCTGAGAAAAAAAGAACGTGGAAAAATGATTGGGTGTCTTTCTAAAGGCATGTGGCACAGGAACTGCTAATTGGTATTTGGGCTTCTATCTTGGTTCACACCAAGACCTTGATGGGTTAGGGGCTGCTCTGAGGCTGTGGCTGGGCCCGCAGGGAGGGGAATGATCAGTTTCTTTCCTGAGGAATGCACCTTGGGGAGGAAGGATCCCAAGGCCATTGGAATATCACAGCTTTGAATACTCACTGCTGGTGGCAGGGGTCTGGTACCGATGGTTATAACCTGCAGATAGGGAGGAAAGAGTAAAGAAGGACTATTATGATGGGTGAGAGGTAGGGGAGGGGAAGATGGTAGATCTAGAAATGGAAATCATGGGAAACTTTCATGATGACCCCATCTGGGCTATCCCTTAGCCAGCCAGAGGGAGGGAAAGGGTTTCCACCTTAGATGCGTGACTTCAGCTCACAAGAGAACCTCTATCGTCTCAGCCCAGAGTTGCCAAAGTTGAACAAGTCATGGACATTTCATTGAGAAGAGGTGGGGCCAGGATCTTTTGTGAATAAAGGATAATGGCTACATTTTATTTGGTACTTATTTTGTGCTTTGTCCTTGGACAATAATGGTGGAGATCATCACTATTATTATTCCTGAAATAAAAATATCATAATAGCTGTCCCTATTTATGGGGAATCTAGTATGCACCAGCAATAATAATAAATACATTACAAGGGTGGAAAGACACATGTATGGATGAGTGAGCTTTCTGATCTTATTTGTATTGTCTCTACCCATAAAGATAATTTAGTTTGATTCTTACTCTGTCAGCTTACCTCCTTTCACAAAATTTCATGATAGTACAATTTTTTTCCAGCTTTGTTTCTCTCTCTCTCTCTCTCTCTCTCTCTCTCTCTGTGTGTGTGTGTGTGTGTGTGTGTGTGTGTGTGTGTGTGATGTAGAACTGACAAAAATGTGATGGGCGAATAGAGTGGTATTTTTAGGTAAAAGTATAGAGAGATGAGGGATAGAAATGGTTCATATGGAGCCGGGTGCGGTGGCTCACGCCTGTAATCCCAGCACTTTGGAAGACCTAGATAGGTGGATCACTTGAGGTCAGGAGTTCAAGACCATCCTGGCCAACATGGTGAAACCCCCTCTCCACTAAGAACACAAAAATTAGCGTGGCATGGCGGTGGGCGCCTGTAATCCCAGCTACTCAGGAGGCTGAGGCAGGAGAATCGCTTGAACCCAGGAGGCGGAGGTTGCAGTGAGCTGAGATCGTGCCATTGCGCTCCAGCCTGTGCGACAGAGAGAGACCGTGTCTCAAAAAGAAAAGAAGAGAAGAGAAGAGAAAAAGAAAGAAAGAAGAAAGAAGGAAAGAAAGAGAAGGAAAGAGAAAGAAAAAGAAAGAGGGAGGGAGGAAGGAAGGAAGGAAGGAAGGAAGGAAGGAAGGAAGGAAGGAAGGAAGGAAGGAAGGAAGGATTAGTATGGTTTGGAATACTGGAGAAAATTTGGCAAAACAGATGTGGTGGTAAAAACAAGAGACTTCAGGATGACAGGAGTGGCAGTACCATTGGAGCAAGAAAGGAATTGGGGATAAGAGAAGTTGCCATGAGTGTTTCTCTAGGTCATGGATTGCATCTCCTTTGAGGCTCTGTGAGAGATACAAGGAAAGACGGAACCCGGGACAGCCCTGTAATTCACATGGGTTGTTCCTGAATTATCTCATTTGATTATCGGAACAATCCCACATGGTATTTTTATTCCATTCTACAGAGAGGACATTAAAGTCTAGGGAGGTTACATGGCTTGTCCTGCATCCAACAAAACAGACATCTGTCTGTCATTCAATAGTACCACACTGTTAAGCTGTGCCCTAAATTAGTCATAATCCTATGGACACAGAACAGGATGTGTACTTGATACTACAATGAAATACTTTGTGTGTATTATCTCCTATGTCAAGGATAGAGGAGTATATATTCTCTATTTCAAATCAGATATAAAGGAAATCTCCAAGTGGATTCAGAGGGGAAATAACAAATTCAGCATTAGGTTAGATCATTAGCACAGAGGCCATTCATGCCTCATTCCTGTCCTAAGATTGGGGCTTGCTGTATTTGGACGATCCACAGTGATGTCTTGTAGTTAGGGGCCTGGAGTTTTCATGAGTCTTTCATGAGTATTGCGGGATTTTAGCAAGTGTGGTATGTTCTGAAACATGAATTAGATCCTCTTTGGCGCTCTGTGAATAGTGCAAAGAAAATTTAGACTTATTTTACATTTGCTGGTTTGACTGGTTTTCTTGAAACTTCTGAGACTGGGCCAAGCGGAACCCTATCATTTACTTAGGTTATGAGGTTTTTATCTTATTTGATCTTCACAATAATCTTAGCTGACATTTTAAAAATTAAAAAAAAAAATCCATTCCGAAAATAGGGGCAGGTGAGGTGGCTCCCACCTGTTATCCCAGCACTTTGGGAGGCTTTTGGGTGGGTCACTTGAGATCAGGAGTTTGAGACTAGCCTGGCCAACATGATGAAACCCCATCTCTACAAAAATACAAAAATTAGCCAGGCGTGGTGGTGGTCGCCTGTAGTCCCAGCTACTTGAGAGGCTGAGGCAGGAGAATCACTTCAACCTGGGAGGCGGAGGCTGCAGTGAGACAAGATTGTACCACTGCACTCCAGACTGGGCGCCAGAGGGAGACTCCATTAAAAAGAAAGAAAAAAAAAACTGAACCCTTTGGGCAAGATTAGTGAGACATAGCACATATGGCTGGGCACGGTGGCTCACGCCTATAATCCCAGCACTTTGGGAGACTGAGGTGGGTGGATCACAGGAGGTCAGGAGTTCGAGACCAGCCTGGCCAACATGGTGAAACCCCATCTCTACAAAATTACAAAAATTAGCCAGGTGTGGTGGCGGGCGCCTGTAGTCCCAGCTTCTCGAGAGGCTGAGGTAGGAGAATCACTTGAACCCGGGATGTGGAGGCTGCAGTGAGCCAAGACCACCACTGCACTCCAGCTTGGGCACTAGAGGGAAACTCTATCAAAAATAAATAAATAAATAAATAAATAAATAAATAAATAAATAAGGACACTGAATCCTTTTGGCAGGATTAGAGGATTAGTAAGACATAACACATATGGGCAGGCACGGAGGCGCACGCCTGTAATCCCAGCACTTTGGGAGGCTGAGGCAGGTGGATCACCTGAGGCCAGGAGTTTGAGATCAGCCTGGCCAACATGGGGAAACCTCGTCTCTACTAAAAATACAAAAAATTAGCCAGGCGTGGTGGCGGGCGCCTGTAGTCCCAGCTACTTGAGAGGCTGAGGCAGGAGAATCGCATGAACCCGGGAGGCGGAGGCTGCAGTGAGCTAAGATTGTACCGCTGCACTCCAGCCTGGGTGCCAGAGGGAGACTGTCAAAAAAAAAAAAAAAAAATAGGACATTGAATCCTTTGGGCAGGATTAGTGAGACATAACACATATAAGAAGTTCTGTAAATATTAGCTTTTACAGTCAATATTAGCTTTTATTGTAGGTGTTCTTGTTGGTGATGTTGCTAAGAGCATTGTTCCAGAAGCCTAGAGAGGCTGCAGGACTCTCCCAGGGTCACACGGTCAGCAGCACCAGGACTTGGGATTCACCAAAACACACACTGTTAACAGCTACTTTTAAGTCACTCTCAATGACTTGTAATGAAATACAAGGCAGGTTGTCATCCAGGTATAAAGAAAATGTCTAAGGTGGTATAGTGAGGACAGAGTTAATCAAACTTTAGCTCAAATTGTTGTATTAGAAGCTCCTTGATAGGCTTTTCCATCCTGAGATGTGTGGGCTTATTCATGCTGGGTCTGCAGCGATGCTTAGAAGTTAGGGTGGTGGCCAGGTGCGGTGGCTCGTGCCTGTAATCCCAGCATTATGGGAAGCTGAGGCGGGTGGATCACCTGAGGTCAGGAGTTCGAGACCAGCCTGACCAACATGGTGAAACCCTGTCTCTACTAAAAATACAAAAATTAGCCTGGATTGGTGGCGTGTGCCTGCAATCCCAGCTACTGGAGAGGCTGAGGCAGGAGGATTGCTTGGACCCAGGAGGCAGAGGTTGCAGTGAGCCAAGATCATACCACAAGACTCTGTCTTAAAAAATAAATAAATAAATAGATAAATAAATAAATAAATAAAAAAGGAGAAGAAGTTAGGGTGGCTAGATTTTAGAGTCAATCTGGGGTTTGAGTCCCAATTCTACTACTTAGCTATCAAAACTTGGGCAAACAGATTCCCTGCCCTGAGCCTTGTTTGTTTCTCTGGTATGTATATTGTACAGCCTGCTAAGACTTTGGTAAGGTTAGTAAAACATAATATACATATGAAGTTCAGTATCACAGGAATCCCTCAATAAATATTAACCTTTATCACAGGTGTTCCTGTTGGTATTGTTGCCAACAGCATTGTTGCAAAGGGCTTTATTGCTAAACACATTAGTCAGAGTTTTTTGGTTTGTTTTGTGAGTGGAGTGTATAGTTCCAGCTGACCTTTGGAGAAGGTAAAGGGCCACCAGCTGCTATAAAGAAGAGAAAGACGAAGATGAGTGACTGTATTGGGAACCTGTTGCCTGTTGGGGAAGAATTATGTCCAGTCACCACAATGAGCCTGGCTTTTCCCTTCCTTCCTTGATTCTGCATGCTCCCCGTGGGCCTCTGAATGGTCATGGGGATGAGAAGGCTGTGGAGGGAATCTTTATTTCCACTTGAAAGAAGCTTCCTCTTTTTTGAGACGGAGTCCTGCTCTGTTGCTAGGCTGGAGTGCAGTGGCGTGATCTTGGTTCACTGCAACCTCCGCCTCCCAGGTTCAAGCAGTTTTCCTGCCTCAGCCTACTGAATAGCTGGGATTACAGGCACACGCCACCACACCCAGCTAAATTTTGTATTTTGAGTAGACACGGAGTTTCACCATGTTGGCCAGGCTGGTCTTGATCTCTTGACCTTGTGATCTGCCCGCCTCGGCATCTCAAAGTGCTGACGTGAGCCAGCGTGAGCCACCGTGCCCGACTGAAAGCTTCTTTTTAAGTGTGTTGAGTGGAGAGAAAACAGACCCCACACACCCTGGAAATTCTAGGTTGGCCCAGAACTTTGAACATAGGTAGAGGACTTGTACTACAGGGAGACCCATTTGGGGAGCAGGAGGAGCCTCCCCAACTGTAGCCCAAGTTACTCACCATTGTCAATAGCTACTCACCGTTGACATAGAGGCTGTTCCTGTTAAGAGTGTAGGGTCCCAGCAGGGTGACACCGTGAGTCAACTGGCTCAGCTCCCAGTACAGCTGCTCTCTGTCCAGCTCATAGCTGGTGAGATCTGAGCGGTAGATGCAGATGGCAGCCACTCTGGTGCTTGTCCCATCCTTTTCAGCCCTAGGGAGGGACATGGGAATGCAGACATTCAGAGATACTTGACAGCTGGTACTCTGAACAGCTCCTTTCTCCAGTGGTGCCCCTTGGTGGTTTTTGTTGTTGTTGTTGTTGTTATTTAGTTTTCCTTTCATAATCATAAACTTAACTCTGCAATCCAGCTAGACGTGGAAGAATATAAGGAAAATATGAAACCCAAAGAACAGCAGTGAGAGCACAGAGATTACAGGATAGTGTGAGCAAATGGGGTGGAGGGTGCTCCTAAGCTAAGCTACAGAACGAATGGTCTGGCGGTGAAGATAATACACAAGTCAAATTGATTAGTCATCACAGTCCGAAATGGTGATCTTTTTGCTCGTCTTGACTTTTCTTTTTTTTTTTTTTTTTTTTTGAGACAGAGTTTCACTCTTGTCGCCCAGGCTGGAGTGCAATGATGCGATCTTGGCTCACTGCAACCTCCACCACGTGGGTTCAAGCGATTCTCCTGCCTCAGCCTCCAGAGTGACTGGGATTACAGGTGCCTACCACTGTGCCCGGCTAATTTTTGTATTTTTAGTAGAGATGGGGTTTTGCCATGTTGGCCAGGCTGGTCTTGAACCCCTGACTTCAGGTGATTGGCCCACCTTAGCCTCCCAAAGTGCTAGAATTCCAGGCAAAAGCCACCATGGCTCGCCTTAATTATACATTTTAAAATAACTAAAAAAGTGCCAGGCGCAGTGGCTCACACCTGTAATCCCAGCACTTTGGGAGGCCAAGGCAGGTGGATCACTTATGCTGAGGAGTTCGAGACCAGCCTGGCCAAAATGATGAAACCCTGTCTCTACTAAAAATACAAAAATTAGCCGGGTGTGGTGGTGGATGCCTATAGTCCCAGCTACTCAGGAGGCTGAGGTGAGGTGGGAGAATCACTTGAACCCAGGAGGCAGAGGTTGCGGTGAGCTGAGGTCACGCCACTACACCCCAGCCTGAGTGACAGAGCGAGATTCCATCTCAAAAATTAAAATTTAAATTTAAAAAATTACTGAAAAAAAACTCCAGTACTTAATAGCACAGCAGGGTGACTATAGGCAATAATAATTTAATTGTGTTTTTTAAAATAACTAAAAAAGTATAACTGGATTGTTTGTAACACAAAGAATAGATGCTTGATGGGATGAATGCCCCACTCTCCCTGAAGTGATGGTCACACGTTGCATGCCTGCGTCAAAACATCTCATGTACCCCATAAATACCCACCTACTGTGTACCCACAAAAATTAAAAATTAAAAAAAATATATTATTAGTGTCAAATAGCTAGAAGGAGGATACTGAATGGTCCCAACACAACGAAGTGATCAATGTTTGAGATAATAGATGTGTTAATTACCTTGATCTGATCACTATATACCACAAGTATTAAGACTATAAATATGTACAATCAATATATACCAATTAAAAAGTAAAATAAAAGGTAAATCTACGCAACATTAAAAGAAAAAGATTTGCAAACAACGCCCCTTTTTTTAAATGGGTTTTTTTTGGTGGAGGGGGGGTGGAATATGGCTATTATACCTAAAAATATGTTCTCTATGTTAACATGTAGTAGATTTATTATTTTTAGTGAATGAATGAATACATATTTGTACTATTTCTTAGTTTTAATTTTTTTTTTTTTTTTTTTTTTTTTTGAGCAAGGTCAGGCTCTGCTGCCCGGGCTGGAGTGCAGTGGTGCAATCTTGGCTCACTTTAACCTCTGCCTCCAGGCTCAAGCCATCCTCCCACCTCAGCCTCCCAAGTAGCTGGGATCACAGGCAGACGCCACCACACCCAGCTAAGTTTTGTATTTTTTGTAGAGACTGAGTCTCACTTGCTCATCTGGGCTGGTCGCAAACTCCTGAGCTCAAGCCTTCTGCCTGCCTCAGCCTCCCAAAGTGCTGGGATTACAGGTGTGAGCCACTGTGCCTGGGCTAGTTTTAATTTTGAATACAGTAAATATTGTTATACAAGCCCAAAGGCTCTTTGGAGTTCTGAATACTTTTTTTTTTTTTTTCAGACAGAGTATCACTCTGTCCCCCAGGCTGGAGTGCGGTGGCGTGATCTCAGCTCACTGTAACCTCCGCCCCCCCAGGTTCATGCAATTCTTGTGCCTCAGCCTCCCGAGTAGCTGGGATTACAGGCATGCGCCACCACGCCCAGCTAATTTTTGTATTTTTAGTAGAGACGGGGTTTTGCTGTGTTGACCAGGATGGTCTCGAACTCTTGACTTCAGGTTATCCACCTGCCTCAGCCTCCCAAAATGCTGGGATTACAGGCGTGAGCCACCACGCTCAGCTATGAATACTTTTTAAGAATGCAAAAGGAGGAGAGAATGGGATAATGCTGGCCAAAGGGTACAAAATTTAAACCATAAGGTGAATAAGTTCTGAAGATCTAATGTATAGCATGATTACGAAGGTTAACAATGCTGTATTGTATACTTGAAATTAGCAGAGAGGATTGATCTTAAATTAAATCTTCTCCACACACACACATGCGCGCACAAATGGTAACTCTGGAGAGGTGCTGGATGTGCAAATTAGCTGCATTCTGGTGACCACTTCACCAGGTTCACACATGTCCAGACATCTAGTTGTACACCTTACATATACACAATGTTTACATGTCAATGGTATGTCAACGAAGTGGAATGTAAAAGGTTGTTGAACCCAGTGAGCTTGAGAACTGCTGGTGTCAAGGTTACAAGTAAAGATTCTAGAACCAGAACCCTTGGGCTTAAAGCCAGGCTTCTCTTAAGCAAGGAACGTGATTATTCTGAGCTTCAGTTGTCTCATCCACAAGATGGGATAAAAATAATGTGGTTGTGAGGATAAAATAAATGAAAACACGTAAACCACTTAGATTGCTGGTGGCATGTCGTAAGAACAATGTTATGACATTCCCCGATCCTATGGAGAGATGGGGGCGGGTGGGGTCAGGGGAGCTCAGCTGAGGACAGTTTTGATTTCTTTTCATGGGGCTATGTGAGTAGAAGACCCACCCCTCTGGCAGGGGGATCTGAGTTGACTGAATGGAGAACCTCACAGAGAGGCTGCAGGGTTGTAAGGTGTAAGGAAAGGGTCCTGAATCCACTGAGCCCAGAGAACACTGAGGGGACACAAGCAGAGAGGAAAAGACAGGTCATTAAAACCTAGATGATGTGTTGATAGGTGCAGCAAACCACCATGGCACATGCATACCTATGTAACAAACCAGCACGTTCTGCACATGTATCGTAGAACTTAAAGTAAAATTAAAAAAAAAAAAAAAAAGGCCGGGCGCGGTGGCTCAAGCCTGTAATCCCAGCACTTTGGGAGGCCGAGACGGGCGGATCACGAGGTCAGGAGATCAAGACCATCCTGGCTAACACGGTGAAACCCCGTCTCTACTAAGAAATACAAAAAATAGCCGGGCGAGGTGGCAGGCGCCTGTAGTCCCAGCTACTCAGGAGGCTGAGGCCGGAGAATGGCGTGAACCCGGGAGGCGGAGCTTGCAGTGAGCTGAGATCCGGCCACTGCACTCCAGCCTGGGCTACAGAGTGAGACTCCGTCTCAAAAAAAAAAAAAAAAAAAAAAAGATAATGGATTTTTCCCTTTGATTCAGTAAGACTGACTTTGGCAAAGTGCCTATCTCTTTCCAGGGAGCAAACTGCAGAGCTGTGGTGTCCGGAGCTTGACCCTAATGTGGTAGAGATGGGCTGGGGCCAGGAAGCTGTCAGGGATTCTGGGGATACCTTTGGCAAAGATGCTACACCAATTGCTGCTATGAGTCCTAATTAAATGAGCATTCACAATGGTCCAGGCACTCTGCTAAGTGATTAACAGTAAGAGACTGTTGGGAGGCTGGGGCAGGAGAATCGCTTGAACCTGGGAGGCGGAGGTTGCTGTGAGCTAAGATCATGCCACTGTACTCCAGCCTGGGTGACAGAGTGAGACTCCATTTCAAAAAAAAAACAGAGAGAAAAGAGCAAGGGACTGTTACTATCACCAATAGAATAAGAAACTGTTATTATCATCAAGAGTAAGAGAATGTTATCATCACCATTTTATAAATAATATGATTGAGGAACAGAGAGGCTGTGCGTCTTGCCCAGGGTCACACAGCTAGCAAATTGTAGAGCCGGTGTTCAAACCGAGGCACTTTGGGTCTATTATGCTATACTGCCTCTCAGCAAAAGCCCAAGTCGCTGTGGCTGCTGGGGGTGTGGGAGGCAAAGAAAGGACTGAATCGGGGTTGCTGTAGGTGCCATGAAGGGGGGTCTCACCTGAGCGAGGTCAGCCTGCAGCCAGCATAGAGGGAACCAATACTGCTGTTCTGGAACAAGGGCTCGAGCTGGGAAGGAATGAGAGAGAGATGAGGAGGAGGAGGGACCGAAACTTTGGAGGAGTGGGCATTGGCTGGGGGGCTCTCACCAGCTGCTGCAGGGCCCTCTCGGTGGCATTGAATATTTCAGAGCCCAGGCGCCCCATGTCCTTCGTGTACTGCAGGTTGGTGATGGTGAAGTTGACAGTCAAAGGCATCAACAAAGGCATGCCAGCTGCAGAAAGGGAGGGTAAGAAGAGACCAGTCCTAAGTCAGACCCTGGGCAGTGGGGCACGGGATGAAAGCCTCCGAGGACACATTTTAACTCCAGCATCCAGCTGGGGTCCAGCCTGGGCCATCCTACTTGAAATACCTTATGTAGCAGTCACTGTCTGAGACCTTCCTATGTGGGGTGACCAGTGATTCCAGTTTGCTCGGGCTGTACGGGCTGAGACGGCCAGGCGCAGTGACTCACGCCTGCAATCCCAGCACTTTGGGAGGCCAAGGGTGGATCATGAGGTCAAGAGATGGAGACCATCCTGGCCAACATGGTGAAACCCTGTCTCTACTGAAAATACAAAAATTAGCTGGGTGTGGTGGCACACACCTTGTAGTCCCAGCTACTCAGGAGGCTGAGGCAGGAGAATCCCTTGAACAGGGAGGCGGGGGTTGCAGTGAGCCAAGATTTCGCCACTGCACTCCAGCTTGGTGACAGAGTGGGATTCCGTCTCAAAAAAATAAAAAAAGAAAAGAAAAGAAAAGAAAAGTGAGACAGGGCTGGGTGCAGTGACTTATGCCTGTGATCCCAGCACTTTGAGTGGCCGAGGAGGGTGGATCACCTGAGGTCAGGAGTTCGAGAGCAGCCTACCCAACATAGTGAAACCCTGTCTCTACTAAAAATACAAAAAATTAGCCAGGCATGGTGGTGTGCACCTGTAGTCCCAGCTACTCAGGAGTCTGATGCAGGAGAATTGCTTGAACCCAGGAGACAGAGGTTCAGAGGTTGCAGTGAGCCAAGATTGCACCACTGCACTAGGGAAAATGGGGAATGGGAAATTATTCCTTCAGTCCTGTTTGGGGTGACAAAAAAAATAGGGTTGCACAACAATGTGAATGTATTAGTGCTGCTGAATTGTACGTTTAAAATGTTTAGAATGGAAAATTTTATAGTATTTATATTTTACCACAATAAAAAAGTTATTCTTACTTGCTCTTGAGGTCACACTCTCAGAGACCAAGGTGGACATCCCAGGTGTGGTCAGAGGAGCAAAGGAGCTTCCAGCCAGTGTATTGAAGGTGGTTGTGGTCTTGGCCACAGTGGGACTGGAACCTGTGGCAGCTAAATTAGTGGTTTCAACCACCGTAGTTCTCAAGATAGTGGTTGGACTCACTCCTTCTCTATGACTGGGTTTAGGTGGTGTTGGCGTCTCTGATGGTATCAAGGTCATAGGGGTGCCTGTGACAGTCCCGGAAAATTCTGGGGGTCCAGCTGAAGTTACAGATGATGAGGTTTTTGTGTTCCAGGAGGTCACAGTTTGGGGCTTACCAGTTGTTATGGAGGCACTGGGAAGCCCAGAGACAGCAGGGGAAACAGTCCGAGTTAGAGTACCGGTGCTGGTCTCTACTGAAGAGCTGGTGGCTAGTGAGCCTGTAGTCTCTAATAAACCAAGGGAAAGAGTTGAAGTTGGAATCATTGTGCTGGTTTCTGTCCCTGGATGGGTGGAAAGTGAGGCTGTTTTTGCAGAAACACCAGGTGAAGCAGTTGGATTTAGATCAACTCTGCCAGTTCCAGTTACAAGTAGGGTGAAGAGAGAGGATGTTGTCTGAGTTGAGAGAGCTGTGCTAGTCTCTGTGCCAGGTCTAATGGAGAGTGAGGCTGTGGTCCCTGATACTTGAGGAAACACAGTTGAAGCAGGAAACGTTGTACTTGTCTCTGTGCTGGGATGGGTGATCAATAAGGCTGTGGTCTCTGGCATAACAGGAGAATGAGTCAAAGTTGGAATAGTTGTACTAGTTGCTGCCCCAGAACTAGTGATCTGTGAAGTCACCATCTCTGGTGCACCAGGGGAGATTGTTGTCAGCCCAGCTGAACTGACTTCTGTCCCAGGACTGGTGGCCATTAAAGGTGTGGCATCTGGTCTACTATGGGAAAAACTGGGGGTTGTTCTCAAAACAGGTGTGCTGATCTGTGCAGGATGAGTGACCCAGGAAGCTGTTGTACCTGGCTCACTAGAGGGAACAGTCCGAATTGGAACAGTGAAGCCAGTCTGTGTCCCAGGATGGGCAGCCAATGAGGCTGTGGTCTCTGGTTCACCAAGAGAAGGAGTCAAAGTTGGAATAGCTGTACTAGTGTCTGTTGCAGAACTAGTGACCTGTGACGTCACTACCTCTGGTATACTGGATGGGATGGTTGTAATTGGAACAGCTGACCTGGCGTCTACTCCAGGACTGGTGACCATTGAGGGTGTACTGTCTGATCCCCTATGGGAAAAGTTGGGAATTGTCCTAGAAACCTTTGTGCTGGTCTCTGCAGGATGAGTGAGCCATGTGGCTGTAGTCACTGGTTCATATGGGGTCTCACTCAATGTTGGGAAGGTTATACTGGTGTCTGTTCCAGAACTAGGGACCAGTGAGGTCACCAGATCTGACATATCAGGTGAGACAGTTGTCGTTGAAACAGCTGAACTGGCTTCTGGCCCAGGACTGGTGATGGCTACTGGGAGTGTGGTGTCTGACTCACTATGGGAAAACTTGGGGGTTGTCCTGGAAACCATTGTGTTGGTCTCTGCAGGATGAATGTGCTGTGTGGCTGTTGTCTCTGGTTCATATGGGGTCTCCGTCAGTGTTCGGAAAGTTGTAGTGCTGTCTGTCCCAGAACTAGTGACCAGTGAGGTCAGCATCTTTGATGCACCAGGGGAGACAGTCAGAGTTGGAATGGCTGAACTTGTGTGTGTCTCAGAATAGGTGATAAATGAGGTTGTGGTCTCTTGTTCATCAGGAGAAAGAGTCAGAGCTGGAATAGTTATACTGGTGTCTGTCCCAGAACTAGTGACCTGTGAGGTCACCATATCTGGTACATCAGATGAGGCAGTTATTGTTGGAAAAGCTGAACTGGCTTCTGCCCCGGGACTGGTGGCTATTGAGGGTGTGGTGTCTGGTTCACTATGAGAAAAATTAGGGGTTGTCCTGGGAACTGTTGTGCTGGTGACTGCAGGATGAGTAACCCATGAGGCTGTTGCCTCTGATTCATGTGGGGACTCAGGCACTGTTGGAAAAGTTGCACTGATGTCTGTCCCAGAGCTAGTGACCAGGGAAGTCAGCACACCTGGTATACCAGGTGAAATAGTTGTTGAAATGGCTGAGCTGGATTCTGCCTCAGGACTGGTGACTGTGGAAGGCATAGTGTCTGATTCACTATGGGAAAAGCTTGAGGTTGTCCTGGGAACAGTTGAGCTACTCTCTGCAGGATGGGTGACAAATGAGATTTTTGTAAATGGCTCCCCAGTGGAGACAGTCAAAGTTGGAACAACAGAGTTTGTTTCTGTCCCGAAATGAGTGATCCATGAGGCTGTGGTCTCTGGTTGACCTGAGACAACAGTTAGATTTGGAAATGCACTGGTCTCTGACCCAGAACTAGGGACCAGTGAAGTCACCAGCCCTTGTACAGTAGGGGAGACAGCTAAAGTTGGAATGGCTGAAATTGTCTTTGCCTCAGAATGGGTGACTAATGAAGTTGTGGTCTCTGGTTCACCAGAAGAAATAGCCAGAGTTGGAATAGTTGTACTGGCTACTGCACTAGAACTAGTGACCAGAGAGGTCACCACTCCTGGTACCTCAGGTAAAACAGTTGGAACAGTTGAGCTGGCTTCTGCCCTTTCTGTCCTATGACTGGTGGCCATTGAAGGGTTGGTTACGGTCAGGTGGTACTGGTCCCCAGGAATTGGAAAAGGGGCCTGAAGGTGGGTGGGTGGCTCTGGTTCACCAGAGGGCAAAAAAGAGTCAGAGTATGGACCAATAGGTTGTAAACAGTGGTAACCAGCTGGCCCTTGATGGGCCTTAAGGTGGTCTGGACCAGGAGAAAGATCAGAGGAATAGTGACTGCACCTAGAACTAGTGACCAAAGGAGTCACCACTCCTGGTACCCCAGGTGAAACAGTTGGAACAGCTGAGCTGGCTTCTGCCTCATGACTGGTAGCCATTGAAGGTGTGGTCTCTGGTTCACCAGGAGAAAGAGTCAGAGTTGGAATAGTTGAACTGGTCACTGCTCTAGAACTAGTGACCAGAGAGGTCACCACTCCTGGTACCCCAGGTGAAACAGTTGGAACAGCTGAGCTGGCTTCTGCCTCATGACTGGTGGCTGTTGAAGGTGTGGTCTCTGGTTCACCAGGAGAAAGAGTCAGAGTTGGAATAGTTGTACTGGTCACTGCCATAGAACTAGTGACCAGAGAGGTCACCACTTCTGGTACCTCAGGTGAAACAGTTGGAGTTGGAACAGCAGAGCTGGCTTCTGCCCCTTCTGTCCTTTGACTGGTGGCCATTGAAGGTGTGGTCTCTGGTTCACCAGAAGGAAGAGTCAGAGTTGGAATAGTTGTACTGGTCACTGCCCTAGAACTAGTGACTAGAGAGGTCACCACTTCTGGTACCCTAGGTGAAACAGTTGGAACAGCTGAGCTGACTTCTGCCTCATGACTGGTGGCCATTGAAGGTGTGGTCTCTGGTTCACCAGGAGAAAGAGTCAGAATTGGAATAGTTGTACTGGTCACTGCCCTAGAACTAGTGACCAGAGAGGTCACCACTTCTGGTACCCCAGGTGAAACAGCTGGAACAGCTGAGCTGGCTTCTGCCTCATGACTGGTGGCCATTGAAGGTGTGGTCTCTGGTTCACCAGCAGAAAGAGTCAGAATTGGAGTAGTTGTACCTGTCACTGTCATAGAACTAGTGACCACAGGGGTTACCACTCCTGGTACTCCAGGTGAAACAGTTGGAATTGGGACAGCTGAACTGGATTGTGCCCCATGACTGGTGGCCATTGAAGGTATGGTGTCTGATTTACTATGAAAAAAAATGGAAGTTGTCCAGGGAACTGTTGGGCTGGTCTGTGCAGGATGCGTGACCAATGAATCTGTGGTAGCTGGTTCACCAGGGGAGCTTGTCAGAGCTGGATTAGTTGTACTTGTCTCTGCCGCCAAACTGGTGACCATTGAGGTCACCATCCGTGATACACCAGGCAAGATAGTTGAAGTTGGAATGGCCGAACTTGTCTGTGCTTCAGGATGGGTGACTAATGAGGCTGTGGTCTTTGGTTCACCAGAAGAAAGACTCAAAGTTGGAATAGTCATATTTCGGTCTGTTCCAGAACTAGTGACCTGTGAGGTCACCAGATCTGCTGCACCAGGTGAGACAGTCATAGTTGGAATCGCTGAACTGGTTTCTGCCCCAGGACTGGTGGCCACTGAAAGTGTGGCATCTGATTCACGACGGGAAAAATTGGGGATTGTTCTGGAAATGGTTGAGCCGGTCTCTGCAGGATGAGTGAGCCATGTGGTTCTTGTCTGTGTTTCATGTGGGGACTTAGTCAGTGTTGGGAATGTTGTACTAGCATCTGTCCCAGAAATAGTGACCAGTGGGGTCAGTGCATCTAGTTCACTAGGTAAGATATTTGTTGGAATGGCTGAGCTGACTTCTACCCCATGACTTGTGGCTGTGGAAGATACAGTGTGTGATTCACTGTGGAAAAAACTGGTGGTTGTCTTGGAAACAGTTGGGATGGTCTCTGCAGGATGGATAACCCATGAAGCTGTTGTATCTGGCTCACTAGAAGAAACATCTAGAGTTTGAATAGCTGGACTTGTCTCTGCCTCAGAACTAGGTACCAGTGAGGCTGTGGTCTCTGATTCTCTATTGAAAACAGATGGGGTGGTCCTGGGAAGAGCTGCTCTGGTTTCTGCTCCCAGGCTGGTAGCCAATGAGGATGTCATTTCTGGAACATCAGGGGAAACATATGGGGTTGTGATCGTCATTTCTGTGGTACTTGTGCTGGCCATTTGCACTGATGCATTGAGGGGAGTCAGTGTTCCCAAAGTAGAAGTATAGACACTGGTGGTCAAGATGGCTCTGGAAGTGGTCTTCGGAGCTGTGGTGGTGGTCTTCAGAGCTGTGGTGGTGGTCTCCATTCTTTTTGTCCCTCCCGTGTGTAGTCCTGTGAATTGGGGAATGGGCACACAATTTGAACAAAATGATTTCACTTACTGGACTAGCAATAGCTTATTTATTCTCCATATGAGGAAAGGGAGAGAAATGTTTCTCAGTTACTAGGATGTGCCTGGGATGCTCCTGGAATGGGAAAAGAGACTGTGATTGGTATTCCCCTATCTTACCTTCGTCGGTAACTTGGTTGTATCTTCTATAACTCCTCTGTGAATTCTTGACCGCAGTAATCTATTCCCTCTTCCCATGTGTTTTCTGCACCGTCAGCCTCTGAGCCTTGCTCAAGCTCTTCTCTCTGCCTGAAGTGCCCACTTCTCATCAGATTCCTTAAGTTCTGCCATTCTTGTGTGCCAAGCCCACATCCACCTTTACAAATTCATGCCAGAACTCATCTTTGTTTCTCAATATTTCCTTATCACACTGTCTGAATCTGCATTGTGCCATCCTTCCCAGTCTCATTTGTAACAGCTATTCACATCTGACTGTTTGGCATATGGTAAGGGCTCAACTAATATTTGTTGAATGGTTGAATGAATGAATATGTGGATGGATGTATACTTAAGTGGATCTCCTCTGACTTGAGAGAGATTAAGTATTGTGCATTGTGTGTTTGAGAGCTTGGGTTCTGGAATAAGATAGCCCTGCCTGGGATTCTGGCTCTTTCTCTAAAGAGAAGGATGGCTCTTTAAGTTAAAAAATATTGCTCGACCTCCACTTTTCCATCTATAAAGTGGGGATAAGTACAATGGCCATCTCAAAATGTTGGTACAAAGGCACCAAGCACAGTGCCTCCTGGGTCACAATAAGACATTACTACTATTACCATGACTATGACCTGCTATTGCTACTGTTATTACTATCACTTCTCCACCTACCATTACTGCTGTTATTGCTACTGCTACTACTACCTATTGCTATGGTTATTACTATGATTACTACTACTTACTACTACTGCTGCTACTACTATTGTTACTACTAGTATTATTTACTATTGCTACTGTTACTATTACCACTGCTACTACTACTACTACTGTTACTACTACCACCACTCTACCTACCATTACTGCTATTACTACTGTTACCACAACTATTACTACCTATCACTATGGTTATTACTATGGTTACTGCTACTTACTATTACTACTGCTGCTGCTATTACTATTGTTACTACTGCTATCACTTAATATTACTACTCTACCTACAGTAGAGTAACAGCAGTAATGGTAGTGCTCTACCTGCCATTACTGCTGTTATTACTATTGTTACTACTACTACTACTACATATTGCTATGGTTATTACTATGGTAATTACTATGGTTACTACTGTTACTACTATTGTTGCTACCACTATTACTTATGATTTCTACTGTCATGATTACCACTGCTACTACCTACTACTACTACTGTTACTACTCAACTCTACCTACCATTACTGCTATTATCACTACTATTAGTACTAGTATTACTGCTTATTGCTATGGTTATTACTACAGTTACTACTACTTACTAGTGTTATTGCTGCTATTGTTACTATCACTACTACTTACCATTACTACTGTCACTACTAATAATTCTACTACAAAATAAACATTTGCTAAATAGAATTCTCCACCAACCACACTAGACACTACCAGAGCTGGCCAAGGTGACTGGGATACCTCTGAAGAAGATTCCAGTAGCATTGATGAGACAGCAGCTGCTGACCAGGCTTTAGAAAATGGTTCCTATGGAAGAGGAAGAACTCCCTGGAGACTTCTCTATAAAGCCCACAAAGCCTACTGGAGTTTGGTAGAGAAAGGGGCTAAAATGAAGGGGATTTTGACTTTGATTGTGGAGCAATGTCCCTGTGTTGCTGGATATACTCTAAAAACAATACGTCTGAGAATGCACACTCTAAAGTGCTTCATGTGTATTTAACAATGATGGTGATAATGATGGTGATTATGTTGATGGGAAGGAGGAGGAGGAGCAATTGCAAAGCACTTGACATGCACTGTCTCTTTGATCCTCACAAGAACATTAAATGGCACATTTTGGCTGGGCACAGTGGCTCACGCCTGCAATCCCAGAACTTTGGGAGGATGAGGTGGGCAGATCACCTGAGGTCAGGAGTTCTAGACCAGCCTGGTCAACATGGTGAAACCCCATCTCTACTAAAAATACAAAAATTAGCTGGGTGCAGTGGCATGCATCTGTAATCCCAGCTACTCGGGAGGCTGAGGCAGAAGAATGGCTCGAACTCAGGAGATGGAGGTTGCAGGGAGCCGAGACTGCGCCTCTGCACTCTAGCTTGGGTGACAGAGCCAGACTCTCCTCAAAAAATAAAATAAAATAAAATAAAATGCACATTCTATAATTCTTGTCATTTTACAGGAGAGAAAGAGAAATCCAGAGACCACAATTTACCAAGGTCACACACAGCTATTGACAGGGTGACAACTTGAACATCATTGTATCTAAATGCTAAACCCATATTATTAACCACTGCTTTATATTAATTCCCTAAAGCAACTTCTGGATCTTGTGGGGACCAGAATGGAAAGAGAATGAAGTGAGGTGAAAACGCCCATATAGTAAGATGGATCTTAGGACACATTCTCCAGTTCAGTGGTTCTCAACCAGGGGCAGTTTTGCTTCCAGGGGACACTTAACAATGTCTGGAGATATTTTTGGTTGTCACAACTGTGTGTGGACGAATGGTATGGCATCGAGAACAGAGGCCAGAGACGCTGGCAAACATCCTACAATGCACAGCACAGCTCCCCACCGCAAAGAAGTATCTGCCCCAAATGACAATAGTGTCAAGGTTGAGAAACCCAGATTTTAATTTATTTATGTATTTCAAGTTACTGCCTTTTAAAATGAAAATTTTATTTCAGACTTTATTCAAAACAGAAGAAGGAGGAATTACTAAATATTGTGACAAAGAAAACATGTAACAGTGATGTCATAAACCATCTTACATTTATATCATGTTTTTATTCCCCCCATTGTAGTTACATATTGTAATTTAGCTCTCCAGTGATGACAAACATAAACAATCCAGGAGCTCACCCATCTTCTTTATTTAAGTGAAAGTTAAAAAAAAGTACAGTTCTAAATTTTTCATCATGGGAGAGATATAATCCTAGGTATTTTTTTTTTAAGTTTCTCTTACAAGAGAGTTGTGTCTGTTTTTCAACCAGGGCATACATAAAGGCTGTTAATTTATACTTCTTTTTCCTGCATTTGCTAGAACTATTGGGATGTATTTTCAGATATTTTACATATATATATGTAATAGATATATATATAATTATACATATATATGTATTTTTTATTTATTTATTTATTTTTGAGACAGAGTCATGCTCTGTCACCCAGGCTGGAGTACAGTGGCACGATCTCAGCTCACTGCAGCCTCTACCTCCTGGGTTCAAGTGATTATCTTGCCTCAGCCTCCCGAGTAGCTGTGATTACAGGTGTGTGCCACCATGCCCGGCTAATTTTTATATTTTCAGTAGAGATGGAGTTTCACCATGTTGGTCAGACTGGTCTCGAATTTTTGACCTAAGGTGATCCACCTGCCTCAGCCTCCCAAAGTGTTGGGATTAAGGTGTGAGCCGCTGTGCCTGGCTCATAGTAAGTTTTTAATGAGCATTGAAAAAAATTAGTTAATAAGGACAAATTTGTGAATATTTGATGTTGGACAAAGCTACTCAACATGCCATGAGAAGAAAGAGAAGTGGTAACATCTACCTGGTAACCATTAGACAAAGACCCAGTTCAGACAGGGAAACCTATGACAACCACACACAATTCTCTCTCTAAAGAATACAAGCATTTTGTCTCTCTAGAGGAGGAAATATGGTCACAAGTGGCATTATTGGGAGGCAAGCAAAGTTAAACTTACCTTTAGGACTGGCAGGCAATGTGGATGTCTGAGGACCTTTGACTGGTCTTATGGTACCTCTGTGTGCCGCTTCACTGGGTATTTTTGTGATGTGCTCCATAATGCCATCAGTTCCTGAAGATGAAGGTAGGGAGGAAAACTGGGGTAACTCATCTCATTCAGAAGAAGAGCACTGTCTAAATGAATCCACTTCATTGGCCACAAAAACTCCTCAAGTCCATTAACATGAACTGGAGCTGGGACTGTATGCCATAAGTGGCCACACCAGTCCATAGATCCATTCACCTACCTATAGATTTGTCCATCCTTCCCTTCATTCATCCCTAGATCTGATCATCTATTCTTCCATTTTTTCATCCTTTTATTCCTTCCTCCTACCACCCATTCTTCCTTTCGTCTTTCCTCCCTTTTTTCCTTTCTCTTGCTTTTTAAATTTTTAATTAAAAAGTTTGTACTTCAATAGCTTTGAGGGTACAAGTGGTTTTTGCTTCTATGGATGAATCATATAGTGGTGAAGTGTGAGATTTTAGTGCACCCTCCTTTCTTCTTTCCACCCATCTTTTCTTCAATCTTTACTTCATTTCATCCTTCCACCCTTCTTGCCTTCAACCTGTATCCCCTTCAATCCTGTCTTCCATCACCTTTCTTTCTTTTCATCCTTCCTTCTGTGCATCTATCCTTCCTCCTCTTCATCTTTCCTTCCTTTCATTCATCCATCTCTCCATTCTTCCTTTTATCCATCCAACTACACTTCTACCTTCTCACCATGCCATTCATCCCTTCCTTACTGAACACCCATGACTCAACTACTGAGTCACATAGTAACATGTGGGTCAACAGCCACCAATGTGTCTAAATTTAGTGTGAATTACAAAACTAATATGAAGAAGGAGAAGGAACAAATCATTCTCCTGGAGATATTGCTCAGTGAGGCAGAAACTCGAGTCGTTGGAGGGCCTCTTTGGATTTGTGTCCAGAACAAAAGTTAGTGCCAAGCTCAACCCTTTCAGAGGAATGGAATCCCCAAGAGGTTCCTTCCTTTATCTACTGACCTCTTGGAAGTAGTGTTTCCTCCTTCTAGGCTCTGGGTTCCTCCTACCTTCTTAGGTACTTTGTTCCCTCAATTTTCATTAACTTGCCTTTTCCTTTCACGTATCCCTTTTGTCTCTTGCTCAACTCAAAGGGAGAAACCCTCCCTTATATCTATGTAGTGTTTTAGCTGTTCTTCTAGTGCCCTATACCTCACTGATGCTCCCTTCATTAGAATCCCTGAGAACCCCCATGTTGCCAAAGCTCTTCTCACCTCATTTCAACTTGGCAATTCTGTGGTATTTAACAGAACTTAACATTTCTACTTCCTAAAACTCTCCCCTCCTATGGCTTTGGTGATGCCAGAACTTCTTGCTTTTTCTGTTACCTCTCTGACCACTCCTGTTTAGCCCAACAGTTAGGGGCATGAGTTCCTAGTGACACACAATCCGAGTTCTTATCCTAGTTCTGTTACTTTCTAGCTATATGACCTTAAGAAAGTTATTTAATCTCCCTGTGCCTAAATGTCTTCATCTTCAAAATACGCTTATAATACTCTCTACTTCAATAAGTGTTACAATTGAGGATCCAATAGCTTAATAAAACTGCACTTGAAACAGAATAAGTACTGTTATAAATATTTTCTGTTGTCATTATTCTTATTGTCATCATCATTACCAGTAGTAATATTAGAGCACCTATCATGATACTGTAATGATTCAATTATTTGCTTATTTTTGTTCCTCCAATTCCTAACCCAGTGCCTAGAAGTGAAATTAGATAAACACATGTTTGCTAAAAGAATTTCTGGTACAGGAATAAACTAGTTAACTTTTTTTTTTGCTTCTTAGGAAGGGGTCATTTCCTATGAGCTCCCAATAATGGGATTTTAGGGGCTGTGGGTGCTTACTTGTCAACCGTGTTGAGAGTGAAGGAACTTGATAAGCACTTGTCACTGTTCCCAGCTCAGCGCTCTCTGTCATTCTGGTATCCAAAACGGGTGATGAAGATGTCCTGGCTGGTTGGCTCGAAGTGTCCAAAGTACTGACCATAACGAAGTGTCCTTCAGTAGTGCTGCTCTCTGTCCCAAGACTGGTGTCCACTCTATGTGGAGTAGCTGAAGAGGAAGTTATCCCATGGAGGGCTGGGATGGTTGAAGAATCAGTGGTAGTGAAGGTTGAAGAGGAGAATGGCACAGGAGTGGATGAAGGCAGGCTCTCTGCAATGGTGGACAGAGTAGCATCCCCAGGGCCTGACTCTGTCCTAGAGAATGGACTACCTGAACCCGAGATGACTCGTGGAACTCCAGTGGTGGCAAATGAAGTCACAGCCTCTGATAGAGAAGGCATCACTGTGCCAGTGGAAATAGTCTCAGCTGAAGGCAGCAAATCTGTACTCAGATGATGAGTACTTTCTGTTACAGACATAGTAAACTTGGATTCTGGGAAGGAGGTTACTCCAGTGGACTCCATAATAGATGGAGAAGCATTAAAGGGGGTGATTATGTCCACTGGAATTTCAGTATACTGTGAGACTGGAGGCCGGTCTGGGGATGATGTTTTCACAGAAGAGGTGAAATCAGTCTTGGAACTCTGTAAAAGATGAGTAGACCCAGGAGAAGAAGGTGTATTTGTTGGTGTGACTGAGCTGGTGTCCAGGGACGTGTTAGTCTTCCTAAATGCAGAAGTCAAATGAGAAAATGGCTCTGCCTCAGATCTTGTGGTCTCAATATTGGCAGGCGTTGATGTGGAAATAGTGGTTTCGGCCATGGAAGAGGAAGTACCCACTGGGTATGTAGCCTTGGATGGCTCCAAGTGGATTGAAACAGAGGAATATAGTTCATGTCCAGAATTAGTGGTTCCCACATTGGTCACTGCCATGCTTGAAGAAGGGTGAATTTTCTCTGTATCTGTGGTGACTTCAGAGGCAGCCAGTATTTCAACTGAGGTGCTGCTCAGATTTGGAGATAAACTGGTTCCAGGTTCTGTGCTTATGTCTGTAGTCTTCACCATGCCTGGGGTGAGGAGCGAAGTCACAGGAAAAGAAGAGGAAGAGATACTCTGTAGTAATGTGGAAGAAACAGAAGGTGACGTCTTGACAGGTAAGGACAACAGAGAAGAGGAAGAGCTAGTTTTTTCCACAAAGGGAGAGCTCTTCCATGATGGATTTTCAGGACTCCTGCTCATAAGAGTTGTCATCTCTGAGTGTAAAAATCTTGGAGGAACAGTTGAATGGGTCTTTGCCAAGGGTGCTGTTGTTGTGGCCAAGGTAAGGGTACTCTGTGTTGTAGCCCCAGGAGAACTTGTTTGGGTGGTGATGGTCATTTCTGTTGATTCTGACATCATGGATGAGGAAGAGAGCCTGGTGATCACTTCAGTGATGATGTCTGGAGACATTGTGGACTGATCAGGGTCAGGGATGTGTGTTCTGTTAGAGGACATGATTTCTGTCACAGAGACCTCAGTAGTAGCACTAGTGGGCACTCCAAAAAGGACTGCACTTGTTTCTGTGATTGAGCTGGTCTCTTCAGAGGTTCTAGTCTCCCTGAATCCAGGAGTCAGTGAGAATGTGGGCTCTGTCGGAATCCTCCTAGTCTCAGAGAAGGCAGGAATTGATGTGAAAACAGTGGTGTCCTCCACAGGGGAGGTGATACCCATTGAAGGTGTGGTCATGGTTGTTTCTGAGTCAGCTAGGACAGAGGAATGAGATTCATGAACAGAACTGGAGGTCCCCACTTTGGTCACCGCTGTGTTTGAGGTAGGATGAATTTTCTCTGTATCTGTGATGATTTCAGAGGTGGCTGGTATTTCAACTGAGGTGCTGCTCAGATTTGGAGATGAACTGGTTTTAGGCTCTGAGCTTGTGTCCAACACTTCCGTAGTCTTCACCAGGCCTGGGAGGATAAGTGAAGTCACAGGAAGAGGAGAGGAGGGGCTACTCTCTAGTAATGTGGAGGACACAGGAGAAAGTGAGGTCGCGAGAGGTAATGATGTCAGAGAAGAGGAAGATCTAGTTGTTTCCACAAAGCGAGGGCTCGTCCATGACAGATTTTCAGGACCCCTGCTCATAAGATTGGTCATCTCTGAGTGTGAAAGTCCTTGAGACACAGTTGAGTGGGTCCCTGACAAAAAGGTCGTTGAGGTGCCCAAGGGAAGGGTAACCTGGGATGTAGCCAGAGAAGAACCTGTTTGGGTGGTGATGGTTATTTCTGCAGATTCTGTCATGATGGGGGAGGTAGAGAGCCTGGTGACAACTTCATCGGAGATGTCTGGTGACATTGTGGACTGAGCAGGGCCAGGAATGGATGTTCTGCTAGAGGACATAACTTCTGTCCTGGAGACCTCAGGAGTGGCATCAGAGGGCATCTTGTAAAGGACAGTGCTTGTCTCTGTGGATGAGATGATGTCCTGGGAGGTTCTGGTCTCCCTCAGTCCAGGGATCAGAGATGACATTGACTCTATCTCAATCCTTGTAAGGCCAGAGGAGACAGGCATTGTTGTGGAAACAATGTTGTCTCTTATAGAGGAAGAGGTGACCATTGGAGATGTCACTTTGGTTGGCTCTGAGAAGCCTGGGGAGGAGGAATAGAGTTCCTCTCTAGCACTGGTGGTTTCCACATGGGACACTGCTGTGTTTTCAAAAACCTGAATTGCCTCTGTCTCCACAGTGGCTTTAGAAGTGGCCAGACTCCCATCTGAGGTGATATTCAAACTGTGAGGTGAAGTGGTCTCAGGTTCTAAGCTTGCATCCAACATGTCTGTGGTCTTCATCATGACAGAGGTGAAAAGAGAAGTGACAGGGACAGGAGAGGAGTGGCTACTCCCAGACGGCGTGGAATAAAGCGGCGAAGGTGAGGCTACTGTAGATAAAGACACCAGGGAAGATGGAGAGCTGTTTTTTTCCACAGATGGGAGGTTTGGCCATGACATGTCCTCAGGACCTCTGCTCATAGGAGTTGTCACCACTGACTGTGGAAATCTCTGAGTTGCAGCTGAGTGAGTTCCTGGCCAGGAGGCTGTGCTTGATGTGCCCAAGGTAAAGGTACCCTGTGAGGTAGCCCCAGAAGGACCTGTTTTGGGGGTGATGGCCATTTCTGTTGATTCTTTCCTGGTGAGGGGAGTAGAAATTCTAGTGATGGTTTCCGTGGAGGTGTCTGGTGACATTGTGGATTGAGCAGGGCCTGGGATGGATGTTCTGCTAGAGGAGATGGCTTCTGTCCTGGAGACCTCAGGAGTAGCACCAGTGGGCACACTAGAAAGGACAGTGTTTGTTTCTGTGGCAGAGGTGGTCTCTTCAGAGGTGCTGGTCTCCATCAACTCAGGAGTCAGTGAAAGCGTTGGCTTTGTCGGAATGCTACTGGTGTCAGAGAAGGCAGGAATTGATGTGAGAACATTTGTATCTCCTGTAGGGTAGGTGATACCTACTGAAGATGTGGCTTTTGTTGTCACTGAGTCAGCTAAGGCAGAGGAAGGAGATTCATGTGTATAACCTGAGGTTACCACATTGGTCACCTCCAGTTTCTCTGTATCTGTGGTGACTTCAGTGGTGGCCAGTATTTCAGCTGAGGTGCTGCTCAGATTTGGGGGTGAACTGATTTCAGGTTCTGAGCTTGTGCCCAACAGCTCTGTGGTCTTCACCAGGCCCGAGGTGAGAAGTGATGTCACAGGAAGAGAAGAGGAATGGATGCTGTCCGGTAATGCGGAAGAAACAGGAGAAAGTGAGGTCATAGCAGGTGAAGACAGCAAAGAAGAGGCAGAGCTGATTTCTTCCACAGAGGGAAGGCTTGGCCATGGCACATCTCCAGGAGTTCTACTCATAAGAGTGGTCATCTCTGAGTGTGGAAATCCTTGAGATGCAGTTGAGTGGGTCCCTGACATAAAAGTTGTTGTTGAGGTGTCCAAGGTAAGTGTACCCTGTGATGTAGCCCCAGGAGAACCTGTTTGGGCAGTAATGGTCATTTCTGTAGATTCTGTCTTGATGGGGGAGGTAGAGAGCCTGGTGATCACTTCCATGGAGATGTCTGGTGACATTGTGGACTGATCAGGGCTAGGTCTTCTGCTAGAGGACGTCACTTGTGTCCGGAAGTACTCAATCGTGGCACTAGTGAGTGCCTTGTAAGGAACAATGCTTGGCTCTGTGGCTGAGTGGATCTCCTGGGAGGTCCTGGTCTCCCTTGGTGTGGGGGTCAGGGTGGATGTTGACTCCATCTCAGTTCTTGTTATCTCAGAGGAAGCAGGTATGGTTGTAGAAACAATGTCTTTTATCGTGGAAGAGGTGACCATTGGAGATGTCACTTTGGATGGCTCTGGGAAGCCTGGGTAAGAGGAATAGAATTCTTGTCTAGCTCTGGTGGTGCCCACCTGGGTCACAGCTGTGTTTTCAGAAACGTGAATTGCCTCTGTGTCCATAGTGGCTTTAGAAGTGGCCAGACTCTCATCTGAGGTGATATTCATAGTGGGAGGTGAAGTGGTCACAGGTTCCAAGCTTGTGTCCAACATGTCGGCGGTCTTCATCACGACAGGGGTGAAAAGAGAAGTCACCTGGAGAGGAGAGGAGTGGCTACTCCCAGATGTTGTGGAATAAAGCAGCGAAGGTGAGGTTACTGCAGATAAAGACACCAGGGAAGATGGGGGGCTAGTTTTTTCCACTGATGGGGGGCTTGGCCCTGACACATCTTCAGGACCTCTGCTCATAGGAGTGGTCATCACTGAGTGTGGAGATCTGTGAGTTGCAGCTGAGTGAGTTCCTGGCCAGGAGGCTCTGCTTGATGTGTTCAAGGTAAAGGTACCTTGTGAGGATGCCCCAGAATGACCTGTTTTGGGGGTGATGGTCATTTCTGCTGATTCTGTCGTGGTGAGGGGAGTAGAAATTCTAGTGATGGTTTCCGCGGAGATGTCTGGTGACATTGCGGATTGAGCAGGACCTGGGGTGGATATTCTGCTTGAGGAGATGGCTTCTGTTCTGGAGACCTCAGTAGTAGCACCAGTGGGCATTCTAGAAAGAGAAGCACTTCTTTCTGTTGTTGAGCTGATCTCTTGAGAGGTACTGATCTCCCTTAATTCAGAGGTCAGGGAGGAAGTTGGCTTTGTCATCATAGTTTCTGGGAAGGCAGGAGTTGATGTGGAAACACTTGTATTCCCCAGAGTGGAGGTGGTAGCCATTGGAGATGTGGCTTTTGTTGTCACTAAGTCAGCCAAAACAGAGGAAGGGGATAGATGTTTATAAACCAAAGTCCCTACATTGATCACTGGTGTGTTTGAGGAGGGATGAATTTTCTCTGTATCTTTGGTGACTTCAGAGGTGTCTATTTCATCTGAGGTGCTGCTCAAATTTGGAGGTGGACTGGTTTCAGGTTCCGAGCTTGTGCCCAACATGTCTGTGGTCTTCACTGGGCCAGGGGTGAGAAGTACAGTCATAGGATGAGGAGAGGAGGGGATGCTCTCTGGTAATGTAGAGGAAAAAGAAGGCGAGGTCATGGCAGGTGAAGACAGTGGGGAAGACACAGAGCTGGCTTCTTCCATAGAGGGATGGCTTGGCCATGACACATCTCCAGGAGTTTTACTCATAAGAGTGGTCATCTCTGAGTGTGAAAATCCTGGAGATGCAGTTGAGTGGGTCCCTGACCAAAAGGTTGTTGTTGAGGTGTCCAAGGTGAGGGTACCCTGTGATGTAGCCCCAGGAGAACCTGTCTGAATAGTGATGGCACTTTCTGCTGATTCTGTCATAATGGGGGAGGTAGAAAGCCTGGTGATCGCTTCAGTGGAGATGTCTGGAGACATGGTGGACTGATCAGGCCCTGACATGGATGTCCCCCTAGAGGAGATCACTTCTGTCCTGGAGACCTCAGTGGTAGCACCACTGGGCACTTCAGAAAGGACAGTGCTTCTCTCCGTGGTTGAGATGATCCTCTCAGAGCTGCTGGTCTCCCTCAATCCAGAAGTCAGGGAGGATGTTGGTTCTATCTGAATTCTGCTGGTCTCAAAGAAGTCAGAAGTGGATATGGAAACACTCGTTTTCCCCATGGTGTAGGTGGTACCCATTGAAGATGTGGCTTTGGGTATCTCTGAGTCAGCTAGGACAGAAGATTGTGATTCATGTCCAGAACTGGAGGTCCCTATGTTGGTCACTGCTGTGTGTGTGGAAGGATGCATAGCTTCTGTATCTACAGTGTCTTCCAAAGTGGACAGTCTCTCATAGGAGGTGCTGCTCAAATTTGAAGTGGAGCTGGTTTCAGGTTCTCTGCTTATGCCCAGCCTGTCTGTGGTTATCACCAGGCCAGGGGTGAGAAAAGAAGTCACAGGAAGAGAAGTAGGGAGTCTGGTGATGGTTTCTGTGGAGGTCTCTGGTGACACTGTGAGCTGAGCAAGGCCTGAGACGGATGTTCTGCTAGAGGAGGTGACTTCTGTCCTGGAGACTTCAGCAGTGGCATCAGCAGGCACTCCAGAAAGGACAGTGCTCATCTCTGTGGCTGAGCTGGTCGCCCCAGGGCTGCTGGTCTTTCTCACTCCAAGGGTCAGGGAGGATGTTGATTCTGTCCGAATTTTGCTAGTCTGAAAAAAGCCAAGAGTTGATGTGGAGACACTTGTATCCTCCATGGTGGAGGTAATAACCATTGGAGACGTGACGTTGAATGTCTTTGAGTCAGCTAGGACAGAGGAAGGGGATTCATGTCCAGAACTGGAGGTACCCACATCGGTCACTGCTCTGTTTGAAGAAGGATGAATTTTCTCCATATCTGTGGTGACTTCAGAGGTGGCCAGTATTTCAACTGAGATGCTGCTCAAATTTGCAGGTGAGTTGGTTACAGGTTCCGAGCTTTTGTGCAACGTATCTGTAGTTTTTGCCAGGCCAGATGTAAGGAGTGATGTCACAGGAAAAGGAGAGGAAGAGATGCTGTCTGTTAATGTGGAGGAAACAGGAGAAGGTGAAGTTGTGGCTGGTGAAGACATCAGAGAAGAAGAGCTAGTTTTTTCCAGAAGGGGAGGGCTCATCCATGATACATCCTCAGGACCCCTCTTCATAAGAGTGCTCATCTGTGAGTGTGAAAATCCTTGAGATAGAGTTGAGTGTGTCATTGTCAAAGAGGTTATGCTTGAAGTGTCCAAAGTACTGGTGCCTTGTGTTGTGGCCCCTAAAGGACTTGTGTGGGTGTTCATGGTTATTTCTGTTGATTCTGTCATGACAGGGGATGTAGAGAACCAACTGATGGTTCCTGTGGAGATGTCTGGTGATATTGTGGATGGAGCGGGACCTGGGATGGAGGTGATGTCTTCCTTGGAGATCTCAGTAGTAGCACCAGTGGACACTTTAGAAAGGATGATGCCCATCTTGGTGCCTGAGCTGGTCCCTTCAGAGCCACTGGACTCCCTCAATCCAGGGGTCGGGGAGGAAGTTGGCTCTGTCTGAATCCTTCTAGTCTCAACGATGGCAGGAGTTGATGTGAGAACACTTGTATCCCCCATGGTGGAGGTGGTACCCATTGGAGATGAGGCTTTGGATGTCTCTGAGTCAGCTAGGACAGAGGATTGTGATTTATATCCAGAGCTGGTGGTCACCACATTGGTCCCTCCTGTGTTTGTGGAAGGATGCACAGCTTCTGTATGTGCAGTGTCTTTGTAAGTGGTCAGTCTCTCATGGGAGGTGCTGCTCAAACTTGAAGATGAACTGGTTCCAGGTTCTGTGCTTATACCCAAGTTATCTGTGGTCATCACCGGGCCAGAGGTGAGAAGTGAAGTCACAGGAAGGGGAGAGTGGGGGATCTGTGCTGGGAATGTGGTGGAAACAGGATGAGGTGAGGTCACAGCAGGTAAAGACAGCGGGGAAGATGGAGGGCTGGTTTCTTTCACAACGGGAGGGCTAGGCCATGACACACCTCCAGGACCTCTGCCCATGGAAGTGGTCATCTCTGGGTGTGGAAATCCCTGAGTTACTGTAGAGTGGGTTTCTTCCCAAGAGGATGTGGTTGCTGTGTCCGAATTAAGGATACTTTCTGGTGTAGACCCCGGAGGACCTGTTTGGGTTGTGATGGTCATTTTGGCAGATTCTGTCATGACAGAGGAGGCAGAAATCCTGGTGATGGTTTCTGTGGAGATGTTTTGTGACACTGTGGACTGCTCAGGGTCTGAGATGGATGTTCTGCTAAAGGAGATGGCTTCTGTCCTGGAGACCTCAGTAGTAGCACCAGTGGACACTTCAGAAGGAACAGTGTTTGTCTCTGTGGCTAAGCTGGTCTCTTCAGAGGTGCTGGTCTCCCTCAATCTGGTGGTCAGTGAGGAAGCTGGCTCTGTCTGAATTTTCCTAGTGTCAGATAAGGCAGGAGTTAACGTGGAAGCACTTGTATCCTCCATGATGGAGATGGTACCCATTGGCGATGTGGCTTTGGTTGTCTCTGAGTCAGGTAGGACAGAGGAAGGGGATTCACGTCCAGAACTGGAAGTTCCCACTTTGGTTACTGCTGTGTTTGAGAAAGGATGAAATTTCTCTGTATCTGTGGTGACTTCAGAGGTGGCCAGTATTTCAACTGAGGTGCTCCTCAAACTTGGAGGTGAACTGGTTTCAGGTTCTGTGCTTGTGTCCAACGCCTCTGTAGTCTTCACTTGGCCTGGCACGAGAAGCAAAGTCACAGAAGCAGAAGAGGAGTGGCTACTTGCTAGTAATGTGGAAGAAACAGAAGAAGGTGAGATCATGGCAGGTAAAGATAGTTGGGAAGATGGAGGGTTGGTTTCTTCCACAGAACCTCTACTCACAAGAGTGGTTATCTCTGAGTGTGGCAATCTCTGAGTCATAGTCGAGTGGGTTATTACCAAGGAGGGTGTGGTTGATGTGTCTAATGTAAGGGTACTCCCTGGTGTCGATCCAGGAGGACTTGTTTGGGTCTTGATGGTCATTTCTGATGATTCTGCCATGATGGGGGAAGTAGGGAACTTAATGACTGTTCTTGTGGTGGGTATTTCTGGCAACATTGTGGACTCAGCAGGACCAGAGATGGATGTTCTGCTAGAGGAGGTGACTTCTGTCCTGGAGATCTCAGTAGTAGCACCAGCAGGCACTTCAGAAAGGACAGCACTTGTCTCCGTGGCTGAGCTTGTCTCCACAGAACTGCTGGTCTCCCTCAATTTAGGGGTCAGGGAGGAAATGGACTCTTTCTGAATTCTGCTAGTCTCCAAGAAGTGAGGGGTTGATATGGCAAGAGTTGTGTCCTCCTGTGTGGAGATAATAAACATTGGTGATGTGGTTTTGGATGTCTCTGAGTCAGCTAAGGCAGAGGAAGGGGATTCATGTCCAGAGCTGGAAGTCTCCACATTGGAAACTGCTGTGTTTGTGGAAGGATGCACAGCTTCTGTAACTGTGGTGTCCTTGCCAGTGGTCAGTCTCTCACCTGAAGTGTGGCTCAGCTTTGGAGGTGAACTGGTTACAAGTTCTGAGCTTGTGCGTAACATGTCTGTGGTCGTCACCGGGCCAGAGGTGAGAAGTGAAGTCACAGGAAAAGGAGAGGAGGAGATACTCACTGGTAATGTGGAGGAAACGGGACGAGGTGAGATTGTGGCAGGTAAAGACAGCAGGGAAGGGAGAGAGCTGGGTTTTTCCACAGAGGTAGAGCTTTGCCATGACATATCTCCAGGACCTCTGCTCATGAGAGTGGTCTGCTCTGGGTGTGGAAATCTCTGAGTCAAAGTTGAATGAGTCTTTGCCTGGGACTTTGTGGTGGATGTGTCCAAGGTAAGGGTATCCTGTGATGTAGACCCAGAAGAACCTGTTTGGGTGGGGATGGTCATTTCTGCTGATTCTGTCATGGTAGGCGAGGCAAAGAGCCTTGTCATTGGTCTGGTGGATATTTCTGGCAACACTGTGGACTGAGAAGGGCCAGGGATGGATGTTCTACCAGAGGAAGTGACTTCTGTCCTGGAGACCTCAGCAGCAGTACCAGTGGGGACTTCTGAAAGAACAATACTTGTGTCAGTGGAAAAGCTGGCATTTTGGGAGATGCTGGTCTCCCTCAGTCCAGGAGTCAAGGAATATGTTGACTGGCTCTTAATTTTTGTAGTCTCAGAGGAAACAGACATTGATGTGGAAACAGTTGTATGCCCCATGGTGGAGGTGGTATCCATTGGGGCTGTAGCCTTGGTTCTTCCTGAGTCAGCTAGGACAGAGGATTGTGACCCATGTCCAGAGCTGGTGGTTTCCACATTAGTCACTGCTGTGCTTGTGAAAGGATGCATGGCTTCTATAGCTGTGGTGTCTTCATCTGTCGTCAGTATCTCATGTGAGGTACTGCTCAAATTTGGAGGTGAACTGGTTGTAGCTTCTGGACTTGTGCCTAACATGTCTGTGGTCATCACTAGACTAGAGGTGAGCAGTGAGATCATAGGAGAAGGAGTGGCGTGAATGGTCTTTGGTAATGTTGAGGAACCGGGAGAAGGTGAGGTCATGGCTGGTGAAGGCATCAGGGAAGAGGAGAAGCTGGTTTTGTCTATGGAATGAGGGATTGTCTGTGATAGAATCTCAGGGTCCTTGTTCATGAGAGTGGTCATTTCTGAGTGTGGAAATTCCTGAGTCACCACCGAGTGTGTTCCTGCCCTGGAGGATGTAGTTGGTGTGTCCAAGGTAAATGTACCCTGTGATGTAGATCCAAGAGGAGGGCCTGTTTGAGTGATGATGGTCACATTTGCAGATTCTGTAATGCCAGGGGAAATAGGCAGCCTGGGGATCACTTCAGTGGAGATGTCTGGTGACTTTGTGGAATGATCAGGGCCCGGAATGGATGTTTTTCTAGAAGAGGCAACTTCTGTCCTAGAGGTCTCAGGAGTAGCACCAGTGGTCACCTTGTGAAGGACAGCATTTTTCTCTGTGGATACGATGGGCTTCTGGGAGGTGCTGCTTTCCTTCAGCTCATGAGCCAGGGATGATGTTGACTCCATCTCAATCCTTGTAATCTCAGAGGAGCCAGGCATGGATGTGGAAACAATGGTGTCCCTTATGGTGAAAGAGGTAACCATTGGAGAGGTGACTTTGGGTGGTTCTGAGTAGGCTGGGACAGATGAATAAGATTCCTTTTCAGAAGTGGTGGTCCCCATATCGGTTACTGCTATGTTTGTGGAAAGATGCATTTTCTCTGTATCTTTAATGTCTTCAGAAGTAGACGGTATCTTTTGTGAGGGGCTGCCCAAATTTGGAGGTAAACTGGTCACAGATGCCAGCATATCTGTGGTCTTCACCGGGCCAGAAGTGGGGAGTGAAGTCAGATGAACAGAAGAATAGGGCCTACCTTCTAGTAATGTAGTAGGTACAGGGGGCAGTGAGGTTATTGCTGGTAAAGATAGAAGGGAAGAGGGAGAACTGGTTTTTTCCACAGAGGGTGAGCTTGTCCCTGACACGTCCTCAGGAACTCTACTTATAAGAGTGGACACATCTAATTGTGAAAATCCATGAGTCATAGCTGAGTGGGTCTCTGCCTGTGAGGTTGTGATTGACGTGTCCCAGGTAAGGGTACCCTGTGAGGTAGCCCTATGAGGACTTGTCTGAGTGGCGATGGTCATTTCTTCAGATTTTGTCATGCCAGCAAAGGTAGAGAACATGGTGACAGATCCTGTGGAGGTGTCTGGTGACACTGTGGGCTTTTCAGTGCCTTGGATGGATGTCCTGCTAGAGGAAATGAGTTCTGCTCTGGAGACCTCAGTAGTAGCAGCAGTGAGTGCTTTGTCAAAGACAGCGCTTGTGTCTGAGAATGAGCCGATTTTCTGGGAGGTGCTGATCTCCCTCAGTCCAAAGGTCAGGGAGGAAGTTGTCTCAGACTCAATCTTTGTCATCTCTGAGGATCTGGGCATTGACATGGAAACTATTGAGTCCCCCATGGTGGAAGTGATAACTACTGGAGATGTGGTTTTATATGGCTCTGAGTCAGGTGAGACAGTAAAATAGAATTCGTGTGGTGAACTGATGGTCCCCACATTGGTCACTGCTGTGTTTATAGAAGGATGTATTGTGTGTGTATCTGTGGTGGCTTCTGAAGTGGCCGAGGTGTTGCTTAAACTTTGAGATGAACGAGTCACAGGTTCTAAGCTTGTGTCCATGTCTGTTATCTTCACTGGTGCAGGGGTGAGTACTGGGGTCACAGAAGCAAGAGAGGAGGTACTGTGCACTTGCAGTGTGGAAGTTACAGGAGAAGGTGAGGTTGTCACAAGGAGAGGTGCCTGAGAAGAGAGAGAGTTCGCTTCTTCTACAGAGAAAGGGCTTGTCTTCGACACATCACTGAGATCATTGTTCATGACTGTGGTTGTTTCTGAGTCTACAAAATCCTGAGTTCTGGCTGATGGGGTTCCTGCTGGATTGGCTATGGTTGATGTGTCCAAGGTCAGTTGGCCAAGAGATGTCACCCCAGGAGGATCTGTTTGTGTGGTGATGGTCTTGTGTGTAGATATTGTCAAGGGAGGTGAGTTAGAATGTCTGCTGCTGGTTTCAGGTGAAATGTCTGGGGACTTTGTTGACTGAGCAGAAGCTGGCATGAATGTAGGATCATAGTAGGGGATTTCTGCCCTGGAGACCTCAGTAGCCGCACCCATGGACACACTGGAGAAAACAATGTTTGACTCTGTAGTTGAGTTCATCACCAGGGCGGTGCTGTTCTCTGTCAGTTCAGGAATCAGGGGGGATGTTGACTCTCTGTCAATATTTATAGTCTCAAGAGAACCAGGTGTTGATGTGGAAACAATAGCGTCCTTCATCATAGACCCAGTAACATTTGGAGGTGTGTGTCTGGATGGCTGGGAGTGGATTGAGACAGAGGAATGTAGTTCATGCATAGAATTGGTGGTCCTCATATTGGTTTCTGCTGTGTTCTCTGAAAAGTGAATTGTCTTTGTATTTGTGGAGGCTTCAGAAGTAGGCATCTCACCTGAGAAGCTACTTGCACTTGGTAAGGAGCTGGTCACAGGCTCTGAGAGTGCGTCCAACATGTCCGTGGTCTTCCTCCTGCCAGAGGTGAGAAGGGAAGTCACAGGGAGAGGAGAAGTGGGGCTACTTCCTGATAATGTGGAAAAAAGAGGTGAATGTGAGGTTATTGCAGTTAAAGGCACCAGGGAAGAAGGAGAACTGGTTTCTTCCACAGAGGGAGAGCTTTGCCATGACACACCTTTAGTACCTCTGCTCCTAGTAGTGGTATCCTCTGAGTGTGGAAATCTCTGAGTCACAGGTGAGTGCGTCCCTTCCCAGGAAGCTGTGCTTGATGTGTCCAGGGTAAGGGTAGCCAGTGAGGTAGTCCCTATAGGACCTGTTTGGTTGGTGATGGTCATTTCTGTGGATCCTGTTACAACAGGAGAAGTGGAGAGCCTGGTGATGGTTTCTGTGGAGATGTAGGGTGACATTTTGGAATGATCAAGCCCTGAGATGGATGTTCTGCTAGAGGTGATAACTTCTGTCCTGGAGACCTCAGTAGTAGTAGCAGGCGGCATTTCTGAAAGGACAGTGCTTGTCTCTGTCACAGTGTTGATCTCCTCAGATGTGCTGGTGTCCTTTAATCCAGGAGTCAAAGAGGATGCTGATTCAGTCTGAATTCTAGTCTCAAAGAAGGTAGGAGTTGATGCAGAAACACTTGTATCCCCCATGGTGAAGGTGGTACCCATTGGAGATGTGGCTTTGGATGTGTTTGAGTCAGCTAGGACAGAAGGTTGTGATTCATGTCCAGAAATGGAGGTCCCCACGTTGGCCACTGTGGTGTTTGTGGAAGGATGCATGACTTCTGTGTGTGCAGTGTCTTTGTAAGTGATCAGTCTCTCATGTGTGGTGCTGCTTAAATTTGGAGGTGAACTGGTTACAGGCTCTGGGCTTGTCATGCCCAACACATCTGTGGTTGTCACCAGAACAGAAGTAAGAAGTGCAGTCACAGGAAGAGGAGATGAGGGGATGCTCTCTGAAAATATGGAGGAAACAGGAGAAGGGGATGTCATGGCAGGTGAAGACATCAAGGAGGACTCAGAGCTGGTTTCTTCTACAGAGGGAGTTGTCATCCATGAAACATCTCCAGGAGTTCTGCTCCTAAGAGTGGCTATCTCTGAGTGTGTGAATCCCTGAGACACAGTTGAATAAGTCCCTCGCTGGAAGAGTGTGGTTGATGTGTCCAAGGGAAGGGTATCCTGTGATGTAGCCCCAGGAGTAGTTGTTTTAGTGGTGATGCTCATTTCTGCAGATTTTGTCATGATGGGGGAGGTGAAAAGCCTGGTTATCACTCCTGTGGAGATGTCAGGTACTGCTGTGGACCGATCAAGGTGTGAGATGGATGTTCTTCTAGAGGAGATTTCTGTTCTGGAGCTCTGAGTGATAGCACCCGTGAGCACATAAGAAAAGGCGGTATTTGTCTCTGTCATTGAGCTGGTCTCCTCAGACGTGCTGCTCTCCCTCAGTCTAGGGCTCAGGGATGCTGTTGGCTCTGTTTGAATTTGGCTAGTCTGAGCGATATTAGGAGTTGATGTGGAAACACTTGTGTTCCCCAGGGTGGAGGTGGTACTCATTGGAGATGTGGTTTTTGATGTCTCTGAGTCAGCTAGGACAGAGGATTGTGATTCATGTCCAGACCCAGAGGTCCCTACGTTGGTCACTGCTGTGTTTGTGGAAGGATGCATGGTTTCCATATGTGCAGTGTCTTTGTAAGTGGCTGGTCTCTCATGTGTGGGGCTGCTCAAACTTGGAGGTGAACTGGTTACAGGCTCTGAGCTTGTCGTGTCCAACACATCTGTGGTTGTCACCAGAACAGAAGTAAGAAGTGCTGTCACAGGAAGAGGAGAGGAGGAGATGCTCTCTGATAATGTGGAGGAAACAGGAGAAGGGGATGTCATGGCAGGTGAAGACATCAAGGAGGACTCAGAGCTGGTTTCTTCTACAGAGGGAGTTGTCATCCATGACACATCTTCAGGAGTTCTGCTCCTAAGAGTGGCTATCTCTAAGTGTGGGAATCCCTGAGACATAGTTGAATGAGTCCCTCCCTGGAAGAGTGTGGTTGATGTGTCCAAGGGAACGGTACCATGTGATGGAGCCCTAGGAGTAGTTGTTTGAGTGGTGATGGTCATTTCTGCAAATTTTGTCATGATAGGGGAGGTGAACAGCCTGGGGATCATTCCTGTGGAGATGCTGGGTGTCACTGTGGACTGATCAAGGTCTGAGATGGATGTTCTGCTAGAGGAGATGACTTCTGTCCTGGAGACCTGAGCAGTAGCACCCGTAGGCACATAAGAAATGGTACTATTTGTCTCTGTCACTGAGCTGATCTTCTCAGACGTGCTGCTCTCCCTCGGTCTAGGGGTCAGGGATGCCATTAACTCTGTTTGAATTTGGCTAGTTTGAGAGATATCAGGAGTCGATATGGAAACACTTGTGTCTCCCATGGTGGAAGTGGTACTCATCAGAGGTGTGTCTTTCGATGTCTCTGAGTCAACTAAGGCAGAGGATTGTGATTCATGTCCAGACCCGGAAGTCCCTACATTGGTCACTGCAGTGTTTGTGGAAGGATGTGTGGCAGCTTCTGTGTGTGCAGTGTCTTTGTAAGTGGTCAGTCTCTCATGAGTGCTGCTGCTCAAATTTGGAGGTGAACTGGTTACAGATTCTGGGCTTGTAGTGCCCAATCCATTTGTGGTTGTCACCAGAACAGAAGTAGGAAGTGCAGTCACAGGAAGAGGAGATGAGGGGATGCTCTCTGAAAATATGGAGGAAACAGGAGAAGGGGATATCATGGCAGGTGAAGACATCGGGGAAGACACAAAGCTGGTTTTTTCAATAGGGGGAGTTGTCATCCATGACACACTCTCAGGACCTATGCTCATGAGAGTGGTCACCTCTGAGTGTGGGAATCCCTGAGTCACAGTTGAATGAGTCCCTCCCTGGGAAAGTGTGGTTAATGTGTCCAAGGGAAGGGTACCATGGGATGCAGACCCAGGAGGACTTGCTGGGGTGGTGATCGTCATCTCTGCAGATTTTGTCTTAATAGAGGAGGTGAAGACCCTGGAGATCTCTCCTGTGAAGGTTTCAGGTGGCATTGTAGACTTATCATGGTCTGGGGTGGAAATTTTGCTAGAAGAGATGACCTCTGTACTGGAGACCTCAGTAATAATAGCAGTGGGAACTTTGGAAAGTAGAAAACTCATGTCTGCGGAAAAGCTGGACTCCTGAGAGGTACTGGTCTCCCTCAGTCTAGGAGTCAAGAAGTATGTTGGCTCTCTCTTAATGCTTGTAAGCTCTTTGTAAGGAACGGTGCTTGTCTCCGTGGATGAGGTGATCTCCTGGGAGATGCTGGTCTCCCTCAGTTTAGGAGTCAGGGAGGAAGTTGTCTCAGTCTCAATTCTTGTAGTCTTAGAGGATCTAGGAATTGATCTGGAAATTGTGGTGTCTTCCATGGTGGAGGTGGTGACATTTGGAGATGTGACTTTAGATGGCTCTGGGTCAGCTGAGACAGTAGAATGTGATTCAAATGCTGAACTAGTGGTCCCCACATTGGTCACTGCTGTGTTCATGGAAGAGTGTGTTGTCTCTATATCTGTGGTGGCTGGTGAAGTGGCCAATATGTCATCCAAAGTGTTGCTCATACTTTGAGGTGAACTGGTCACCGTTTCTAAGCTTGTGTCCACCTTGCCTGTGATCTTTACCAGTGAAGAAGTAGGAACTGAGGACATAGAAACAGGAGAGGAGGTACCAGGCCATTGCAATGTGAAAGAAACAGGAGAAGGTAAGGTTGTGACAAGGACAGGTGCCTGAGAAGAGGGAGAGCTGGCTTCCTCCTCAAAGAGAGGGCTTGTCTGTGATACATCCTTGGCATCATTGTTCATGGCAGTGGTTATTTTTGAGGGGGAAAACCCCTCAGTCACCACTGATGGAGTCCCTGCTGAGGTTTCCAACGTTGATGTGTCTAAGGCAAGTGGAATCTTTGATGTAGCTCCAGAAGACCCTGTCTGGGTGGTGGTCATGTGGGTAGATATTGTCATGGGAGGAGAGTTTGAAAGTCTACTGCCGGATACTGAGAAAATATCTTGGAACTTTGTTGACCGAGCAGGAGTTGGTATGAATGTTGCATCAAAAGAGGGGACTTCCACTTTGGAGGCTTCAGTAGCAGTCCCCACAGACACATTGGAGAGGATGATGTTTGGCTCTGTAGTTGAGTTCATCTCCTGGAGAGTGCTGTTCTCTTTTTGTTCAGCAGTCAGGGAGGATGTTGGCTCTCCCCCAGTGTCTGTGGTCTCAGAACGAGGTGTTGATGTAGAAGCAAGAGCATCCCCCATAGCAGAGGCAGGAACCATTGGAGATGTGGCTGTGGATGATTCTGAGCTGACTGGGAGAGTGGAATGCAGTTCATGTGCTGAACTGGTGGTCCCCATATTGGTCACTGCTTTGTTTATGGAAGGATGAATTGTCTCTATGTCTGTGGTGGCTTCCAAAGTGGCCAGCATCTCATTTGATGTGTTGTTCAAACTTTGAGGTGAATTGGTCACAGGTTTCATGCTTGTGTTCAATGTATCTGTGGTCTTCACCAGTCCAGAGGTGAGAACTGAAGTCACAGAAACAGGAGAGGATGTACTTCGCCCTCGTAATGTGTAAGTGGCAGGAGGTGAGGCTGTGACCAAGATAGGTGTCAGGGAAGAGGGAGAGCTGGTTTCTGCCACAGAGGGAGGGCTTGTCCATGACACATCCTTGGGACCTTTGCTCATGAGAGTGGTCTTCTCTGATTGCATAAAATCTGGAGTCAAAGTCAATGGAGTCTCTGTCAAGTAAGGCATGCTTGATGTGTCCAAGAGATATGGACCCTGTGTTGTAGCTCCAGTAGGACCTGTCTGGGTGGTGATGGTCACTCCTGAAGATTCTGCCATTATCAGAGAGGTAGAAGGGTTGGTGCTCACATTTGTAAATGCATTGGTAGAAGTTTTGAAGTGATGAGGGCTTGGAATGGATGTTCTGCTAGAGAAAGTGGCTTGTGTCTTGGTGACATGAGTAGTAGCATCACCACTAGATGCATGGGTAATGACAGTGCTTGTCTCTGTAGCAGAGCTGGCCACCTGGGATGTGCTTCTCTCCTGAAGTCCTGGGTTCACAGAGGACACTGTCTCAATCTTTGTGGGCTCGGAGGAGCCAAACACTGATGTGGAAGCAGTGATGTCCCCCATGATGTGGGAGGTAACCAATGGAGATGTGGCTTTGGATGGCTTTGTATGGACTGGGACAGGAGAATGTTCAGAACTAGTTGCCTCCATAGTCGTCACTGCTGTGTTTGCAGAATGATGAATTGCCTTTGTATCTCTGGAAGCTTCATAAGTGGATAACACCTCACCTGCTGTACTGCTCAAATTGGGAAGTAGACTGGTGCCAGGTTCCAAGCTTATCCTTGACATGTCTGTGGTCTTCCCCAGGCCAGAGGTCTCAGACCAGAAAACTGAGGTCACAGGTGGAGTAGAGGAGGGACTGTGTCCTTGTGATGTCAACAAAATATTGGAAGGTGAGGTTGTGGCATGGATAGGTACCAGGGAAGAGGAAGAGCTGGTTTCTTCTACAGAGGGAGGGCTTGGTTGTGATGTATCCTCAGGACCTTTGCTAAAGAGAGTGGTCTTCTCTGAGTATGTAAATCTCTGAGTCATAGCCAGTGGAGTCCCTGTCCAGGAGGCTGTGGCTGATGTATCCAAAGTAGGTGCACTTAGTGATGTAGCGCCAGGTGGACTTGTTTGCATAGTGAGGGTCATTCCTCCAGATTCTGTCGTGGCAGGGAAGTTAGACAGCCTGGTGATGGTTTCTGAGGGGCTGTCTGATGACCTCACAGACTGGGCAAGGAATGAGCTGGATATTCTCTTAGAGGAGGTAATTTCTGTTCTAGGCCCCTTGGTGATCGCAGTGGAACCTGGGGAAGAGATAATACTTGTTTGTGTGGTTGAGCTGGACTCCATGTAAGGGCTGAAATCCTTCAGTTCAGTAGTCAAGGAGGAATTAGGCTCTGTTCCAGTCCTTGTAGACTCTGGCCTTGTGGTTGCTGATGCAGAAACTATTGCTTGGTCCCTGGTGGAGGCAGTAACCACTGGAGATGTGAGTTTGGATGACTCTGAGTGAGCTGGGACAGTAGAATGAGAAGCATGTTCGGAACTTGTGACCCATGCTCTTGTCTCTACTGTGTTTGTAGAAGGGTGAATTGCCTCTTTGTCTGTGGTGGACTCAGAAGGGGCAATTCTCTCATACGGGCTGCTTTTCCAACTTGGGGATGAAGTCATCGCAGATTCCAAGCTTACGTCCAGTGTATTCAGGCTCCTTAATACACTGGAGGAGCTGGTAACCTCCTTGATGGTCTCTTGTGAGACAGAATTCATCATCTCAGTGATCCAAGGTGCACTTGAGGTTGATTTTTCTTTCTCATTCCAGGAGTCAGATGTAGCTCTTGCCTCTGTTGTAAGAGCCCTCTGCCCTTGTCTCTGAAGAGACAAGCCCTCTGAAGTTGGATCTGGAGTTTGTGCTGTGTGTGGGATCACATCCAGAGTTGTTGCTGCTGATCTGGGCACTGGCCCTGGATGTGCAGAAATTGTGGTGGGAAGCTGAGTAGAAGTCTGCTCTGCCTTTTTGCTTGTCAGATCTGGTCTTGAAAAAGTAACTCCAGAGCTCCTTACCATTGCAGCTGGTGTGACTGCACTTGTAACGTCCCCTATAGAGAAGGGCAGCTGTGAGGTAGCTGAGCTGATGATGGTCTCCAAAATGAGTTCTTGAGGAGTTGTGGCCCCGTGAGGAGCTGAGGTAGTGGCTGTGGCTGATGACACAGATCTCCCAGGGTCCCAGTCAAGAGTGGACCGAGAATCAAACAGAAAAGTAGACGGCGGCATATTTGAGTCAGTCGTTGTACTAGCATGATCTGTAGAAACCATTGAAACAGGCACATCTTCTGTTTCTGTATTACTGGGAGTCCAACTTGTACTTAAAATGTCAGGAACTGAGATGCTCAGCCTCTGGACAGGAGAGAAAGTTGAGATGGGAGTAGATGCAGTTGTGTCTGAAGGACTCAATGTTCTTTCACTGGTACTGGTCTCTGTCTTTACAGCTGAAGCATCAGAGGATGGAGTGACCAGGCTGGTTCCAGTGACAGTTATAAGGCCATAGGGAGTAGACATGGAGTCCAATTCAGTGCTTGAGGCTAAGAATGAAGTTGTATGCATTGTAGAAATTGTTCCAGGAGAACTTGCGACTTTCAAGTTTGAAGCCATGTCTGTGACAGTCCAGGAATCTGATGCAGCTGTGGAGGACCAGGTGGGAGGGTGCTCTGTAGAAGATGTGTGCCTCTCTGTGTCCGGGGTGCTGTCCATGGTACTCACACCCACTTCGGGGCTGGGTGTGGTAGTCACGATTGAGTTGGTTCCCATGGTGGTGATGGTGGTGGAGATACCTGGAGTAGGAGCTGTGGTTACATTCATGATGCTCACTTCCACAGGGGATGTGACAGATGACGCAGAGCTTCTTTTTTCTCCTGAGGGACTGGTGAGGCTGGTAATGCTTTGGTCTCCAGAGGGCAGAGATGCTAGTGAGGTGGTTTGTGCTGTGGAGGTGATGTATAATGTCTTTGTGACATCAGGAGATGCACCAAGGGTGATGTCACTCCCAGATGTCTGATCTGACCATGAGCTAGTTGATGAATAAGCCTCATCCACAGATCGACTTGTCTGTTCTTCAGCTGCCATTGTCTTGTGATTCAGGATTGTGGAGGGAATGGCTGTGGTGCTGACCCATGACTCGGTTTTATGTTTGGATTTATTTGTGACTGAGCTCACAGAGTTTGGGCTGGTTACACGGTCTTCAAGGATATTGGGAGATGTGCTCAGAGAGACATGTGTGTCTACTGTGGCCCCTCCAGTAGAGCCATGCCACATAGAGGATTCCATTCCAGTTGTCTTCGAAATCAATTCTGGACTGCTTTGCTGACCAGTCCCTGTCGTGCTTCTAGCAGTTGGTGATTCTAAGGAGACAGAGAGCGTTGTGGCCAGTGACTGCCTGGTCCCTCTTGGAGTTCCAGAATAAAGATTGGTCCAAGCCTCAGGTGGGGATGGGGAGAGGGAGACCCTTTCTGTAGCCATCATATTTTCTGTTGGTGACTTGGTTGGTGATGTGGCTCCTGTGGGCAGGTGAGAGAGGCTGGTGCTGCTACTTCCTAGGGCTGTGGACTGAAGGGTGACTGGTTCCACAGTGGTCTCCATGGGAACAGTTGTTTCTGCAGTCTTCCAAGGAGAAATTCTCACAGTGGACCTGATCTCTGGGCTGATGCTGGGTTTCTTGGAGCTCATGATTTTGAGAGCTGTAGACATTTCTGGGCTTCCTGGGGATGTGCCTGTGATTAGAAAGTATGTCAGTAGAGTATATGCAAGTGGTACAGAAGATGAGGTTTTTTTGTTTGACACTATCATTCATTTCCTCCTGGGATTTCGATTAAAACTATTTCCTCCTTCCCTGGGAAAGAAAATGTTGAGCTTTTAATTCTCACACTTTAAGCCTCTGGACACCAGGGAACACATTAAACATTTCAAGGGAGATGGTGAGGTTAGAGGTTTGACCATCTGGTTTGCTCAGGAGAAATTGTCATCTTTAGCTCAGTTTTTCCCCATGCCCCATATAAAAGGGCTTTCCGTGTAAGGGAGGATGTGATGAACTAGGGCTTCACCCATGCAAGAGGCTACCCCTAAACTATTTCCACTTTTGTCTTTGGAGCTCGCCCTTGCTAAACCAGTTTTAGCTTACAACTTTCAGCCTCCTCTAGGTTCCCCCAAATCTTAGTTCAGTGCAAAGCTACTTAAGGATTTTAGAAGAAAGAGGGTAAGGGAGATGAGCTCATTCTTTCTCTTCACCTTCATTTTCTTTCAAATTCATTCCTTCCTCTGAATCCTTTCCCTGTCCTTCAGGAAAGTAACATCTACCTGCTACAGGAGTGAGAAAAATGTGATGTCCCAAGAGCACTCCTAGGGACCCTTTTGCACATTTTTCTAAGCAACTTGGCACTGCGAAGGACTTCAATCCATAATCCCTTCTTCTGTAGTAACAAAGGCAGCGTTTGCCATCTCAAGTTCACCTGTGCCCTTCCTGTGAACACAGTGATGGTCTCTGATTTAGAAAGATCCTTCACTCTGGAGCAGAAGAAAGTACAGAGAGAATCGACTCTGTAGCATTCTCTCCTGCTGAATTAATTGGCTATTGATCATGTAAATTAGTAAGCTGAAGCAACAGAAGTGTTCAGTTAGTAACATCTACGGGGAAAAATGACCAATAGCCTCAGAGAAGAGTGTCAAGAAGTCAAAGGAACCTTTTTTTTTTTTCAGATGGAGTCTTGCACTGTCATCCAGGCTGGAGTGCAATGGCATGATCTCGGCTCAGTGCAACCTCTGCCTCCTGGGTTCAAGCGATTCTCCTGTCTCAGCCTCCCGAATAGTTGGGATTACAGGTGTATGCCACTATACCCCAGCTAATTTTTTGTATTTTTAGTAGAGATGGGGTTTCACTATGTTGTCCAGGCTGGTCTTGAACTCCTGACCTCGTGATCTGCCCACCTCGGCCTCCCTAAGTGCTGGGATTACAGGCATAAGCCACCGCACCCAGCCTAGGAACCTATTTTAAAACCTAGTCCTTGCTGGGTGTGGTGGCTCAAGCCTGTAATCCCAGTGTTTAGGGAGGCCGAGGTGGGCAAATCGCTTGAGCCCAGGAGTTTGAGACCAGCCCAAGCAATATAGTGAGAACTATCTCTACAAAAAAATTAAGAAACACACACACAATTAACCAGTCTTATTGGTGATGATCACCTGCAGTTCTAGCTGCTAGGGGAGGCTGAAGTTGGAGGATTGCTTGGGCTGAGGCTGCAGTGAGCCATGATCACATCATTGCACTCCAGCCTGGGCAATAGAGGGAGACCCTGTTTAAAAAAAAAAAGATGCTGTCTAGGCTGAGCACAGTGGCTCACACCTATAATCCCTGCACTTTGGGAGGCTGAGGTGGGAGGATCTCTTGGAGCCAGGAGTTTAAGACCAGCTTGGGTCACATAGTGAGACCCCCATCTCTACAAAAAAAAAATTTTTTTTTCAAAAAAACCCCAGGAAACTGGGCATAGGGCAGAGGCTCTAGAGCCCAGTGAGTGAGCTGGACAGCTGCCCAGCTCCTCAGGAGGCTGAAGTGAGACGATAACTTGAGTCCAGGAATTTGAGGCTGCAGTGAGTACAGTGAGTACCGCAGTGAGTACACACCACTGTACTCCAGCCTGGGTGACAGAATGAAACCCTGTCTCAAAAATAAAAGACAAAAGAAGAAAGAAAAGGAAAGAAAAGAAAAGAAAAGAAAAGAGACAGAAGAGAAGGAGAGGAGAGAGAAAGAAAAGAAGAGAAGAGGAGAGGAGAGAAAGAGAAGAAAGAAAGGAAAAGAAAAGTTGCTAGCATTCACTTATAAACTAATGAAACTGAAGACGTGTATATTTTTTCTTCCCAGAATCAATAAGTAGCACTTTCAGTTAGTAGCAAGCTATCCTCCCACCTCAGCCTCTTGAGTAGCTGGGACTACAGGCCTACACGATGCCCAACTTATCGTCTTTTTATTAATTTTTTTTTTTTTGTAGAGATGGGATGTCACTATGTGGCCCAAACTGGCCTTAAGGCTTGGGTGAAAAATAAAAAATAAAAAAATAAAAATTTCAAAAGAAAAAGAAAGAAAGAAAGAAAGAAAGAAAGAAAGAAGGAAGGAAGGAAGGAAGGAAGGAAGGAAGGAAGGAAGGAAAGAAAGAAAGAAAGAAAGAAAGAAAGAAAGAAAGAAAGAAAGAAAGAAAGAAAGAAAGAGAAAGAAAGAAAGAAAGAAAGAGAGAAAAAGAGAGAAAGAGAGAAAGAGAGAAGAAAAGAAAAGAAAAAAAGGCTTGGGTGACATTAGCAGAGCAGAAACGGAAACAAGATCTATATGTACCTGCTGGACTGGTCCCTGTCTTCTCTGCTGGGGCTGGCCATGTGGAATTTCCTTGTGCTGCCTGACTTGACATCTTTGTAGTGGGCACTAGCATTCCATCAGTTGCTGAAAGAAAAGGGCAATAGGAAGGTTGAGCTATCCATTACTTCAGTAGGTCAGTTTTTGCACTTTCTTTACATTGACTGATCTTTCTATTTTGCTTTAACTCAGAGGCTCCAGAGCCCAGTGAGTGAGCTGGACAGCTGCCCAGGTGACCTCCCATCAAACCCCAGTCTAACTGGACATGGTAGAAAGCAGACACTAGGCACCATCATGAGAAAGACTGACAGATCTCAGATGGGAAGGGGTTCATTTTATAAGTAATCACAAATTAAAATGTGACAAGTGGCCAGGCACAGTGGCTCGCCCCTGTAATCTCAACACTTTGGGAGGTCAAAGTGGAAGGATTGCCTGAGCCCAGGAGTTTGAGACCAGCCTGGGTAGGATAGCGAGACACCATCTCTACAAAATAATTTTTAAAATTAGCTGGGCATGGTGACGTGCACCTGTAGTCCCAGCTCCTCTGGAGGATGAAGTAGGAGAACTGCTTGTGCCCAAGAGTTCAGGGTTCCAGTGAGCTATGATCGCTCCACTGCACTCCAGCCTGGATGAGAGAGTGAGACTGTCTCTTTAAAAATAAATGAAATAAAATGGAGTAACATTCTGTTTAGAGTATAGATTCTTAACCTCTTTTTATTATAGGTCCCTTTGACAGGCTTGTGAACTATATGAATTCCTTTATAAATTAAAATAAAAATGTAGAATAAAACATAAAATAACAATATAAAATATTCGATTACAAACAAAATCATTGTGGATAAAGAAAATCTGGTACACATAGACCTTGGAGTACTACACAGCCATGAAAAAGAATGAAATCATGTTCTTTAAAGCAACATGGATGGAGCTGAAGGCCATCAACCTAAGCAAAATAACTCAAAAACAGAAAATTAAATGCTGCACGTTCTCATTTATAAGTGGGAGCTAAATAATGGGTACATGTGGATATAAAGATAGAAATAATAGACACTGGGACTCCAAAATAGAGGAGGCTGAGAGTGAAGTGAGGATTGAAAAACTACTTCTTGGGACAACATTCACTATTTGGATGATGAATTCACTGGAAGCCAAACCTCACCATTATGCAGTCTATCCACATAGCAAACCTGCATATATACCCCTGAATCTAAAATTTAGAAAATGAAAGAAATGATTATATTGAAATGTTATCAAAATCTTAATAAACAAATGTAATATAATAATACAGGCACTTCTTTTACTAACTCGTTAAGTAAGATATATTGAAAAGCCTAATCACCATAATTATGAATAAAGTCATACATGATATTTAAAAGTACTTGCAACAACTGTCATAAGATACGAAAGTGTGTGGAATTTCTGCTGTGGGCAAAGGCACAGGCACTGCTAGGATTAATGTGGTTTGTTTTTGTTACCTCTACTCATCAATAAAACAAATGCTAAATTTCAGTTCAAGGTTAGCAAAAATAAAGATGTAGTTTACAAATACCGCATGTTCTCACTTATAAGTGGGAACTAAACCTTAAGTACACATGGAGACATGTGTACTTGAGGGTGGAGACTGGGAGGAAGGAGAGGATAAAAAAAAAAATCTACCAACCAGGTACTAGGCTTATTACCTGACTGATGATGTAATGTGTACCCCAAGCCCCCATGACATGCAATTTACCTATATAACAAACCTGCACATGTTCCCTGAACCTAAAATATTTATATTTTCAAATATAAAAGTTTGAAAAATTTAAAACGATGTAGTTTATTTCCAGATTCATCCCCAGCACACTTGGGGAAGGAGCAGGGCATTCTTACTTTCAACCAAGGAGGTCTTGGCGGGAACTGAAATAGAGCTTGCCCATGTTTCTGGAGAACCCTTTCTTCCGGCTGTGGGTTCTGTGGGAGAAGAGACAGGTAACAAGGATGTCGGGGTCTCATATGGCATGAAGGTTAATGTCTGTGTTTCAGCTGTTGTTCTCTCTTCTTCTGTAGTGGTCTGGCTTGAGGTTATCTCAGGAGGCTCCTCCTGGGACATATTTAGAGTGGATGTTGGAGAAAGTGTCAGAGCTGATGTCTGAAGATCCACCAATGTGTTGGGCTGTTTTGCCACGGAGGGCCCAAGAAAGAGTGAAGTCTTTCTGGAGGTGGATGCAGTGGGGGAAAGAAAGCTGGTTTCTTTCTCAGTGGATAGGCTTATGCGAGAGGAACTAGAACCAGAACTTGCTGCTTGACCTGTGCTGAAGAGAGTTGTGAGTTTTGATGCAAGAAGGGTCGATGTCATAGATGATGATGCCTTGCTCAGGTCTGGATAAGACATGCTCTCTGAGGCATATATAAGGTCCCCTGTTCCTGGAGTGGGAACTCTGGGTTCATGTCCTGCCATAGAAGGGGAGGCAGATTCCTCAGGGATTTCAGTAAAACCTGTTGATTGAACTGAGCTTGCACTTATGGCCTTTGTGGAAGTCATCATCCCTGCCCTTGTGTTTTTTTCTGGAGACTTGGACAGTGAGGAAGATGCTGTGCTTGCATCTGAGTCTGGAATGGTGTTCAGGGACTGTCCAGAAGTTGGTAAAGAAGCAGACTTAGTATCCAAACTTGGGACCTCAAAAAACTTAAAGGTCAAGGTGGACTGTGGGATCCTCCAAGTTGTGGGAGCTGTAGTCAGTGATGAAAAGGCCTTTGATGGGCTTGAGGAGGCAGAGACAGGTGTTAGGAGCCCTGACGCAGCACTGGTGGGCTTCACAGGTATCCCTTTGGGCACTGTTGATTGAGTAGCTGTCAGTCTGTTCATGGTGATTTCAGACATGGCTGTAACCTCACCTGGGTTCATGGTCAGAGGGAGAGAAGAAAATGTGTTGGCTCCAGTTGAGTGAGTGGACCCACTTCTGACTCCTCCAGAGCTGGCCAAACCCTGGCTTCCTGTGGTTAGTGACATCACAGATGCCCTCTCAAGCCCAGCTGATGAGTTCACCAAAGCTGTTGTCTCTGAGGTGTCAGAACTCTGACCGAATGCAAGGGAACCGGTAGTTCCTGCAGGCAAAGTAGAAAGTGCCATGATGGTCGAACCTTCATAGGTTGTGTTCTGTGGAGCAACAATCTTAGAGGGGGAAGTGGAAGAAGGATGGAGTGGACTTTCTGCTACCCCTTGGATAGTGATTCCAGGGATGCTCCTATCTGGGTTACTTACTGTCTTAAGAACCAGTGCATCCCCATTTGAGGTCTCTGACATGGTCAGGGTAGTCTCTGGGACTGTGCCAAGTCTATCCAAATCTATAGTCACCAGTGGGGTAGAATCAAAGGATGTAGCTAATGAACTTGTTGGCTCAGTGGTGGTGAGTGGGATGGCTGGAGTGTCCGGAAGTAAAGTAGGGGAGGAGGCTCCAGAGAGAGTCCCTGTACTTGGAAGTTTAGAAGGTGGTGTGGACACAGTTGAAAACAAGATGGTATCTGTTACTGAAATCTTTGAGGTGAGTGATGTGTCTGAAGTCTCAGTGACGGCCAAAACGCTCTCAGGAGTAGCTGAAGTTTCCCAGCTTGCTCCAGAGGTGGTTGTAGTTGGGGTCTGTGATGAAGAATGAATGGTTTTGCTTTCAGTCATAGTGAGAAGACTGGCTTCTGATGTAGCACTGGATCCAGTGACCACTGTCGCTGAGAGATGGGGAGTGAAGGCAGTGGCTGGTTCAATAGTTGATGCTGGAAGTGAGTGTGTCTCTCCTGCAGGACTTGTCTTGAGAGAGCCCATGGCGGGTAAGTCAGTAGTGCTGTCTACACTGGTCCATATACCTGGTGCTGGAACAGAAGTCACCACAGAATTGCTAGAGGTAGGATTTTCTCCGGTGGCAGTGTCAGTGCTGACCATGGTGCTGAAAGTTCCTACTGGTCTAGACCAGGTTAACAGGGCCGAGCTTGTCTTGACAGGGTGGGTGATTGTAAAGGGTGGTAAAGTGGATGGCGTGCCACCCACATTGGAGCCTCTATCAAGAGAATAGGTGTTACTGGAAACAGATGGAGAGGTGGCTGTATTTGTCTCTATTGTAGATGTGGGAACCTCGGATCTATCTGAAGAGAAGAGAGATGGAGAGGAACTTGCTGTCCTTCCTGAGATGCTAGTGGGACTGATAGAGGCTGTTTTAGTGACATCCATAGTTGAAGAAGCTATGGAGGTGTTGATCAGATCAGAGGAAGAACTGCTATCTGAGGGGAGCTCATTTGTTGTCTGTGCCTCAAGGATATCTGAGATTTTTACTGTAGTTTCATTATCCAGTGAAACTGTGCTGGTCTCTGTGAAACTAACAGTGAGAACTATGGGGGAAGTGGTTGGAGCAGCAGAGGTGATTGTCATTCTCTCTCCCAGTGTAATGGAAGAACTGGCTTCTGTGGGCTTTGTGGACACAGCTGAACCGGTCCAATCCCCAGGAGTAGGTGTCACTCTTGAAGTCAACTCAGGAGTGAGAGATGAAATGGTTCTAAATGAATGAGTTGTCTTTTCTGGGAAATGTGAGATAGTTGTCACTTCATTATCAGGGGAGGGGGAAAAGGAGACAGTGGGAATACTTTCAGCCCCATCTGAAGGTGTGTCAATTACATCTGATGCTACTGTGGACAAGCCAGGTGAACCTGCACTGTTTACTGGGAAGCTTGTTTCTGTATTAATAGTTGGATGGGACCCCAAAAGGATTGACACTGTCCGTGGATCCTTGTTCATTCTAAAGGAAACCAAAGACTCTGAAGTGGGCAGGGATATTGTCCTAGTTAATTTGGTCCCTCCTGAAGAGGCTGTGCCTAAACTCAGGTTAGCAGTACTCTCAGACATAAGGCCAGAAACATCTGATCTGGAAGTTACGGTCATTGGAAGAAGGACTTCAGAGCTGATAGTTGTCCCCACAGAAGTCTCAGAAAGACCTGTGCCTGAGGATGCATCCGTGTTCAAAGTACTCAGGGCTGTATTCTCGGGGCCATAGGTCTCTGTTTCTGGATTTGTTTGCTTAGCAGCAGATGTGAATGCAGCTGAAAAGAGTGGAAATTCAGTCATAGTTGAACTTGGGTTTGAAACCCCAGAATGAGCTGAGGACAATGCCTCAGATAAACTAGTACTGATTGTGGAATCCAAGGATTCAAGTGAGGCTAAGGAATATGGAACGGACGTGCTGCTTCCAGAAGAGACTGAGTTCTCATGGGTAGGGGAAGCAGACACTGCCACAGCATTGACATATGGAGTTGACTGTGTCTGCCCAGAAACGTTTTCTGAAGAAACTGCATGTAGTGGTTGAGTGAACTGTTCAATTGTGCCTGTACTGGTCCATGCAATTGTTGGTGGGGTGATGGGAGAATGTGTCATGGGTGCTGAGCTGATGTCTAGTCCTGAGGTTATGCCTGTAGAAATGACTTCCTCCACTGGAATGGATGAAAAAGGCAATGTTAAGCTTGTGGCCTTGTTTCCAGGAGTGGAAGTCAAAGTGGTCTCTGCTTCAGGAGCTGAGGTCTCAGGTTGGGGACGTATTGAAGAAGGCACTTCACTCTTCTCTATGTAAATCATGGATGTGTGAGTGCTGGTTCCCACAGACAGGGACTCAGAAGAGGTGCTGGAGCTGTTTTCCAATCTGAAGGCTCTAGTGACACCAGTATTCAATGGCCTGTCAGTGACCAAAGTCCCTGTAGAGCTGGTGTGCACCCCATGGCTGAGGTCAGGTGAATCTGTGGTCTTGGGGGTGTTACTGAGAGTGAGAGAACTCCATGGTGTCACCTCCATTGATGGAGTTGGAGATGGAAGATCCATAGAGGCAGTTCTGAGTTTTTTTGTATTTTCAGTGCTTCCCAAAGCTGTGGACATAAGGGTAGCTAAGCTGGACTCTGTCCTTGATGAAGACTTGGAGATGTCTGAGATCATAACTGTGGTGACTTCCTTGGTCCAAAATGTACTGCCCCCTATGAATTCCACATCAGGAGTTGGAGGAGATGAGGGTAGAGGGATGCTTGTGCTCATCTGGCTTCCTTCAGCAGAGCTGGGTTCAAAAGAGGAGGAGGGAGCTGTATTTCCCTGTGTGTTCAGCCTTGGACTGCTTCCCTTACTAGAATCTGTGACTCCTTCAGTAGTTGACTCAGAAAGGACAGAGGAAACTCTTCCTAATGACTGGTTGATGCTTCTTCCTGGAGCACTAGTAACTAGGAGTCCCACAGTCCCAGCCATGGAGACAGTGGCTGTAGAACTTCCTCTTTCCAGTGCTGTGTTTGTGGATGTCTCAGCTGGGGATGATGTTCCTATGGGAAGGTGGGCTGTGCCCAGGGTGACTCCACTACTACTGCTCCCTGTTGTTGTGTTGTCCATGGGTGGAGTGGATTGAACGTTTGTTGGGCCAGTCTCAATCTCTCTGGAGAGTGTGTCTGTAGATGGTTTCCAAAAAGTAGTTGTCTCAGAGGAGCTTCTCCCTTGTGTCCTGAGCTCAGGGTAGACTTCAGTAAGATGGGGAGGGGATGCTGAGGCTGGTAAAGATGTTTGATCTTTGAGTGATTGTGCCACATGAGTAGGACTCATCGTTGCAGAACGGGTGTCCTGTGCTTGTGTTGAGTGTTCAATCACACTGGTCCACGTGGTTGACAGTGGGGTGATAGGAACAGTTGTTAAGTCTCCAGTTGCGCCCAAACTCCTGATTCCTAGGTGCTGATCCCATGTGGTTGAATCTGTATTTCCAATGGCACTGGTATCTGCCTCTGACTTTGAAAGTTCATGAGAAGGTGTGGACATAGGTGGAAAAATAGCAAATGTACTCATGAGTGAACTTGGACTTGAAATATCAAGGTCTGTTGAAGGCATTTCCTCTGTCAAACTGGTACTCAGCCATGTTGCCATGGGGAGAGTGATTGTGGTCTGCTCACTGGTAGTGAGGACCACGGGTTCCCCTGGGACATCAGAAGTCAGTTCCAATGTGCTGCTTCCAGTGGTAGGGGAGGTAGGGATTACTACAGAGACAGGTCCTGGAGTTGACTGTGTCTCAAATCCAGATGGTTTTTCTGCCAAATTTGTGTAATGTAATTGAGTGGAGTGTTCAGTTGTGTCTGTGATGGTCCATGCTTTTGTGATCAGACTGGTGGGATCGGGTGAACTTGAGATTTTAGGACTTCCAGAGTAAGCAGCTGGGGTGGTGGACTCTGTCTTTGGATGGTTTTCTGTGGTTCTGAGTGTCCTCACTGAGTGGGGTGTAGAGACCTGAGCTGAACTTGTATCCTTAGGATCCGTAGTGGTGATGTAGGTGGTGGGGGCCCAGGTACTATCAGTGTTAGTCTCTCCAGGAGCTGTCATCTCAGGCGAAGACCCAGAAGAGTAAGCAATTTCATTTGTCTCCATTCTGGCTGTTGATGCATGAATGTGGGTTTCTATTGAGGGGAAGGCGAGAGGTGTGTAAGAGCCAGTTTTTACTACTGAAGTCATGGTAAGGTTGATGGTGCTTGGACTTTCTGAACTAGCGTGTGTTCCGAGGCGGATGCTGGGTGTGTTTGCTGATTCAGGGTAGGTGCTCAGGGTCGGAAGTCCCCCTTCTGATGCCTCCACTGATGTGGCTGGAGATGGAGTGTCCAAGGGAACCAGGGTGCTTTTTCCTACAGCACCACTTGTTGGAATATTACTTGGTGTCGAGGAAGTCATGGAAGGTAAGTTGGGTGTGTTCTGTTCACTAGTTTCAACTGTGTCCATTGTCATGCTTGGGGTGACTCTCTGGGTTGAAAATGTGGAGCTCATTGTGACTTTGGGAGTAGGAGAAGAAGATGAGGACAAGATGCCAAGCCAGGTGCTTCTAGCAGAGCCAGGCTCAGGAGATGGAGGGTGAGTTGCAGTCATTTGTGGAGTCAGAGCTGAACTGGCTCCACCTCTAGGCACTGGAATTTCTCCAGATGTTAAATGATAGACATCATCAGAAAATGTGCCAACCAATTGGCTTGTCCTTCCCGGAGTGCTTGAGCCAACAGCATCCATGGACTGAGATGGAGATACTGACATTGAGACACTTTCTTTGGCCATGGTAAAATCTGTAGATGTCTCAGAGGAAGTTGAGGTTCCAATGGACAGATGAGTTGTGTCCAATGTTCCTTCAGTAATGTAGCCCTTTCCAATTGGGATGTTGGTAGAAGCCATAGCCACAGTGCCTGGGCCATTCGTGGTCTCTGTTGTGAGGATGGTTGTTGATGGTTCCCTGATAGAAGTTGCTTCTGTGGAACCAGTTGCTGGAGAAGTGAATTTAGAGACCACTACAGTAGCAGAGAGAGAAGTGGCAGAAGTTGAAACAGTGGTTGCTGAAGGTAACGCTGTCTTGAATCTGGGATTAGTCTCTGGCCAAGTTGTGCTTTGGGGTGCAACAGAGTCATTAAACGTGCCTGTATTGGTCTGTGACATTGCTGCTGTCCCAGAGAGGTGAGATATTTTAGGAAGAGCTGAACTGGTTGAGTTTGTAGCTGAGGTACTGCTCGTGGCTCTGAGCTCACTCACTAGGTGGGATGAAGAGAACTGAGCTGAACGTGTAGTCCAGGTGTCCATGGTGGGGAATACTGGGGTGGGGACAGAGGTGCTGGCCAAGGTGGTCCTTACTCTGGAAACAGAAGTCTTAGGTTGAGACACAGATGGATTCAAAGTTTCCTCTGTTTCTTCTGCACTGGTAAATAGATGAGTGGAAGGAGTAGATGAAGAAAATGTAGTTTTCACTCCAGAGACACTTGGGAGGCTGAGAGTGCTAGGACTCTCTGACCATTCTGAAGCCAGTGTCCCAATTGGGTGGATGCTAGGTGAGTCTGTAGTCTCAGCAGAGGTGCTGAGGGTGAGGACACTCCCTGCTGTCCCTTTCCCTGATGCAGATGGATAAGTCAGAGGGGAAGTTGCATTTCTGACTCTTTCAGGACTTGTTGCTGCATTACTTAGGGTCATGGAGAAAAGAATGGCTGAGCTGGGCTTTGTCTTTGTTGAGATTTCAGGAGTCCCTGTGGTCATAGATGAGGTGACTCTGTGGTGTGAGAATGTGCTGGTCGCTGACACTGTATCCTCAAGAACTGAAGCAGATGACAACAGAGGAACGCTGGTGCTTATCTTGGTAGGTCCTGCAGAGTCTGGTTCAGGGGAAGAGGAGGGATGTCTAGTGTTTAATGGAGTCAGTCCCAGGCTGGTTCCTTCCCTAGAAGCTGGGGACTCTAAAGATGACATCTCAGGGATGACAGAAGAAACCATTGTATATGATGGATTTGTCCCTCCTGGAGGACTTGAGCCAGCAGCCATCTTGCTAACTGCTGGAGTCATGGAGATTGGAACACCGTTCGTGGCCAGAGTCAAATCTGTGGATGTCTCAGATAATGCTGTGGCTCTTTTGAGTGGGTGGGTTGTGCCCTGCCTTCCCCTTGTGATGCTGCCTCCTGTCATTGAAATCCCAGTGGGAACAGCAAACTGATAGGTGGTTGGGCCAGTTGTGGATTCTCTGATGAGTGTGTCTGCAGATGTTTCTTTAAGCCAAATCCCTTTAGTGGAGCTGGTCTTCAGGGTGGTGAAGCCAGACACCACTGAGGGAACAGGAGAAGTGGTGGCACGGGCTGCCACACTGGTTGATGCTGGGGGTCTCTCTGTTTTCATGCTAGGACTTGTCTCCACCCACTGTGTGTGCTGGGGTTCACTAAATTGCTGAGCTGTGCTTTCACTGGTCCATGATGATGCTGTTGAGGTGCTGGAAGTGGTTGCCTTCAGGATGTCAGAGCTCCTGTGGGCAGCTCTACTGGAACTCTGCCTCCCAGAGGTGCTGCCTGCGGTTCTGAGCTCTCTTGTTGGGTGTGATGAAGAGACCTGAGATGGACTACTAATCTTGCTGTAAAGAGTAGTAAAACCTGGGGTGGGGACCAAGGTGGCAGTCATTTCGGTCTCTTCTCCAGGAGCAGAGGTCTCAAGTGGAGTCATGGATGTATTCAAAGTTCCTTCTGTTTCCATTCTACTCATGGAGTGATGGGTGTTGTTCTCCTCCGAGACTAAAGTGGTAGATGGAGATGTGGTTGTCAACGCTGAAGTGCTGGTGCCACTGAGGGTACCTGGACTCCCTGACCATTCTGAAGCCAAAGTCTTGGCTATGTGGGTGCCAGGTGTATCCGTGGTCTCAGCGAAGGCACGGAAGGTAAGGATAGTCTCTGCTGTCTGCTCTGTGGATGTAGATGGAGTCCCCAGAGAGGAAATTGTACTTCTGACCTTTTCAGCACTTGTTTCTACATTGCTTAGTGTCATGGAAAAAGGGATAGCTGAGTTGGACATTGTGCTGACTCTGGCCTCGGGCACCCCAGGAGATAGAGGGGAAGTGATACTCTGGCCTGAGAATATGCCGGTCTCTGATATTTTATTATCGAGAACTGAAGCAGATGATGACAAAGACACACTGGTACTTATTCTGCTGTGTCCTGTGGAGCCAGGTTCAGGAGAAGAGAAGGGATATCCAGTGGTTGATGGAGTCAGTTCCAGGCTTGTTCCACCTCTGGAATTTGGGGTCCCTCTAGGCGATAAGTCAAGGAAGGAAGAATAAACTGTCCCAAAGGATGGGGTTGTCCTTCCTGGAGTATGTGAGTCAGTAACTGTGGACTCAGCTGGAGTCATAGACACCAGGACATTATCCTTGGATGCAGTTGAATCTGCAAATGTTTTCATTGGAGATGTGATTTTTGCAGGGATATATCTTGTGCCCCAGGGGGTCCCTGTGCTGTCACCTTCGGTTGTTGAGGTCTCAGTGGGGACTGTGTACTTCTCAGTGACTGGGCCACTTGTGGTCTCTACAGCGAGTGTGTAGGTAGATGATTCTTTGGTAAAATTTCCTTCTGTGGAACTGGTCCTGGTCCTTGGGGAACTCAATTGTGAAACCACGCTTGTAGCAGGAGAGTTCCTAGAGGGAGTTCCATTGACCTGGGGACTCAGCGATGAGCTGGTTCTTTGCTCGGAGTGTGTAATTCCTCTAGAGGTTGACTCAGGGAGAGCAGAGGACATCGCCCCCAGAGACCGGGTGGTTCTTCCCACAACCGAAGACGCAGGACTGGCCAAGGTCTTAGCTGGGGAAGTAAAGGGCAGAGTATGTTCCGTCATTATGATTGCACCTGTAGATGTCTTACGTGACAAGGTGGCTCCTGTCAGTCCTGAATCCATTTCCGGTGTGGCTTTACTGCTCCTGCTCCCTGTCATCAAGGAGTGGGTGAGAGAAGATGACCCAGGAAGGCCTGTGGGTTTCAGCATGGACAGGTCAACACTTGCCTCTGGATGGAAGTCTAAGAACAATCCCCTCAGAGAGGGTGGCCTCTGCAGAGCTTCTGAGCTCCCGGAACCTCCAAAATTTCTCAGGGTGGGAGATATGGCTGGGGTCCCTGCATTTCCCCTGAGAAAATCTGTGTCTAGAAGAGCTGCCGTATGTATGGGGGTTGGGGGAATTGTGCAACCCTTCTGATTGAGAAGACTAAATCTCAGGGAGAGAAAGGAAAGGATGGCGCAACCACAGACAATTTCCTCAAATAAACACTGACGATCTCAATTCTTCCCTACAAACTTTTTAACAGATTCTTACTGTCTGCAGGATAGAATGTCTCAGTGTACCATGTCTTAATGATCCTCTCTCTCTCTGAGTGTGTGTGTGTGTGTGTGTGTGTGTGTGTATGGTCTTAGAAACCAGGAACTAGGCCGGGCACGGTGGCTCACGCCTGTAATACCAGCACTTTGGGAGGCCAAGGCAAGAGGATCACCTGAGGTTGGGAGTTTGAGACCAGCCTCCTGACTAACATGGAGAAACTCCGTCTCTACTAAAAATGCAAAATTATTTTTAATTTTTTAAAACTAAGTAAAAATTTTTTTTAATAAAAATAAATATTGAGTGTGGTGGTGTGTGTCTGTAATCCCAGCTACTTGGGAGGCTGAGGCAGGAGAAACGCTTGACCCTGGGAGGCAGAGGTTGCGGCAAGTTGAGATGACACCACTGCACTCCAGCCTGGGCAATAAGAGCTCTGTCTAGGAAGGAAGGAAGGAAAGAAGGAAGGAAGGAAGGAAGGAAGGAAAGAAGGAAGGAAGGAAGGAAGGAAGGAAGGAAGGAAGGAAGGAAGGAAGGAAGGGAGAAAGGAAGAAAGAGGGAGGGAGGGAAGGCAGAGAGAAAAAAGGAAGGAAGGAGGGAAGGAAAGAAGAAAGAAAGAGAAAGAAAGAGAGGGAGAGAGGGAAGGAAGGAAGAGAGAGTAAGAGAAAGGAAGGGAAGAAGGAAGGAAGGAAGAAAGAAAGAGGGGAGGAGGGAGGGAAGGAAGAAAGGGAGAGAGAGAGAGAGAGGAAGGAAGGGAGGGAGGAAGGGAGGAAGGAAGGAAAAAGAAAGAAAGAAAGAAAGAAAGAAAGAAAGAAAGAAAGAAAGAAAGAAAGAAAGAAAGAAAGAAAGAAAGAAAGAAAGAAAAGAAAGAGGGAGGGAGGGAGGGAAAGAAAAAGAAAGAAAAAAAGCAAGAAAGATGCAGATAGAACCCCTACCTATACCCCCATGAGATGGAGTTAACCCTCGGTGTGTGGAACTGGCAGATACTAAGGCTCTTGAATTGAGAAGTAGAGGTCAGAGAACACATGGCACTTCTGTTCAGATCAGAGCAGGGGCCCACAGATGCACGCTCAGAAATCAGTGGAAGTTGCTCTTGATTCAAATCTCACGACCCTGGCCGGTCGAGCAAGGTGGCTCACGCCTGTAATCCCAGCACTTTGGGAGGCCGAGGTGGGCGGATCATGAGATCAAGAGATGGAGACCATCCTGGCTAACATGGTGAAACCTCATCTCTACTACAAATACAAAAAAAAAACATTAGCCAGGCATGGTGGAGGGCGCCTGTAATCCCAGCTACTCGGGAGGCTGAGGCAGGATAATTGCTTGAACGTGGGAGGTGGAGGTTTCAGTGAGCCAAGATCATCACACCACTGCACTTCAGCCTGGGTGACAGAGCGAGACTCTGTCTCAAAAAAAAAAAGAAAAAATAAATAATAATAAAGAAAGAAAGAAAGAAGAAAGAAAGAAAGAAAGAAAGAAAGAAAGAAAAAATCTCATGACCCAGAGGGTGAAGAGGATGAGGTTGAATCATGTAAAGTTCTATCGATGGTAATTTAGGACAGAAGAGGCAAAAAAAAAAAAAAAAAAAAGAATGTCCTGGAAGCTCACTATTTCTGGTTGTTTTTATTGAGGGAAAAGTGCAGGGAAAATTTTTCACTTTGGGTTAGCCAGGCTGGTCTAAAACACCCGACCTCAGGTGATCCACCTGCCTCAGCCTTCCAAAGTGCTGGCATTACAGGTATGAGCCACTGCACCTGGCTGAGTTAACAGACTTATCTTTAGAGAGTTAACAATATTTTTAAAGTAAAGTTAACAATATTTGAACAGTATGATATGAAGTTAATACATTGTTTTAGGGATGGGGTTTTGCTCTGTTGCCCAGGCTGGAGTACAGTGGTGCGATCCTAGCTCACTGTAGCCTCGAACTCCTGGGCTCAAGTGATCCTTTTGCCTCAGCCTCTCAAGTAGCTGGGACTACAGGTGGGTGCCACTATGCCCAGTGAATTTTTTTTAATTTTGAGTAGAGATGAGGTCTCACTATGTTGTCCAGACTGGTCTCGAACTCCTGGCCTCAAGTGATCCTTCTGCCTCAGCCTCCCAAAGTACTGGGATTACAGGTACTAGCCACCACACACCACACACAGCCAGAGTTAGGATTTATTATTTTATTTTATTTTATTTTATTTTATTTTATTTATTTGACATGGAGTCTTTTTCCGTCACCCAGGCAGGAGTGCAGTGGCATGATCTCAGCTCACTGCAACCTCCGCCTCCTGGGTTCAAGTAATTCTCCTACCTTAGCCTCCCAAGTAGCTGGGATTACAGGCACGCACCACCACACGCAGCTAATTTTTTTTTTGAAACAGAGTCTCACTCTGTCACCCAGGCTGGAGTGTGGTGGTGCGATCTCGGCTCACTGCAAGCTCCACCTCCTGGGTTCACGTCATTCTCCTGCCTCAGCCTCCCGAGTAGCTGGGACTACAGGTGCCCGCCACCACACCCAGCTAATTTTTTTTTTTTTTTTTTTTTTTAGTAGAGACCGTGTTTCACCATGTTAGCCAGGATGGCCTCTATCTCCTGCCCTCGTGATCCGCCCACCTCGGCCTCCCAAAGTGCTGGGATTACAGGTGTGAGCCACCGCGCCTGGCCTAATTTTTGTATTTTTAATATAGACGGGGCTTCACCACGTTGGCCAGGCTGGTTTCGAACTCCTGACCTCAGGTGATCGCCTGCTTCAGCCTCCCAAAGTGCTGGGGTGACAGGCCTGAGCCACTGCGCTAGGCCCAGAGTTAGGATTTAACATTAGTAGTCTTTATAGATGCTGCATCACACGAGGGAGACACAAGTGCCCCCTGCTGACCAATCCTTTTAGTTTATCTTCTTGTATATATCAGATTTAGTTATTATTTAAGTAGCTAAAAGAATCTCGGTCTATTTGGTTACTTTGGTCACCTAATACTTGAACTATTTGGAAATAGAAAAGGACGTTTCCTGTTTCTTTAGAGGCATTCCAAAGGTTCTACAGACAGTGATATTTCACGACCTAGTAGTAGCGTTGTCCATATCAAGTAGTTCAGGTGATTTCTTACCTTGGGTCCTCACACATTCTTAGTGCTTAGCTGAATCTTCTATTTTTGAAACAGGGTCTTGCTCTGTCACTCAGGCTTGAGGGCAGTGGTGTGATCATAGCTCACTGCAGCCCCGATCTCTTGGGCTCAAGCAATACTCCCATCTCGGCCTCCTGAGTAGCTGGAACTACAGGCATGCACCACCATGCCTGGCTAATTTTTCTTTTTTCACCGTAGAGATGCAGTCTTGCTATGTTGCCTAAAGTGGTCGCGAACTCCTGTGCTCAAGCAATCCTCCCTCCTCGGCTTCCCAAAGTGTTGGGATTACAGGCATCAGCCAGCACGCCTGACCTCAGCTAAATCTTTTCTATCTTTGAAAATTCTACAGTACCCGATGTTTCCTAGAATTTAGGTGGCAAGCTGTATCATAGGGAGATCTCGTGCAGGAGGGGAAAAGGGTGAAGGCATGACACATTGCTGAACAAGACTAGTAGTAATACTTAGAGGAGTCTTGAAATTTATGGCCGGGCGGGTACCCCACACCTGTAATCCCAGCACTTTGGGAGGCCGAGGTGGGTGGATCACCTGAGGTCGGGAGTTCAAGACCAGCCTGACCAACATGGAGAAACCCCATCTCTACTAAAAATACAAAATTAGCTGGATGTGGCGGCGCATGCCTGTAACCCCAGCTACTTGGGAGGCTGAGGCAGGAGAATTGCTTGAACCTGGGAGGCGGAGTTTGTGGTGAGCCGAGATCAAGCCATTGCACTGTAGCCTGGGCAACAAGAGTGAAACTCGTCTCAAAAAAAAAAAGAAAGAAAGAAAGAAAGAAATTTGGAAAGCCATTCCCAAGGGCAGGTAGCCCTAGATGATTTTCCAGGGAGACTGAAAGGCAATACTCATGAAGATAGTTTCAAGTGGAGCCTGAAAGGGCAGCTGAACCTCTGGGGAGGCAGAGAATGGGGTACTTCTGTCAATCAGCACCACACTGGGAGATGTGTCTGCCCCAGTTCCTGTGGGTAGGTGGGCCCTGTATGTGTGGAGTCAGGGTTGGTGTTTCTCTAGTTTGAGGAACTGAACGGAGAGAGGAAGGACTATGCTCCCCATTGCCCCTCCCCAGCCCTTGGCACTCATTATTCTGCTTTCTGTCTTTACGAATATGATGACTCTAGGAACCTTACATAGTGGGATCATACAGTATGTGTCTTTTGGTGACTGCCTTATTTCACTTAGCACACTGTCCTCAAGGTTCACTCACACTGTAGCATATGTCACAACATCCTTCCTTTTTAAGGCTGAATAATATTCCATTGTGGGGGCCAGGTGCGGTGGCTCACGCCTGCAATCCCAGCACTTTGGGAGGCCAAGGCAGGCGGATCACTTGAGGTCAGGAGTTCGAGACCAGCCTGGCCAACATGGTGAAAGCCCAAATTAGGCTGGGCACGGTGGCTCATGCCTGTAATCCCAGCATTTTGGGAGGCCAAGGTGGGCGGATCACCTGAGGTCAGGAGTTCAAGACCAGCCTGGTCAACATAGTGAAACTTTGTATCTACAAAAATACAAAAATTAGCTGAGCATGGTGGCAGGCACCTGTAACCCCATCTACTTGGAAGGCTGAGACAGGA